CGTTGAAAGAAAGCCCTCCTCTCCCTCCCCCTCCCCCACCGTACAATAAATTATATATATGATGTATCTAGCTGTGTGTGTGTGTGTGTCTGATAAATGAAAGAATCCTTTTCAATGCTCCATTACAAATAGTTAGATTTTTAAGGTTTGACCTCTTTCTTTGTTTTGTATCTGCTAATGACCATTAACAAATATCAGTAATAAAAAAACATCCGTATAAAAGTTAAAGAAAACGTAAAAAATTGATAATAAAAATGATCAAATGTTTGCTTTGGTTTTAGTTTGTTTTAAAATATTTTATATAAAATAGGAAAAATAATTATTACATCCAATTACAAAATGATCTTTAGATCAAACAAACATTATATTTTTTTGATATCGTAAAAAGCTACTGGCAAAATATCGCGTACTACGCTGTTTCTGTTTGCCCTTGAAAGCTCAAACTTTATTAAGCCATTTTCAAAGAAATTTGTTTGTTCAAAGGCGTTTAGAAGGGGAAATAAGGGAAGTGATAGCAGATAAACAGACGAAATAAAACCTCTATATAACTTTAGAGTTCAAAAGCCGACTCTTTTCCTTTGGATTTGACAATAGGAATAGTATCTATTAATTATAGCTTAAAGATATGTGTACTACCAGTTGTTCTTCTTTAAGAATGATTATGAACTAGTAAAATGTTGCATTTGTGCTAAATACTGTATATATTTGTTATATACAGTTTCTTCATATGCTGTATATATATTGTATATATAGTCATTTTAATAATATAAAAATATAAAAGAGATATATACTATTTGAAGTTTATAGAAATTCTATTTTAGTTTAAAGAGAAAAGTCTTTTTGAAACTATTCTCTCTTTCCCTCTCAAATTCTCGCTTTCCCTCCCTGACTTTTTCTCCTCCACCCACCTCTCTCTCTCTCTCTCTCCTTCTCTGTAGAACGAAAAAAATTTGAAATAAAAGCTACTTGGAAAGAAAGAAATCCTTCATTTAAAAAATACAGTATATAGTATCAATTTCTACGATAACAACTTCATTCTTTATTCACTGTTATCCTTCCCGCTCTTTATTTGCTTGTATGTTTTTTTATATTAATAAATTACAGATAAAATATACTTTATTAATAAGAAATTTTATACCTGTACCACACTTTTTTGCTAACTTTTGGCAAATTTCTCCGAATTGATCCACCTGTAAGAATTAGAATTGCTTAGAAAAATAAACACTCGAGATGATTGAAAGACTGGCACTAATCCAGTAAAGAACGTAATTGAATTCGACTTTATATAACGTTCCATTTGGTAAAATCGCATCCATTCTCCCAGATAATTCAATAGAATGCTTTTGTTGTATGAAATAGCGTCTACCCCTAACCCTAGAGCTCTTCCTTCCTTTCCCGAGAAAAGCTTTAGAGGCTCATAATAAACTGAATCACGGATAACAGCTTCCCCCTCTACTTCTTATCCATCTTCATTTCCATAAAATATTTAATTTTCCCATCAAGTTGACACTTTTTCAACTTCTATCTTAATTACGTAGTTTCCGATAAAAAGTATTATTACAAATTGAGTTGTTAAATGGCTACTTTGAAATATTTTAATTGATAGGGAAATTATCTAATAATCAAACGATTCTCCATCAGTTCTATTACAAAATTAATAAATTTGCTTAATAAGCAAACAATATCAAAATAATTTGATTACTTTAAAAACAGAGAAACTAGCCATTTCAACACAAAATTAGGATTATCATTTTCTTCTTATCATATTAATTCGTATCATTAGTTGGAAAAAGGAAGAAAAGATGAAAAATATTTAGATTATTTACCGTTTTCTAATACTTTTTGTAGTATCAAAGGCAAGGCGAAGAAAGAAAAGATCATCCAATTAAAGTTAATCAGAAAAAGAAAAAACTTCGTTTGGATGTTTATAAAATAAATAAAAATATTACGCATTCAACTCAAAATCTCTCATTCTATAATTAAACTAATCACAAAGAAAGAGAGAAAGAAATCCTCTCCTTTCTTTACTTTTTTTCTTTTTCTCTCCGCTCAATTGCTATACTATACATGTATACAGTATATATATTTTTTCCCTTAATATTTTCCAGCAAAGCTACAATCTATATCCATAAAAGGAAACTTAAGAGGAAACAAACTTTTCTCTAATTCTTTCATATAAGCTGTGAATATGTTTTTATCGCTTTAAGAGAGAGCAAAACTCTCCAGTTGAAGAATGTTTTTGTAATAATTATTCTCAAGAGATCCATTTATACTTTCTTCGAAAACTAACTAAATCTTTTCTCTCTTGTTCTCAACTGCTTTTCTCTTCATCCCTTTTATTTTATTATTAAGTTCAAAGAAACTAAAGTTAGGCCTAGCAAACTTGTGAAAATTTTTTACTTTATATTATATATATATATATATATATCATTTATATGGATAAAGTAGATCGTCTGTCCAAAATACAATACCTAATCTATTTTTTTTCTATAATAACATGTCGTAAACTATTAAGTTTAATGAAAATCCTGTAAAATAAAATGATATGTATATAAATAAGATATAATCTTATTATTAGAAAATACTATACATGTAAAATATATAAAACTATTTATTATACTAATATGCTTATCTTGTTTAGTTTAACAACTTCTATCAATGTTCAGTAAGAAATGAGAAAGGGTTTTGGTATGAAAACGGTAAACGTTAAAAAATATACTTTCCTATTCTTTATGCAAAATCAATAGGAATAATTAAAATTTCTTGCTCTTTAAGAGTTTTCTTGTTGATTTTGGACAAACAGAGAAATTAATCTCTTCAATTTTGTTTTTCTTTTTCAAAATAAGAAAAAGAAAAGAAAATGAAGTTTATCTTCTCTCTTTCTTTCCTCTTTTATACCTGTTTTATCATATTTACCGTTAGTTTTGTCTTGGATTCAACAAATACGTAATCGTCATTTCGAATGCTTCTTTTTCCTCTGACGACAGAATGTACTTCGTATTTCTTATTGCCAATAATAAAGATTGCGGCCGACAACGATAATGTTACGGCTAAGAGTAACGTATAAAGTATACGAATGTGGAGGAAAACTCTCTGTTCCGAAATCTTATCTCCGCTCATATTCTTCACAAAATGAGGGACTAGCGCAAAGTCACGTGACCAAAATATAAGCCAATAGCGCTAAGCTATTTAATAGAGACGATACTATGTAGAATTGAAAGAGTGAAAATACCTAGTTTTGATTTCTTTTAATTGAAAGCCAGCTTTTCAATATTGTATGGCCAGTTTGATTGGCACTGAATGATGAGAAATTATCACGCAAGCACTTATTAAATATATTTTATATTCGAATTAAGATATAAAAAGAGATGTTTTTGGTATTTAATGGTAATAAAATGAAAAATTAATAGAGTAGTCAAAAACTTTACTAAATTTTCGATTAAAAGAGTAAGTATTTCTATTATTTGGCCGCTATGGAGTTTGTTATTATTTGTACGCTTACTTTTTTTTCGATCACCTAGTAATTAACTGGAAAAATGTTTTCCTCGCTCTCTCTCTCTCTCTCTCGCTCCCTTTCCTCCCCTTCTTATTCGCTCATTTACTCTCTATAAAATAAACTAATCTAAACCAAACTCTGCTTGTTTATCTTCCATAATTCACTATACGTTATCGACATTCTAAACCTATTTTATGTACAATATATTAATATATATTACGTGTAATAGCATTCATAAATATTAGGTATAGCTTGTTCAATAGTTTATACTAATTACTTTATTTAATTTTGAGATTGTTACATAATCATCACTTATCTATTATAGAATTATCAAATTAAAGAAAAATGATTAATGTTGTATGAGCACTCACTCCATCTATCGGATTTTTGGGAGAGACGTTTTAGACTTGGAGCAAAGAGCGTATATATTTACCTATCAACAACCAATTAATTATTAGTAAATTATTGATTATGCTTTTACTGTAGAATAATTTTTTTAAGGGTATTGCTATGTCTCCATAGAAAATGAATTGAACTTTTGATGCTGATATAAAAATAGATAATAACCCTATTCCGATAAATATTTATGAGTTCTATTATCTTCATCCTAGCCATAGCTAAACAGTTTAACCGCCTAGTTTTTTAGTTAATTTTGAAATTGTTTCCCTTTTAGAGTCTTATCAGAACAACTAATACATCCGAATGTAACAGAGATGCTTCTCTTCAAAAGAGACCTCTCAGAAAACGATTATTCCCCAAAGGGAATAGCTTAGAAAATTACAAGCTCTAATAAGAGAGTTAAATTGAATTAGGGTTCTAGGGCGAAAAATTCAAAAGTTTTTTGGGCGGAAGTAAAGGAAATCGAAGGGGACACTCCAATTAGACAAAGTTAATTCTCATCAATAGTGTAGCTCTGAATTTCTAAGGGTGTCAGCAGCTCGAATTATCTTTCATTTGAGATGAATAAGACAAGAAAATTGCGCTTCAAATTTTTCGCATGGCAGGAAAATAAAGGCAAAATGTGATTAATTGTTAGAGATAAAAGAGTAGTAAAACCATAAAAATATTCATGTAAAAATTTGAAGATTTAGCTTATAGAACTATAAATAAAAAATGCTAAATTATATTTATCTATATTTATACTACTTTTTACCATTAGAATTTCTTTTAAGCCTCCAAACCGGAAGAGACAGAAATAAGAGGTAGGAAGTTAAATAAAATGACTAATAACCGTCGAAATCTGGCGGCTATAAAATTTGATCGATCGTAGGTGACGCTATCAACATCAGAGCACCGCAGCTGCGTTTTTAGACGTCGCCCTTATTTCGAACCGCCTATAGCCGTTTTACACTGTAATGAATACTCAATAAGCAGATTTGGAGCGCCAAAAGAAGGTAATACCGACACCATTCTATTATTAGGGTAAGTAGATAGTATTCTTTTAACTTATTCTTCAATTCAGCCCACTATTTATTTTCGTAACTGTTTAATCAATTCCTATAAAGATGGAAATGTCCGAATCAACACCAATAGTTGAAGAAGATGATTTGGCGACAATTGATGAGGAAAAGAATGAAATCAAGTCTTATCAGAGTACGGACTCGACGACTCCAAAGTCAGAACAAAGATTCCAAAAGAAACGAAGCTCGTTTTCTGAAACAGTTCACCGATCCCTCAGGCATAGATCCTATAGCGCCTTTAGACGTCTTTAATGCTAGACATAACTAAATGAGAATTGTACCTGCTTTTATATTTAAGTTTAGACCATCTCAAACTATAATAATCCTTATCCAGTTTTATACTTTTTAAAAGAGCTAAATTCTGCTGGAATCCATTTAAAAAGGCATTCGCATCTCCCTATAATAAAGTGGTTAATTAGAGGGAAAGTTAAGATTTCAGATAGTTAGTAGAGGAAGCTCTCTAGGCGTCTATAACATCTATGCCCCATAGGCGTCAAATGTCGAGAGCAGCAAGAGCAAAGGAATTTGCCAAGCATTCGCAAAAATCTATTGCCGATGTTGCCAAGTCACTTGCTGGCAGACGCAGTTTAATAGCATATCTTACTGGTCTTACATGTTTTTCCTTCATTGTTCAAGTAATATCTATACCAATTGTTACGCTAGGCTTATATAACCTGGGAACTGATGCTTCAATTCTCCTCCTGTCATCGCCACTGTTGGGAATTCTGTTTATGCTGCTCTTTATCGTCATCGTAAAAAGGCATAGATAAATAGATATTTAACATCGATTTTTCCAGATAAGCTCTATCAATCAAATCTTTCAAATTCTTATACTTGAATATCTATTTAACTATGTTATCTAAACGTCTTTTAACTCCTTTCTTTACAAAAAATATTGTAACAGAATCAAACCTCATTTTGATAATCTACAATTGAGTAGAAATGGTATTTTCACAGCTCTCAAGGCAGGAGTTGCCAATGAATGTGCAGGTTTATTGGCGATTTACCCCGGATTGCCTACTAGAACACCACCTAATATCCAAGCGATTCTTACCTTATGCTTGATTCCATTTACCGTATTGGTTCGGTACCTGATGATTAAACAAGGTAAGATAATTTCAAAAGAATCTGTCAATCAATTAATGTAAACATTTCTCATTGCCTCATTTCCCAAACAATCATTAGAAACAGCTCATGAATACTAAGCTAACGAATTTCTAATAAAAATAAAAGAAATAAGCGAAACGACGCTTTCAAGACGTTGAATAAGACAGATTGCTAGAATCGTAGAATATCATTGGAATTTTTGTTCATAGTATTTTTTCCCATTTTCAGAGAATTTCCACTATCAAAAGGTTAATGTTTGTAATTAAAGCTTTAATTATGCTAATGAGTTTTCATTGACGGGATAAAAAGCAGATATATCTAATTTATGACGAGATAAAGCTTTAAACCACCTCTAAAATACAGAAAAATATTAAATTGTTCTCTTATTTTTCTTTTATATATACAATATATAAAAAAAACAGGAGAATTTCTTCACTTTGATAAATCTTGACTTTCTACTGGTTCCTTTATTCAGATCAATTATTCCATTTGCGTTTTTTGTCTTTGTTATACACTATATATAGATGTATATACTAATATATGTGTATTTATACTTGGAATACTGTTTATAAATCTTTCATCTCTATGGAATTGTAATTCTTTATGTAAAAATTACAGGAATCAGCGGTAGAAGAATGTCTGCATTAATTGTTGTTATATTTGGTTTGGTTTTGAGTATGATACCTATCTTCGTTCCAAATTGGAGGAGTCATACACCCGGTATAAATCTATCGCAAATTTCCTATAATGTTAGTACAATCGGATCGATATTGTGGCCGTGCGCTTTCGTTTCCGGTTATGCTTTTCTAGCCTTGGCTACGGTCTATTGCGAGGATTCGTTAAAAGCAGGGGTAAGTTCTGAAATTTTAGCATACGCCTAATTAATGATAAAAATCAATGACTAATTCTTAGTTCCATTACTTTTAGTCAATTCATTCTTTATGTAGCTAATTTCCCTTTTTGTAGGAAAGTCCTATGCTCTATTTGACATGGATGCATGTTGGTACCTTATTGGCCGGTCTAGTTTTACTCTGGTTTGATCTTATTCCTGGTTTCGGATTGGTAAGACAATGTTTTATATTTTAGAAAAAATAGTTGAAAAATTACTTAATGCTCAAAGTTTCATTTAACCATAATGTAATAAAAAAAGTTTATAGCAATTTTCACGTCTGAAGCGTCATCTATAGGATATCCCTAGTGACAAAGAAAAGTTGAAAATTTTTAAGTAAGAGAGTTCGTAGTTGAAGAGGTCGCTGTTTGTTTCTTTCAAATAATCGCATTTTGAATTGGGGTAGGAAGGTAACAGGGAAATTAATTGAAGATAATCCTATAGAAGGCGCTTTAGAAGCTTTGCGTCACATATTTGTCATATGTTTCATTTTATAAAGGCCAAAAGTCCAATGGATTTAGGTTGGCGTCTATGGGCGGGACTGAAAAGTTACTTTCGGAAAGATGCGCTTTGCATCTCCCTATGGCTAAATACTTTCATCGGCTATGTCATCGTCTATTTAGCGCAAATCTTATTGGTCTTGTACGCAGATGGCGCAGTTTATTCTGCAGTTATCATGTCTACAAATTTTCCTATAGCCGCCATCTTTTGGAGCCTATTTCAAAGTAATGGTTTCACAGTTGTGTGGCACCCTTTCTTTAGCATCTATACAGCATTTAGCCTGGCCGGTATTGCATTATTGGTCCCTTCAGTTGCTGCTTATGAATATATTACTTGGAAGGAGACAAGAGACGAATATATTTTTCAAAGATTGAGACAGTTGTAATAATTATAGAGAAAAAAAGCATTGTAGCCCTGTAATGGAGACGCCTTAGACTATTATTAAAGAGCATAATGAATGATTATTCAAATATCCAACTTATCTACATAAAGATTATAGATAAATGCAAATTAAACAAATAAAAGCGAAAATATTACATTAAATGTTGTTGGAACAAAGTGTCTAAAGTCATTTATGTTTTATAAATAAATAAATAAAAATGGCATGACAATGTATTTAACGTTAATGAAAAAGCACATATCTATTACAAATTTGTAAAATACATGAAACCATAGGCAAGATATAAAAATTGTATAACATATACATGCAAGCAGTATTAAAGGTTGTTTTGTACTGAAATCTGCAACGTGAAATATCATCTCTTTCCTTTTTTAGTTTTTTTCATAAACATATATACTGTATTATACAAAGAACATATATATATATATATATATATATATATATATATATATATGTATATATACATATTAGTAATATATATATTTGTATATAGATATAGAAATATTTGTATATAGATATAGATATAAATATAAAACATAAAATGTTGTTTTCTTTTTTTTTGACGTATTGCAGTTTTTACTCTATAACTGTTTTGCCACGTTAAGCGAAGTACATACAAAAAAAATACTCTGACTACATTAAATCAAAAGAATTATATGTAGATGTTTTAAGTTGTGACAGGAATTGTAAGTAGGCCTATTTTTTTACAGCAAATCGACAGATAAAGCTGCTAAAAAAATTGGATCGAAGGTCTTTTTTCTCTTTCTCTCTAATTGTGAATGTTGTAATAGTGTAATAATAATAACAATAATATTCTAGAGACAAATCATAAGGTTCATAAAACGGTTATTATATTCGATAACCGTAAAATTGTCTATTAAAACATTTAATAGACATATTATTTTCGTATTCCACCCTCCCACCTCTTTTTTCTTAAATAGCAAAATAAAACGTAAGTTAAAATATAATTAAGGAAGACCCTAATCAATAAGGTATTGAAGGTTTACTAATTGGTTTTAAAGCTTTGATGTTTCGAGTTCGGTTTCGAAAGTGCTTACCGAATATTTAGCAAAAAAGGATCCTACTGGGCTGTAGATGGCGTTGGACAGTTTGTCTTTTTTTTTTTAAATGGAATTAATTTGAACTCGGTCAAAAGAAGAGTTTGTATAGTATTTCTTATTCGTGTAGATTATAACTATTTTTACAACGCATCTATCTGTACGTTTGTTTAACACTTTTGGAATTAAAATTAGATATATCGAATTAAGTCTTGCGACTTCTTTAAAACACAATATAATATAAACAGCAGCTTTTATAACATTATCTAATTTACTATCGATAACTTATGGAAAGTTTGACTTTATATAGATCAGGTTACGAACGAGATCCAATACAGTATTACCACACGCAAAGTACAAAGACTAAAAGCAACAAACTCAATGTCAATCAGAAACGTGCTTTTTTCCCATGTAGGCCTACATTCTTAAACTAGTCTTCATGACGATGTAAACATAACCATCCGATACGATAATGTAAAAGAATAATATTTATTGTTATAAGTAGAAAGTGTTCTTTTCTCTCTCTTTCTCTCTTTCTCCCATTCTCCTATTTATCTAAATTGTCTTTATTACAAGAAGAAAGAAGGATGCATTTAAAAAAGAATTGGAACTACAAAACATGAATTATACTGGGTGTGAACGTGATAATTCAACTGAGACAGTTGAACAAATAACAAGAGAAATAGAATACACTTTATATTTTTACATTTTTTATTTTTATTTTCAATTTACAAATTCAAATTATAAGGAAATGAGAATTGCAATAAGAATTGATGCTTATAATTTGACTATTAATTCAATAAAAATTAAATTATTGCCTTTGAATATGCTAAATATTTTGTAATAAAGAAATTCTGTTGAACGAAATGTCCGGAAGAGGCTGACTAACGAAACGGAACTTATGTAGGCCTCTAATCTTACATATATAACGACCGCCTACTTCATTAGCATAATCAGGTAAAAGCTATATCCAGACGCCATTCGATCTCTGGACAGCTAGGGCGAAAGCAGCAGGATACGAGAAGAAGTGGAGAAAACTATTAGAAGAAGACAGAAGAACCATGTCGAATAGGACCAATTCTTCGTTGTCTGGTCTAATGCCTATCGAATCATTGGTGCCGCTACTAATTGCCTATGTTCTAACGACAACTTTAGCGGTATTTGGAAATAGTTTAGTTATAGTCGTTTTCTCGTGTGGTAGGAGGTCTAGGAGCGATTTAAGAGGCTTTCTTATCAATTTAGCAGTTGCCGATTTAGTCATGGCTATTTTCTGCACACCTTTTACATTTACCCATACGATAATGAACCATTGGCCATTCTCCAATGCCTTGTGCCCGCTGGTTCTATACATGCAACTAGTGTCAGGTTACCCTTTTTTTATTTTATTCTATTTGCTTATCATCACTAATTTTCCGTCCATTTGTACGTTTATCTTTATATCTATCTATTTAATATATTCATTGTTTTCCCTCGGTTTTTAAATGCTTTACGGCGCCTCTCATCTAGCTACTCATATCTATTATTCTTATATAATATTCTGTTTGTTTTTCTTTCTGTTTGGCATGGCATCTATATACTAAATTGTTCAATTTTATCGATGGAGGGCGCTAATGGTTTCTCAGTCAGGTACATCTTTTTTGAATTTGGATACTAGTAGAGAATCTTAAAAAAAATAGAAGAGTAAAAGTATTTATTGGCAGCTGTAATATAACGGAAAGAGTTTGCCATGATTTATCGTGCTTTTGCTACGGCTTCTCATCGGTTAGAATAAGGAATAAATTTAGTTTCCACATATACAAACTCAGTGTGGACAAACAAGAATTTTCATCAAACTAACTATAACATTTGTACTTTTATAGTAAACAGCGAACAATAGTGTCTGTAATGTATTAATTCTGAACTTAAACGTCCCAATTCTTTATTTTTGTATATGTTCCTTTTATTATTTATGTAGTAGGAAAAAAAAAGAGAACTCTATCTTAATAGAGAGGGAGGGGAGAGATCGGTAGAGTTAGAAGCGAAACGAATGAATAGTTTTATATGGAAACCAAACGCACATCTTAAAATTATTATTGTCGTATTTACTTTCGTATTAAAACATAAAGATCTAGATTTAGTAATTTGTAGTGAAATCGATTTTCAAGATGAAGGGAGAGAAGAAACCTTTTCAAAAAATAAAGAAATCCCTCCTTTTAAGGACGCAGGAAGCGGTTATAAAAAAGCACAGCTATTTGCCAAAACTTTTCTATAAATTATTTACAATAACATTTAATTTTATTTCTCTACATCTCCTATACTTTTTCCATTTCGTATCAATAAATGTCTTTTCTTGTTGTCCTCTATTCTTCATCAAGTACTTTCTGCAGTTACGGCTTCTGTCTGCACGAATACAGCACTAGGATTCGATCGTTTCTGGATCGTGGCTTTTCCACTCAAATCACGCCTGACAAAGTCTAGGGTCAAAGTGGTGATACTAATGATCTGGTTGATCGCATTGTCGGCATCCAGCGTTCAATTATTTATTGGTAGAGCCGTAACAAATGGAACAAATACTAAGCCTATTTGCAGGGAAGATTGGGAAGATGAGAAATCGAGACAAATTTATACATTCTTCGTTTTATTGACTACCTACGTTGTACCTTTAACAATTCTTACAGCTACTTACGGCATGGTAGGAGTCAAACTTTGGCAGAGAACGACACCAGGGAATGCCGATCAAGCGAGAGATATGCAGCAGTTAAGGAGTAAACGAAAAGTAAGTTCATTCAAAATTAAAGACTTTTTGTTTGAAAAAGTCGTTATAATTTATTGTAGAAACCGAAAATAGTTCAATACTTCGATTATTTTATAATTATTGACCTTTTAACGAAAATCCTTGCATTGTTAAAATTACCGATAACAAAAATCTCACCCTTATTTTCACGGTCGCACGATTAAAGAAGAGTAGAAGGCCTACTCAAACAGAAAATTTCAACCCACTCACATCCAACTCTTCCAATTTCGCTAACATCTCGTTGAATACTTTGTTATTTTATTTTAGTAATTAAACTACTAAATTCTTGATCATCTCAATTGGTAGCTATGAATTAGCTGCCAGGGGGCACCTCCTTCGGATCTAAATTATGAACGATAAGCGTTAGACATATTTGATCTAGGAGCCCTTAACCGATTATATAACGTTGCAGTTATACTCCAAATGCCCTAACGCATACTAAATGAAGACTTGTCTTGAGTGCTGTCTTATTAGAACCGGAAGCTAGTCATGCGTAATGTTTTTTCTCCTCTTTCCGACCATCAATCAAAGACTGTTTGTAAGTGAATCGCTTTATTTCACCCTTACCTATGCTCCCTCCTCTCTCTTTACTTTTACGTAACACGCAACATTTCTTGGAATTAACGGCTGACAATAAAAAAAAATAGAGTACTGATGAGAGAATCAATTAAAAAAGATTATTATTATATTTCTCATCGAAAAGAGTATACCATCTGGTTGGACTAAGAGTATTTGTGTTTTAATAACTGAAGGCCTATTCATAATTAACAGCTTCTCTATGGCAAAACCAATCCAAGAAAAGTAAACGTTTGATGCTCATTTCTTAAAGTAAGCATTGTAATCCAAGTATTGATAGATCAAAAGGAATAACTGAGTACCCAGGCGTGTAGGACTGTTTCCGCTCCATATGCATAATTCGAGTCAGATGCACTTTAAATAAACTAGGGCTCACAAAAATACACCAATTTATAATCACCATAATCAATTATTGCTTCCTTGTTATTTTTCTTTTCTGTTTTATTTATTCAAAAAATATCAATAAATATTTGAACTAATTCCTTAATTTACAGGTAATTAAAATGTTGGTCGTCATTGTTGCCTTATTCGCTATTTGCTGGCTACCCTTACATTTATTTATGATTGTATTAGATTCTGTTCCCTCATGGACTGTAAGTAAACATAACATAATATCGAATTCCCAAAAGAAATTTTTTATTGGCTTTATAAATTTTCACACTAAAGATATTCTCTAATTACATTTTTTCCGTCTCTTCTTTCCTATAGAAAAAGACGGAATTACAACCTATATTAAATGGTATCTATTACACTGTTCATTGGCTGGCCATGTCGAACAGCTGTGTTAACCCAATAGTATACAGCTTCCTAAACGACAGCTTTCGAGTGAGTACTTAGTTATTAAACACTTACCTGCACACTTCCTGCACGTTTCATGTTCATAATACCCTTAATAGCAACACGAAGATTTAGCCTCCAATTAAATCCTATAAAGTAATAATTTGTTCTAAACCCCTTTATGCTAATCTGACCCTCAAAATATAACACATATTTTATGCTTGTTATAAAAAAGATCAAGACAATTACGTCAATTTTGGTTATGCGGTAACCCCTTAACGATCACATTCTATAAGTTTTAATTTATTCATCCTTTTGTTAAAGGCCGTAAAAAAAGTACCGATAGAATTGCCGATAATTCGGAATAAGACCTCATAACTATTCAAAGCACGTTGGAAGCGTCCCAGTTAGTTAAGGAGGTGAAGAAAAATAAATCGGACTGAATCAGATTATTATTACCAATATAAGTCACATTTTTAGACCCTTTGTCCCCATACCACTAAAGGCAAAGATTCAGATAAAACTCCCCAAAACCACATCCAAAAGATGTTTTTTTTTCAACACCATTTTCTTATCCTAAATTTTTTTCTATTTATCCAATCATAGGCCGATTTGAAGCGTTTAGTACGGAACTGGTGTAATTGCTTTAAGGGACGGAGGGACGGAGAATATGCTAGGACGCTTGTACGTGACTATTCTCGCAGCGATCGAGCGTCTCTGAAAGGCTGTGACACGAATCGGCGTCTCTTGTCAAGTCGTAACCAACACGAAGATGGAGGCGAATTAGGGCAGGTCGTAATCGCTTTGCGAAACGTCGGAGAAAGACAACGCGATTCGGATTTGAATCGACTCTGACAACTTACAATCTTGCTTCTAGGTTAACAGTTGCTTTATAGATAAACATAGATATTCGACTCTTCAAACCTTGAAGAATCTTCTTACTTTACACAAAGTTATTTCAGGACAGAAGACAAGACAGTAGACAGCACGAAGAAAAGGAACATAGCGCCACAAAAATAACCTCATTTTCATTACCTAAAAAGACAAAAAACTACTAATTCTTTCTTCATATCCATTTTTAATGATGAAAGTTGGACGAATTGCAAATAGATTGAGGCAAAATTGTCGAATATCTATGTTCAGTCTGTTTATAAGTTCGTCGTTGTTTTGTGACGAAAGAGAGATATTATAATTTCAGCACAAAGGGCCGATGGAAGGATTCGGTCGCATCTCTACTAACTTGATTGCTTGATGCAAACTGACAAGATATTGATTCTTTGCTCGGTGTGAATCCTAATAATTGAAACAGTTTATATCTCGTAAAAAAATACATAATTGCTAGTCTTTGTAATTGCGTCGAACTCATCACTAAAAGATAAAACAATTGAATTTTTTTTGTTTTACAAGTCTACAAGTATGGATTATCCGTCTCGAAAATAACCTTTCCGGCAAGGATAAGAAGAAGCATTTTTTTTTTAAATCGAATTTCAATTGAATACTTAATCGTCAGTGCAACGAGAACAGGTTAAGCTTTTCCTTAGTAAAACATTACTAAGCTCTTTCTTCTCTCTCTCTCTCTCTCCCTCTCTCTTTTGCCTCTTTATCTCCTTTTTTATAAATCTTTAAAGAAAAACTGCTCAAAAGAGAATAATGCCTAACTTACACATCGTCGATTTGAGGACGATTTTCCTTATCTTACATACTTACAACAATAATTTAACAATAATTGATGGAAGATGTTGTATTTTGTCTAGTATTTATTACATACCATATTCAAGGCTTAGCGCTTAAGCAGGCAATGAAATGTATTTTCAAATCCGATTAATGTTCTGTAGACAAACAAGAGCAAGATCAAAGCTCTTCTTAAAATATCTTTCACTCGACCACGTAAAAGTCTTCCTTTGGCATAGTTTACCTATTAAAACAAGCTTAAGTTTTACATAGGCATGAAGTCAAATAAGCATTTTATTACTATAAATTTAGCAGAGGCATCATCAATTTTTTAAATGAGCGTCACTACTAGTTGTGGAGAGAAATTCAAAAAGTTCCTTTACTTAAGTTTACCTTCTATCTCTTATTTTCATCGCAAAGTAATTAGGAAAAGACTGTAATAAAGCCTCGTCCTCTTCGACCTATCCGAGCAATAAATTGAGTTATAAAACATTTAACAAAAAGCCGGTTCAGGGAAAAGTTACTGTTACAAGTGACTGTAAGATAAGGATATTTTTAACCAAATCGTCCTTGGAATATAAAATAAATCTTATAAAAAATAAACCCGTGATTTCATCTTTTCGGATATATACTGTGATAACGACACCCTTAATGTCTTATTTTAAATATATACACATATTGTATGCACTCTTTATAAACACTCTAGCCTAGAAACACTCTTTATTTTATAGATCGATGGTGCCACCTAGTTGTAGACTTGTAAAAATATCTTAAAACAAGTATAGTTTTCTTACACAGCAGATGGAGCCAGGAGAAAAGTATAAAAATTCTTTTCTTGATAGCTATTAGATACAATTTATTAAAAGAACAACAGAACAAAAAAGTTTATCTAAATAACCAATAAACCTTCACACTCTATCAAAAGTTTAAAAGAAATGAACTCTGAATATTTTTAATATATAGACAACTGAGTACCTTTTTTTTTTCATTTATTAAAATATGAACGAGTTCTGTATCTAATTGAAATTATTAGTATGTTCTAAAGTATAGAATATGTATAAAAGTTCTGCACTGAATTTTTTCACATCAAACATTCTTCAAGAAGAATTATATTTTTATAAATAAACTACTTTTATATAAAAAATAGTCTATATAGTCTATATTTGTATAGCTTTAGTTTTGATTATATACTGTTTCTGAGTTCAGAATCACAAAAGAGCAATAGTTCTTCTATACGACAGGTTTAATTGATATAAACGCTATTATAGATAAATCGTAACAAGGAGATGAGAGGAAGTTGAAAAATGTAGTAAAATTACATACAAACAAGTTTTAATTTAGAATCTATATAAAGTATATATACATATATACAACATGTATATATTTATACATTAATATGTATGATTAATTGCATGTATTCTTATACGATGATCGTGTGCAGCATCGTTGCAAAGTGAATAGTTTTTTAGCAGGAGAATACAGAGAACGAAATTGTTAAGATGAAATGTGAGAGGTTTATTTATTACATGTTTAAATTGATCGCGATTTAATTCATAAACTAATATTGAAGTATACAGTAACACATCTTTCTATATAATAAAAAAATTGAATTGATATAAATAGAGTAAATTATATTTCAATAAAGTAAATTGAGTTTCTTTCTATGAATATACTTAGGACTAAACTTATTTTTATACGCTTCAGTTGGAAGAGGCAGTAAAGCGGTTAAAGGGAATCTCTATTGATCTGTAATAAATCGCTTGAAAGAGTAACTAAATGTAACAAAATGCAAAAGTATAAAAAAAAAAGGAGGGGGGAAATGACAAACAGCAGAAACGTTTTAAATAGAGTGCATCCTTAGAAATGGCGCGGCCAACGCCTTAGAGATTAAGCGGGAGACGCCGCACGCGCGTGTTTGCTTCATCGGGCGTCAGATCAGCGTCAGCGCAGCGTCATTCTGCTTTGAAAAGAGCCGCTTTGTTTTGTCGCGTGTTTGCTCGTGGCTGCATACATAAAAATTGTGGGAAAGAAGCGAGACGACAGATGTCGGTCACAATTAGGTAGAAAAAAACGCGCATTTAGCAAATTGTGTTCAGCCATAGATTAATAGGTGTCCAGTGTTGAAAGCGCCCTCTAACAAGAAGCTTGATTCAATTAGACCTTATAATGTTTTTGTGAGAATTGCTAATTGAAAAGGTCTTTCTCTAGTCTCGATCCTAGTGAAAGTCGAAAGTTTTCGCTTTTATCTTGAGATAAAGAAATAAAGAGGCAATTCGACAGATGTTAGACTTAATTAAGATGAAAATGTGTATTCGTAGAATTTTATACAAACTATATAAAGGTCATATTTCCGTTTTGTGTACAGGTTTCATAATAAACTAGAGAAACAATTTATTTTATAATTCAGTTTATATTTAGCTGGATTGTACTACTATTGTTATGTTATTCTTGTTATTCTTGTTGTTATTTTTATATACTTTTACAAGAAATATTTTCATTTCTATAGAATTTCTCATTCTTCCTTTAATGATATTCTAGTAAATATACCCTTTCTCTTTCCCCCTTCATCCTCCGCTTTTTTTTATGTGTGCACGTATACAACATAATACACCTGATAAATATTCATTAACTATTTGTATTTAGTTCCGGAAATTGCATTGACAAATTGAGGAACTTTTTCTGAACCGTTTCTCAACTATAGAATAAAGAATAAAGGGACCTGATTTTGTTTACGTAACTGATTAGCATGACGCCGAAAGGCGATGCCAACACTCAACGTGTGCATATGCATAATTAAACTTAATGGAAAGTCATTCGTCAATTTTTTTAACTGTAAATCGTTGGCGGTACGTCATTAATTACTTATTACGATTGAATTAGCATATAGAATTGAATGGTAGGAAAAAATCTCTAATTAAGCCTATTGTTTATAAAAAAAAAAGAAAAGTCACACAAACGTATTATGTCTTTTGACTAACTTTGTATTTATTTCAATAGACCTTTCACACGAATAATACACAGTTAATAGTCATATATGTACATGTATATATATACATATAGATATATAGTATATATTAATATGTATATAATTATGCATTAATTAATAAATATGCACAAATACTAGCATATTTTTTAAGTTCAAATGTGATACAAGAGAAAAATTTTTGGGTTTTTTTGTCATTTGTTTTCTTTCTAAAGCATATTTAAGAAAAGAAAGAATTAAAGATAAAAAAGATAGTTTATCAGTGCGCAAAAAGTATATCCTGATTAACGGTTTGTGAGTACAAACGCGATAGTTTACACGATTCGGTCACATAATCGCACAATTTCCGTTTCGTCCTCCGATTCGTCTGCGCTCGAACGCATTTCCAAGTGGGCGGTCGTCGAATGACTTGAGTTTCGTACGCAATTGGCGGTCTTTGAAGCGAATCTGTGGGGTAAAGATAGATTTTTCTCTATTATTATTGTACAGCTTGAGAAAAAAAGGGTAAAAAAAGGTTATAAAAGGATTTGGCAGTGTCTTTTTGTTTCCCTTTTTGAAGGGTAAATTCCTATTTTACAATATGTTTCATATTTATAAGTGAAATTAAGAGAGTGCGAGAGGGCGAAGATTAATTTACACTAATTAATACATTCTGAAAATGCTTTCCCAATTCTCTGTTAATAGCCGATTTGCATTAGTATTTGATGGTCTGAATAAACGAAGTCGGGGAAACTACGACTGAATGGGCTTCATAGGGTTGGAGTAAAGAAAAAAAGATTCTATACAACTTCCGGTCGGAGGAAATGAGAAGCGAGCGCATTCTCTTCAATCATGCAAGAGGCAAATGTCAGACGAGGCACGCCCAGCTGAGCCCTTACCAGGTGCAAGGGCTTCCCTAAAGCCTCTCGTTTAATGAGCTTTCGAATAAATAAACGCCTCGTATGGCGCTCGTCTTCCACCCCACCCTTCGATCTCTCGCTAACCAGCCCAAACCCCACCCATTACACTCTAAATTTATACTCAGTCCTCGATGCGTTCAACTAATTAACAACGAACGTTTTTCCTCTCGTTTAATTACTTTTTGAGAAGTGACAAGAGTCGTTTTCTCAGCTTTTCTCTTTCTCATTTAAGATCTAGCTTTACTCTCTGTAAAGCTTTATAAAAGATAAACCCCATTCCTCTATTTCTATTTAAATATACATAGATAAAAATATCTCTTTTTGCTCATATAACATTATATATGCATTGTACTCGTGTATGCACTTTCGGGAAAACGTTTTGTTAAACAGGTGTTGTAGCGTTTATGTTGTCCAAATCGAATTGCTCGACAAACGCCAGGTGCGAGGCGCGTAATAGAGAATCAGCTCGAGTTCACCTTCGTCACGACGTTTACGTCTCTTATTTGTATACCGTATACAACTACACATATATACACAAACCGGCATTAAATTAATTCCTTCCGTTCCTTTTAGAAATAGTCTGAATGGAAGACATTGTGAAAAAGTGAAAAGAAAAATCTATCTTATTTCTTTTCTTTTCACCTAATAATCCTTATAACAGATGTTTACTGATAAAAGGGTGAGAGCGAATTTGGGTTAGTGAAAGGAGAAAAAACTAAGGGGAGGAAAGATTAGAGATATCTTTTACAAGATAAGAGGCAAACGGAAAGCAATATAGGCCTATTATAACCAAAAGCTCCTCTCTTTTACTATAAACAATATTAATGGTTATGAAACATATTACGAAATAAAAAAATATAAAAAAGGAAAAGTTAGAGCTTTTGAAGTGGTTAATGGCTCTACGGATTATTCTATACGGCTAAGTGTCGGCTGTCCATACCGGAGGGCTTATCCCATCATTGGCAATTTAATACGACATACGAAAAAAGAAGGATCGGAAGACAGACAAGAGCACAGACTATAAGTTAAAACGAAAGCAGAAAGGAAAGAAATAAGAAAGAATGGAACCTTTGCGGTAAAGTAATACGATTTAATCAGTTTTAGTATAGGCTTTAAGTCATTCACTCAAATAATAGCGTTAAAAGGATCGTACCCTTAAACTATGAAAGAATTTTTTAATAATGGACTGCCACTGCGATAGGGGCGAATAGATGTGACACAATTAACGTTTGTTTTTTTTTAACCATTCAAATACGGGTAAGATAGGAGAGAGGGGAGAGAAGGGCAAACGAATATAAGAGACGAATCACGTGACACTGGCGTTATTGCTCTTTTTAGAGGGGGAAGGAGAAATAGTCAAGATTGTATATTAGTAGCGGAGATGAATAAAAAGAGACACAGAGTGGCAATGAATAGCAAAGAGGGGAACGAGGGAAAAGAGAATGCGAAAGAGAGAAAGAGTGATAGACTGAGTGAGTGAGTGAGTGAGTGAGAGAGAGAGAGAGAGAGAGCTCGTTCGATATTAAGCATTCGTATCAGGTGTCACGCTGCTAGAAGCTTTCGAATGCGTAATAAACGAATCGAACGCATCGCGTTAATTTCCTACTAGACATAAAACAGTCTGGCGGGCGGCCCGCGGCGTTCGAAATGGCGCCGGAATGTTTTTTTTTTGTCCTTCCACCTCCCCACTCACCTTCTCATGCGATTTTTATACCACCCGTTTTCGATTTTCATCACTTGCACTCTAATACGGCCTCACTTATGTACTATATGATCTTCTAATCCTACAGACATGCTTTATATACGTCAATGGCAACGTATAATGTCATCAAATATATGAGTCTTGAGAAATATCTATCAAGATCCATCCAATATAAGTTTTTATAGATTTTCGTGTAAGCATATTAAGTCAACATTGGACACTTTCAGTACAATATATACGTATAAAATACGTATTTATATATATAAAGATACAGCCTTGTATAATCGGATTCTGTAAAAGCTATCAATCTCTCCCCACCCCTTCGTCCCCCACCCCTCTCTTTCTTTCTCTCTTCCTATAAACGCCGCCCTGATATTAAGTAGATCTTTTTTATTAGTCGATCACGTGACCTACTCTTGCGTAACTGCACGCCTTCTCTAAATACCGCTACTATTGTTAAGGAAAACAAAAGGTTATAAAGACTTACCGATCAACGTCATCAAGTATTCGATTTCAGATCGATGGACGTTTGTCAAATGATTTGTAGGTCTAGTCGGTACAAACAGCAACGGTGATAGATTGTTTGGTTGTTGGGGTTGAGTCGGTTGTGCTGGTGGTGGTGGTGGTGGAGGCGGAGGAAGGTGATGAAGCGGCAAAGCTATTCTTAGGGCTTGTTCACTCTTGTCCCAGTCCGGAAATTTACTATAGTCAATTTCGTATTCGACCGACGTATCGACGCTTAACGGTTGATCGAACGGCACGGTCGGCCGATCTTGAGACGTTCTGCATGGAAGAGGTTGATTCATACAAGAACACATCTCCTTAATTTTCTCTATCCTTTCGTTATCACTTCCTTTCCAATCCTTCGGTCTTTCTTTCTTCGTCTATTTAGTTATCTGTCTTGCTATCTATCTCACGCTCACTCACTCGATCGTTTTCTCTATCTCTCTCACACACTCTTTCTCCTTCTGAAAGCTGCAGTGTAACTGAAAGGAGTTGAGTGGAAGGCGCCCCCTGCTGGACGATCGGAACCCGCCAAGTAATTCGTTCCATTAGCGGCGGAGAATAATGGCAATGCGTACATTTGACATTTAAATCGGTGTGAAGGGGCTAAATCTGGTTATTACATAATGTTTTTAAAGCCGATCTCACATCTCGAGTTTCTTCATTGGATCAAACTAACCATAGTCTAAATAAATAAACTACTGTACATCTAAGTAGAAATTATATGTGATTTTAGATAGGCCTAAAAGCTTGAGATTAATAACAAAAATGCTTTTTGTACATACAATAATAATATTACTAGTTGTAATAAAGCATAAGATCATATATTATATTCATCTTTTATCACATTAAATGTGTTTAAATACAGTCAAAGTATTATTTACATAATCTGAAAAATGAAAATAAAGACTCAATAATCTATCTGATTGCTCTTTTATTTCAATTTCACTCAGTCACTCTCATTCGTTTTTAATACATAAATACTGTCTATTTGTTTATATATAAAGATATGCGTATAAAACGTACGAGAGAAAAAAAAAGAAAGGGAAGAGGGAATGAGAGAGCTTTGCATTATACGATTTGAAGACACTCGACCGTGCGTTAATTAGCTTCTTCGTCATGCATGAAATTAAACGTTATAAACGAAATTATTGAAAAAATTTCTTATTCTATGTGTTAAAAACATAAATTTATTGAAGGAGAATTTTTGAACGAACAAGGAGTAATCTTCGGGGCGTGACCTTGGATGATCATTAGTCGAGTATTTTATGAAAGAGAATAAGAGAAGTGATGAGGACGGTTTACTCGAGAATAAGAGTCGTTGGTAGGTAAAGTGCAATGGAGAAGAAAAGGTCCATTTAAGGATAGCTAGTTTAAAATACAAGAAGACGTGTCGACGGGGGGAGGGATGAGGCCTTTCAAAAGAGAGCAGGAAGGAAAAAACAGGGCACTGCATGTATATAACGAGCGTCAGCCGTGTCAGGCGCGCGTCAGATTGGAATTTTTTTCACTGCTGACACTCGGAAAACGGGCACGTTTCTTTATTATTCTTCCTTCCACTTATATTGCCTCCGCCTGACGTCACACTGGCACACCCTGTCGCATGCATACAATTAGTGCAAAGGGAATATATGTCTGGTGTGAACACTCCTTGGTAATTATTTTACTAAAAAATTATCTACAAAGTATTAGTATATCTTCTACTCATTGATTCAACTTCAAGCTCAATATTCTAGTATTCCTTACATCCTCCACTCTCAATTATAGGCAATGTCTTGCAATTATATAAAGAAACGCTAATGCATAGATGATAAAAAGTATACATGTAAAAACATATATCTATGGTATATATTAATACATTTTGTAGAATATATATAGTCATTTTACATTCATCTTATTTAAAGGAAGGTATATATTTAGTCTTTGGGCATTACGAAGAACATGGTATATATATATATATATATATATATATATATATATATATATGTTTATGTGAAAGTATAGAAGCGTGCATGTCTTCTGGCAGTATTGTAATTCTGTATGCGAATGGCTGACGGTTCTGAGCGAGAAAATTACATGTATATACCATAGATAAACAGTCTATAGACGTTCAACTAACAACTCGATATATGCGTGTATAGACTGTATATACACATGCAGATCCCCCATTAGCGTATATATATAAGATTCTTAAAATATATAAAAAAGCACGAAAAAGACTAATGTTAATTAATCTGTATATTCGAGTGAAATCAGTCAGTTAAAGTAAGGAATTACGTAATAGGATGCTAACGAAGTAAAAAAAAATCTCTTGTCCTTTGTATTAATTTATCATTACGTTCCTCTGTCAAGTTAAACGAGATGTACTAACCGGCTTTCACTTGCATATCGACATACATGAGGGGGTATTAAAAATTCTCAAGCGTTTTTAATTATCTGGACAAGGCCGGGTAAGCTTTCGATTTATAGAAGTGGTGGGTTGTATAAATGAGAGTGACTGTTGCAATAATAAAGATTCGGTTATTTAATTTCTTTATGAGATATTTAACATGGAATAGGAATGTTACATACATATAAAAATGGATAAAAACTGAATGAATGAGCTTCTATTATAGCTGGAGGACATTGTACAGGGCCACCAGCTATCATTTTGTTCACTATTAAGTCTTGAATTTTAAATGACCAGCTGTGTGCATAGAGAAAAAGAAGGGGGAAATGGGAGTTTGATATTTCTTTCTTTGCTATTGTGTTAGCAATTATACCTAAATTTTCTCATCGATTATTGGATTGTCAAATGTCTAAAGCTTAGTCATCCGACTATTTCTATACATAAAAAATATATAGTTTATATAAACGTATATATTGTCTGTAAACTGAAGCTTTATTGCATATAGGAGCAATTGCCTTCCATAAATCCTAAATGTCTATTATTATATAGATGAAATCATATAACGTAATTATATATTGTAAACATCATTAATTCAAAGTATTTTTCTCCTAATTATTAATTATTCTATTCATTTATAAAGGAAAATACCTAATTTGGCACCTTTTCGTGCCTTTTATCCGTATGAAAGTGTTAAGTAATAAATTGGGTACAAGAATTTCGAAATTGTCTGTATTGCTTCTCCTTTTCTTTCTTCGGTACAAAAAAACATTCACTGCTCAAAGTCTTTCGACAACCTTTAATACTTTACCCTCTTATCCTTTTACTATTATTATAATATACACCTAGTATAAAAAACGATTGAAATATAACGTCCATAACTCTGAAAGGCTAAGAAGTAGGCGTTTTCCTTTCTCAGTCACAGATACATGACATACATACTCGGTCGTCCGAATAAATAATGCATGGAACGTACACGGACTGTACGCTTCCACTAAGAAACGCTTTTTTTGTTCGATAAGGCGAATGCAACGGGCTGATAAGAGCAAACAGGACGTACAGTCCATTACAATCACGAGATAAAGGCGCTTCTGGTGTCGACGTGTCTCGTGAAAAAAAAGTGTCAGAGCCTGGAGGGCAAAACCGCCGCCATAAACGTCTCTCTTCTATTCTCTACCCATTTCTAGCTCACTACCTTTCACTACATTTTATCTTTTTCATTTTCTCCATACCCTATCCCGCATCCGCTTTACGCCTCTCCGCTACCCAGCACCTGCCATTAAAAGCTCCCTTTGAAGATTGAGCCGACAAATTATGAATATTCATTAGATTAGTTGTATGATTTGCATATATCGGCTCTGATTGGTTCGCGTCCCGCCTACGGCACTTGTTGAATGTTAATGAGAGTTGGAAGATTGCCGTTACATAGTACCCCTTTTAGTACTTTAGTCTATATGCTGTACCGATTTATTTGCATACGTGCACTTACAATGGGCTCAGTGAATAGGCTGTTCTTATTCTCTTGCACTTATTGAATATTAATGACATTCGCGTTTTACAAGGCACTCAACCGATATCTTGTTAATTGGGATATTTAAAACGTCAAACTTACAAAGTTCAGGGTCTTTTCGTATTGGAACTAACTCAATATTCAAAAGCACACCCCTCATTTTCGCAGTTTGTCTTTAATAGAGCCTGATGCCATGAAAAAAATCCGTATACAATACCCTTTTATACAAATAGTCACGTAATATTGTAAATGCTTCGAATATTCCTAATCGCCTTAAAGAAGAATGAGGTATACACGTACAAGTATAACAACCTATGAATTTTACTCAGACTTCATTCCATATCCATTTTATATCAACTTGACGTAAATATTAGTATGTACATGTATATATATATATATATACTAAATTCTGTCTGTAGGACGATATACAGTTTTTATATGCGTGTGTGTATGTGTAAAAAGAAAGCTGTCCTACAAATTAAAGTGTATATTAACATTTATCAAAATAGTATATACTGTATACATTTCATATTTATGTAGACATTATAAATATGAATCTTTTGTATAAAATGCTTATATAAAGATATAAATATACTTGTACGTATTCTATATATAAGATATATATATAAAATTTATATATATATACTGTATATCATACTAATATATACAATATAGACTATATACTTTATATAGCATATATATTTAGACTAGTATGTAATGTATATTTGTAGAAACGTTAACTATTATTCCCTATTTCACATATATCCTTTTAAGTAATTAGAAATCATTACTTATTTATTCACTGTTTACAGACATATACATTGAATAGACAATCGACTTCGGCAGCGCCCTTTGACGTCGACTTCGATTCCTCGTCGTCTATCCGCAATGATTCTTGACTTTCACTGTAAATGCAAATTTGGCATTTGTAAATGACGTCAGGGCCGTTCGTGAATATTCTCCGTCAAGTTCATTTCGTGTACGCAATTAATACTATATATATGAGACGGCGTCACGGCGTCTCTATTATAGTCGTTCGTTCAATTACTACAGACGACACGGAAGAAACGTGAGGCTACTGTAAAATGTCTATAGGAAATATATTCGATGGCATTTCATCTTCCTGACAAAAGATCATTTTTCTCCTGCCTGATTTTTATTAACCGCAGTATAAGAGTACTTATAAGTTTTAGGGAAGAATGAAAGATTATTTTCATGACCCGTCTACCTTATTTGAATTAAACGCCAGATGTTTTCTTCGTAACATATGTTAGGAAGAAGATAATCGGCTTATGTATTTCAAATAATTACATTCAATTCGTTCTTTTCTCCACTTTTTTTTCTCAGCGCAAGTTAAAATAGGCCTATTTTGAAACTCTATAATATAAATGACTTAACTATATAGAATTTAAAAATTATAATTATTAGTTTATTAAAATTGTTTAATGTATAGATTATATCCTATTTAATCGTTTCATTGAGTATATTCTTTATCTTAATATAAGAATATCATTTTTTTTAACTTGATAATGATTATTAATAAATATTTGAGTTTTTATTAGTGAAATTCGATAGTAAATGTGATAGAATAGGGTGTTTTTAAGTTTAAAATAATTATATTGCAAGTCGTGCTACTGCGTATTATGGGGGCTATACACTGGCGAATCGTTCGTCATATAAAAATGTCACAAGTGATTCGATATAGAACGAGCGTTGGAGACGAGGAATGTAAGTGACGTCTGCAAATGACGTCTGTGTTATTATTATGCTGATAGATATGTGTAGATAAACAGTTACTTCTTTGTTCCGCGCCGTTTCGTTATCTTAACTCTGTCCGTACACTAATTGACTACCCTTTTCCCTTTTTTGTCTACTATAATGTCTTTATTTTCCCTTTTTTTCTATTCGTTTATTTTTTGTCACTTTATCCATAATTGATAACATGGATATAAGGATCCGTAAGACGCCATCTGTGCGACAAGGACTATTAAAGAACAGGTGGTGATCAAATACGAAGTGAGACCGTTATATACTTCATTCTGTTTATATTATAGCTACTTGAATATTATTAATTGCTATATAAGCCTTAAGTGATGTTTACAACAATCAGTAGTGATGAGAAATACTACAATATAATAGCTGATTCGATATCGCTCAACTCCAATTATAAAAAAAGAATGGTAGATTTTCTGTCATTTCTGTAGAGAGATAATACTGAAGAAAAATTCACGAACTCCTTTATTGATCGTATAAGATAAAGAGGCCAGCAACTGACCTTCAGAGATTGTTTCTTAAAATCTATTACTTTTATCTGCAAGCGATTACGATTGGAGTTTAGATCTTTGGCGACACAGTACATTAATTAAAAAAATAAGGTACATAAATAAAAAAAACATTCCTTTATTAAAGTTTGTTATTTTCTTCTTTCCCAGTTTGTTTTCTACATTCAGACAATTAAATTGGCTAGAAAGTAGATTGATAATACAACTGAATGCTTTTTTTTATCTTCATCAATGGTTTATTATCTTTTAAATTTATTTATTATTTATATTCATTAATTTTCGTAGTGGAATTAATAAAAATCTTTATCGACAAAAAAAGATAAAAATTAAAGGCAAAATTCGAGCTCAATCGCATTATGAATTACTAATGTTATCTCATTGAGATTACCACCTAGTGATTAGTTTTTTCTACAGAGAGATAGAGCATTTGATCAAAGACTCATCAAGAATGAACAACGAAGAAAGTATTAAAAATGAAAAGGACGAGTTGGATGAAAACTTGGATCAAGAGACAGGAACACCATGGAAGGGTTAGTATTAGCTAGCAACTTTGATTACATAAATTGCTCCTATATTATTTATATAGTTAAGTTAAATAAGTAAGTGTAAAAGCTTTATAGTAAATTAGGTGAGTTTTAAGTAATATTAATAATTCATTTATTATATTATTTAATTATTAAGTTCTTATTCAATTTAGAACTGGATACTAAAGGAAAAGTTTTAAGGGTTTTAATGACAATTGGCCGTATAATATGTGTATTTGGTTTATTGTATTTCTTCGTATGCTCAATAGATATAATGAGTTCAGCTTTTCAATTAATTGGAGGTTTGTAATAAATTTAATATTTTCACTAAATATCATATAAGTTTATTAAACTACTTATTTTAAATGTTTGCTTAATTATAACGGTTTTTATTACTCAGGTAGAGCTGCTGGATCAGCCTTTAGAAACAGTAAAATTTTAAGTAATCCGGTTTGTGGTTTAATGATTGGAGTAATTGTAACCGCCCTATTACAAAGTTCATCTACAACTACCTCAATTATTGTAGCTATGGTTTCCTCTAATCGTAAGTGATGTTATAGTTTCAAGCAGAAATATACTCATATTGGCGCCATCTAGAAAATTAAGATATAATAATTATGACCATATATCCTAGAAGGCAGTGACCTATGAGTCGTAATGCTTCAGATATAAAGATATGAATTAACGACAACTTTCTATATTACTTTCAGTTATGACGGTTCGCATTGGTATCCCTATAGTGATGGGTGCGAATATTGGAACGTCAGTTACTAGCATCATAGTTTCGCTCTTCCAATCGGGCGACAGGAATCAATTTCGAGTAAAAAATACATATATTATCCCCTCCAACTTTGGCGTGCATTTTTTTTCTCGCGAATCACTAGGGGCCACTGATCTTTGACCTATGATGATCTATTTTCCCGCCTATAAAAACGAGCTATTTCCTACTCCACATACCATTTCTCCCACCCCTAACCCTCCCCCTTTTTGCCTCCCACTCCTTAATATTTTAAACTATCGTAATCTCAAGATCTCTTCAAATGTTTTTTATTCTTTTCAGAGGGCTTTCGCGGCAGCTATAGTACACGATATGTTTAATTGGTTAGCTGTAATTATTCTACTTCCGATTGAAGCCATTGCACATCCTTTGGAAAGGCTAACTTATCTTATGGTTAAGAATATTAAATCTCCACCTCCAACTGCAGCGCCAAAATTTCTTAAAGTTATCACATCTCCTTTAACTGATAAGATAGTACAAGTAAGTGTAGTCTTTATTCACTTGTGAAAACAATCTTTCTTCGTATGTTGTTAAGGCGAACGCCATCTGATGTTTAAGGATTAAATATTATTGAAATTATGTTATGAGTAATGAAAAAAGCACCTTATTTTTTTAATGTCAAATTATCTCTTTAGTCCTGGTTTAAGAATGCTAATGTGATATATTTTTTTAACCTTAAACAGATTGATAGGCAAATTGTTGAGTTCATTGCAAGCAAAGGAAACGTCACTGCAGAATTTAATAAAAGATGGCCCTTATTGAAATATTGGTGTGATAAAGATATTCCCAGCATTACTAACTGTACAGTTATACCAACCAATGAGGTTGACTCATTTAAAAATCGTTTAAGTGATATTCAATGGGCTTTTGATTACAAAGAGAATATGAGTTGTTCTCAACTTTATCAAGCTGGTATTTTTAGGAGAAACTCCTCTTCGACATCTATAGAATGGAAAATAGTTAATGAAACAATCGCACAGAAATGTAAGATAATTAAATGAATAGAAAAAATTGTACATCAAATTGAAATAAGGTCGCAATTAAATGTCCATTTTTCGTTTTTCAGGTAAATATCTCTTCCACGGACAAGGTATAAAAGGATCAAAATTGAATGAAGGTGCTTCTGGAGCAATCTTATTGGCATGCTCTTTACTAGTTCTTTGCGTGTGTTTGGTTTTGATGGTTAAGACTCTTAGTGCTCTGATGAAAGGTCCTCTTGCAGGCGCTATAAAGAAGACAATAAATGCTGAATTTCCAGGAAAATTTGCCTTCTTGACTGGATATTTAGCTATTCTCATAGGAGCTGGTTTAACTGTTTTGGTTCAAAGCTCTTCAGTTTTTACTTCTATGTTAACACCTTTAGTAGGACTAGGGATAGTTCATTTGGAAAGAGTCTATCCCCTAGAACTCGGAGCTAATATCGGGACAACGGGTACAGCGATTCTTGCCGCTCTTGCATCCACAAACGTACAAAGATCTATGCATATAGCTCTAAGTCACTGCTTTTTTAATATATTCGGGTTACTTCTGTTTTATCCTATACCTGTTACACGGAAAATTCCAATTGGAATGGCAAGGTATTTAGGAGATGTAACTGCTGAGTACCGTTGGTTTGCAATTTTCTACTTAATATTGGTTTTCCTCATAATTCCCGGTATTGTATTCGGATTATCGATTCCAGGATGGTACGTGTTGTTGGCTGTTGGCGGTCCAGTTGTTATTTTCATAATTGCTCTCATTGTTATAAATATTCTGCAACGAAAGAGACCGCAAGCGTTACCTGAAAAATTAAGGAGTTGGGATTTCCTTCCCAAACCACTCAGATCATTAGAGCCGTATGATCGATTAGTATTTAGAAGTTGTAATTGTGCTTGCTGCAAAAAGAATGACAAAGTCGAAGATTTAGAAACAGCCAATTCAAAATCAGAAGTTGAACTTAAGAAACCGATATCAACAATATCTAACGGTGTACATCCAACAAGTAACGGAATACGAAATGATGTGTTGTAAATAAATTGACGATTTTTATAATACTAATAAATTATATAAATATTCAAATGTTGAAAAAAAAAATATGTTCGCAGGTCGCAAAAGTTCATAAAAAAGAATGTTTTATTTATACGTTACGTAATATACTTGTATTTATTTTACAATAAAGTTTTTTCTATTCCCGTTTAAGTAAATTGTTAAATAATTAGTCATCTTTATCACACTTTATAAAAATAAAACATTAATATTTATTACTTCCTTTAATGCGAAAATGACGAAATTCTTTAAATAGTTTCATTAACATATATTAGATCATTATTATTTATAAGTTTAAAAAAAATTCGTTAACTACTTACTTACTATAAGATATAAGTGTATTGTTTTTGTTTATAGCTTAATTCAGGGAAATCGGGTCTTGTTTTAAAGTGTAAATTTCAAGTGAACGACTCACGTGAAACATTGTACTTTGTATAAGAAGATCAGTTTTTGAAAGGAAATTAAACTTTCTACATATATAATATACATTACGCAATAATTTTCCTGACACATTCTCACATCGTCCGTTTAATTTCCATTGTAAATGCTTAATTTATCCCATTTAAGTAAATTTACCTGTTCATATTAGCTATCCTTTGGTGCATAAATTGAAATCTTTCCTTCTCGATTGACAACCAATGTCGAACATTTGCATAATACTAATCTCGTGATTTTCACTGGTCTTTCACTCATGACTAGTTACAAAATCTGATCAAATATAAAAAGCGTGTGCTAGACCAGTAATGATAAAAGCTAACAAGGAACCGAGACGATTTCCTTTTTAGTTATTTACCTCTTTTGAAACGATAAAATAATACAATTTTTCCATTGTTTCTTAGGCAAATAACAATGGATAATAGCAATAAAAGTATTAGCAAACCAGATATCAAAATTCAAATCGATGAAGATGTTTGGAATTCCGTAAATGAAAACTTGAATACAGATGTAAAATGGAGTGGTAAGATTAACTTAATCAACTTTTACTTCTGTTTTTATAATTTAACAAATGAATGAATAGAATAAATTACATGTAATAATATTTCCTATAGAATTGAACAAGAAGAAAAAGGTATTGAGGCTTTTTTCAATATTTCTCAGACTCTTACTTGTTTTGGGGTTTCTCTATTTGTTTGTTTGTTCCATTGATATTCTTAGCTCTGCATTTCAATTACTAGGCGGTGAGATTTTTACTCAATTATAGTTCTAAAAAAGTTTCTCGTTTGAAATAAATCTTATTTGAATAGGACGAACTGCTGGTTCAGCTCTAAGAAATAATAAGATATTGTCTAATCCCGCCTGCGGTCTCGTAATAGGCGTTCTCGTTACGGTTTTAGTTCAGAGTTCATCAACATCCACCTCTTTGATGGTCGCTATGGTATCAGCGGGAAGTAAGTTGTAAAGTTCAATGACATATTTAATATAGGACTAAAAACAAAAACTTTTATATTTTCAGTAATTTCAGTTAGGATGTCTGTTCCTATGATAATGGGGGCAAATATAGGTACATCGGTGACAAACACAATTGTTTCCCTCGCTCAATCGGCAGACCGAAATCAATTTCGGGTTCGAATAAATTTTAAATATATTCCATGCTTTCTATATCAAAAATAACAATAAAAAACAGAGAGCCTTTGCCGCTGCTACTGTCCACGATATGTTCAACTGGTTGTGCGTACTTATTCTTTTACCTATCGAAGCTGTTGGTCATCCTTTAGAACGTTTAACCAGTATTATTGTTAAGAAAATTGACAGATCCTCTGATTCATCAAGCCCGAAATTTTTAAAAGTCATTACTTCACCCTTCACTGACAAAATTGTACAGGTATTTAACGCCAAATTACAGCATACTCTGTCTGCTAAATCTTATATGTTCCATTATTTTCTTTTAGATTGATAAAAAGATTATCGAATATATTGCCAAGAAGGACGATCCAGTAGCAGAATTTAATAAACGATGGCCTTTATTAAAGTATTGGTGTGATAAAAATATTCCTACTATCTTTAACTTTAGAGTTCTCCCAAATTCCAACGTTGACGCATTTCGAACAAATCTGACAAATATTCTTTGGGCAAGAGATTATAAACCTTATCCTCTTAGTGATAATGTACAAACTAATGTAACTTGGAATATTGTTGATGAGGCTAAAGCGAAAAAATGTTCATATTTATTCCATGGTCAAGGCATACCAGGAGCTCGTCTCTCAGAAATTGTTTGTGGTATCATTTTACTAATTTGCTCCTTATTCGTCCTTTGTACGTGCTTAGTCTTGCTGGTTAAAACTTTAAGTTCACTAATGAACGGGCCACTAGCTAGTGTCGTTAAGAAAACTATAAATGCTGAATTTCCTGGTAAATTTGCTTTCCTCACTGGCTATTTAGCAATTTTAGTCGGAGCTGGAATGACAATTTTAGTTCAAAGTTCATCAGTTTTTACCTCCATGCTTACACCTTTGGTTGGGATGGGAGTTGTTCAACTTGAGAGAGTTTATCCTTTAACTTTGGGAAGTAATATTGGTACTACTGCAACAGGTATACTAGCTGCGCTGACGTCTTCCAATGTTAAGAATACGATGCAATTAGCGCTATGCCATTTATTCTTCAACATTATAGGTAATTAATGTTTTACAATTACTTAACAACAAGATAACTTGTATAAATTATTCACTATTTTGTAATTTAAATGAAACTTTAATCGAATGCAGGACTGGCGTTATTCTATCCTGTTCCATTTACAAGAAAGATTCCCATAGGTTTAGCAAAAAAGTTGGGTAACACAACAGCCCAATATAGATGGTTTGCTATTGCCTATTTAATTCTCTTGTTCTTTATTCTACCTCTCGTAGTCCTTGGACTATCCGTTTTGGGCTGGTACGTTCTACTTGGAGTTGGGGGCCCTATATTTCTTTTTGTGATCTTTGTGATTGTTGTTAATATTCTTCAAGATAAACAATCAAAAATTCTTCCAAAAATACTTCAAAATTGGAATTTCCTACCAAAACCACTAAGATCTCTAGAACCGTATGATAGAGTGCTGATGAAGATATCGAAATTGTTTCAAGAAAGTTGCTGTTGTGAACGATGCGGTAACAATAAAATAACAAACTTCAAGAAAAATAAAATCTTGCCATCTACATAAAAGGAAAGAATCATGATAAACCTGCATTCCTAATCGATTCTCCATCACAGAACACTTCTAATTTATTGCCTTTCTCATTATTTATGAAGTAAATATGCTGTAAAAAAGTAAAGAAAAGAAAACAAAGCGAAAATTCAATTTTGACATTTTTTGGTCTCCTGGGACTAATTTTTCTTTAGGCAAAATCAGCTCAAATTCCGCTTAGTTCGGCTAGGCAGAACTTTTAAATGTCCAAGGTGTTGAAACTATTAAGTAAAGGTTCTACAACACCCTTCAGGGTTCAATTAAAAACAATTTATACCTCTCGAGTAAACATTAATTTGACATAGGTATTAGCCTTCAAGGGACTGATGCAAAACCACCTGGTTAATCTGGTCAATTGTCAAAGTTTTTACTTGTTCCCTCGATTAATGAGCTACATATGAAATGAATTAATAAAAATCACATTTTTATCAAATAAAACTATTCCTATGTGGCTCACAAATTTTTTTTATTTAGCTTATCTTTTTTAACAGTTTTTTACGACCTGACTAATTCAATAAGAGCTGCGCTTTTTACTTTTCAATACATAATATGTTTTATCGAGTTATTTTCATTACGTCTGCTTCTAAATTCAAATATAATTTAAAATTTTATAACAGAAATATCTGATACTATCACCTGAGTGGTACAACATTGACAAAAAATATTCTACCGATAGATGGCATACAGTCCTATTCAACCTACTATGATCTAACTACTATCTGGGATGTACATTTACATATCAACGCAAAAATAAGGTGACAATCACAAGTCATCAAGTACATTATTTTAGTATAATCTGTTATTTTTATTTACTGATAAGCCATTTAAAAGAAAGCTTTAACTCTATTTTCATTATTTGTTATGGAACTAAAGAGTTTGCTCGTTTTTATTCTTATTTTTTACAGATAACTTAGTCATTCTCATTTTTTATTGTTGCAATTCTTACATAAAAAAAATGATTTGATATTTACAATTATTTTGATAAAGATAAGAGATAAAGTGAAAAGGAGGGAAAAATTATGATTTCTATTTTACTTAAACATTACAATTTATTATTTTTTCTAAATTTAGAATTAAGTACAAATTAATTAATGTTAGAGAATTGATATCAGAATTTTTAATATTTGTACAGATAAAAAGGGAAATGACAGTATATAGAGATAGAGAGAAAGAGAGAAAGAGAGAAAAGCAGATAGATAGACAGACCGAGGGGAGAAAGAGATTGGAACTAAATACGTTGGAGGTATATTCTCTTTTAATTATGCTTCAATACTATATATCTGTATTGTATAATGAAAAGAGATTTTGGAAAACAAGCGTAAACAAAAATTGCAAATCTCTATTTGGAATGTAATTGAATATGTGAGTGGGATATGATCAATGATCAGCCATTCTTGTCCTCTTTCACAAGCGTGGGTAGAAAAAAAATCCAAAAGAATATTGATAAAGAAAAAAGAGAGCTTAAAATAGAAGGTCAAATAGAAGGATACAGTTGTAAATCTAATTTGATCTCTATCTCGTTTTAGGTCGATTTCATTCTTAAAATTAATAATTTTCTTATAATATAAAATCTAATAAATTGATCTTTTCGGTTAATGTTGAAATATTGTACAACTTTATATAGATTGTATATATTTTTAACAATATACATATATAAAGATTAAAAAGAAGATACATCTGCAATGATTATCAACTATCTAATAGATTTAATCTAATTATAGAGTACAAAAAGTAACAGAAAGTCGTTTTTCATAACTAGCATTACGTTGCTCATTGTGGATCTAATAGAAATAAATTCCTAAATGAATAGAGAAAATACTTGACAAGGTTTCCCTTGAAAACACTCTGTCTAGAAAATGTTTCCGTTCCCCGTTGACTTTAAGAGCTTTTTCATTGATACTACACGAACAAGATTTTCTTTTATTATATTGCTAATTAACTCAAGATACTTAGTCAATACTTTTATGAATATTGATATTAATTTTAAAATGTAAACATTAATAAGTGAAAGATAACCGTAATTTCTTTTATATTAGTCTATCTAATGTTTAAAATGTTATCTACGTCATATTCTTTCGTATATATCTGATCAATTATTTCGATACTTTTAATTATCCTACATCCTATTTTTTTCTACTATGTTATGACATGCGTAGAATACGATAGAATTTCCATATTGTAACGGCTTTCTGGGAAACTGGAGTCGAAGGCATAAAGTTGAAATAGTAAATTGTACTCCTACTAACTAAAACTAACAATTCATTAGTTAGAATTGAATAAAAACTAAGAATCTAAAAGAAATTAATTCGTAAAGGAAGAATGAGTGTTGTTTTCATATTATTAGTATTCATACGTAATTACAATAGGATGACAAGTAACGCTAGTCTACATGTATCGGAAAAGTAAAATACAAGCATTTACATTCCTTTTGTACCATTATTGCTTATATACTGTGAGCAAACAAGCTGCCCATTAAACAACCTTTTACGTATTGAGTCAAGTCGAATAGCAGTGACGTCCTTCATTCTAGGCGTCTCTTAGCTCAAACTGTCATTCGACACAATGATCGACAACGATACAGACCAGCTGGAAGGCAATTTAACTCGACAATACTTAGAAGATATAAATGGAAAATGGGGATATCGGTATTATTTTAGTCTACTTGTTGAAGTTCCTATAGCTATCTTTGGTTTGGTCTGCAACATCATCGCTTTCATCGTCTTAACAAAGCATCCAAATTCTTTAACAACAAATCTTTTATTAAAAGGGATAGCTATAACTGATTGTATTGTTTTAGTTTCCTACTTTTGTATATATCCTCTTGATAATGTGTCTGCAAAAAATTGTCATGCTGCTATATATATATCAGTTCTCCCTTTTCTTTTTGTTTTACTCTATCCGTGCCTTTATGCAGTTCGCCTAATCGGCTCTTACTTACTATGTCTTCTTGTGTTTGACAGGTGGTATGCGGTGTCACAGCCGCTACATGTCTATAGAGTTTGTTCTGTATCAAAAACCAAACGATATACGATAATAATTTTAATTGTATCAATTATTTTTTCAATTCCAAGATTTTTTGAGCATGAAATAGTTTTAATTTCTGGAAATAATTTGGATTATGCCGATCTTCTACGAAGCGATCAGCAACAGCTCATCAATTTCATCATAAACTCACCAAATAACTTTAGCTTTTACGCCAGATATAAGACATCATTCTTCTACAACAAATACTATTCATTTGTTTATAGTATGACAATATTTCCTATTATTATGTATGTAATTCCACTCGTTTTCCTGATAACTTTCAACACAAAACTTGCTCTTTCATTAAGGAAAGAATCTCATTATCGTTCTACCGTTTTAAGGGTATCTAACGAAGCCTTACCAAATCGAAGTGTTACTTTAATGATAGTGATCATTAATACTGTTCACATTACGTTCACCATCATCATCTTGACGTCTCAAATTTTATACATTCTCAGTAAAATTGTTACAGATCCAACGTTGTCAAGGATAAGAGTAAAAATGACAATAACGGCTAATATATTAGTTAATTGCAACAGCGCATGTAATCTTTTAATATATTGTTATTGTTCTCGGACATTTCGTCATGTGTTGAGAAGAATGTTGTGTAAATGGCAATTGAAGAGAAAGAAGAAGAAGGGAGAGTCAACAACCAGTTCTCTACTTGCCGTCAGCTGGCATAAAAAAACCTCTCGTAATTAAAAATATCCAAAAATGAACCTGTATAAGCATTCGTTGTGCAAGAAAATCAAAAAAAAAAGAAACTGATGACCATATATATTTAATTTTAATTTGTAGTATATCTATAAATGCAATGTACTTATTTATATATATAGTTATACTATATATAGACGATATGTATACAATATTTAATGTATAGAATATTTAGTAAAAAAATATGCATATGTGAATGTAAATGTCTTTCATGATCTTCTTTATTATACAAATTTGTTGTTTATATACTACAGTATGATATCAAAATGCATTAGCCCGTTTGCGTTATGAATATATGAGCAAATAAATACATGAAACTATCAGATTTGTGTTATAAAGTCATTTATTCCTGCCATATAGGCTTTCAATTAAGTGATAATGTTTACCTTAGTGTAGTCACCTAATTTATTTTTAATATCATCAGCACATTACTAACTATTGCTATGGCTTTCTGATGCAGCACTAATCCAATCATTATCTTTGAATCTTACTCATCGAGAGTTTAGCATTTGCATTTTGCAGTTTGTCAAATAAAGTTCCCTGCAAAGCTTAAATTAAGATAATATAATCAGCTTTACGATAAAAATTTACGCTTCTTTCATCTTAATTTAGTTATAAAAGACTCGAATTATGAGATAAGATCTAAAAACGTTTACTTGCACTTTTTATTCCCTTACCCATTAATCTCTCCGGATAATGCTTTATCGTTATCAATAATAATATATTAAAACGGCAATAAACACAGATATAATTTGTATTTAAGAAATATCCTAGAAGACTAGTTAAGAGACAAGAAAATTTAATTTATTTTCAAACATCAAAAAAATATTCTTTTATCAAAATAAAAGTATGTTTTTTTTTTAAAGAAAAAATAACAGTTAAAATTAAATGATTAAAACTTTAACATTACAATTTATCATAATTTTTAAAACATTTCTTGTCATAAATGGCTCTTTCCAGAAGTCTTAAAATGATTGATAGGTGAAAGAGACATAAACTAGTCAAGTGTCAAATTCGTGGCACTATAGATAAAGAGAAAATACGATTTTGCGAAGAATGATATCTGTTTGATGCAGAACAGTAAACAGTGTTAGTCAATGCTTTAAAAAATGACTGTTAGAGTAGCTTGAAACGGTTAAAAGATCTTGTTCAAAAAGTAAGAAAATTTTTATGTATCGTTCAATTAGATTTCTCAATTAATTTTTCACATTCCTTGTTTCGTATGCTAACGAATGGGTTATCCTTTATATAATATCGGTAAGGTTTATCAGCCCATTCCTTTTCAATATTTTTCAATCCTATTCTTGGACAAACAACGATGTCAAATTTGCTTTCATCATCGTCAATTATGTATATATCACCATCTGGATCTGATAAATTTAGTTTATTGGTATTATCTTTAGTTATGTTTAAAGCCAAAGTTAGTTTTGATGGACCATTACAAATTTCCTTAGGTTTTAGCAGCTTAGCTGAGGCCTTTTTGTGATTTTTACGATTTTGTCTCATTTCATCGAGTCCTTGTAACGGTTCTATAGCTCTGATCAAAACTGCAGCTCCTTCTCCTATTTAAATAATATGTAAAGTATAAGTCAAAAGTCTCTGATCATTTTGTTAATACCTTTACTAGAAATGTTAAAACAACAATAAGCTCCATAAATATTGTATACATAAGCTGTTCCAGGTTTCATGAACATAGCTTCGGTTCTAGGAGTTTTCTTACCTACAATAGTTAGTTACTTATTTAGACAATTATCACTAAGTAGATTGAAAATAAAATATATATATAAATATATATATATATTGTATACCATTGTATGAATGTGAAGCCTTATCTGGTCCTCCAATGTATGCTTCAGTTTCAACGATTTTTCCCTCCAAGTGTCTATTACAATCAATTTTTTTAACTAAAATTTTCCCCAGGAGGGCTCTTGAAAGTTCCTTGCAGTCAATATCATAAAATGGTGCTTTCATTATCTTTAAGATTCCCGAAGTCTCTTCCTCCTCTTCTGAACTAAGATTTTCCGAAGTAACTACCTTTTTGATTACCTCGGGTTCATCTTTTACAGACACCTTTCTTTTTCTTTGAGCTCTTTTACTCATTCTAGTTAGATATTTTCCTATCTATAAGGAAGAAGGAGAACAAAAATACCAAATTGAACACCGCAAGAATGTTTTGTTATGTCGAAATTGTGTTAGCATGGTTAGTATTCCTATTAAAAATTAGAGTAAATTATCAACAACGGAGCCTTTAGCAAAAGGGCATATTTTTCAGTTTATTTACTTGCTATGTACATAGCAGCCAATATTTTTCATTAAGAAATTGAACAAACAAAAAAAGAATCTGACCAATTAGTTCAACAGGTTATTCGTTTTAATTAGACTTCTTATTTCACATTATCAAAAAAGAAAATGCCATCCTGGCAACACAGTAAGATGTTCCGAAAGCTCTTTTGTCAGAGATTTATATCCATATGTCACCGGCAAATACTTTATAAAAGTATATATAACATTAGCCAACCATATTATAAAGGAAACTACAAGTAACTTTTTGGCTATCCTCCTGTCGTTGAGTTATAGGTATTTAAAGTAACGTATTTATCATTATAAAGAATAATTTCTTACCCAGATATAGCATAAATGTGTTTGAAAGTCGCACCAAATAAGAGAAATTTGAAGACAAGCGCTGGCAAGTACATATATATAAACGGAGACAAAAAGTCGCTGAACAGTATGTAGGGCAAGTATAAGGTCAAATATGGAAGTAATAAGCAAAAACCAGACATTTTAAAGGAAATCCAAGTTCCTGGAAAGTATTCATTTCAATAATGAACTTAACAAATTGAAAAATTTACCCTCAGAAATGTCATAACATTTGCGTTTTCTTCTCAATATGTAGAAAATAACAAATGACATATAAGAAAAAATCATAATATTGGCAGTCATCCATATAGATACATTACATATAAAATGAATTTGTTGCTATTAGTAATGAAAAATTACAGTTAAAAAAAAGCGAACACATTTATTCTTAAGATAGAAACCTTTGACCCTGAATCATACCAATATGGAATATTTCTTTCACAAAACATCCAGTATAAAGGATAGCTTGTATATCTGTGCTCTATCATCTTTTTATCCTCTCTGCACATGGATTATTCAAATTTACGATCGAAATGAAAGCTGACCTCCTACAATACTTACGGAAATATCATTTTTGTCTGCAATTCAATATATTTTTGCCACAGGCTGACTTTTCCTGACTGAGATCTATCACTTTTTGTTTGTAAATTTGGATTTCTTAATTGAGATTTTAAATAATCATACTGATTCCCAGAAAAACCTTCTGTTATTTTATTTGAAATGTTAATTTGAATAATAGAAAGGTAAATTAACTTACCTGGTTCGAAATTGTATATATGATTTTCAACATTCCAACTAATGTAGGATTCCATTCTATTTTTTACAGTTGTTACCTCGAGCTGTCTGAATCCCCAATCAGGCAGTCTCTGACCTGTTATCTACCAGTAAATAAAAAACACATTAAATACAGTATATCAAGTTGAACAATAAACTAACTCTTAAAAAAGTGTTGGTTTTGTTATGAATTAGTCTAGATGTCGATGTGATTGCTTCCCAATTAAAATTAGAACTTTCCAAATTCCAGATATTGTAAGCAGGCATTGAAATATTATAATCAATGTATCCCGACACTTCTTGGTTTGTTGGTGTTACGGGTCCAGCAACGTTATGACTATTCAAAAATTTCCCAGTAAATAGGTGAACTAATTGAAAAGGATCACCATTCTTTAATATTTCCAATTTGTTTTTGGCGAATAGTGAGGAGCTGCCTGGTTTCTTAACGATCCACCAATTATTTACATCTTGAAATTCGTAGCATGTAATTTGCTGCTGATGGCTACTACCCCGAGAATCAGAATATTTTATGGGATAGCGGTCTTTATGGGAATGAAGCCAGCAATTATTTTCAGAATTTCTCAAAGTTATTTGTGACCCATAAGCTATCTTTGTCGGTTGACCCTTATCAAATTTTATAACTCCATCCAATAGTGTAGATTGAAAGGCAAGAGACATTTTATGGTCATGAGGACCAGATTTATTTAAAATCATTAGATGAATAAGAATAAGGCTTATATAGGTTAAGCAAGGTAGAAATATTGAAAAAAATATTCGTATTGCCAGTTCCACTTGGAGAAACATCTGAAAAGCAAATTGATTAATCTTGAAGTGGCAAAATACCATAAATGAACAATAAAGATATATCAGATTGGTAAATGCATAAAACTAGCTAGGTTTGTATGAAAGTTTTTAATCTTGAAGACCTATCAACTAACCGTCGTTATACTTTTTCTAGCTAATCTTGGCCAAAAGTCGATCAAGTTGAAAAATAGTGTTAAAAGCAATAGATATACTCCAGAATGTTTGCTTCTGTTTGTCAATTAATTTACAAATTAATTTAATTACTACATATGAGTTATGTTGCATTTAGAAGAGAAATAAAGTTAAAAGAATGGCATATTGAAACAAGAAAAAGTCACAATTCGTTACCTACCCAATGGCTAACCCAGCACTTATTCCCATAAGCGCTTGCCAAAATATCCAATCAATCTTTAGAACTGGTGTGAAATGTGATTTTAAGTAAAAATAAACTATGAGCAGGCATACTAGAGCATAAATAACATCCGGTAGTATATATCTTGAATGTACTATAAGCGAATTTTCTATGGAAATTAATAGACTTTATTACATGAGAAGTGATCATAAATTTCATACCAAAAATAAATAATAAGGTGAAACTTGCGCAAATCCACCTTGGACATTTGAGCATCTTCAAAATTTCGTAAGAAAATAATGGAATGAGGCAACCAAAGAAAGCAGGAATTAAGCGTAAAAAAAAAACTGGGCAATCCGCGTGATAAGCTGCAGAGAAAATAATGACAGAAGAAATTACTTTATTTAATTAAATTTGTACCTTGACCAATGGTATCATAATCAAACTCCCCATTGTAGCCGCCAAAAACTGCAGATAGTGCAACAAGCATTGTTGGAAAAGGAGGATTTGATTCAAAATAGAACTGTCGTTTCACATACATGGAGACATGTTTACCGAACACAATTTCATCAAATCTAAAAGTACCGATTTCTTAATTCTAGTTAACATCGCTTAAAATAAAAACTCTTACACAACGTGTCTTGGTTTCTCTAAACACCAAAATCGAGTTAGTAGACTCAATACGAATATGAGTGATTGTAAGTAATCTATTTCTACTTTAGTGCTTAATCTCATTCTTACAAAAATTAAAAAATTATCTGCGATAATAAAGGCGACAGCTTTTCGCCGAAATTTAAAAGATGCGATAATCGACTTTAATACATTTTGTATCAGAAATTCACATATCGATCAATCCAATACGATTTACAGACACGATTTATTTACGGCCAATCATCTTTCTTGTAAAAGTAAAGCTATATGTTAACGATTCCTATTGGCCAAAGCAGATGTTTTAAAAGTTTATTTAAGACAGCAGGATATTCTTTCACATCGATTTAAATGTACCTTAGAGATAGAATCATGATAAAATCTACATAGTTCAATATATATGAATACAAATTTAATTTATTGAATCACTTTGTATTGATACTTATATAACTTTATAAGTTATACTTGAGGAAGCACATAGCCAAGCGCTTTAAGAGCTTTACACAAAAATAGTTCATCTGGTATAAGGGCCCACCTATAAGAAAATGATAATGATATAGATGCTTCTATAACTTCTAAATCTTGTTCTGTTGCCTTTTTTCCTTTTTTCGAATGGCACTTTTGTCTATTAACTATTAATAAAGGTTTTTCAGTATGTTTACGTAATCCTTCTGCAATTGGTTTAAGTAAATCCATTTCAAAATGAAGACCAAATACAATAGTTTTTAATCTTTTACAATTTGCGGCTAACTCTATTAATCCATTTTCGTAATTATCCATTAATGGTTGATAGGACCATCTAAAACTTACATGAGCAAACGTAGTGAGACTTTCACCATATATTTTCGTAATGTACATATAATCTTCAGCGCTAATTTGATTACATAAACTATCCAACACCAAAGATTTTAGAGGCATATGTGGAAATATTTCCTTTGAGAAAGACCTTTCTTTTATGTTCATATGTATAGACAAAGAGTTCTTGAAATGATGATGAATCTTATACCAGTCAATTGTAATGTACTCTGTTGACTGAAGCGTTGTTGTTGTGTCATTATTAACCAAAATAATTTTTTTTAAAGATTCCATGTTCATGATCAAGTGTAAGTTGTCTTGAACGACATTTAAGATAAGAGTTGTCAAATTTTTACATGAACATAATAACTCTAACAATTCCGGAATAGTCTGACTGAAATCTATATAGCAAAGCGATGTTAAATTCATCCTATAGCATAAAATTAAATTGAGCTGTAAACCAATGTTCTGAATAAGAGTCAAGTGTAATTTTGTCTTTTCGTTCAAAAATTCAGGCAGTATCTTTGTATGCATTTTTTGTTTAAATCCGCTGAAGTTACAAACAATGTATAAATCTCTTAAATTTTCATTGTCGAAATTGTAGCTTTTCTCGTCATAGAATGATTCCAACATTAATTTTATAGTAGTCATAAATTTGCTGTAACAGTCGAAGGTGAATTGACCAACTCTCAAATTTTTTCTGAACCAGTATGTTTGACCGTAATGAAGAACAAACGTTGGAATAGAACATTCCAGAGATCTTCGAAGATTCATTACATCATTTCCATACAGACGGAATACAGGCCAATGGTCAACACATTCCAAATTCTTATCTTGCCAAAAAGAATTCTTTTTCCGCCTCAAGGTTGAGCAAACTCTAGTCATAGAGAGCCTATCCTCCCAAGGAAGCATTCGAATGACTTCTCTGAGAACGGTGTCGGGAAGTTCAATCAACATGCCTGCATTGAAAAGGCATCAAAAATTACTGTATAGCTTTTGTTATTATAAAATCAACTATTGACTAAAATGTTGTAATACTCTGAAGTGTAAATTAATAGCTTAATCTGCAGTAGTGATAATCTGTTATTTTTTTGTTTTAATTCATCTCACTTCCACTTCGCTAATAAATAAATGTCCTTAGTCTTATTTGAGACATAATCACATTTATTTTGTGAAATTTTGTGACGAATTACGAAACAACTGGTGTGTTCAGAACGCTTAAAAAGATGTTTAGTAATATCATTGCGATAATTGTTCAAGACGTTTCGTAATCCAGTTTTCCTCGGTGTGAAATTTAAATTCTTTAAAAAATTCTTGCAATTTTCTGTATCTTTCCTTCACATCTATACCACATAATATCTTCAATTTTCTGAGATCAACGGGACATAAATGCATGGATTGTCGAATATCCTCCTCTAAATGTCCGGATCCATTCATACAGCAATCGAAGTAGATACAATGACCGATTCCTAGTAAATGGCCCATCTCGTGAACCAGAAGAGTACAACTTCTTTTAAGTAACAGATTCCACCTCTCATCTACTCTACATGCATTTTCTTCATACTTATGCCAAAATTCTGTGCAAAATTTAAGAGTTGGGTCGTACCGTTTTAGGCTGAAAATTGCTGACCTACTGGCACCGGAAGCCATTCCTGACACAAAAAGATCTCTCTTGTCGGCATACAACTCCTCCATTGTCAGAGCTATTACAAACAAAGCGTCATCAGGAATACGACTTGAAATTTCCTTTAAGCAGGAATCAATAAGGAATTGAAATCTTTTAGTTTTCTTATGAAATCGTGATTTAATCATTATTAATTCTCCATCTGTCGATTGCCAGAAAGTCTGTCCTTTTTTTACGTCAACAACAACTTCGAATGGATCCAACACTTTTATGGGTATGTTGTAGAATATAGAGGCATATCTAACAAGTTCTTTAATTGTATCGATGTCTCCAAAATCCAATTTCCCCACTGGAATAATGTAAGCTTTAGCTTCCGGATACTTTTCACAAATTGTCGATCCTTTTGGGGAAAATGCCTTTGAACTCAAACCTCTTACAGGTTTACGGGAGAGCCATGGATTGGTCTTTATGTATTCAGAACATGTCTGCCCTCTTTCTGCATATACAGCAAGCCAATCATACTTTGTGTTCGGAGGTGGTAATTCTTTGAACAGTTCCTGATTGGGTTGAAAGGTTAATTCAATATCTTCTAGCTTTGTCCTCTTAATTGCTTTTAACTTGTCAGAATCACTTGGTATCTTGAATCCTCTTGCGTAAGGAATTTTAGTGGTTTTTTTTCGTTCCTGACGTTTCTTCGGCATGGTTCATTCTGTTTTAACAACAACTTCCGCACTAACTTATATACAGAACTTTATAGGCCCATCTTTTATGTATACAAACTCTCTTCATCTGGTATCCCAGTTACAGAATGGTATTAACTAAACTATTAGTACATTGTGTTATATAGTTGCTATATGCTGATACTGTTCGATTGAATCAGACAATCTGAAATGTAATAGGTAATTGGGATTACGCAATTATCACTATTGTGACAAATTGCACAACACTGCGTAAAGCAGACAGAAGCATAAGATAGGACGGCTGACATATTGTTTAAACTAACCGTCATTTATAAAAAAAAGAATTATAAACATTAATAAAACTGTTTCACCTGTTGCTTAGCTACACTATGTTCTATAATAATTGAAAGTGATTAAATCTAAGTCAATAAAATAACATTTTTTCACTTAAATATTCGGCTGGTTATTAACCGGTGAAGCTGGTTTTATTTGAACTGATCGGTTCTTTGAAAAACGTTTCCAATAACATGGTTGCGTATCCAAATATTGCGGAAGACAGTACTGGATTATAAATATTATAAATGTTTTTTAAGAATCTAAAAAGAATACGAAAAATATTTCATATATTTTATTCACGCTATGTTTTGTGAACATTTTTTAATTTAGGTGTTTGTGGTATTTTTGGGATATTTAATCTATTTCTTAGCTCTTCCAAGTCTGTTTCCCACTCTTCTTCAAAGTAAACGTTAAAAAAGGACTTAGCCTTTAGTCCAGTCTGTACAGCAAAAGGAAAGTGTGTGGTAAAGTATATATTTCTATGTCTGCAAGAAGTCGAAATTTGAATTTAGTTGTTTATAAATAAGTCAAATTTGTATTACTTAGGCCCTAGTCTAATTGGACCACCCAGTCCTCCCAAAACACACATTGGCAGTCTAAATAAACAAATATTTCAAAATTATTAATGGGAATCATATCTTACAAAATAACTTTACCGTGTTTGTAACCCTTCAACAACTTTAACAACAACTTCACCCAACATATTTGTAGGCATACCACATAGTAAATGGACCAAATCGTGAATTTCCCTATAACGTGTCATGACGTAAGCTAAAGAAGGATCGTCAACAAATTCTACTGGGAGACGATCATCAGGATGAATTCCGTTTTCATTCAAAAATCTGATATATCTGAAAAGTTGAAAATTTCAAAAAGTTTCTATGCAGCTTAAACATTTCTTATACTCGTGGCCTAATGTTCCTTCAGGCAATTTCGCTAATTCATCCAGATCTACAGTTGCAGAATTGATTCTCGGCTGATCAGCTAGAATCCTTCTCCCTGTTGGATCATTTGACATACACGATTGCATGTATTTCAGAGAACACTCTCCAGTGGATTCACCCATCAACGCCACCATGTCTCCTCTTTTCGGATTTGTTAAAGCAAGTATACCGGATCCCATGCCCAAGAGAAATTTTTGAAATTTAGTTGTCTGAATATGACCATCATAAGCTGGCTTTGACTCAATAACCGGCTCTTCCAAAACGCCTATTGGGCGATAATACATATTTTAAAGGATAAATCAAAATAATAACCAGCGTATTGAAGATAGTATTATTTTTATTAGCATACCCTGTTCCGATATTTTTCGTGTACAAATTCTTAATACATTATTTGTTCTACTTAAAAACGACAAGGGTTTCTGAAAGGTAATTCTTGATAAATATCCCATTCTTCTCACCAAGCTCACTAACAGTGTTATGATAGTTCAATGACCTTCTTTCTCTACAAAGTACACAGCTTGGGTATTTATTAAACTCTTTCACCTTTGAAGGACTATCCACTAAGTTTATGCCTTCTAGAAATTTTTGACGGTTTACTAAATATCTTTTTTCTAGGGCCACTTGTTCAGTTTTACTACTGTCAATAAAAGCGTGACTCTATTTCAAAATCCTTTTTGATTTTATTCAATCCATTAAATATCCTGATTTTTGAGTTATTAACGGAAATTGATTACTGAATTTAATATAGAAGAGCTATTTATTTTCTTTATTAAAAACTTAATGAAGAAAGTTTGTTATATGGTGTCATATATTTAAAATTAGTACACTGTCTAATACATGTTAATATTTCATCAATATGTGCTCCACATTTCAAAATTTAAGATGCAAAGAAATAAATATCTCTAGGTGAAACATTTCGTATTCGCTGCATAAAAGTCAAATGTTGAATCTTCCATTTTGGATTTCCAAATCATTATATATTCCACAAAAAGTATTTCCATTCTTATCAATCAAAATATGTATTCTTCTTCCAAACGGTAGCTCCAGAATCAAGTGTGATGAGTGTCTGAATACTGATTAGCATAGAGAACCACCCTCATATAGCTCTTTGATGTCAACTTTTCGTTATCCGTATCTTTATAGGCTGTTTTGCGTTTTAATTTTGATTGTTGATCCTGTAGTGCTTGATCAGGTACATTCTTTCATCAAAAGTATGCTAGCAAGGTTGTAAATTTGCTAAAGGAATTTCCGTTTCTTTATTCTGATAAAAGGCCTTCCAAATCTTCAAATTTTTAGTTTATATCCACCCTTCTCCAGTTATTTAATAATGCAGATGACTTATATAATCATCTCGCAGATAGGAGTCAAAAATTCTCCATCATAGAAACTCGAAATGAAAATCATGCGGTGATCCAATTTATTAAGTTATAAGCAAGTATATAAATTTTAGAAAAATTGACATAAACTCTTAATAGTTAATACAAATGCAATGAGTTAAACAAAGGACTATGGAAAAGTTATCGGAAAAATCCTAGTTTAGATTTCAACCATTCTTCGTCAAGTTCTTCTGTTGAACGAACTTCAAACACTTTCGTAAATTGGGCAACCTTAACCAAGTTCGACTTGCTGCCAGCATACATCATTTGTAATTCGGGTTTACAACCGAAAGGCGATACAAAGATAAAGCAGATAGGATAGGAAACTCGTCCATCGTCATGCTTATAACAATAACTGTAAGCCACAAAACGAGGTTGACTCGCAGGAATTTCATTAGCTAATTCTTCAATGCTAATATTATCATATTCATCTTCATCAAAACTGTCGTCGTTCACAATTAACATCTTCTCAGTGTCAATCTTCACTGTAAAAGGTTATTTTATTTGATTCAGGCTAAAGACAGACAATGAAACTTACTTAAAAATGCCCTATTCTTTTTTTCCTGACTAAATCGAAACTTTTTGATCTTGTCCAGCAAAGCTGGATCAACGTCACAAATTTTCATATTGACACTCTGGAAAAACGTATAAATATTTTGATTAGTTTAAGAGAGCAACTACCAAAAAATTAATAAATTTTGCCGTAAGTTTATAGATAACTCTATTAAATTCTTTGACAAAAAATAATATATTGTAAGCAATTAAAAATCAAAATGTGAAGTTATCCAATTTGGATTTTGAAGGTCAATTGGTTCAGTCATTGTTTTTTCTTCATAATGAAAATTTCCTTTTTTATCGACCAAAACAATGGTATGTGTTCTCGTTCCATAAGAGCTTTCCGGAATTTTTACTCTAATAGAACTATAACACGATGGATCTTTCACATGACTTAATTGGTTGTAAAGTGCTTGATCAGGTAAATTCTTTTTAGAATCTGATAACATATTCAATAGTTGAGCTTTCAAGTCATCTCTCTGTTTCACATTGTTATACTTTTCTACTATATTTTGAAACAATTTTCTCCCGTATTCTATTTTTTTCCATGGCTTATTATCCGGACAATTGCCGAAAACATGATAGCCAGGTTGTAAATTTAAGAAAGGAATTTCCATTTCTTTATTTTGATAGAAGCTTCTCCAAATCTTATTTTCCTTTTCTAGAAGAATCAAATGGTATGGATTATAATTTGCTCTCTTCTTTGAGCATTTTTCGAGATATACACAACTATCATCTGAACCAGTTACAAAATCTTTAACAAGTGTTCCTCTAGTAGGTTTCGTTAAATCTGGTTCACAGGAAATGTTTAATAGAACACCTATTCTTTCTCGTTTTGATACTCCAAGCCATGTACCACCTCCCATTTCATCTATTCCTCCAATACAATCACTATAATCCGACCAAAAATTGGCACTAAGTGTTGGTTTTGTTATAACTTCATCTCTATTACTTGCAATAATTACGCTATAACCGTCTTCAGACGATGGATCATTACAAAAGTAGACAAAGAGCATACACATGATGTCTAATGAAAAATAAATGACCTAAAACCAAGTTGACCTTAGAAATGGGAGTGCTACCTTTGATGCTTTAGGCCTACTCAGAAATTAGCGGAACATACGATGATTATTCATTTTAGATGCCAGATTTTTTTTTGCAAATAAATATGAGTAGTATTCAACGGCTTAAGATATTTTAATATTATTTTACTGGGTATCAATAACATTTAAACTTACCATTTCTCTTAATTCAGCTGTTTCAGTTAAGACCGCCTACTTTTTCTTTGTTTACAATGGAACTCTACGCAAGCACTTTCAGAAAGTGGAATAAACTGGTTCCAGGCCCAATTTTCTCATATTTTCTTCTGCATGCTCCAGACCTGAGAGTGACTACTTCCGAAGTTTTTCTACCAGTTTGAAAAAATATATGCAAGGGATTTAAGGTAAATAATATATTTCCATTGATACAAATTCTTATTATATATAATATTTAGCTGTAGAACATTACGTCTTATATCTTTATTGGCTTTTATTCCACATTTTCAAGGAGTTGTTTAAATTCGTTATAACCATGGAGCTTTTAAAAAATGAACCTTCTGGAAAATATAACGTCCCTTTAGGACATTTCGATTTTGATTATATTAGAGGTTGTAGTAATTTGAAAGAACTGGAAAAAATACTGAAAGTGTTAAGGTATAAATTCGTTGTCATTTTCTTTTACATCTATGTACCAGAGTGACTTTAAATTAGATCCGGTGACGAAGGGAAGTATCCTGAACTAGAACAATGTTGTGAGGAGAGAATTAAATCTATAAATCCAGAGAGTCGAGTTCTTCGACAAGACACTCCTTTGTTAAATGTGAAAGACATGGATGATAAGGATCAGATCAAGAATATACAAGATGACATAACGGTATATGATATACTTTATTTATATAAATTTATAGACCAATTCCAAAAACAATTGTTCACCTCAACTGATTATCTGATATGTCTTTTAGCAATGGACTTCTGAAATGAAAATCAAGGAAGATAGAGCAACCGAATTTCACGATGAAAATCTACCTCCAATTAGAGGATCTTCTGTTATTAGCGGCAACGCATCGTCATCAAAAGTAAGATGATTTTCAAAGTAAAAATCAAATAGATAACAAAGAGTTTTAAACAGGCGACAGAACCAGCAAAGCGTCCAGTAAAACCTAGGGAATATCGAGATTGGGATAAGTTTGTTTTCTCGAAAGTTATTAATAAGAACCTTAATTTAATTCAACTATTACAGAATTGATGTTGAGAAAGAACTAGATAAGATTGATTTAAATGAAGACAAACCGAAAACTAACAAAAATATCCTTAGAACAAGCAATGTTCAATCTATTCCAGATTCGATTGATACATCAGGTAATCTATTTCAGACTATCAAGTCTGTTATTTAACTATATTGTTTTTAAGGTTTAGGAGAAGAGCAAAAATTCAAATTAGCTGAGAGAGAAAAGGAAAAAGGAAATGAGGTAAGAAAGGTACTGCAACAAGTTTCTTTTATCATGGAAATTCCTATCTTAAAAAGGCCTATAAAGCCGGAGATCTAGCCGAAGCTATCAAATATTACACAAGAAGCATATCTGTGATAAATAATCATGCTTCCTATAATAACAGGGGCTTAGCTTGTGAGTTTAATACAAATGTTTTCTGTCTTTAATAATATCCTTGACTCTACCCTTCATAGACTTAAAGCAAAAGGAATATGGAAAAGCCATGTCCGATTTTGATAAAGTTATACAAATGGAACCTGAAAATGTTAAAGGTATCTTAAATTTTGATGACAAGCTAATTTTAGATATTTATTATTCAACTATGTTCGATAACAGCCCTTATTCGACGCTCAAACTGTTACAAGGAAAAAAAGCAATTGATTTTAGCTCGAAAGGACATTGAAACTGCTCTCAAACATAATCCAGAAAGTAAACATGCACTTGTAGGTAGACCTGTGATACTTTCGGATTATCTGAAAATAGAACTATTTTTAGAAAGAAAAAATACTTATTGAAGAAGCACTTGCTGAACAAAAAGTAAAGGGAAGAAAAATGGTGATAGAAGATATTGAAGGGTCATCTTCAGACTCAGAAGAAGAAAATACTTCAGTCATTGAAAAACCTAATGTCAGTGAGGAAAATAATTTCAAAACAACTGCTGTCAGTGAATCAAGTAGCAACCCAGAAGTAAAACCAGAAGTGAAGATTGAAAATGAGGTAAAAGCTAAATTAAGTAGGTCTAAAGAATCTAAAGAACAAGAAAATATGAAAAACAAAGAGGAAAGAGAACTCAATACTGAAGTTAAAGAAAGAAATCAAGATAACAATGAAATCAATATAAAGAAAAATGAAATTCAAATCAAGAAAATGCCAAAGAAAGTGGAGGATAAAAAAGCAATAGCAAATGATTTCTTTAAACGCGGGCAATACGATCAGGCTATTTCTAATTATTCTTCCGGAATAGATATGTTAAAAAATTTAAAGGATGATGGTTGTTACAGTTTTTTGAGCGTGCTTTCTATGCTATATGAATAATATTTTGCAGGTTACAACTTTCATTTAGCCACTCTTTTAAGCAATCGAGCTCAAGCTAATATCAAAATTGGTGATTGCTCGTCAGCGGTAAAAGACTGTAATTTATCCTTAGACATTTTCCCCGGTTTATGGAAGACAGTTCTTAGGAGGGCGAGTGCCTATGAAGCTATGGAGAAGTACTTTATATCTCTTAGATTACAGAATAAATTTAATCTAAAATTTCTTTTAGATATCATGAAGCCTACGCCGACTATCAACTAACCCTAACAATGGTGCCGGGAAACGAAATGTCTCTACAAGCAAGTGCAAGGTATTGACATTTACAACAACCCCTAGTTTATAATATACTTTAACTCTTTTCTTTCTGTTTACAAGATGCATGAGAGTTCTACAAGATCTTCACGGAAACAAATGGCGGCAAAAAATTCCAAAGAGACTCGCTATGACATTATATGAAGGACCGAGCAGTATATCCAATGTTGAAACCACAAAAAGTAAAGAAATTGAAAGATTATTTAATATAAATAAGACAAAGGGAAATGAATTAGTAAAGAAGGTATGTTCATAATTTATTTAAAAATATATTTTTATTAATTCCAAATCTTTCAGGAAAAATATAAAGAAGCTATTAATTACTATTCAGAGTGTATAAAGATTTCCCCAGAAAGTACACCTCCTTATACAAATAGAGCTTTGTGCTATTTAAAACTGGGTGATAGTGAAAAAGCTAAAGATGACTGTTCTAAAGCATTAGAATACGAGAAGGATAACATTAAAGCACTTTATCGTAGAGCTCAAGCTAATGATGTAAATGTTAAAAAAAGTAGTTTCATTAACTTAAATGAATTTTTTATAGGCTTTGAAAAATTATAAGTCAGCGAAGGATGACTTAACAGCGCTTCTTCAGTTAGAACTTAATAATAAACCAGCAAAAATTTTACTTCAAGCAATTTCGAAAGTAAGTCTTCAAAATTATAAATCACCGTCAAAACAATAGTTCTGGTAACAGAAAGAAGAAGAGAGCAAAAAAGAACCAGGACGTCATAAAATTCCTATAGTGGAAAGTGATTCTGACGAAAGTTCTGACGAAAATGAGACAAATGTAAAAATAGTTAAGAAAAAACATGAGGATATTGTCAAACCTCGTGTGCGGCCATCTAGCGATCAAGAGTCTCCTGCCCCAAGTAAGGAGCCGATATCTGAGAAAAATATGACAAATCATAATTTTATGAGGATTCTAAGTGAAGAAAGTGGTGCAGAAAAATTAGTAAATGTTCTTGAACAATTTGAACCACAAAAGTTGTCTAAAGGTATAGGCAATATATTTGAATATAGTTTAGGACTTTAGTTATTGCCTTTTACAGTTGTTGGAAACAAGTTGGAAGGAAAAGCTCTCGCTAATTTAATAAAATGCGTGGACCTAAAATTTTTGAAAGAAGGTAAGATCAGTTTTCAATTTATCAAATATTGAATTTTCGATGTTTTTTTTACCTAGGAAATTGTAAACAAGCTTTTGAATATCTTAAAGCTATTGTAAGAATTCCTAGATTTGCTTTGAATTATAAATTCCTATCTAAAGCAGAACAAGCAAGTTAGTAATCCACATTACATTTAATCTCTATTAAGTTTCTATACTTAATATTTTCATTGAATTTCAGTGATAAAGTGTGTAGTTGATAAAATTGAATCTGCTCAATGTTGTTCAGGGGAGGAACTTTATAATATTAAGAAATTCTTATAATACAACAGATTTTGGTTTTATAATCATCGATGTTCTACATAAAAATAAATTAGACAGTTAAATATTTTGATTGTATATTCTTTTTATTAATTTACTTCACAATCTTTAAAACTAAGAGACAAAAGTTTTCGACTGTTTCCCTTCCGCTTTTCAAAATTTCTCAAATTTATCAAGGGGATATTCTTTTGAATAATTGCCTATATGCTTTTTTACTTCTTCAAATTGCTTTTTAAGATGGGGTGGAACTTCCGCATAGACATCGGTAAACATTTGAGAAGGGCTTGGTTTTTTCTTTTTTTCCGCTCTGCTAAGGGCCTCAAGAACTTGTTTACGGGACGATTGCATCCACTCTTTTTCAGTTTCATCATTCCACCAATTTTTTCGCTATTCATGTAAAAATTTATATAATAATTATAATACCCCTTTATTCATATATTGTATATTAGCATATTGAATATAAATTGACTATATCTACTTACTTCCATATACCATCTTAATCTTTGAATGGGATGGTCTTCAGAATGCCAAAAGTGTACTTCATCAACAGATCTATAAGCTTGACTATCATCAGACGTGGAATGATGGCCGATTCGATAAGTCATTGCTTCAATTAAGCAAGGTCTGTTCTGACTTATGGCTAAATTTCTTGCTTCTCGAACAGCATTATAAACAGCCCAAACATCATTACCATCAACTCTTAAAGTAGGAATACCGTATCCAGGGCCTCTGGCAGCTTCAAAATATACATTATTACATAAATGTGTAATGAAATAATTTAAAGGTTGTAATTACCGATTCCATCACCTCTATACTGATCACTGGTGGGAGTAGATATAGCGTAACCATTATTCCGACTAAAAGTGAGATGATAAGAATTTTTAATCATGGGTAGCAGAAACACAGATAGCTTTTTATAAAAAATTATACCAACCAAAAGAATATTACTGGGCAATTCAGAGTTGCAGCAAAATTGAATGCAGAGTGAGCATCACCTTCTGATGCCGCACCTTCACCAAAATAGCACATAACAACTAAGTTATTTTGAGCTCTTTTGAATGCATATGCTGCACCTGCAGCTTGAGGAATTTGAGTAGCCAAAGGAGATGAGATGGTAACGAATCTAAGTTTATCAGAGCCATAATGTACAGGCATTTGGCGTGCTTTGTTGGCATCATCTACATTTCCCAAGCATTGATTCATGAATTCATCAAGCGTATAGCCTCTATGCATGAGAACTCCTGCTTCACGATATTGTCCAAAGACCAAATCTTTTGGGTCTAAAGCAGCAGCAGAACCAATATGGGTGCCCTCTTCTCCGTAATTTGTCATATAGAAAGAAATTCTCCCTTGACGTTGGGATTCATACAATATTCTATCCATAGTGTTCAACAATGTCATATCTTTGTACATTTTCTGAGTTGTTTCTTTATCCAAATTAGGATCATCAGCGGAGTCTAGAACCTCTCCTTTTCTTGTCATAACACGATATACAGGAATACCTTCATATTGATCGGGCATTAAAAATTGGAGTTTATACGTATATTCCGAACGAGAGCCAGGAAATTGTGGCTTTTCATCGCCAAGACTTGAACTGTATCGGACCTAAACGAAATAAGGCATCCCCCGATTTAATGCACGTACAGTAAAATTACCAATATAGTTGTTAATATATGAGATATCAATTAGCAAATAGTAATTGCATGAAGTTGATCTTTAACGTTTACTTACATTTTGACACTTTAAGGAAGATGTTTGACTACATAAAGAGGATATTCTCGATAAATGTCTTCCGATTCTGAACATAGTGATTTTGAGGTCAAGGACATATCATACGTAACAGCATGTTTCGATTCACAGAAGCCTATTTCGCGGTACTTTTTAAATAATAAATCTTTAACAATCTATCATAGAATATTCTTTTTAATAGTTTTATTAATGTGGAGCGTTTCGTTTGCCGAAAAAAATTGATCTCTTTGCTTATGTTCTCTCTTCTTCCTTCTCCAAAATATACTTTAAATTATTAACCATGTGTTGATGAAGTTCTTTTGCTTCTCTTTTTACGAAACTAATTAATATTTTTGGTGAAGCAACCTGATAGATCTCCTTAAACTTTACTTTATTTCCTTCGTTAGTAATTTTCCATAAGTTGGTTACTATTTCGAAAAAATATACAAAGCGTAACAATTCAAAGACTATATTAATATATACATACTTTCTAGAAATCCATTCAAAATGTGTGAATAAGATCTAATAGTATAATTCTCTTCATCAAATATAAAATAAGATGTCAAATTTAAATTACCAACAAATTTCAAGTTTTCAACTATTATTACATTTACATGACGCACATTTTCATCATCAACAACATCTTTAGTAATAAAGACACTTTTTCTACAAAAAATTTAATAATAGCAATTAATTAACAGAGATGTTTCTACAGAGATAGATTGTTTATTACAGATTTAATAATGACAAAACAATTATCGCTCACTTACGCAGGCAAACTTATTTTAGGAATGTTCTCTAAATTCGAGAGGAAAGCATAAACATTTTCTTTGCTTGAATTTATTAAAATTTCAGTAACTATTGTATCAGATACCTTGCTAAAAGCAAAGTATGCGAAAACTGAAACACTTATAACAAGGAAACTGTAAAATAGTGCTCGACGGTTCATTTTTTTGTAATACTGTTCCAATCAAACTTTTTTATATTTGGTGTCCAGCGATCATGTCTTCTGAAAATGAACAACAGCAATATTCTGTATTGCCTAAATCTATGTCTGGTGGACCACATGGTTTAGGTAAAGATCATAATGTTTTTGTTTTCATAAATAGTGTTAATTGCTTACAATCTTTTTAAAAATAATAAGAATAAATTATTGTATCTCAATATCGCTCATTTTATAAGGCGACCCGACAAGCAAAGATCTCAGGGTAGTTGAAAAGGAAGTCGTTATTGGGAAAATTATGAAAAAAGTTGCACATGAGAGATGTAGAGAGGTTGTTAAAGCGTTTAATGAATGTGGAAAAAACAATGGTCTTCTAATGCCCTTCAAATGTCGCAAGGAGAATGATCAGATGAAGAAATGTCTGACCAGATGGTAAATATTACAATAGTTCAATTAAATTGAACATTTTTATCTCTATCTCTAAAAAGGTATCAAGATGACGAATTTAGAGCTGAATGTACACAGATGTATTTAGATGAAAGATCGGAATATCGAAGAACTGGTATAAGTAAAATTCCTCCAAAAAGAGGCGCAAAACCGCCTCAATCATAACAAAAGACAATATTTAGTAAGATTTTTGTTGAAGAAAAAATTGAAAAGCTGTTATAAATAATTTTATTAGAATATTATTATTCAAAAGTGACTTGTCCATTGAAATTTAATATAAATAATTAACCTATTATAAGGTATTTTGAAAATATCTGCCCCTATTTGAAAGAAATACTAATTTCACTAAGTAATTATGTTAGTGATTCAAAAGACTGCCACTCGGGTCAGATCTCTCTAATTTTTCAAACTGTTTCCTTGCATTAGAAATATTCATTAAAGTTGCAGTCGATACTGAAAAAAAAACATGTCATTACTAATATTTCATTTTATATCAAAACTAATATAGACTTTACTTACAAACACTCTCATCTGACATAACAATCATAACATAAGTATTTGGAGTAAAAACATCTATATAGGCTGCGAAACTCGAGTGTCTAATTTGCATACTCTATACATATAGATAAAATAATTTGATGAAACATTGTATCTTCAAATATTGAAAATAAACCTTAAATTGAGTAGCAATTTTATTACAACTGAGCTTAAACTGCTTGATGATATTGCTGATCTTTTCAAAACGATGAATATCTTTGTGCTTTTTCAGTTGAACGTACGAAATGACCTAAGATACATAGGAACGTTATATTAAAGAGGTTTTTTTTACTGTTTTAAGATATTTAAAAATGATATTTACCAAAAATGTCGCTCTCTCAAATAAAAGAACTTCATCAGCATCAATAATATTTGCGAATTCATTTAGCTTGGATTCCAATTGTCGTACATTAGGAATCAATAGATAAACTATAGATGACCAAGCCTTTGTTTTTCATGAAATAATAATGTTATTATAGCATTAAGTATTTTCATTTGAATTCTATAATTAACTTTACTTTATAAAGAGTTTCGTCCCAAATTGAAGTAGCAAAACAGGTACAATCTAATGGTTGTGATAGTAATTTCAAATCATTCTCTCGTTCGGTAAAAATCTATAAATATATTTGTAATAAACGAATAGTAAAATGAAATGGAATCTTATTCATTTTGGATTCATAAACTTACTTTGCTTCTTTGGTCATCTTGAACTAAATCCATTTTATGAATTAAACAAAAAACTTTAGCATTTGGTGAATTTTGTAAGAGAGCTTCAAGGCATGTTTGATAATAATTGATATCCTTTTCCAATTCTCTGCTCTCAACATCAAAGACGTAGATCAAAACCTCTACACTGCGAAAAATGTTATCTCTTTGAGCTTGAAAATAATTTTCCATAAAAGCCTGTTGCCTGAATAGTTTAACGTTTATATTATTAAACAATATATTAATACTATTATATAATTCAAATATTACCCTCCGCAATCCCAGAGATTTAGTACCAGATTTAAAAATCGTACGTGCGAATGTTCAATTTCAACTTGAATTAGATGAAATATACAATAATATAAATTGCTTGATATTAAATGACTAATGTTCGTAAATAAAAACTATTATGCTTATCATATAATTAAATGTAAAACAATATATTAATATAAAATTAGATCATGTTTATATCTTTCAACTAAATTTTGGTCAATGATGAGAAACGGTATGCTCATAATAGCTTTAATTATTTGGAAATTATTCTTAATTTAAATTACTTGTTGCTCCCAAACGTCTTGTATCTCTGGCCATATAATTAGCAAATATGATTGACCTCATACTGGTTTTTCCCGAACCACTTTTTCCCATCAAAAGTACCTGAAATATATAAATTTTAACAATAGATTATATATCTTGTCAATATTACCTTCTTTTTCATTTTTATTGTTTATCGTTAATAATATGTAATGTAGTAAATCTTTTAATCAATTTTTAGGATAAGTTTAGGGATGTAAATATCTGTAAAATCACTGAATTAGGCACGTTTCTACCAAAATGTAAAGGTCACATGACAAGCTAAGAATAGATGGCGTTAAAAGCGATATTATTATTCATAGATGGCGTTAGTTATAAAAGCGGGAAATATTGTCTATTTTATAAATTTAAATATTTATGAGGGAAAAATATCAATACCAGTAGCTTTATCAACAATTAACTAGAAAATACATTTAAAATGAGTTATTTTTTAAAGCGTAACGTCAAAAATGAACTCTTTTATAATTATTTTTGTGAAAATATATGGAATTTTTGCAAATACAACTCTAAAAGAAGAATTTATGTCTTATAATCTTTTTAATAAATTCACAGCTGAGCTAATTGACAAATTGAACATTGGTGAAGGTCAAGATAGTAAATCTTTTGAAGTTGAGAACGTTCAAAAATTTGTCAATTTTAATTATGATAATCAAGGTTCACTTATCTGCTACCCTAATTATGGATTATGCGATCTTAAAGATTCGTTTGCTAATTATGCAGTTATTAAATTGGATGAAAGTAATTTTTTAGATATTTTAATGAATGATTTTAAAAGTTTTATTAAACTATTACATAATTTTTTTTAAAAGATGAATATATAACTCCAATTTTGGCGGAATATCAATTTCTTAATGATTATGATAAATTGGAATATATTCAAGATAGTAATGGACCATTCGTTTTAATTCCTAAATACGTTAACAAATCTCAAACTTATACTAAAAGTGCAATATTTTATTTTGACGCCTCTGATTTAACTTCTGGAAAATATGCATGTATATCTTTAGTACACTGTACAAGCAGCGAAGTAGTATATATTAAAATAGCTTATCATAAAATTAGAATTATTCCAATGAGCTTTTTAAATAACTTGAGATTGTTAATTACCTTTCAAATGAAATGTATATTTGGTGAAATAGCTAAAAAGTCTGTTGGGAATGCTATATTTTTTAAATATATTAAGAAATTTTTTAATGAAGGATTAAGAGATAGTTTAAATTTTATGAATATTACGCAATATAATTATTACTTTAGTTTAAATAATAACCTAGAAACGATCAACTTTCAATCGTTCTTTTCTAATGATGATAGGAAATTATTAAAATCATTTTTAATGATTAAAAACTCTGATCAAATAGTTTATAATTTAAAACTATATATTCTTGTTGAGAGTTCATCGAATGTTGGGGAAAAAATATGCACTAATGATAAACTAGAGGATGGAATAATCAAATTCTGGATTAATGAACTATATAATAGGTTTATTTATTATTTATCATGCTGAGAAATTCTGCATTGTCATGATTATATTGCATCTTTTCAGACCAGAAATAGATAGGAGAGGTATATGTCTTAAACCAATTATATCTTGCAAGCGTAGGTGTAATTATGGAGAAAAATTAGACGAAAATGTAAAAGATTATTGTTTACCATGCCCAAAAGGCTTTTATAAAGATGGAATGACTATGATATTTTCTGAAGATTGTTTTCCTTGTCCTCCCTACACGTATCAAGATGTGCAAGGTAGCGAGAAATGTAAACCTTGCCTGAACGTCAATTCTTCAAACATACCATTAATAGGCAGTACAACGAAGGAAGAATGTTACTTTACCTTGTTCGATATTAATAATATAGCTGATAACAATTTTACAACCATATATTACGCTGAAATTGGTAAAATTGTTATTATGGATTGCATCAACGACTTCTTTAAGGCATTTATCTCTAACAATAAAATTACTTTTATTAGATGGAGAACACAGATAGGAAAGACCGTTTCAAATACAGATTCAAGCTTTCATATCATAAAAACAAAATTAAACATTTCACCAGTTAAACCTAGACATCATGGAATTTACACATGTTCTATTACTATTGAAACAAGTGATAATAGAGTTTTTTCAACAGAATTTACAAAGATTCTGATTGTTTATACGCTACCAACAATTAAACTTGCCCTACCTGGCTATATAATGAATAGATGTACAAAAATACTTAGTAAAAGTTGTTCAAAGCTCTTTAAAGGGAAAGGGAGAATTAAATATATGTTCTTTAAACTTTTTGGTATTTTAGATTATAAATATTTCCCCTGGCTACCATATGCAACACTTTTTAAATTTCGAAAGTACCGTATTTATGGAGGTACTAAAGACGAATACTTAGAAGTAAAAGTGGAGAAATTGAAATCATTAAAAGGAAGAACAGTATATAACTGTTCATTAAATGGAGATCTACCTAAAAGTAGACTTTACAGATCAAAGTATATGTTTCATTCAACTTTTTTCATTTTTGCCTTAAGAAGATCATCTAAGATATATAAAAAGAGATTAAGGAATATTAAAAATTTTTTAAAACTTAAGAAATGGTCTTTTAAATATTTCTTTTTTGCTGAATGTATATTACAAAATAAATTTGCATATCAGGACTTGTTTAAATTACTTGATAATAAGCAACGTAACCTTGTTCCTGTAATAAGCGGTACTTGTCGGAAAGGATTTGAATATGATATACTGTACTTGTTATGTTTGCCATGCCCACCGGGATATTTTTCAAATAAACTGTCCATTATTTGTAAAAAATGTAAACAGAAATTCTATTCAAGTAATTACGGTGAAAAGAAATGTAGAAAATGCAATAAAAATAAGATAACCCTTCATGATCGATCTTCAAAATACGAATGTAGAAAATTCGCTCTCGATAACAGCAGTTATCCAGTTTGGCATAGGAGAAGAGGGTCCAGCATACCAATTAGTCTTTCCTATTGGAGGGATCTATCATTAATTCTAACAGATAAAGACAAGGATAAAAAATATAGAAGATCTGTAATCAAAGAGAAGTTTTCCCCTCCAAACGAAAGAAAACTAAATTCTTCTAAATTTGAGTTTAATCTAAATGGTAGTCATTTCATTGAATTATTATCGCAAATAAGGTTATCTGGAAATATTCGTATTGTAAGCGTTTTTCTTACGATTATACATATTATACTTGTTAATTTTCTAATATATGGTATTTATAAACAATGCTCATACTATCAAGAAGACAAGACAAAACTCAAAGAGTATACTCTTGTCCTTCAGCAAATAAAAGGAGAGGGTTGTTTAAAATATATAAATTGCTTTTCAAAAAGAAACATTGAAGCGAATAAGCTTAGGAAACAGATTAAACGTATGATAAACAAGGCAAAGGGTTTAGATAATATTCTTAAGGATAATGTTCAAGAGGCTTTAAAAAAGAGGGTGTTTGGTGGTAAAAATCAACTAATTAAAACCATTGTTGATAGTTTAACAAAGGCTAAAGCCGAAAGAGCTTTAAGGTCCAAATTAAAACAACAAATTGAGGAGGAAGAAAATAAAATAAAAGAGGAAGAAGAACGTCTTAAACAGCAAGGTTTTAAAGGTTTGAGAGAAGCCAGGTTAAGTAAAGAACAAGATTTGGATGATTTTTTTGCCGGATTAATGGCAAATTTAGCTGATCGTCCTAAAGATAATAACAAAAGCTGATTATAGCTAAAATGAATGAGAATATAATAAACATTTGAATATAACGTACATGTATAAGAAGGATAAATTTAGAAGGAATTTCTCAGCATTCTATTGACGTTATTTATAAATAGTGTATCACTGTTTCCATGACAAATATTTTTTTCTCTATTTAGTACTTGAGTGGTAGTATAAGAGTTATTAATGCGGGCATTATATAAGGCATTGCCCGAGTATTGTTTTTGTTTTTAGAATAAAAGAGAAAAAGCTATTCAAAAGTTAACATTTGCTAAAAATGGATGCTCGTTCAAAGTCCTCGAGTAACTTTTCCTCAAATTGTAAGTACCCACCAGAGTTTTATTTATCATCATCTTTTAGAACTAAGTACGAAAATGAGGAGAGAAAGTTGGATGAAAAGCTTCATTTGTTATATTTAGAGAGATACAATATCAGAAAGAAGATAGAAATTGAACAAAAACTTTTCTTTATGAATAAAGCTTTACAAGGGAGGAGAAAATTGAAATTTGGTGATAATGAGACTCCAATAAACTTGAAACAATCGCCAAAAAATATGGTAAACGGTATTTTCCATAAGAAAACAAAATGTGAATTATATTATAATGAAAATCCTCAATTTCATACAAATATCGCAAAGACATCGTTGATAGATGAAAGCAATCTTGAGAGAATATGTTCAACATTACCCAATCATTTAAAATTAATTATTAATAAGAAAAGAAAGGAAATTGAATTTTTCAAGTTGCATAAACGTGAAATTATTGTGCAAGCTCATCGGATAAAGAGTTCAAGAAAGATACAAGATAATCAACAATGGAATAATCTTATTCGTTCATTAAATTTACTTGGCTTGTAGAATTAATCTTAGAAATATGTATTGCATATACAACAAAAGAAAATGAATCAATATTAAATCAAAAAATTAATTAACCTAATATGAGAGCACGTTAAAAGAAAAATAACGTAAATAACGTCAATTTTTTCATTTGTTGGCACGTAGAAATGGCAATAAATCGATCATTTATTATACTGTAGTTGTCTTCTTAAATATATAGTTATCCTATTTAATTTATTTCGATAATAAGCTATATCTTTCAATATCCTTTGATTTTCTTGAGGAAGATTTTCTCTGTTCATTCTTTCTTATTGCTCTTCCAAGTTTTTTCCAGATAATTTGCATTTTCCTATCGAATTTCATTTGTTCTTCGTAGTTACTCAAATCTTTCTTATATATTTTCATTAATTCATTTCGTAATCTATCAGTCTCCTCTGGTCCCAAAATTTCTCTTCTTATAGTTAAAAGTTTACTATGATGATCCAATCTATTAAATTTATAAAATGAATGTACAACATACATTAAAATTTATGTTACAGAATTTCCCTCACAAATTAAACGTATCATTCTGGATGTTATCGAATAAATTACTCTCCGATTTGCTCATCTTCTCCGTTTTCAAAGGATCGCGAACCTTAGCATCGCAATGTTGAATTAAATGATGAATAAACGATCCTATTACGTATAATATAGTTATGAAGGTTAAGGTAATCGGTATGGTAAAATATTGGAAATCCTCTCCGGAGAGGTAAGATGTTATAAAATTATTGGATTGTTTATTATTAGTAATTATGTTTGATTTTTTAGTTGCATATTTATATATTTTCCATTTTTCTTTGGCAGCTGTAAAAAGAAACAATTTACATCTTCCTTTAATCAACAAATCTAACGTTCTTTAACACTACAATAAAACCTCTTAAATAACTTATCTTAGATTAATTAAATAATTAACTGGCTTTATTATCTGATTATTTTAATCAAATAAAATATAAAACTACATTTAGCCTAACCATTTTTTAAATTATAAACTGAGGTAGTTGACTTGAAGATGGCGTTTCTCTTTTGTCTATTAAGTACAATTCGCTTCTTTAGCCATCTTAATGTTCTACTTGAAGTTTTTTCATCATCTCTGAAACATTGCCTCTTCGACTTGGAACCATTAGAAATAGTAGTTTCACCTTGATCGCAGTCAATACATTTTAATTTACGAGACTCACTTTGAAAACTTCCTTTTGGACAAGATATACAAATTTCTTTTTCAGAACTCCAAAATGATCCACGATTGCATGGATAGCAAACTGGGAAAAGGAATGTCGACCAAAACACTTTCTCATATCCAGGCCAACATTCGTAAATTAATTGATGAATTCTATCACTGTGTATTGTCTGTTTTCCAATAGAAAAAACTTTACTAATAACGGTACGCATTGCATATTCAATTAACGGCTTGTCTTTATCACCCATTCTCATAATATTTTTATTGGATAAGCAAACTTCTTTATTCCAACTATTTAAGCAATACTGTTCATTTTCTTGCAAGAGTAATGGTTTCCATTTAACCTAAAACATCTGTTGCAATTATAAATGGCAAGATAATGATAAATAGTCATAATTACAGTTGTAATAATATTTCTATCTTTATTAATTTTAATGCATCTTAGATATATGGTAAAATACGTTTTCGTACAATTCTCTGATCCAATTATTCTACATATCATTTGCTAAATTATATATCAACTTATAACGTTTAAATATACTTGCTTCGACTTTCATTTACCTTAATATTTCGTAATCTCTCATTAACTACCTCACAATTATATTCCGATTTAAAGGAGAAAACAATTTGCATAAATCTAACTGGAAATATAGCTAATTTTATAATATATCTGGAATAATATATTACAGAATGGCCATCGCGAACGCCAGTTATTGAACACGCATATGTGCCAGTATCTTCCTCTGAATTAATCTTTATGTGTAGTTCTTCTTTATTATCGGCTTTGAAATAACGTTTTCCGTTAAAAAACCAATGAATAACAAATCGAAAACCTAACTCGTAAATTTGTTCCAAAGAGATACATTTCAATATCTTTTCCGTGTTTTTTAATGTGTAATAGATCGTTGATGATTCAATATTGTTATCTCTATTGAGATTTGTACTATTTATCCATAAAGTATGACAATAAATAACTTCTAAAAGGATATTACTGAATAAGAATAACTTGATTAAAATTATAAACATGTTCAATAAATTGAATAATTTCGATATAAACAAAATAGAACAATTAGTAAAATTTTCAAAAATTGAATGTATTTTCTAAATAGAGTTCATATATACAGATTTTTTTTTTGAAAAAACAAAACTTTCAAGAATTCAAACGAAATTGTTTTTTTTTTAAAAGAGAATAAATGCAAAGGAGAAATTAATATCACACGGTCGGTAAAATTCATTCATCTACTTTTAGCTGATAGAACAGCCACCAGGTGAGTCCACTTCTTCTTCATCGAAAATATCATCTTCCTCTAACTTTGGCAAATTGTCAAGTATTAGTAGAGATGGAATATCTCGGAATATCCTAGATATAGATTATAATTAAATATAATCTGTTAGAGTTTTTATCAACTTACTTTTGTCTGTAGTTGGAAATAGCTACAACAACAGGATTTCCAGGTTTCATAATCAGAGACTTCAAATTGGTATATTTAGCCAAAACTTTGATATCACTTAAAGTTCTGATATAGTTATGAGATAAATCCAGATGGGTAATTTTTGGAAATTTTGGAAGATTCTATTTTAAAAAATAAATGAATTATTTCTTTAGAATTGATATCATTTCTTTGAAAAACACAAAATCAAAATTACCTTGAAGCAAGGTATATGATTTCTACTTAAAGTCAAACTTTCACATTCAGGGAATGTAACAGTTTTCAGATCTACTAAATCATCTTCAAGTAGACAAATATCTTTTGCGGAAGTAAGTCGTCTTAATACTCGTTTGAAATTTTCTTTTTGAAAAGGCTGAGCCAAATCTTGATAGGAGAGATTAGCAACTGTTAAATTTTCCCAACTTTCAGTTGAATCTCTATAATCTAGCCTGTCCTTTCCTCTTCGATTATGGTGAATAAATTTATTATTACTTGAATCTTTAATACGATAAAAGTATTTTTCCTTCTCGGGTGGACCTTCCCGAATTCTTGGCGCTTTGAGCTCGTGGCCCTTAATCGATGTTGAATTTAAGTCATGCCAAACAGAATACCGATAACGATGGGAAGGAAGCTTCATAAGGTGGGAAATAATATCAAGAATACGTTTATTAAAAAAACAGTGAAAATAGGCCTATATCTTAAAATACTTTGGGTAATTGCTTTTTCTCAGTTTTGTTGTCCTCCTCTGAGCTTAATAACAATGGTCCGCCAGATAGTTGTGATGAATCACCATTATCCGTTAGTGTAGGAGTTAATCTATTGATTATTTAATGTAACTATTAATCAATGTAATGAATGAAGAAAATTATTAAAGGCAAACCTATCTGTCATGATTGTTGCCAAGGACGCTGATTATAAATAGACTTTCGAGATTTTTTATCGGAAGATTTCTACTTGAGGAAGTTGACTTCCGTATTGCTAAATTAGTAAAAAGTCTTACGAGATTCTGATTCTATTCTCTAAGTTGAGGCAATTCGTGCAAAAAATATATATAAAATATGTATAAATTTACATAAAATAACAATCATTCACTACTTAATCGTTTATTGATCAAATATTCATATATATACAAAGGGGGAGGGGAGCCGAAGAAATTCAAATTGTAGCCTATGCCCCTCCAGGCTAGGAAATGATGGATAGTATGTAAAGTGTAAATTGTTTCTATTATCTTGGTGAAAGCTGATCATTAGTCTTAAAGTGATGGAAATATATTCAAATATAATAGAAAATGCCTCGCAAATTGAAAATTCCTTATTGCAATACATCAAATAAAAAAGAAGGAGTTGTTCAAATAACTTTTTCAAATAAACTTTTGTCGACTGATGATAAAGGAGATAAAAGATAGTATTCTTTAAAGATTCTAACTAAAACCTAAATATTTATGAGTAATTTTATTTTTATCTATTCGCTGCCTGAACTCGTTATCAGATTCCCATAACAACAGCTATTTTATCTTATATACTATAGAAAAGATGGCTGCTACCGCAAGACAGGAACGAGAATTGAAAGAAAAGTATCAAAAACAGTTAAATAAAGGCTCTTTATCGCCGCTAGAAATGCTTAGAGCCTATGCTCTTTCTCAAGGTGTAAGAGGTATTAAAACACTAGCTACATGCTTTAAAAGAATAGACAAAAATGGAGATAGACGATTAGACTTTAGAGAATTTCAACAAGGCCTAAGACAGGATGGAATTATTGTAGAAGAGAGTATAGAAAGAGAATGTTTTGATGAAATAGATACAGATAAAACTGGTGAATTGAGTTTTGATGAATTTCTTGTGGCCTTAAGGGTAAAAAACTTTTTATTTTTCATCTTTTCTTCGATTAAAATAAAAAAATTACTGTTGCAGCCTCCAATGTCTAATAGTAGATTGAAATTAATCAATATGGCTTTTAATAAATTCGATAAGAATGGAGATGGAGTGGTTGATTTTACCGATTTGAAAGGCGTTTATAGTGCCAGAATGCACCCAAAGTATAGAAGCGGAGAATGGAGCGAAGAGAGAGTTTTCCAAGAATTCCTCAATTCTTTTAACGGACCTCTAAAAAATGATGGAGTTGTAACCAGAGAAGACTTTGATAATTATTATGCTGGTGTTAGTGCGTCAATTGATAGCGACGTTTATTTCGATTTAATGATGAGACAAGCTTGGAAACTATAGATTTTTTTTTGGTTTACCTTTTACCATTTCATTTAAATATTCATCCAAATAAAATAGTCTAGAAACCTTACTCCATAATCATTTAAAAGTTTGAAGATTAAGTTGATTATGCAGATTAGGTAATATTGAAAACAAAAAACAGGGTAGAAGATATGAAGCACAACAAAACTGTCCTCTTTTTATACATTAAATATTTAATAAACTTTAGTTTTTTGACTGAAAAACTTGCCAAACTATTAAATTACTTTTGTCATGCTTTGAATTTTCACTTTCTAAACTCTCTTCCAATCTAAAATCAACGTATCCTTCGCCACCTGACAAAACCAATTCGTTCTTTTTCGCTCTTCTTCCAGGACTGGATGACGATGCTGCACTTAAACCACTAACTTTTTGACCTAGTAATATAAATTATTAATATATTTTATTTTCTATGGGAATTCTAAAGATATTTACCAGGAACACTAATAAAAAATATTACTCTATCTCGATGTCCATGGAAACTAACTTGAGCTTGGGCCATAGTGCAATATGGAATGAAAGATGCTGGCGAGAGTTTATCAGTTTGCGGATCTCCGTAAACTCTAATGACCCCTCCGGGTGTCCCTCGAGAACTTCCGCTAGTGATAACTTTACGTTGTTGCTGTTGACTAGAAATAGGGATGGAAACAATTACACCATTTCCTGTACCAACCCAAAGTCTTTGACTTGCAAGAAGTAAAGATGTTACTCTTACAAAAGAAAACCCAAGTCTACCGCTACCAAGCATCATTTCTACATAGGGCTCCATGTCTATATCTTGTAGATGCTGATGGGTATGAGAATGAAACAATCGAAGAGTAGAGTCTAATCTGATGGAAATCCAAACACCATCTCCTAAATGAGCCATTTGTCTTACTTGACTTTCTCTTCTAGGGTGAACTTCGAAAGTGTTCAGAACTTCCAAAGTGTTCGAATCAACAACCAGCACCTTATTTTTATATCCGCACCAAACATGCCTTCCAGCATTAACAACAACCAAGCACCTAACTGCACAATGTGGTTTACCGACATCTAAAAGATGATATTCTTTCATATTCCATTGTCCATCTTCTGTCCTATGAAAAACAGCCACTGTCCCATCAGCCAAAGCTATAAAAGCTCTTCCTCTGACATAGGCAATTTGAACAACAGCGTCTGGTAATTTTACTGAATGAATACGTTTGTGCCAATTCTTAATAGAAGAATGAACATAAACATTCCCATTAGAAAAGCCCAACCACATTGTTGGCAGAAGACTACTTAACTTTTCTGCCTCACTCTCCGCTAAATTCCAACCATAATCGTCCTCTTTACAAAATTCTCGCGTTGCATCATATTTAGGTCCATGTGTAGGACTCATTTCAATACTTGAAGTTGAAGCTGTCATCTCTCTACTCAAAGAAGGCTCTTTTTCTTCTAAATAAGAAAAGTACCATTTTATAGTTTAGTTAATAAGACAGTTTTTCTAGTAAAGGAGCAATTACAGTGACTAAACTAATTTTTTTCAATTAAACATTAAATACTAAGAAAGAAAAAGAGTTATATCACTGAATTTTACTCCCAAAATCATTGCTAGATTCTACCTTTATATACAGAAAGAGCATGTATCGCTCGTTTTACCGCAGCCACACTGGCTTGTATTTCAGAAGAATTAGGAGCAGAATCTGTGCAAGACCAACAAGATGCAACATAACAACATCATGCACTATAACTTTAATTATTAAAAAAAAGCTTAGTAGGAAACTTGACAGTTTCGAATAAAGTCAAAAATTAAATAGACTACGATTGATTCATGGGCATGCTATATGTGCAAACCAAAGGTTAACTATAAAAGAAAACATTGATTGATTAATTATCTAGTTACAAAATTTAAAGCTAGGTGATTAAAATTTAAAGTTAAAAACTATCTTAATTACAAACCGGCAGGTGGATTGGATTGGTCTTGTTCTTGTTCTTGTTCACCTTCATCATTAGTTTCTTTTTGTCCAGTAGCACAATGAACAAATGTAATATTACCAATTTTGGGTTCAGTATTTGGTTTAGTAGCCGAAGGTGTAGGGGATGCAGAGCTTTTAGCAGGTAATTTATCAGCAGTTAGATTCACTTTAATATTATCAATTGAGGAGTAGTCAGTTTTTAAGGTTCCTGTTCAAAAGGTAAATGTTTAAAATTCATTTAAGAAGATAAATATAAAGATATTACCTGGAACGCTTGTCATACAAATTATTTGAGATTTTTGACTACATGTGAAAGTCTGGATTGTCTCTGATGGTTTGTTAGCGTCAATTACTTTGACTTTGCTTTCTTTTCCATTATAGGTTGCAATCCAAACGAGGGATGAGAGTCTTTCTTCTATTGCAGTATATTCATCATAATCTTTAAGCTCCTTATTAATTTTTTCTAACTCTTCGTTGTCTTTATTCTCGTTCTTCTTATCATTATTTCCTTGGCTATCTCTCTTCTCTGTTTCTTCTTTGCCCTCGGTTTTCTCACCAGAATAAAATATACTTGCTCCAACAATACATCCACCATCTCTTGTTTTCCCTCCTCCGAGCTTCACAGCCGCCGCACAAGATACTTTCATTGCTGAGTCATCATCAATGAGACTCCCATAATGAATAGGATAGGGAACTGAAACCTGAGAATTATTTTGGCCTCCTTTAGTAGTTAGATCTTTAGCAGTAACCTTGTTTGAAAGAGACCAACCATAGGCTTGTATTCTACCATCATCTTTCTTTGCGTAGCTTCTTAGTCGTTTAGAGTGTTCTTTTTGTTTTTTAGCTACATCTTCTTCCTGAAGAAAGTCGAAAGCTTTAGCTTTATTACCCAATGATTCTTCCATTAATTCTCGCTCTTCTTTATTCGGATCACCAACTGGCTTAACAGAGGATGAGGGGGCAGAGAAACGAATTGAAGCGGAAGGTAAAATTGCTTTTTTATTTTGAGCTTTAGACGAAAACATAGAACTGAATCTGAAATGTAAAAGATATTTATTTATAAACAAATGAAAAGATAAGAAAAATAGAATATCCCCATTCCTTTGATTTCTTTCAGAAATTTAATCGTTTTTAATCGAACGAAAACAAAAGTAAATAGTCATATGTTATTTATTCATGTTTCTCGAAAAACAATAATTCAACTAAAGATCAGAAAGTTTTATTCTTCATTAAATAATTATAGAATCTTGAATAACAAATAGATTCATGCACAAGGAATTAAAGACTTTTGCTATAAACCAGGTTCTTTCAGTCATTTTTAAACAGCGACGCTTATTAAATCAAGAAAAATCGTTTTTTTACCATGATTCTCATTTTAGCAGTCATATATAGAGAGATTGGATTATTTTCATGCATTAATTAATTATATCCTTGAATTTAAAGATGATATATTTTAATATATAAATATATACATGTATATAAATATGTATGAGGACATATACTGTCTATAAGTAGATATGTAGATATTTATAGACAAGTCTCTTTTCAAGTGAAAACTAAAAAAAATGGCATCTAGATGTTTCATATGGCAATATTTTTAAGGTATTTTAGGTATTAATATCAAAGCAAGATTTGGGAAAAGCGACAAAATGATAATATGGCAGTTAAATCAAGCCACCATTTTAACAGGAAATCAAATTTCATATTTTCCTCTAAGGAAACATAAACCCCTCTCCAGATGAATTGCAACAATAACAACAAGAAAGATCAATTGAAATTTCTCATATAATAAACAATATAAATAAACAAAAAACACTTGACATTCAAGCATTTTTCAACCTTTTTATCTGTAACTTTAATAACTTTACAGAATTAAATCACTTTTTCGCAGATCTCTTCGTAACTTCAGGAGTTTTAACATCCTTATTCGGTTTTGTAGGGTTTCCCAATAAATGGTCGAAACTGATTATTAATACAATATGAAAGCACTACCAATTAAGTCTTATTCCATCCCTTAAACAACAACTATTATTATATTTTCCCTATGAAATCTAGTGGTTACATTACTTGATCAAAATAGCAACAAATATAAAAGATTTTGCTAATAAAACTATTGGAAAATTGAGTTGCTTTTGTTATCCCGAGAATTCCTTAGATTCCCAAGGAAATTATTATAAATTCCAATTTATACTTACATATGCCAAAGTCCACTACGTTTCTCCTGGGATTGCTTATTTCCTGCTAATTCGGGGTGCTCCTTAGAAGCTCTTAGCATTTCAGTCCATCTAACGGCCTCTTGTAATTCCATTAAACGTTCTTTGTACTGATTTCTTTCAGTAAGTACACGAGCCATTTCAACTCTGGTAAATCGCTTCCGCTGACCAGTAGGAAGCTCTTCTTCCTGTTTATAAAAATAGATTTATTTCAATTATGAATTAAATCAATGGAAGTTAATAAAGCTATACTTTATCCTCCGCATTAGACGTTTTTAACTTTTCAATTTCTTCCCTTGATTTCTTAACTTCTCCCTCCAATTCAGAAACTCTCTTGTTTAATTTCTCCTTCACATTTTGTAAAGAATTGATTTCCTCTCTCAAAATTTCTTGTTCACTAAAAAGTTATAATAGATAATGTAGGAGAATAAATACTTGAACAAACAAAAAGTTTCTCATGATTTAAACGTTTCGCGACTACACAGCTATTTTAAGTATAATCTTTAACCTTCGTTTTCTTTATTTTCTTTTTTAAAAAAAAACCTGATCTACCTCCTGAATAACATAGGTATATAATCTTCATCTTCATCTAGATCAGAGATAATATTCTCTCTAGGAGAAGGAAATTTAAATTATGCATATAAAAGAATAAATTCTTTTTTCATGCATTGAAAATTTGATTTGATTAGTAAAATTCAAAATCAAAAGGGAAAAAGTTTTTATTTTAGTAATAATAATTATTATTTATAAATATTAAATTTCCTTCGTTTTAGTAAAATTCAAGGTAGAAGCACAAGAATATTTTAATATAACACACCTTGTTAATTCGTCCACTTTTGCAATCAGGTCATCTTTCACAACATTCAATGCGTTTCTGTAGTTTAATAGAAAGAAAGTTTGCAAATCATGCATTATAGTTAAAATATAGGATTTGGAATAAAGATAAAGCAACAAAACAACCAAAAGTTAAGTTAATAAGTTATAAGTAATAATGATAATATTAATAAATGTATGCAAACTTGGTTGTAAGGAGTTCAGTATTTTCCAAAATTAAATTTTCAACTTCTTTTCCCATTCCTGTAGAATATTTAAAATGCAAAACATTATAAACATTTAATGCTTAATTTTATGGAAATTAGTTAAAAGCTAATTAAATAAAAAGAACAAAACAGACTCTTCCTTTTTCCTCTTTTTTTCTTTCTTTCTCTCTCTATTACTATCTTTTTTGTTAATGTAATAAAAAGAAAAAGCCCGTTTTCGTTTTGTTTTTTAGAGCGTTTTTCCCTATTTTTTATATAATAGTTAAAAAAAGTTAACATAGGAAATACCAAAAGCTACAATAAAGAGTAAGTTAAAGCTACTTTCTTACCGTAGAAAGTGTCACTGACTGCGTTATGGATAAGCATGGTTCACAAAAAATACAGAGATAAATAAAATGAAATAAAGGTTCACTTATTTTCTTTTTTGCTATTAACTAGAAAGATGAATAAGTAACCAAAAGTGAAAGGAAAGCAACAACTTTGACTTTTTAAAGTATGGATGAATATGGAATAATAACAATTAAAAATTTGTGAAAATAAGAACATTAAAACAATGATTAAATAAGCTTAGAATAAAAGAGTACATCTACTACTAGGAATTTTTCTCTCTTGTCAATTATAATATCATATGGATAGGATAAATGTTAGATTTATAAGAGATATTAGAAAATTCCTGGTAATCTCCTGTCTTTTTTATAAAAGTAAAAAAATATTGAATCTATCTTCTATTACAACATTTTATACTAAGAAACACACCGGAAGAAGCGTAATCGCCTGGACTAATCAATCTTTGAGCTTTTAAATGGAAAGATGAAAGATATCAATGACAATCTTTTGGTAACATAAAATTTTTATGATTATTCTTTACGATTTCAAATATAAGATAGAGAAATCGGTTTACGATAAAGCTGCAATATTTCTATTTATTTCGGATAGGAAGAATGTTACCTGCAATGTCGATATTTTCTTCATCAACTTTTGGACTAGCGTGTACAACTTCTTCATAACCAACATTCGATGTTTGTAATCTAAATAGAGAAATAATAACAAACAGATATTAATACATTCGAAAACACAAGTATAAAAATGACAAAAGTAGCAAATTATCTCAAAAAATGAGTACAAACTTGTGTTTGCCTGATTGAATATCAATGTTTTCAGGTGATGGTAAATCGTCCCCTAAAAGTAGATTGATTTATTCAATTTTTGCTCAAAAGAAGTGAAAGAAAAAGAAAGAGAAAAAGAAATGTTTGTTTCTCTTTTCATTTTACCAGACAATAAAACATCAGAGGAAACAAGAACATGCATTTCATCGTTAGACTTAAGCAATTCAAACTTCTTGATAATTTCAGTAGAATCATTTTTCTCACTAAAACTTTCATCATTTCCTGATAGTCTATCTTTTTCGTATGCTGAAATATAAACTAAAAAATAAAACAACTAACAGATAAGAGGGAACAACCAAATATTTGCATTTTTGTTACGTCATTCGTGTATCAATACGAATCTAGATCGTGCATTGAAAACTAATTGATCAACTAGGAAGTTAGTGATTTAAAAAAAAAACCATAACCATAAAATAAGAATTAATGTATCTGGATCTGAATAAATCATGTTTATTTAACTTACATTCGCAGTCAATAGGTTGTTTACTATCGTTTGCAATAGGCTCCTTTTCTGTTTCTTCAGTCTCAGATTTTTCAACATTCTAAGTATTTAATCCGTTTAAAAATAGAGGTATTAAGAAATTACAACACTTAATGCTAACTTGCATTTCATTATGCAAACTTGTTATAGGTTTTGTCCTTTCTAAAGGGGTTATGGAGCCAGGATATCCGTCAGGGGTTTTACCAACATCAGAACCGGCAGGTAAATCAGTGCTGTATAATCCTAATTGTGCATTTACCGGTCTAAGTTGTGGTAGAGTCATTTGGCTTCTGAAATTTTATGCAAATAAAAATGAATATTTATTTATTTAAATGCGTTAACTGACTTTTTAACTGTTATCGATGAATCGACGATTCTATCACCAGTCATTAGAAATTTGGTTTTTTCCATATATTCCATATGAGTTTTGAATAGTTCTGTGTATCTGTCATGTAGTTTTGAATATTCCTTCTTTAATTCAGATTCTTTATCTTCTAATCTCATCACTGTTTTGAACATTTTTGAAAATATATTCTTTATTTGGAATATTATTAGCAAAATAGAGATAAATCTTAAAGATAAATTCAGTATATAATATCATACGAACCATGATCTTGAACATTTTTTGCTTTTAGTTCAAGCATTCTAACATTAGATTCCAAAGTCTCTACCTTATCATCCATCTCTTTTCTTTCATCTTCAAAATTATCTTCTAATTCTAACTGCTTTTGCTCTACAGTCTTCCTTAGTTGTTTCTCCCTTTCGTATTGGGTTAATAACTGTTCATTATCTTCTTTATAGAGCTCTAAATCGACTTCTTGCTCTTGCTTTTCTGTGTAAGCATTATCAAGACTTTCAAGTATGCCGACTACCAACGGCATCAAAGATTGAACAACGTCTTCATCATATTTTGTTATCATTTTCTCAAATTCCTTGTAAACGGTTGAGGCAAGGGTTCGTACCCTCTCGGACATGACGTGAGCATCGCTGTCAGTCAGATATACTGTTTCTTCTGAATCTTTCTCCATTTATAATCCTAATCAACAATCAATGTTTATGAATATTTTAACTAACAAAATTTATGTATTATGCTGAATTATGAACTAATGAATTCGTTAGATTCCTGTTAAATCACAGTTTTCATCCTTCAATCTAATATTTTTTTTACATTTGTGTCATGTAGGTGGCGCTGTCCGTTTCTACCATTTTAAAATATCGAATCTTTTACTTTTGGCGGTAAATACAAATCTCACTTATGAAATGATAAGTATTTGAAGAAAAACAAGTTATATCCTATAATACAGTAATTTTAATTTTATTGCTAGATATGGATTAATTGTTATACACGACAAAGAACAAGCTTGATTAGTCTTCATTGATAAACACACTCTAGTGAAATGGATTATTAAATATCGATACTAGTGAAATATTTTGAGGACATAGTTCCAGACTTTTAGCAAATAAGATACGTTTATCTATGTTTATGGAAGAGCCAACCTAGTAGTAAAATTATCACAGCCTCTTATTTCTAATCCTGGAGTGGGTGAACTATATACATTCGTAAAGGTTTCTTCAACTGGTAACTCTGGATCAGATTTGGCTTTGTGGTTAGCTTCTTCAATTTCTTTTCTGATTTGTGAATCAATTTCCTTCAGTTCTTGAGCGGTTGCCAATTCAGAAGATATAAGCCTCTCCTTAAAACCTGAAATAGCGTCTCTGGTGTTTCTAACTTCTTGAATCTCGGATCTTGTGCGGTAACTGGTTCCAGGATCAGACATCGAATGACCAGAGTATCTGTAGGTACCTGCTTCCATAACTAGTGGACCCTTGCCCGATCTAATATATTCGCCAGCCCATTCAGTCGCTGAGCGAACTGCTAGAACATCCATTCCATCTACCCAAATACCAGGAATGTAATCACCCCTTGTATAGTAGCTTGTACTAGCTGATGATCTCGCAATACTGGTGCCCATGCCATAGCCGTTATTTTCACACACAAATAGACAAGGAAGATTCCATAGTTTTGCAATATTATACGCTTCAAAGACTTGTCCTTGATTAGCCGCTCCATCACCATATAACGCAACAGTAAGGTTTGGCAAATTATTAAACTTTTGGGACAAAGCAATACCTGCCCCCAGAGGTACCTGAGCACCTACTATGCCATTTCCGCCATAGAATTGATCTCCGTACATGTGCATAGAACCACCTTTTCCCTTTGCAACTCCGGTTTTTCTGCCGACTAATTCTGAGAGGATAGCGTGAACAGATGATCCTTTCATATAGGTCCAGCCGTGTGCTCTGTACGCTGTAATAACTGCATCATCTTTTTTCAGAGATGCACTCATTCCAACGCAAACTCCTTCTTGTCCAGTGTACAAGTGACAAAATCCTCTAATAGCTTTTTCTTGATACAAAGCACTAGCTGCGCGTTCCATTAAACGAATAGTTTGCATCTCAGTATAATATTTAAGTCCTTCTTCTCTCGTGAGAACAGCATCAAGCTTGGGGCCATCCTTCTCTTCAATCAAATGCAATTTATATGGCTAAAAAAATTAAAGAAAAAAGATTATCATAAAACTTAGATAATATCCTCAATATCATCTTGGTTCTCGATTGAGTATCAACGTCCAATCTCTAACATTTATGAAGACCGCCTATCTTGTCAAAAAGTTACTATGAAATCTATATATAAATATTCAAAATTTTATAAGTGTATGGTTCATAAGCTTAAAAAAATTTTGATTTGTTGGAGTTTTTATCTATCCTTGCTCTATTATCGTCTACCAGTGATTCGCTTTGTTTTCTCTACATGAATATAACTAATAGATTTTTAAATAAAAAAAATCATACATATTGTATGGTAAATTTTGCTTCCGTAACTATATTGCGTCTTCCACCTAAAAGAAGATTCTGAAATAAATGAAATAGATGAAGCATGTATAAGCAGTTTTGTTTAAATATCCTTACGTTAAACCTTCTAGCAAGCGACAAAACCTTTATGCTTGAATTCATTGTAATTCCTAAAGTCAACAATAAAACGATTATCTTTCAAGTTATGATATTTAATGAGAAAATTAGCAGTATTTGAGAAAAAGGTCGAAGACCTTGACAAATTCAAACTCCTATGCAAATTATAATAATAGTCGTCTGCTAAGGTGCAGAACTACTAAACGAGATATAGAGTCATCTAGCGGATATAAAACGAACTGGAGTCACTCGTGATGATGACTCAAAAAATATATCGAACGAGGCTTGATGAGCACGAAGAAAACGTGCGCATGCGCTGGCAATTAATCGTGTTAAAATTGCACGAATTAATCCCTGGAATCTATTGATTAGATGTAGTTGAGGCGTAGTTTATATCATCATCTAAAAATAGTTGTAACTCTAAGAAAAACTAATGGAATAATCACACTATTTAATTGAATAAATAACTTGAAAATAAGAACTATTAAATTCCAATAAGCTCTCAAATGTAACAACTTTCAAATAAGTGAAATAGTAAAGTCATTAAAATATTCTATAGAATATATATTATATAAGGTACAAGCTTAGAAATAATACAATAATTTAACGTATATAGAATAAAATTCACCAGTATTATTATATTCTTATTATATAACATATCAAATTAATAAGTTAGAGTAAAGATGTAAATAAATAAATATAAATTAAGTGTTTTTACAAGCAATTTAATTAGAATCGTCAATCATAATAAAATAGTTACAAAGAGCTGAGTTCATTTATTTCTCTCTGATTCATTATTATATTCGGATTTTGATTCTTTTCATGAATGAGAAAGTATAGCAAATATAGTTTTATTATGAATTAGTATCTATTACTTCATATGTTGCTATATTGTTGTTGAGTCAGTTATGGCAACAAAAAAAAATTTCTATAGTCCTATTAATAATAACGTTATCCATTTTAAAATTTAATTCATATTTTAATTTTGCAGAGTTTATCAAGTGTACAATATATATTTGTTATTGTTATACTGTTTGTATACAAAATGCAGTATATATGCAGTATATACAGTATATATATATATATATATATATATATATATGTATTTATTTACGTACTGTATATATGTGTATAGGATAATTAACCTGAGTTCTCACTATTCGATTTTTTTTATTCCAGGAAGGATTGCGCATATGTTTATAAGTTATTAAATAAATTTCAAGGTTCGCCTAAATTCGAGCTATATTGTTCCCAAACTCTTTTATTTATGACAAACTAAACTATGTTGTAATATATTCAACATGTGTTTTTTTTTCTTATTATAAAGGAAATTCACTGTCTCTTTTTTTTTCATTTCAACATTTTTCAACTAAATGAAGAAAAGTAAAAAAAAGTATAATGGTCTAAAATTTCAGTTAATTGGATAGAGGAAAAGTGAAAGTTACTCGTTCAGGAAAGTAAGAAAGGTTAGTTAGTGCAGAAAGATCATCAAAAGCCTTCATTTCTTTTTATTATTTATTAATGTTTTCCAATGTTAATTAAAATAATATTTGGCTTTCGATTAATTTACCTTCAATTACGATTAAAGACACTTGGTTATTCTGTTTTCAACAATTTGTCAGAGGAATATGAATTTTTTATGGTTAAATTCAAAATTTTTATTATATTTTCGTTTTCTGCTTGTAAGGAGGACGATGATTGGCTCTTGCCTACGTCAAAACATAGTTAGCATATAGTCATTTGCATAATGTATGTTCTTTGTCCACCAGCTGTTAGGCCAGATGTAAACAAAGCATTGCGACGGAACTCTGTTGTTGCGCACTTCAAGAGGGAAAAATAGAGTTTCATATGTGATCTCGGTATGGTTTTAGTCGACATCATACTGTATACATTTAGAATAGATGGGTCTTTTTGTGAGTGGTTCCTTCTAAAGTGTTTGTTTACCATGTTGTTACCGCGCCAGTAGTATTTCGTAATACATCTTGCCTGGATATTTTTGGCGGTAAAAACGGTTCTCTGTCTCTAACGATAGCTACCTTTTCAGGTCTGAATAATGAAAACATTCCAGGCCTATCTACCAGATAAATGCCATAGGACCTACAGCTGCGTTCATTGCAGAGCCCATTTGGCAGACCATGACGACTTGATATCTAAGGTTTGTAAATATTCAATTTGCAGAAAAAAAATTTGTTATCCGACTGAGTAAAATCCGAAAGAAACCTCATCTAATATCTTTATTCCAATCACACAGTCTTTTCAAGGTAGCCAAGGACGTGCCTACCTCTTTAATTCTGTGTAAGTATTAACTTGCGCATCTTTCTTTTTATTTTTTCAACGTGACTCCATTCTCCCATTTCCTTCTTCAAGGGTAAATATTGGTCAGGGACAAAGTGAAGATAGAGTTTTACTTACTGGATTACATTCTGTAGCCGATATATACTGCGAATGCTGTAATACAACTCTTGGCTGGAAGTATGTAAGTTGATAAAATATTACTTTATTAAAAGAGACAACAACCATAATTGAAAATAATTTAATATAAATATAAAGGAACATGCATTTGAATCGAGTCAGAAATACAAAGAAGGAAAATTTATAATAGAACTTGCTCATATGATCAAAGACAACGGATGGGAGGAATAAATGAAAAATATATATATATATATATAGATATAAAGAGAGAAAGAAGGAGAGAAAAAAAGGAATATTACAATTATTATATATATATATACATATATATATATATATTTCTACAGAATGGAAAAAATATGACTGCAAAAGAAAAAAAAAAAAGTGAAAAAAAGAAAATTTTTCTTCCGTATGTTCTCTTGTATTTGTGTATAAGCGTTGTACTGATTTAGATTACTACCCGCAAAAAAAATCTATTTATTTTCTTTTGGAGTAGGTAACAGTATTCATATATATTATATATATATATATATATATATATAAAATGTATTTTCTAATGTAAAAGAAGAGATCTTAAACTTCATCATTTGACTTCTTTAACAAGTTATACAGATATTTGGACTGCATCGTCTTTTTACGTGTTTTTATTCCTTTTTATATTTTGTATACTTATATATTGTCTTATATACATATGCTTTATGATTATTGCATACAGTCATTTCTCAGTGCCTAAATATATGCTTAATATGTTTTACATTTCTTTTTTTTTGTAAGAGAATAAAACAAAATTCTAAATAAATGCTTTAGAGTTGTTATCTCTCATCCTTATCCTCTTTTCTATTCTTATCTTCCTCTCTCTCTCTCGCTCTCACATTTACCATATCTCTATTGGCTGAGTTATTTTTTGTAAACAACTTGCTTTTCTTCCTAGTTCTTAGATGTTAGGAAGAGAATATTATCGACTTTTTTTTCATATACATCTTGCTCAGGTGAACCGCAGTCATTTGATTCTTTTAATAGAAAAATCATTAGGTTTTCGGTACAAGGAACATTATTAAAACGTACAGGGTTTTTTTTGCATTAGTGTTTCTTTATACGTGTAGTTGATAAATGATAGAAAAAAAAAACAACTTCAAAAAGTCATTTGCTATTTTACACTAAAAACGAACAAAATAAAGATGAAACTATTAAGTTTGGTTTCTACTTTATTCGATAGATGGCCTTTTGATTAATTTTTACGCGTTTTAAGCGTCACCTATGGAAAGAAGTGGACGGGAAATGACCAAATAGAGGATATATAAAACTTAGTTTTTTTTTAAATTAATTATGCCAACTATTGAAATTGGAAAACAATATGATAAATGGCTTATGTATAAATCTCATTCTTCTTTGAAATCGAACGAAAACTTTGTTGAATATCTTCTTTCATTGTAAATATACAAAATGATTCTCATTTCTGACTGGATCTTTAATTTCGATTTTTTTCAATGTTTTGCAGATATGAAGCCGAAACAGGTATTCGCTTTAATTCCAAAGAGGATAGTTTGGTTATTGAAGACGAAAATAACAAAACTACTATAGAATGTAAAAACTTAGAGGATGACATTTGTCAAAAAGAAAATAGAGTGAAAAAAATATTCGAATTGGAAAAAGGGACTGTGTTGGAGTTAATTGAACCTTCTGAAGTTAAAACACTAAATAAGAATTGTCAAAAAGATGAAGTAAAAAAAAAAAGAAAACCTTTGCCAGATAATAAAGAGCAAGTCAAAATTAACAGTGAAGATATTCAATTAAAGTGTAACTATTGTGATTTCGTATGTTCCAATCGAAGAGAATTTGGTCGACATAGAAATACTAAACATCGACTTGAACATTTTCGGTGGAGAAACGCCCTCCGTGGTCAACTCAGTAGGAATGTTCATGATCCTGTAGTTTGCGATCAATGTGGTAAAATGCTTCAAAACAAGTACAAATTGTATTCTCATAGAAGTTCAGTTCATTCTGCCAAAAAGTACGTTTGTTCTTTCAACGGATGTGATTTTTCAGCAACTACATCGTCTAGATTAAGTCAACATCAAAAATGTGTTCATAATAGAGCCTCATTTCAATGTTCCGATTGCGGAAAGTGTTTTAAACGTTCCGATACCTTGAAGATTCACATACGGGCAAAGCACACCGGTGAAAAGCCATATTCATGTCCTCATTGCGACGAAAAATTCTTTGATATGATTCAAAGATATTCTCATCTTCTTAGGAAGCATCAGGATAATGAAGGGAGGAGTTTTATATGCGATATATGCAAAAAGGCTTTCAGAACTCTTGCCTCCAAAGAGAGGCATCTGGAGAGGAAAGTTTGTACTGCTGGTAGAGTTATAACGGAAGATGGAAAATCATTTTTAATTTGTTCTAAAAAGGATTGTAAATTTACAACAAAACATCGGCGAAGTTTACAAATTCATATAAGGGTGGTGCATGAAAAAGTTAAACCTTTCAGTTGCCGTCACTGCCCCAAGACTTTCGCTTTAAAACCTATGCTGAGGCAACATATAAAAATTCATCAGAATCTCGATAACAGGGAAAGGTACGAATGCCATGATTGCGGAAAATCTTTTCTTCAGAAATGCGCCCTCACTAAACATAGACGCGAAACTCATTTAAACGATACGCCTCATAAATGTCAACAATGTGGGACTGGCTTCGTTTTTCCGTCCGAACTCAAGCAGCACATGTATAAACATAAAGGTATTAAGCCGTACAAGTGCAGATTTTGCGGTTCTTTTTTCCAAAATGTGGCAACTGCTTGGAGCCATGAGCATAGAGTTCACAAAGAAGAGTGGGAGGCAATTGGGCATACCTTAGGCCCATTAAAGCCAGTAGAAGATGATAAAGCCGAAGCAGTAACCTATAATAACACTTCCACAGCTGAGCAATCAGTAGTATTTGAAATTGTTACAGATGACTCTCATTTATAATTGTATACCTATTTATAGATGATATTTGTTAAAGTTTGGCTTTCTTGAAGAGATTTCTAAGAATTATATAAAACCTATTTTCTTCTTTAAAACGTTATTTTCCTTTCTTTTATTATTTTTATAACCTACAGAAAAAACATTTGTTAATCTAGCAGAAACCCAACACGTACCATCTTGTCCTAGCTTTATCTATAAACTATACATATACATATTTATATTGTATATACTGTGTAGCGGTATACTACTATTCTAACAGCAGCCATTTGATGAAAGTGACCTTTTGCTAGCTTTTAGTGTTTCTCTTACATTCCTTAGTTAATCTGTCTCTGGTCTATCAGTATTATGAAGTTTTGATAAGAGAACCTGTAATCAAATTTACTTGTGTATATATTTACACCTATTATGTAATTAATTTATCAAGATTACATCAAAATATAAAAAAAGTAAAGCTTTTCTTTAAAACAAGTTATTTAAAACAAATTTATTGCTCTTTGTGACAATTTTGAATGATATTATGCATATTAATTATGCAAAACAATACGAATGAATCAAAAAGGAAAACAAAATAAGGAGAAAACTTAAAAAACTAATATGGCAATATTTCTTTTTAATTTTGATAATTGGAATATTCAATTATTCCTTCTTTGTTTGATTTTTTCTCACTAATCTTGGTAGGACGAGAATAGCAAATAATGCTGCACCATGCATCCAGAAGAAAATTTGCCTGTGTTAAAAAAAAAAACGAATATAAAACACTATTAATCTTTAAAGGTATGATAATGGTTGTTATATAAAATAGGCTTTTTTCAAATGATAATTCAAGTTCAAAGGAGGTTATTGATAAGGTTAAATTGCTCATATTTGCACGAATAGTACAGGTGCTAGTTGACATAAATTTACGTTGAATGAATATTGAAATAAGAATATAAGAAACTACTAAGTTTTTCACTGAATAAAGTAAATTTTCTTATTGTTTAGTCACGTACTAAATAAAAATAATAACTAAGTCCGAAAGATCGTTAGTGCAGACTTTTTTCTTTTACGTGGTACTCTTTTTTTTTACAGTGACATGTCCCATCTTTCCTATTATCTAATAGTTAACAGATATTAGCTATACATACTTTAAAACAATCCAAGATGGTTCAAATTCCAACAAAACAAAAGAGAAGGTTAGATAACCTAAAACAACTCTGGTGGAAATTGAAGTTATAACATCATAAAGGAATTGGGATTGTTTCGAGCCTTGAAACATAGGTCTTATACATTTTCTAATCTGTTAAAAGAAAATATTGAATTTTAATTGAGGTTGAATTTCCTAGAACAAATTATATCTTACAGATCTTCCTGCAGTTGTAAATAAGAATCCAGTAAAGAATGTTATATAGTAACCGGGATAAAATCCATGCCATGTTCCTGAGACTGCAAAAACGGCTAACATTTTAAACGCTGGCACTCTGTCGTACACAACGTGACGTAACCAATAAGTTGTAGTTTTATTCCAATTGTCAAGTAATACTTTCAAGCTTGTGCAAAACTATTTGTCAAGGGACAATTTTGATTTATTAGATAATATTATAAAGCTATTAAACCTCTATTTGAGCTACATCAGCATTATTAACCAAATCCCATTTGGCATTTCCCTTGCCGTCATAGCCACTGATTCCAAAGCCAGCATTGTTGTTGGCAGCTTCGCCTAATTTATTAAAAAGAGCAATTAAACAATATAATTGTGGGTATTCAAATTGATATATTCTTAAGAATAGAGAATTAATAAATTACCTATTGACCACGCAAAATAATATTTAGGTCTTTGAGCAGTAGTAATCATTATCACTAAAAACATCTTAATTAGGAACGACTTATCTTGGAAAGATGACTCTAAATTCAGAGGTAATAACATCAAAATTATTCATAATTATTATATTAAACATGAACAAATCATCTCACCTCTAAGTGTACTGATAGGGAAAATAGGAACGACTTTAAGTGCAAGGAAAACGTAAAAGAATGCGAAAAAGATTTTCTTTAGAACAGGCCACTATATATATTATCGAGTTAAGAGAAGACAAAAATTTAATAACCAATCTCCCATAGAAATAGGGTAGTATTATTAACAAGGAAAAAACTTACGAATGGTGAAGGTTCGCTAGAACTGGATTGTTTCTAAAAGAAGAGAAAAAAGAAATGAAATCATTTTCCTATATAGCAGTAAATTTTGATTTGAGATTCTTACCGACATATCTCCATTCTGAAGTTTCTTTGCAGTATTACCTTCGATGAAAGCTTGATAATCATCGAAGAAGGCGAATGGGCCACAAATTGTATTGTGAAAGGAAAAGACGTATGATAATAACTCAAGTAGACTTGGATTTTTTCTGATGAAAATTTTGTTTGACATATTATTAATTAAAAATATATTTTAGAGCTCAATAAATAATAATAAAGATTTCTTACTTGACTGCATGTTGTTTTCTACTAGAACTAAGTTTTGATTGATCTTTTACTCTACCATCGGCCAAACTACAAGCCAAACTGGATATTCTTTGAACGTTTATCATTAGAGGGCTATTTATTCAAAAAAAGGAGAAATTTTAATAAAGTGCTATTATTATATTATATTGTTTTATATCTAAATATTTAAACTAAACTTACCCTGTTATGTCAAGTGTATAGCCTCCATAATCATACAATTGTCTATATATATGGCATACAGAGACGTGCCCCATTGATAGAAGGAAAACTAAAATTTCCATAGAACCCGCAGGGAAAGTCAACATTATTGCATAAGAGATAAGAGAATGGAAAAGAATATGCCATATTTGTCTGTAACAAGAAATAAATTGCATATATTATAGAAGATAGTATATACAAAAGAAGTCTCATTTCTAACAACTAGATTTTTGTGATAAAGAGATTACTTTAGTAATTTTAGATTTTCACATGGAACGACATAGCAAGCGTTAAACGAGGTACTGTTTTACAATCTCTTTTGAGAAATAATCAATTGTAGCAAAAAAACACATTCTCTACTAAATTTATGGACTTTGAGTATTGAAACTTCTAGCTTTGTGCATTTCCATTAGATGCTTATATTTACTGAGTAAAGTTCGTGATAAAAAGCGGTTAATCTGTTCTCTTAAAATATGGAATGATAAAAGATAAGAATACATTTTTAAAGATTTTTCATTTTCATGATGCTAAAAGAATTTGAAAGAAAGAGAGTCAAACTTACAAGCCAAAGCAAAAGTACATCATTGCTAAACCTATGCATACTTCAATAAAATGCCTTGTCCTTGGAGAAACGATTTTTGGTGAAAAAATTTTCCTAAAAGGATAACCTAAGACTAGAGCTATCAATTGGCAAACGACAAAGTTGATCTGTTAGGAGAAAACGGTATAAAAATTTTTCCATATCTTTTGAAAAAGCGAAACATGCTTTCTGTTCGCTCAAGGATAACATCACCTGATCTATTGGTAGGCCTATGGATTGAGAAAGAGGAGAGAGAAGTCTGGAACCAAAATAAAACTTCAAATTATCTGTTTCTGCCATTTTCTCCGTTTTAAAACCCTTCAATTGACTTTATGGCAAAAAAACTATCACTGTACTGATCTCCTACTGCAAATTTCGCAAAGTACCGAAATAAACTGGTAAAAGAAAAGAAGTGCTTGATATGAATATTTTACATCAACATGTAACTAAGCGACTTTATATTACTGCGCCTAAATTTTTATTAACCTTTATATTCATATTAAATGTCATATTAGCTTTAATTTTTAAGATAACAGATTCCTAAAAAAAATAAATATTATCATTAATGTAAAGTTTTACATAAACTTTGACGAGATAAATTTAATCGATCGAACTATCTTTTAGCGTAATGTTATTAAACAAAACTGTCTTTTCGTGATTTATAGTGAAGAGAGAAATAATGATTTAAATTTAGGATTTTCAAATAAATTAAACATAAGAATAAAAAAATGGCTGAGAAGAAATACGATCTTCTCCTGGTGGGACAGAATCCAGAAAAGTTAATTAAACAGCAACCATGGTAAGGGTTGATACTTAACAACTTTTGTATGACTTCTTTTACAACTATCAAAAAATTCATTAGGTATAAAGAAAGATTGCGAACTAAATATATGAAAGGAAAAACCAAGGATGATACATCCAAAGTGTTAGTAGGAAGAAATTGGACCTTTTTAAAATATGGATTAGATGATTTTCGTGATGGTCTTCCTCCAAAAACGGAAAGTATATTTTTGAAAGGTCCCGGCTTAGGTCCAAACTTAACAGGAGATGGTGTTAAACTTCCTCCAATATCTGAAGCAGCTGTAAAAGGAAGATTTACGAAACAACAAGCAGTTTATGATAAAGTTCTTCCTTTACCAAAACAAAAGCAAGATCACGTTGCCGAAATTGAAGATGGATTACAATCACATCCCTTAGCTCTTTATCCTCATCTAGAGCAATGTTTGCCGCCAGATGTGTTTGAAGATATTGTAGACTTATTAGATCCTGAGATGAACTTTGAGGGAGATGAAGAAGATGATGCTGAATTGTCTGAAAAATCAGAAAGATCCCTTCCACGAACAACTAGCAAAGCAGGAACGGATAAAGCTTCAAGGTAGTTCATTTCTTGTTCGAGTTTGATCTATTACCACTATTTATAACTTTTCAACAGAGCGCCTTCTTCAGTGATGTCTTTTAGAAATCCATATAAATGGATATCGAGTAAAGCAGAAAGCGGTGTCGATGTTCCTATTGAATCGAATAGTCAAGATGACCATATTGGGAAAGTAACGAAAGAATTTTGTGAGTGGGTGTCTGGTTTAGGGGGAGAAACGAATAATATTGAAGAGTCAACTATTACATCTCTCTTTGCTAGTGGATATGAAACCAAACCGGCTTTATCAGTACCTATTCATGTTGTTGAACTCACAAATGTTCCTCCAGAGCTGCGTATGGCAGCTAATGCCAATCCGCAACCAACGCAAAGTAGTGCTGAAGAAGAAAAAACGGAACTGGTTTGTTGATTATTTTTTTATTTATTTCACATAAGGCATTATCTAATGACAAACTAAAATTGACCTTTTTTTTAGCAAACAGTGTTGTCATTTCGTTGTTTATAATGTACGTTTTATTCATTTATAGAAACCTGGAAATAGGACATCAGAAAAAATAGTTTATGGCGCTTGGTACCTACCGACGAAAATGTGGAAGAAAAAGCCTCAAGGAGAACAATTAGAAGATCCTAAAAAAGCCAAACAAGCTCAACGAAGCGAGATGAAGATGAAAAGCGACGACTTGGACAATGAGTTAGCTAATTTGCATGGAGCTCAGGCATTTATTGAATTTATGAATAAGAAGAATACTCGGAGACCAGAATTCTTAAATAGTATTAGCGCCATTCAGGAACAAAAAAGGAAAGAAGAAGAAGCTAGGAAAGCAGCAGAGGAGGCGAAGCGAGCTAGACTTCGAAGAAAAGCTGTTACGGAGGAAAAACCTGCTGAGGCGTAAATAGAAGTGTGCGACTGATTTAAAGAAAAAATTTCTAAAGTGTATAGAATGTACAAGAACAACATTGGCTGTCATAAATAATTTGTAATATAACGGTTCTAAATAAGGTTTCCTACATTGTTCTCAATACTTTAAACGTCCTTTTTTAAGAGCTTTTGTCGTTTCCCTGCTTCCCTCATACACTCTAATACGTATCTTTCATGATCTTCAAAATTATCGAATTTCGGAATTTTAACTGGGGGTTGATCTTTAGGTTTTCCTGATAACCATTCCACTGTCAGTTCACCACAATTTGGAAGCCCCACTTCTTTCTCAACTGCCAAAGAACTTTTTATTGACAAGAATTCAATAATTGCGGAACTCTTTTTCTTTTTTAGTAGAATGACCATTTCGTTAATTTCACCATGCTGAAATTATAAAAAATACCTATAAATGAAATTCAAATACCATTTAAAAATATACCTACAGCTGAGAATATTTTTTTAATAGATTCTTCGTCATAACCTTCTCTCCATGAAACTTTAATTCGCATAGGTTCGTCACCCATCTCATCTACAACCACATTTATCTTATAACATTGGGTTCCTAACGGATTATAATTTTTAACTATACCTTTTCCTGCAGCTATATTTTTTATTTTTTCTCTCAGCAATCTTTGTTCCTCCTCAACTATTTTGGATCCTTGCTCTCTTAATCTATCAATCTCTTTCTCTAAATTAGCTGTGCTAGGTATATTTCTCTTTTCAAGGTAAGCTTCTTCTCTAGCTTCCAACTCTGATTGTTTTTATATTAAATCTTAGAAATTATCCTTTCAAAATAGTATTAACATTTTTTACCTCTCTTTAATTTTCTCCTTTCGGCATTTAGTTTTAGATCTCTTATTTCAGCTGCTTTTCTAGCTTGTAAAACCTTGTCGTAAGCTGCCTAGGTCAATAGAAAAGATTTAAAGATATGATTTTCAAGTTAAGAATTTCAATTACCTTTGCATTTTCATCTGTTAAAATTTCGAGTGCTTCTGTTAACTTATGAAATTTTTCTGCTGCTTTAGGATCATCTGGATTTTTATCAGGATGACACTCTAATGCTTTTTTTCTATAATTTTTTAGAATCTGCAAAAGTTTTCATCTTGTATTATCGCTCAGCAAATATTACATTTTCAATAAGCTAATAAAGTTTAAGAAAATTGTGTTAACCTCTTTTGACGTTGCATCGTGAGAAATACCAAGGAATTCATAGAGATCAATTTTCAATAAATCCGATTTTTTTTTCTCTGCCATAATGATAGATCGTAATTACGTTAAAAGCTGAAATCAAATTTGGAAACGAATTTCATCCGCTCCAATTTTGCAACACAAAACATTTCCTTCGAAAATTATAAATATCTCTATCTAACAAATATATATATTTTAACTTATACCTACGTCTGAATGAATAAAAAATAACTTGTACGAAAATTAATATTGTTTTTGCTACTTCCGTTATTGTTATAGCAACATCACCAACAACAGTGCTTGGTTGTGGATTAAATGTAATTTATAATATTAGAAGTTTATTTTGAAGAAAATTCTTGTCATAAAATACGATGGCTGGAGAGGTATGTAGTATTATAATATCATTCTCAAAGGTAACTTATAAGGGCATAATTTGTTAGGAGAAGAAAGATAAAGCTCTAATAGATGATTCGGCTTTTGAGAAGCTTGAACTGGACTTCCAGGAGGTTTTGAAAGAGTTAATGGGAGATCGATCCCTTGAAAGATTCAGATCTGAATATGAGAAACTGCATCGGGCTCTTAAGAAAAGTCATGAGAGTGAGAAAAGATTAATGCAAAAATGTCGCGAGCTGAACGCTGAGATAGTGGCGAACTCTGCTAAAGTAGCCACAGCTCTAAAACTATCACAAGAAGATCAATCAACTATAGCCGCATTGAAAAAAGAAATAGAAAAGGCTTGGAAATTGGTTGATGGTGCTCAAGAAAAGGAGACTAGAGCAAAAGAAACTATCCAATCCTTAAAATTAGAAATTGCTAATTTGGGTAAATTAGTCGAACAAGGAGCTGGTTTGACTATGGGACAAGAACATAGTGTTAATGAATTACTTAAAGTTAAAGAACAACTAACTAAAGAGAGAGATGAAGCCTTAAATGAAGTAGTTAAATATAGGGAAGATTTGAGTAAAACTCAAGAGAATCTAGCTGAAGTTCAAAGGCAAGAAGAAGAAGCCGTTAACAAAATCCAAGAACTTCAAAGTGATATGCAAGTAAAATCCAATGAAATTATAAGGGAACAACGAAAGAAAGATCGCTTGGAAAGAGACATAAAACAAGCAAAGGCAGACTTGGACAAAAGAAACGCGGATGTTAAAGAGAAAGATGCTCACATCTCCAAACTGAAAGAAGATATTCAAAAGTCTGAAATGCAGAATAAAGACCATAAAATTGCCCTTGAAAGAGCAAACAAAGATTTTGAGAAAACAAATGAACGATTGACATCTCTTCAGAAAGAGTTTGATTCTCAATTATTCACTGGGGAGCAACTTCAAGCTGAAAATCAAGAAAAAGTTAAAGAGCTCAAGCTTAAGGAGGAGGAGGTTAAAGATTTGAAAAAAGATATTAATAAGCTAAAGATAGAGAAAGATAAGATGGAGCGAAAGATGCACATTTTGGACGAGCAAAAGAAGGAAACTGATAATCAACGAGATAGAAACAAATCCGAACTAATCAATTTAGAAAAGGAAATGGAAGGAACAAAAAAAGAAATGGAAGCGAGCAAAAAAGAAATAGAAGGCCTCATTAGAGAACGAGATCTTCTGAATAAAAATATGCTGAAAGCAGGTTACGAAACTGAAAAACAAGTTAGCTTAGTAAAGATGCATGAACAGAGTAAGAAGTCTCTTGAGCAAGAAATTCAAAATTATAAGGAAGAGGCTCAAAAGCAAAGAAAAATTATTTACCAATTGGAGAAAGAAAGAGATAGATACATCAACGAAGCTTCTGATCTCACCCAAAAAGTATTACAACATATGGAAGATGTTAAAGTTAGGGAGATGCAAATATTTGATTATAAGAAGAAAATTGCTGAAGCTGAGACAAAACTAAAGCAACAACAAAATTTGTATGAAGCGGTTCGTTCCGATAGGAATTTGTATTCAAAGAACTTAATCGAATCACAGGATGAAATTACTGAAATGAAGAGGAAATTGAAAATCATGAATCATCAAATAGATCAACTTAAAGAAGAAATATCTGCCAAGGAAGCCGCACTTGTTGCCGAGCATGCCGCTCATCAAAGTGTTGAAAAAGATAAAGAAAAGTTGAAAGCAGAACTTATCAAGAAGAAAAATTATGCTGCAGAATTAAAGGCGTTTTCTGAAGCTCAAGAAGCCGAACAGAGGAAGTTATTAAAAATTATTGCTGAAGCTGATGCTGAAAGAGTTCGTCAAAAGAAGGAGCTTGATCAAGTAATATCAGAAAGGGATATCCTTGGCACTCAATTAGTCAGAAGAAATGACGAACTTGCCTTACTTTACGAAAAGATCAAGATTCAACAATCAACTCTTAATAAGGGGGAGGCACAATATAATCACCGTCTGGAGGATATAAGGGTGCTTAAACTGGAGATAAGAAAGTTAAGGCGAGGAAAACAAATTCTAGAGAAATCTGTTGCCAATGTTGACGATTTGAGGAAAGAAATTTATCACTTACAACGTGATCTTCTCAGGGAGAGAACTAGGTGTAAAGCCCTTGAGGAAGAATTAGAGAATCCAATGAATATTCATAGATGGAGGAAACTAGAAGGAAGTGATCCATCTACCTACGAAATGATCCAAAAGATACAAACCCTTCAAAAGAGATTGATATCAAAAACAGAAGAAGTTGTAGAAAAAGAATTGCTTATTCAAGAAAAGGAAAAATTGTATGTAGAACTCAAGCATATTCTTGCTAGGCAACCTGGTCCAGAAGTAGCCGAACAGCTGCATGTGTATCAACAAACTCTTAAGGAGAAGACAAAACAGATGAAAGCCATGTCATCTGAATTAAATATGTATGAATCGCAAGTTAATGAGTATAAATATGAAGTTGACAGACTGGCACGTCAATTACACGATGTTAAGAAGAAATATTTCGCCTCTAAGAAGAAAGAACGTGATAATAAGGAAGTTGCCCAGATTTTACCCCAAAGAACCGAACCTCAGGCAAGGTTTACTGGAGGTGGTTTTAGTCTGAAGCAAGCGACAGCGAACGCCTAAAAACCTACGAAAAATATGCTTGTAAAACTTTTATAAATGCGACAAACACACATATAAAAAACAAGAAACAAAATTGTTTTTATTTTATATATCTTTACTTATAAATAATTTAAATAAAGTCTTTCCGATAAGTATTTAATACGGGGCAAAAAATAGTTAACCTTCACTTGTTCAGACTATTACTCTTAAGGGAGAATATAGATAACATTTTGGTAAATTAAGTAATACAGTATGTATACGATATATACGTCATATATACGCATTTATATATTTTTACACAATTTAGAGAGTAAATTCTTTTTTGGACGGTATAACAATGTACAAAAAGACGCATAGAATCATAAGAGATTTTTCCTTTATTATTCAAAACTTTCATCTATTTCATCTTCTGTTCTTACTAGTTTATACTGCTCAAATCTTTTACGTTTGCATTTGTAAATTATAATCGCAACCAAGCAAAGAATTGCCACAAAAGAGCCTATTGTTGCAAAAATTACAATTCTACGCCCATTCAAATTGCAGTAAATCTGTAAGAAAAGATACATTTTAGATATATAAACATATTAACTTAGACGCAAAGTTTCTTTTGAATGAATCTATAATCGTAATACTTTTCTCTTGTCTCTCTCTACTTCCTCTCCTTTCATCAATAATTAGACAGTTTACATTAAGTAGTATAATTTAAACAGATTATAAAGAATTATTCTTATTGGAAACGTACAGCTTTTGTCATTATTTAGTTAACGTCTGATACTGATTAAAATTAAGCGATGGAGATTGAGATGTTTTTTTTTTTACCTAATTAAATTCATTTTCTAAGTGATAATTCACTCTCGAATTATTAAAATACTAACCGTTGTACAAAGACTAGATGACGAAGTTGAACATATTTTTCTGTAGAGAAAATTGGAGAGATTAATATTTCTTATAGTTTAAAAGCGAAAGTGACAAAAAGAAGAATGGCAAGAATAGCTAATGTTAGGCCTATAGCTATATAAATTCCCGTTGATGTTTGTGTTAGAGCATTATATTCTATTATAGCTCTACATTTTTTAAAGTCTGTTAGAATATGAAATTTATCACATCTGATACATTCTTGCAATGAGAAACACTCCAGACAGTGGGGAGGGCATGCTTTGCAACTGTTAATCAAAATTAGAAAAGAGAATATGATATTATAAAGTTAGAATTCCAACAAAATAAATAAATACAAAAAATTAAGGGTAAATGATTTGTAACTACATAAACCTTCTTGAGGATAAAGAAAAAAAATCTCCTATTTTGCAGATCGATGAGCTTTTGTGATATTCAATTTGATCTTTTCCATTTGTTTCCAATGAGTAATTGGAAGATAAAATCCCTGGGGTAGTAAGTGGAAGAAAGGAGTTGTTTGATTCAATATTTCTTACTTCATCAACGGTTGTCTCCTTCAATGTAGAACTTGATAGGTAAGATTGTTGAAATAGAGTAGTTTGCCCCTTTACTTTTAGTTTAACGTTTTCTACTTTCGCAGTAAGATTGTTTTCCGAACAGAAACAATTACTTCCGTTGTTGGAGCAAAGCAACTTGTAATCGTTTAAGGATGCGTTACAGGATAGACAATGAGATGAACTAATGCATTTGGCACAGTGGTCGGAACATGCTTGGCAACTGTAAATGACATATTACAATAAACGTGCTGGGAATAGTTAAGTAGGAATCTGGTTAAAAAAATAGAAATCGATATAATAGAAATTCTATTTTTATAAATCATTCATATGAACTTTTTATTCACATTTTCCTTGTTCCTTCCTCACCTAATACAATCTACACAATAAATATATAACTAAAACCATTAACGGATCAGATAAATAAGCTGAGTTGATTTTCAATCCTTAAGGCTTAAAATTATAAATGATATGGAAAATAAACTGGAAACGTTATTTTTATGCTTGCTTTCTCTATACCGTTAGGGGGCACTTTTCAGACCATTTAAGACTACGCTTGTAGAATATATTTTAACCTAGTGGAAAGGGATTATAGAATGTTGATAATTAGGTGGGAAAAGAAAGAAGGATTGCTATTACGGAGCAGATATTATGTAATACATTTTATATACTGTATGTTTATATATTTATATAAATCCTTAACACTAGCTCGTAAACAGCACTATTTGAAGAAATATAACAATATAAATCAATTAGCATTAAATATGTTATAGTTATCTTCAACCTTTTGACATTAAATTACTGTTTTCGTGACTTAATTAGAAAAAGTGAAATTTCTTCCATTATATTATTTTTTCTTGGTTTACGCGCTATAAAAAATCAGCGGAGTTAGCAACAAATTAGATTTAGGCCTATGCATAATATACGGAATATCAAATTTCTGCGTCACTGTCTTCCTTTAGAATGTGCTCTTCGGGCTTATTAAAATTGGGTCGTTCTATTTCTTTTTTAATGGACGTTATACAGGGAGTTTAATCATTCAAGATGTGCCTTATGTGTCAGGTCTTTTAATTTTTTTTGATGGCTTTCAAGCCTAACCCAGTTGGCGACTACCTTATTTATTGAAAAATAAACGCTTTTTAAGCGTTTTCCTTAGGGAATAAAGACTGACTTAGCGTAAATGAATAAAAATGGAAGGGCGAATGAGATGAAAAGTAGCAAAGGGAACAAAGATATGGGATTTAAACAAACTAAAGAAAAGTCACAGCACGTACGTGTTATTGGACGCCTTGTAAAATCCCTTCGGACATATTCTATCCTTAACGCATCGATCGGACTGTTTTAGGATATAGCCATCACGACAGACGTAACAAAGACCTCCTTTGCAGTGGATGCAATTATCTTGGCACTTTTGACATGTTGTAACAACCGGGCCAAAACCAGAGGGGCAGGAATCAATACAATTTCCGTTAAATAGTAGCTTTTTGATTCGGCAGCTGTCACAAATTGCATCTTCCCCCACCCAGTGGCAACGGGTGCAGTTCTTCGGACAAGGTGTACATACATCATTCTTAGGAGCCGAAGACCGAGAGCAACCGTGTCTGCATGCATTATCTTTATATTTGATAAGGGGATGAGCGCAAACTATACAATCATATATGGTTGGTCCATGACAAGTCTGACAGCTACCTGCGCAATGAAGACATATATTATCTTTTGATTTATATGTGCCATGAGGACACTTGGCAACACATTCTTGACGGCCCCCGCCCATTTTTAAATTGCGACATTTAATACAGTCAGCAGCTGACGTACCAAGGCAGCCCATAGCAGGAGAGCATTGAGGATGGCACCCTTTCAATCGTGCCGAACTTGATGTAGTTGATGTTGATCGTCTTTCCTTAAACAATGATACAATTGAAGCTCTTTTAACCGGTTTATATGGGTCGGTATCTGTACCAAAAATAATTAATTGCAAACTCCTTATAACGCCAGAGTTACTTTCTAAAGATCCAGCATTTTCTATTGTTAGCACCCAATCACCAACAGCTTGTTCACCCCAATAATGAACTGACATAAATGGCCAATCGTGGAAATCGCCCTGAGCTATGTCATTCTTTCTTGAGGGTAGTAAAGTTGAATTGGTACCGCTCGGACTTTTCAAGTGTAAACGAATATCTCCTCTCCTTGAATAAGATAGTGAGACCTTTGCCTGAACGTGTTCTATGAAACGGATTTCTTCATCAGCTTTACCGATACAGGCATTCGATTTAACGCTAATTCTCACACCCCAAGAGGAGATTTCTTTGTTAATTTCCAATCTAGGAAGAACGCAAATATGCTGTTCCGGAACAGTTGTCCACTTCTCAGCCAGTTTCACAACTGAGTTTGCATTCATTAAACCGTATCCATACTTTAAACTCACCTTTCTACCGACACCATTTGTAATAAAATCCCCATCTTGTAAAGGATCAGGGTCGGCAGTAACAATAACAATATGTTGCATATCTCTCCAAGTTAAGTCAGGATTAGCCTCAAGAGCAAGAGCACATATACCTGCTGCTATAGGAGCAGAGGCGCTTGTACCTGAATGTCCGTCAGTACAACGATCTCTGAGGTCAGTTGTTAGAATTTTAGGATCAAGAGTATTATCCCCCGAACTGTAAGTAGTTGCAATTGTAGAAGAGCATTCCTCTAGGTACCAAGGTTTTATCCCATGTACGGTGGCAGACGATATAGATAACGTAAATATGCTATTCGTGTATCCATCACAATTGCACGAGTCATCAGCGACGCCGCCGTTACCCGATGCCCAAACGTATATAGAGCCCCTACCGTTCCTGCCTTTAACAATACCTTGGATGAAGGCTTCTTTTGCTAGCCTTGCCGGGCCGTCTACGACTTTACCATTGTCATCTGGACCCCAACTAGCGCTATAAATGTCTATATGATTTTGACGATGGGACAATGATTCAGCTTCAACGTAATCGCTTACATCGCCATCCAACATTCGAATTCCACCTATCTTAGCATTATAGGCTATTCCTACATTGCATTTTGTATTGTTAGCTTGAGCAGCTACTTCACCCGCACAACGTGTGCCATGCCTGAAGAAAATGAAAAGTGTAAACCCTTATAGAAATTTTTAATATCAAAATATATTTGTGTTTTCATCACTATTCTTGAATGTCTTATATTATTTAAAATATAAAAAAAACATAATACAGTGTATATTCTCTGAGTAAAAATTTATCTGGGACTAACACGCAAACAATACGGTTTCGGCTTAATAACATCCCCAAAAGCTACAGATGAGGGATCAGAAAATTTCAAAGAGTTTGAATCAACCAACGAAAAGGACGCTTTACTAATTAGGCCGACAAATATGTTAAAAACCTGTCTTCTGCCAATTGCTTCACCAACACACCTTCGGTGTCCGAAGCCGAAGGCCGAAACTTTCCTAGCTAAATTTGAGTCAAATTTTCCCTCATTAGTAATAAATCTGAATGGATTTGGTAGTTTTGCATCTTGACCCCACACTGCAGTATCTTCGCCAATTGACCATAGATTGAGTATAACGATGTTACCCTTTGATAAAGAGACTCCTTTCAAAGCTGTATCCTCTATACAATAGTGGGGAAGGGCAAATGGAACAGGTGTCTTCAGTCTTTAAGGAAGGTTTTTGCAACCCTTGTTATATAGTAAAAAAAAAGTTATATTTAACTTTCACCTAAGTTTAAAAGCTTTGGCTGCTGGAGGAAACTGATGTTAGAAATGGGAATATTTCTTTTTTGACCTTTAATAATTTGACTAGGGACGTTGTTAATAAAGGTGAGAGCAAAAACCTTCCTTAGTACTTCTGCTATACAAGCTTCAGTTAAGGGCATTTCATTTCGTTTTTCATAAATGGTTTCGAAAGTTTCCTCATCATTCGAAGAAACTCTGCATATTTCTGTATATATCATCTTCTGAATGTCCTCCCTTTCAGCAATGAATAACAATAGCCATAGAATTGTAGAACTCGACGTTTCAACGCCAGCGGACAAAAATTCAGCTACATTTTTCATCATTCCAATTCTGTCTAATTCGAAAAGAAAATCCGTCATACCGTATTCTAGAGCACAATCAAAGACAGCGTCAACAAGTTTATTCATTCTAGATCGAATTTCTGCATTCTTTTTGGCTGGCTGAGGAAGGAAAGAAAGAAAAGTAGGTTGATTCCCAAGAGCAAATAGTTCAGTTGATGCATTTGGTGAAAGAAGAATATTGAGTAAATGCTGTTTTACATCACCTTCTTTGCATTTATTATAGAAGACAGCGAACAAAACATTTGCTACAGTTTTTATTATGCCATCAACAGGGTCAACTACACCAGATAGATTCCATTCTTCAACGAGTCGATCAACGTAATCGGTAGCAGCTTCACCAACAATGTTTCTCCTATCTTTCAGTAACGATAATGAATGACGTCTCTTTTGAATTAAGCGATCCCCATAAATATCAAAACTGAGGCTTCCGGTGAGATAATCATTATAGATGGGTAATGGTGGTCTACTAGACAAATTACGATTCAACGATGCTCTTTTAATAGCATGGTATCCGTTAATGATGGTAACTTTATTCATGCCTAGTTTGACAGAATAGATGTCTCCATACTTATACCACCAGCCCGTTAAGACTCCAAGAGGATCTGACCGTATTTGAAAAATGTTACCTACTATAGGCCATCCAAAAGGCCCTGCTTTCACTCTTAACGTTTTCAGGTAAGATGTACTGTAGGTTATAGTCCAATATAGGGCGAATCCAAAAATTACTATAACACTTAGCATCCTCTATTTCTTGTCTTATTCGACTATAAAGTCAGAACTCTTCATATAATGATATCGGCGTTAATAATTTAAGTAGATTTGCTATATTTAATATAATGATTAAGGGGAAAAAATAAAAGCATTTTCTAAAGTTTATTAGCGTAATTATTGCATTTTATAAAATTTCTCTGTACCCCATATTTTTCTATTTTACAAATCCTAGAGTTTTTCTTTCTGTATTCAAATTAAGGAAAAAAAAATTGCAATTGTGCTAAATGTCTTTTTCGATTAGTCGGTCATGTAAGAGAATCCTTGAGATGAGAAAAAAAAGATATAAACGACTTGGTTGTAGAGTGTGGAATTCTCATATTTAATTTATTCGATAATTAAATAGAAATATATCTAATTTATTAAGTATCCTCCAATACTGTTATGCAATAAATTATTAGCGCCGATATCATATTTACTGTATCGTAATTCGAAAACGAACATAAAAACGATAAAATAGCCTGGACTAGGAAAGCGGTCGTTTTCTTTACAAGAGGTAGTATAAATAAATCAAAATGACTATATACATATATATATATATATATATTTGTTATATACACTGTATAACTAAATATTTAGAAAATTATTATAAAAGAAATTGATATCATTTTCTAAAATTTAATAAAGATCAGATATTAGTCAAACTAAAAATAAAATAAACTACATCTCTGTGACAACTAGGCTGACAAAATCGTCAGAACCAACCTACAATTATCGCCTTTTAAATATAGTAAACTGTGTTATCCTTCTATATCACTAAGTACATATATACTGTATATATAAACTATATATATATACCACGGATAATTCTTATATTTTTATTTTATAAAGAAAAGAACCGTTTATGTCCTCGAGAATTGGATGTTGCTACTGTCCGCTTTCAACCTATCTGTATTCTCCTGGTTATGAAACAGTTTTGCTACCTTTTATACTTTCTTGAATGACATACCAACCTCAATAGATACATTTAGAGGTCAGAATCAGCATTGTAGATGGAAGGACAAATCTGCCACACAATACATGTTCGTAAACAAAGACAAAGCGAAACAATTACGCGGAACTCTGTTTTAGAATAATGAACTCTAGGTTACGTACCTATTCTCGTTTGTTTCGTCGTATCTAGGCATGGGGTCACTGTCGTGAGAATTTAGGTCGGAGGAGGCTCTTGGATCGTAGTTATTAATTAAATCCGTATGGTTATGTTCTATCCCATCATCTAAAATGGTAACGACTACACCTCTTCCAGTGTAGCCTCTGGCCCACGCTTCTCTCACACCCATATCATAATTTCCTGGTTCAGCTCCGCCCCTAAGGTACCACATTTTCGACCACAATTCATCATTGAAATTGTCAAGTTGTTTATCCGTTCGCCTTACTCTTTTCTTTACATATTGCTGTTCTGCCCACGTCACTGACTTATCAGTTTTGAGACGGTTTTTTGCCCACATTTTAGGCCTTAGAGATCTTTTAGAAATACCGCGATGTTCCAATAGATAGTAATTCCGTAGACTTCCAATCTTTATAATATAGAGGGAAATTGAAAAAAAAATTAATTATCGAATATAATGAGAATAAAGAAACAACGCCTGGTTTTTCCTAAAGAAATGTCATCTAAATGGAATAACAGTTATAATTCATTTTTTAGACTACTGACAGTTTTTTTTTATTAAAGGTCACAATGAAAGTCGTTACAATGTTACTGAACTATAAAAGAGGTGCCTAAGACAAAAAGAAACACAGTAAAAATTTCGTACTAATTAACACTTGTTTAATGAAAATTATACAATAACCTAGAACCGACGTTGTCATGCATAGAATATAAATTTTCCGTGACAAAAATATCTTTTATTTAGTTCTTTACTACTGTAATCTGTAATTAGACATAGACAAACAAGTTATTCCATTCACAAATACTTTCATGCAGTTGACGCCTACGGTAAATTGTGCTTGTCAGACGTTTGGCAGAGAGCCTTTTGGTCATTCAACTAGACGCCAAGTGCGTGAGAGAAGGTTTCCTTTCAGTTTTAATTACAAAACCAGACATTGGAATCAATAGTATGATAATACGAAGAAGGTTTCGTTTAAGAGCTCTCTTGTTTAGAAGTGTATAGGCCTATTATTACCAAGTCGTAAAAAAATATAAAAAAAAAAGAAGTAAAAGAAATTATGATGTATGTTTCCTAAAGTACTGAATGAGGAGAGAGGGGCACGAGAGGTTTTTATAGAAACAAAACTCTTCAAAGAGAATTATTACTGCAATATAAGAAAAATTCATTACCTGTCTGACGAATCGAAATCCATTTTCGTGAGCTACTCTCCTCGCTTCTTTAACACCTTCGGGAATATGAACTGCCCACTTATTTAAATAATGCTGCTTCGCTGAGCAGTATATAGCGAGAAATAAGATGATATTTGAAAAAATGTAACGCATAATCTTCTTAAGAATAATATTTTATGGTCGTCATGCTAGTGAAAGAAAAGAAAACAAAAAAGTACAGTCAATAAAATTCAACAATTATAAAGTTTAAGCGAATTGTGAATGTTACCTACATTTTATTTTTTTGAAGTACAACTCGGGCGTGAATTTTTTCCTTTTATGCTCTTCGTCTAATTCCAACGATCGTTTGTTCGAGGCAAACTATTACCGGAAGTTTAAAAAAATTACTTCGTACTTTTTTATTTATTATTATTTATTTTACTTCTACAAATATTAATTATTTAAAAATAATTTTAAAATTTGCTTTAATAACTACGTAAACAATCGTCACTTCCGTTACTTCAAGGTGAAGGAGAGAAAATGTCTTCTGCTCCAGTAACGAAAGTTTTTCAGGTTTTTGCTATAATATAGCTATGTAGATTATATTGTAATAGTTTTGATAGGTGTTCACAAGCTTAAATGACTCAATAATTTTTTGTAATTAATCACCGGCTGTAATATTTGAATTTGTGTATTAGTAAAAAGCCATTGATTCTCTCCATATGTATACCCTTGCATATGTTTTTCAGTTTCTAAGTCGAATATTATCATTAAGAAATAAATCACCTGCTGTAATTAACAAGCAAACTACTGAAAATACGAAGTTGTGTGTGTCTGAATCTGTACGTTCATTTGAAAGTAAATATACAATAACATTCGAGTAGCTTTAGTAAATGTTGTGAGTTCAAACTATGTCGAGCAATACTTTATACATATGACAGATTTAGAAACTTTTTAAGTAACTTGCCATAAAAAACAGTAAGCTAGTTAGTATTGTAAACGAAGAAAAGATTATCATATAGTGGTTTTTCTTTTGAAAAGCTATGACTTTACTTTCCATAAAGTTTAAAACCATTTAATCAATACAACCTTGGATATGTATTTTATGATAATTTATATATTTCTATAAATTTGCAATGATGTTGTCTGTTTGCTTGTTGTTTACAAGATTTTTACGTTTTTTCGTTTTAGAAATTAAATTTTTTCCTTTCTAGAGCATTTTAATAAATTATTTTTCGTTCAGATTCTTAAGTCACGTTCCCCTTCAATAAAGTTTCCTATTAGATCCAACGGTAAGGCAAGCCTTCTTAACTAAATTAACTTCTAGTATAGATAACACAATTGCACTATATATTTAATTATTCTTACAGCTCTTCTAAAGTATGTACCGGTAATTAGTACTACTTCTGCTTCTAGTTCTTCTAATAAGACAAATGCAATTGCTCTTGACGAATTACCGCAAAAGTACTGGAGACAAGTTGTGAGCCAAGAAGAGATGGACTACATAAATGTAAGGGAACGTTTATTAAGTTAATAATAATTTACTATAATTTATTTATTACAGCGGGGAGGTCCCGAATAATGCATTCGTTTACAATTAACATGTCCTTTTGTAATTGGAAATGTGCATCATTTTAAGTATTTTATGCATCATTTTAAAAAAAAAGGAAAAGCAATGTAAAAATTTCAACAGGCTTTCATTCTCTCGATGCTGACAAATTTGGTCATAAATGACAGCGCCATTCTATTTTATAGTCATTTTGACAAATAAATGAAGATATAAGTATGCCTATAATATCTTAATGTTCATCTAAACAAACTCCCACTGCCGGATAACACTATAATAAAGTATATACTATAATGATTCAATTACGAATTTTATTGAAATCTATGACACACAAAGCCAAATTATCAATTTGCACAGAACTATATCAATTTAATTTTACATTGTGAGAAGTCAGAATAATATTTCTTTACTAGTTAAATTATCAATTATCACTGTTTACACCCAAGGCTCCCAACCCAGCCAAGTTAGCCCAAGAATATGTTTATCAGTGGCCTGATCAATTAAGGCATCAACTTGTTGTTCAACAGTTAAGTTATCCTCTGGTAATTGAGCTCGGATGTTTGCTTCGCTACCCATCAAAATTTGCAAATAGTCATTTAAAGGTGAAACTTCTAATCTACCGCTTTTCTTTGAAGGAACTTCGCAGGTCAAACCTTTCAGTTTACCGCTTTCCAAATCGATTTTTGTCAAATAAGCAGGGTTAGATCCCTGTAGTTTTCTTTTTACAAGTTCAATCTTTCGCTTAGGTAACCAATTGGCGGTTATACTAGTCTTGTCCATTGTAGCTATGGAATCCTTTCCAGTTGGACCAAAAGCACTTTTTTCGAGCTTTTCCTCAAAGTGTTTAAGGTCTACAGATGGTTCCTTTATAAAAACATCTAATGCTGCTAGTAAAAGATCAGCATTTCTTCTTAAACTATTGAAGATGTGAATCATAGTTGACCGGAATAGTCCAACAGCTTTATGCGGTTGCATTAAATTTAAAAATTGTCTTGTCAGACGAAACGGAATTAGTTCAGGAATTGGCAGAATCTTAAAGAAGGAAATTAAAATATGCTTAAACCGAAAACCCATATGAAAATCTCACCTGAGTTGCGACACCGAATGCATAACCAAAATCAATTCCGACGACTGCTCCATTAGTCTTATCGATCATTGTATTAGACAAATGTCTGTCCCCAATTCCTAAAAGATATATATAGGCACACATTTGAGCATTAGACTTTGTAAAGTTGCGCTTTAGAATAAAATATGCTTCTGAAGAAGCTGCCATCTCCTGATAAGCCCCTCTATCATGTGAAATAAAAATTAGTTAATTAAAGGGCTCTTATATACATTTTGTTTTTAAACTGCCACGAATATTTACCTTGATAAGTTGTCTGGAACTAAAGATTGTAATTTCTTAAAATTAGTAATAACATCTTGCCTCTTCCTATAACCGACGTTTAGGTAGTACAAATGAGCGTCTTTTAATTGAGATTTGCTCGAAAAGTCTATCAGCCATTTCTTATATTCTATGCGTCTTTAAAATTATTTGAAGAACTCAATTTAATTGACTTTTAATACTTTTAGTTATAACTTACAATTTATCCAATCGTTTGTCGTCCTTTCCCAAAGCCGAAACAAGAAAATCTTTGACTGGAATAGTATTTTCCATCCATTCAATGAGGCCAACTCTGGTTGTAAGTGGAATCACATTGTAAGTTCTTAATTGTAAATCTCTTTGAGAGCATTGGCAATCCTCCCTCATTATTTCGTTCATAAGGCGGAATATTTGAATGACTCTTTGATCCAATCTTAAATCTTCTCCACTCTTAACTAGAAGCTATTCTCGAAGGTAAAGTGCATTTTTTCAATTATTTAAAAAGATTAAACGGTATTTTTACCTTGTGCTCCTTGGCATCTGTTCCTCTTACAGTTATAACTTTTGGCTTCCTTATAGATTTCATAACCTGAACATTATTATCAAAGCTAGATATTTTTATATGGCGCTCAGGCATAGGCTTAAAATCTCCTGTATATTGACCAGGTATTTCTATGCTATGTGAAATTTTCATCCCTTGAAAATTAGCTAGCCAGTCAGAATATTCAGTCAACGTTTTTGGAGGCCTCAAGTCTTCGTCCATAGCACTTTTTATTTCACTTTGAAGAGCTTGGATATTATCATTAACAGCCTATTGAACAACAACAAGAAGTTTAGTTTATAGAATCGCTACCATAAAGCCTGAAACTAACTTTTATGCTCATTGAAGATATTAGTTGGCCACGTGATCCGAAAGCTTTTTCAATTTTATTTTTAAATTTCTATATAATATAATTAAGGTATTATTTAATTTAATATCTCTTTAATTAGTTACCTTTGCAAAACGTCGCCTGTAAGCTCCTAATTTTACAGTAATCGGCATTTCAGAAGAAGATTGATCTCTACTGTACAGACTGTCATCACTAGTTCAATGGCAATAGTTAGAATGAATTCAGTTAGAATAATATTTTTAAATGAGAGAAAGCACTTACTCTTCTTCAGTTTCGCATAACAATTCTCTTTGTAGATTATCATATATTTTTTGCACTTTTTCTAATCTTTTCAGTTTTGATTCTTTTTGAATTGCCTCTATCTTTTCCTGAATAATTTATAAAAATATTCAATTAAATATTAAAAAGAGCTAGATAGTCTATAATCATCAAGTAAATGACATACTGCAAAAAGCACATTGGGCTGCTCAAATTGCTCAAGAGATTTAACAAAAGTAGAGATATATGGATTTCTTCCAAGAATAGAAGAAATTTCTTTTTGTACACATATCGCTCGCCTTCCATCCAAAGTATCATCGAATTTAAAACCTTCAGAGCTAAGATTAAAGGGATATACCAGAGCCTGTATTAAATGACATATAATAGCTAATAAGTAAATAGGCATAACACTGACATTGGGATAAGTAGCAGCCACTTTCAGTAGAGGTTGATGCACTATTTTAGAAATATTTTTGTCTAATAAAGCAGTCATTTGTCCGAGCCAAGATAGATACATCCAACAAGGGATGTCAGCAGTCTGTAAAGAGAGTTTATAGATTAGTGCCTATAATAAAATATACTTTTCTATTGAAACAAGCGTACGCTTTCAATAAACACATCCGAATGTTGGGGAAATCTTTCCATTATTTGTAATAATCCAGCAAATCTATGTATTGCCTTTCGATTACCTAATTTCATGGCCCTACACAAAGATTTTATGCAATTTGCTGCACAATCGCTTATCCATTCTTTATCATCAGCATCTGATTGTTACCATTAATTACTTAATTATTTCAAAATAAAAGAAAGAATATTTATAGGAAACTTACTGGAATCATCATTTTCCCTCAATATTTTTGCGCAAAATATTGCCAATAACAACTGGGACCTACTTTCAATTGTATAATTTTTAATAACATTGCAAGTCTTAATTGATTCTTTAAAGAAGGAACAGGATTGTTTTTCTAATAACCTTCGTACCTTTATAGAATGAAGAAATGGAATATTTTAAGAAAAAGAAGTAGATCTAGTAGCATTTTACTTACTTGAGAAGTATTAAATGATTCAGAGTCTGATATTTCACATAGTTTAAACAATGTTTTTGATGTTTCATCAAAATTTTCCTCAGTTATAAAATTACTAATATCTTGAAGTGTTTCCGCTTTAAGTATCATTAATCTTGAATATTGATCTCTTTCTATTTCTGTGCTCTTCTGAGATAAATAATTGTCTGATTTTGTAATAAAATAAAAAGAAAATTTATTAATAAGATTGATGAAGATTATTTGAAATGTTCAGTAGTTTTTTATTTAATTTGTTACCTAATTCATCAAAGCTAGTAGAAAGCTTTTCTATTTTAATAGTATCCGATATTTTATCGTTAAGTAATAGTTTTTGTCTTAAAACATTTATTCTTGCTTCAATCCAATCTGTTTTCAATTCTAGAGCAGTTTTAGCCATTCTCATTTTCTATAGCGTGACACATTTAATATATAAATATAGCTTTCTTAATTTACATAATTACGTAAATACATATATTATTTTACTTACGAAATTTGTATCTTTCAATAAATTTTCGGCTAACCCAAAGTTATTTTGTGATTTAGCACTGTCAATTTGATGTAAACGAAAGCTTAATTGATCTCTTATTAACGTTTCCACTGTAACTTTATCATCATCAATTTTACTGCAAATTTCGCTTAATTGATCGATATACATCATTCTGAAATTTCTATAGTTATAAATCCCATAAACACAAAACTTGAAAGCTTTCTTACCTATTAGTTATAATATCATCCCATATACTCTGAGGATCGGACAGATGATTAAGCTTTCTATTCATCCATTTATCATTTAGTGCATGTACTTTAGAAGATCTTAAGGAATCTCTATTAGTTATTAAATCCAAAAATTCGCCCATTTCCTGAAGCTTTTGAACACTTCTGAGTTTCTCTAATCTGGGGGTTTTCATTATTGTTCCAATACCTGACCATTCCTATATAATTCAACGCTTATATTAATTTTTAGTTATAAATTGGGAGGCAGTAATTACATTAAGAAATTGTTCGAAGGCATTGGTTGTGTAGTATTTAGCTCGATCATACTTTTCTTGATAAATATACATAAGAGCCAATCTTTCACTATACTTAGCCTGAAAAAAGTATATCACATTTGAATATATTTTAAAACTAAAAGTATAATAACCTCCAAGAGCTTTTTCTTATCGTCATGTTGCATACTCTTATCGATAAAATCAAATAAATCCTGTTGAATTTTTCCATTTTGTATTAATTTCAATTTACTTTTTAACATTAAAGGTAAATAATGATCTTGATAATATGTATCAAGCCAGACATTCTCTAGTCCACTATGCCCAGCTTCATCAATTGTCGCTGTTGTTATATCATTAATTTTTTCCCAATCGCACAGATTGTTATAACATTCCAATCGGGCTTCATCCCACAAATCTTTTTCTACTTCTTCGGGAGGATATTTCCAGCTCTCTCGGCTTAATGACTTTAAATAATAAAACGGTACTCGATAAATCAATAAAAAGTGAGTGATTTATTAAACAGGGACATATTTTGTTACCTCTGTATATATATCAACAGCTGAAAGATAATCTCCTTTAGCTTCCAAAGCCAGGGCTTCACTAGTTTTACCCTCGCCCTTGATACGATACTCGAATATGCTTTGAAGATTATCAAAGTCATCTAATGATTTGTACAGCCTGTAAATGTTATTAAGAAGGAATGATGAAAAGCTGAATTAATAATAATAAAACAAGTGTAATGTACTTTGCTAGTTCAATCCATACAATTGCCTTATCGGAGGATGCTTTTGATATTTTTGCTTTCTTCGCTGTTGGTGGTCTTGGTTTGACAAAATCTTTTTGTATGAGAATATCTTCTAATAGAAGAATGCCTAGAGGACCTTGTCCACCCCCAATACACGCTTCACCAATTTTGGAAGTGTCTATGTCGATTAACCTATTAAAGTATTGCAAAAGTAGATCATTTTTTTTGAACCGAGAAATAATCAACATACGACATACCGCAAGTTTGATCTTATTATATCTAAAATTGCCCCAAAGAGGGGAGGATAATAATAATCAGATGAACTTATCATCTTCTCGATTCCGTTAAGAATATTTGCCCTTATTTCACGCATTCTATCCTCCGATTCCATCATCTCATGCATTAAAGCTGAAAACAGTTGGGTAAAGAGAATACGAGCCAGTTGTGAGTCTCTCTGAGCAACCGCTTGCAGAGGAGCAATAATACAAGCGTATTTGATTTGAATATCTGGTAAATCTCCCGTTCGGTACTTTCTATAGATTGTAACTTGATTTTCTCTTCTTTCTTTTCTTTCTTTCTCTATTTCCTTTGGTTTAGATAGAAAAACTTACAGTTTCATTTTGCGAAACTATCAAATAAAGATAACGAAAAAACCTTTCTCATATTCCTCTGACGAATTTGCTTTTTAACGAAATAAAGTTGCTTTGATTCAGAGTCTTTTAAAAATCGTCGACGCAATCTAAGGATTTCGTCAGTATCTTCACCTGCTTTTGATAAGGATTTTGAAAATATTCGTGTTTGTCTTTCATATAATTTATCAATAAATACCTTGTTCTGATGTTGTCGCTTTAGCAGCATCCAATTTTTTCTTTGGAGATTTAATTTTTTTGACGTTGGAAAACAATAGATTAGATTCACTTTGAGTAGGTGTAGATAGGGTGCTCAAAGTTCCAGATTCAGCAAAAGTATCAACTGTTGACTGAGTTAGCCAGTTGAACGGGCGTTTTTCTTTATAAAAAAAAATTATGTTTTTCTATCACATATTTATCACAGTTTAACGTCTTACTAGCAGTTGCTACATCAATCGTTTGAGAGAACTCTCCATCCTGTGTTGCACGAATATAACCCTCTCCACCTGCTTGAGTAGAGTCCATCAAGGAATTATCAATGAAAAGAGAGTTCATAGTATGTCTTCTTCTCCACGAATGCGTAACGTTAAATTCAGAAAATCTTTTTGATAAATTAATTTATAAAAGAGGACTTAAATGTAAAAACTATATTCGTACTTGCACTCAGATAGTGGACGATCAAACAATTCTTTATTGAAATCAGGACTTTTTGATGTCATTTCCAGAAGAAGATTAGTAGAGTATGATAAATATTGTTTTTCTGTTTTTGGACTATACATAGCTCCTAACATAGCAATTGTTCTATCAATAGTGGCTGTAGGGAGTCGTCTTTCATCGCTCCAAAAGTTTTGAATAGCAATCCTTTTTGAATATACATTATATTAAAGTTTCTTATTAGAATGTTTAATTTTTTATACCTGTAATCTTCATCTAGTAATCCTTGTAGTAAAACATCTTTTGTATTTAAAATTATATCTCTATTAGCTAGTTCATCAGAGCCGCTGAAAGAGAAGATTTATTACAGATCATTTCGAATAGAGATTAAAACTATATTCTTACTGGTATCTGTCATACAGGTCAATGAAAATATCATACATTAACCCACGACACTTGGTACTTGTTGATGATACAAAGGAGATTAAAGAAGGTATAAAATAAAGTATTTCTTCTTGTTTTAAGTTTGGTAAAAGTCCTTTTACAATTTTCAAAGCCGCATACTGACATCCTTCATCACTTGAAAGTAACAGTTTACTTTTAATATAGTCTTAAATAACACGTTAGAAATATTGTATTATTTACCGATGATTTAATATTTCTAGCAACTCTTTATTCTTTAATTCTTCAAAAGCATTCTCGATCTTTGACAAAGAATTATTTACTATTTCCAAACCAAATTCTCGTAATTCACCAAAAAGTTGAGGTAAGAGAAATAAAACTTTACTTGATTCTCTGCAAAACAAATGAATAAAGCAATAGGATAAGTTTTGAGTAAATAGACATATAATTTACTTCTCAGCTATGCTTTTATAATTTAATTGAATTTTATAAAGACAGGTAATATATTGATCAATTTTGGACGTTTTAATACTGTCCAAACGCTTTGACAGCTCGTCGTCTTTCGATTCCAACCAAGATTTATCTGTAGAATTTGCTGATAAATATTTAAGAACCATTCCAGTTACCTCCGCAGCTGAGCCGTAAGCCCCTCTACTTCTTTGTGAAAGGCAGTTAAAAAGAGCATTGTAATATCTGAAACACAAAAGCCGTTGATTAATGTGTATTTACAAGTATATGAGTAATAGAGAATATTTTTTAAATTCGTTACCGATTCTTATCGATTCTGCCGGTAGGGTCTGCGCCATCCTTAAAAGGAGGCAAGTTATTTGCCACCAATACACCAAGAATTTGTACTCCAGTAACGTTTCTACTCCGGTTGTCTTCAGATTTGTGACCCAAGTGCTCATAAACCGCCCTAAATATGTAATCTTTTAATAAGAACAAAGAAAAAAACTTATCTATAATACCCGTAAGGAACATCTAAGCTATTTCTCCAAACTTCTACAAGAGTTTTTAAGACTTCTAAATTATTACGGAGTACAGCTCTTGTTTCATGGTGACAGTTCTTGATAAGGTATAAGAGTAGTTTGCTAGACATTGTTCGATCCACAATGTTATTCTGAAAAGTTATATTATTAAAATCCTTTCCAATTCTTTTACTCAATCTTACCTCTGGAACAGCAACTTCATGCCAGGACAGTATGGTCACTATTAGGTCTACGACGAAATAGTTCAATCCTCCTCCTCCTACCCTATCATTAATTATTAAATTTATTAGAGGACCAAACCAATTCTTTGCATATGGCTTAAATGTCTAGAAAGTAAAAAAAATATTGTTTACAAAAGCTCATTTTATAGCTAATGAAACCTTACTTTGGGACTATTAACAACTAATTTGGCTATAAATAGTTTTATATTAGTGTGAGTTTCGTGATGATTTATTTTTTCGAGGATATTTTTCATCCAGGTTGGCATATCTTTTCCTGGTTCAGCAGGTGTAATATTATTTCGCAACATATGACGTAAGAGAGCCGTCATACAAGGCATGCACTCGTGTTCATTGATTGGATCCATTTCCATATAGATTGTATCTTCGGAATCTTCCATTATGTCCATCTTTTGAAAGATAGTAATTACATTAAGTAGCTCAATATTTTTAGAGTTCACTTACCGTTTCATTCATCGATGTTGAAAAGGATATATCAGATCCCGACGATGTTCTTGACTGATAAATTAAAATATTATACAAAATTCAAAAGTTCTTTTACTGAAATCAACGAACTGTAAATGATGAAGTGAAATCATAATGAGACGCCTCAACGCTTAAGCTACTATCAGCCAAGTATTGGGAAGATGGATAGTATAAACTTTGATTAAAGCTGGAGTCAAAGGATTGTCGACGATAAGACCTTACTTCATTTCTAACGGATATAAATTGTCTCTTTTTGGAAAACAATTTCTGTTAATAAATAATATATATTATTAGGGTCTTTCAATAAAATAAGATATTAACATCCATTTCCATGGCAAACTCATATCTTTTAGTAGTATCTATCATGTTCTCAAACAGAAAAGAACCCTTAAAAAATGAAGCAAACTTTATAGATCACACATTAATAAGTACTATAAACTTACTCCAAATAAAAAGCTATTATAAAATCTAACATCTGTTTGAGTACAAGCAATAATTGAAACCAAGCAATTATAGGCAGCGCAATGATATTTCCTTCTCAATTCAAGATAAGAATTTTCATTTCGGCAATCTTCAGATTTGACAGAATTACAAATTCTATTTTGAAATAATAAAAGAAATTAACTACTGAACTAATTGTAGGCCAATACAAACTTTGTAAAAAATTTTGTCATTTCGTTGCCATTAGTTGCCGAACCTTTGGAGTATACCAAGTTTATTCTTGAATCTTTTGTATTGACATCGTTTTTCGATAGTCGAGCGTATAAAATTTCAATTAATTTAAATACAGCAAGTTTTTCAACTAGATGATTTTCCATTTCGGTCTGTAAAACAATTTATATAAGCGAAATTCAAGTCATCACTCATCGGAAGTCTACCTTTGTTAGCTTTGCTTCAACAATTTCAGCCAATCGACAAATATAGCTCAAAAAGAATTCTGTGATTGCACTTGAAGAAGCACTTCTTAATAAAGGAAGACAGACTCTTTCCAATATTGACAACCTGATTTCAACTGTGAACGATTGATCCATAAGCATTCCGTATGGAATATCAATCAGGGGTTTTTGTTTATCTTTACTAATACTTTTTTGAATAAATAAAATAATAATAAATAAGATAAAAATGTATAATTGAATGAAGCGAATAGTAACCTTTTTATTAAGTCAACGACGCTCTTTTGAAGAGATTCTTCACATGCGTGAACTTTCTCTCGACAAAATATACTTATGGTTAGTTTAAGTAGTATTTCACTTCCTGTCAATTTAAGAGAATCTAGGATCTAAAATATAAATTAGAGTAATATTAAAATGATAGAACGCAAAAAAAAACAACTACCTTATTCACTGCGCTAACATACTGAATATATTTTTGGGTTCCAATTTCAAATTCAGAACTTTTTAAGGGGAAATAATCATTTACAAGGGAATTTAACGCCTCATCTAATTTTCGCTTCTCGGGACTTGACACAGATGCAAAGAACATTAGCAAATCCAGGAGCTTATTCTGTAAGGTTAAATATGTATACCTGTTATCATTTAAACGCAAAGATTTGTGTTTTACCTTCGTAGTTAAACCACTTTTCGGGTCTCTTAGTAGTGTAATATATGTTTCAAAAATCTTTTTAAAGTGTTTATTACTTTTATCAGTAGCAATCTAAAAATAGAGAATTCTTATTACTACCACATCTATCCAATGTTATAATTTTCAAAACTGTTCTTACCTTTGAATCGATAAGAATTAGTTTCGTAAGAAGAGAAATAATTAAGTCTTTTGACTCATCTTCACCACTTTCGCTCGTCCAATTTTGTAACAGTTCCCAATCTGCAAGTATTCCTCCAACTACAGTAGGACCGTCACTAAAATAAAAGACTGTTTTCACTCTTGTTTCTGAAAGATTGATAAAATTATCAAACCTTTTTCGAATATCTCTATCTTTAACAACGAAATCTAACAATCCATTGAAAATATTAGTACAGAGATATTGATGTCTTTCAACGGATGATGTTAAATCTTTCAATCTATCAGGGCGCTTTACCAAACTAAGATTGATGATGGATTGAAACTGGCAATAAAAGTAGAGTCCCCTATCTGATGGCTTAGATTGACTGGTATTCCAAACTTCTTCTTTCGAATACAATTTACTTATTAGGGCCTTGAAAAAGAAATTCATTAAATAATAGGAACACTTTACAAGAAAAATCGATTTTTTACTTCATCATTCATAGATATGCTTAGTCGTAAGAAACTGTTCAAAACGTCTGATGAAAGGGGCGTGAGTCTTCGAGCTGTTAATTTGTTACCATCTTTCATAACAACACTCTTTTTGAAAGAAAAAAAGTTATAAAAGGAAAAGTTTTATACAAATAAACAACAAACATCAAAAACATAATTTAGTAAAGTTTCTGCCAGTTCCTTAGTGTCCAAGCAATCGGAAAGAATTTTTAAATCATTTAATCGCTCATATCCCTGAACAACGCTTATTAGTGATACAAGATCACAAGTACTATCTTCAAGATTGTCAGGCAGTATCGCGGATAGCATTAAACTTCTAAAAGATGAAAGAGAACGATAGTTATTACAATTGATTAATAAATATTATCCTTTATACTTTTTGTTTTCGGTTAAATTCTTAACAGAATCTTTCATATTAATGATAAGATTTTGTGGTAAATTTCGCAATAATCGCTTGGTGCATGAAGATACCTAGTTGAAAAGTATAAAAATATATACAGTACACGTGTATTTTTATTTGGAGTGTTTAAAAGCATTACCTCATCGGGTAATCTCTTTGCAGTTTCAATATCTGCAAGATCAAATCCAAGAGATTTAGCGTCTAAAAAGCAGGTAAATAGCAATTTGAAGAAATCTTCCGAAAGGACTTCAGCTGAGAGTATCTAGATAGAAGTTTACAATTATTTTCCCATTTTTGTCAAATTATTATCAAAAAAGGCTTACTTTTAAGCTTTCCTTTACATTTTGACTAATTGCAGCTTCGATTAAATGAAATATTCGCACTATAACTGTGCATTTCAATCTGAGGATATATAAAAAGCCATTAAGTTGTCTAGTTCAATATCAGCATAAATGTATAAGAAAAAACCTATTAAATACTGTAACTTCTTTAACTGTAAAGATTGTTGACGAATTTGATTTAAAACATTTGGTAAGCGAGTCCAAATTTAACATAGCAATATCACTGATAAAATGGGACATAACTTCAAATAATCTACTAGGATTTGGATCTTGCTTTTCTGAAATATATAATTTTTCTATTTTACTTTACATTTCAAAATAGAAAGTAAAGGACAAACTTGAAAACAGATCTGTTGTGCTTAAAAATCTTTGACTAAGTATCCATGTATAGCAATCCAAAGAAGCAAGAAATTTTTCAAACCAACTGAGCATAGAAGATAGGTCAAAAGTTTGAAATGCATCGAATAAATTGGGAACAGTAGCGATACCATTCGATTCCAAGGCATCATATTCGAATCTACATATGATAAACACATTAAAAGTCAAACTGATTTTTGAAAGTAACAATCTACCTAGCAATGAAATAAGCTGGTCCTTTACTTGGGTCTTTTAACAAGAGTTTAAAATAGTCTCTTGGACTCTTAATATCATCCGATAAAGTCACGCACAAATTACAAATAATTTGCATGCTCATATGTCTAGATTCTGGATAGGGTTTACCACATTGTCTCAACAACCATCTGAGGGCAATATCAATTGAAGCTTCTTTCCATTGGCTAGAAATAAATAGCATTAAAGCTTGAGGAGGAAACATAAATAACTTTCACATACTGGGGTTTAATTCTTCTTCTTTTTGCTGATGGTTTATTCAGTAGATTCGACTTCACCTTTATTATTTTTTCAATATGATTCAAAGCAATTTTACATTGTTCTTCAGTTCCTGAAAAAAGATGTTTTCACCCTTTTATTTTATGCCTATAACTTTGATAAAAGTCTTTGTACCCAAAGCTTTTTCTTCAGAATGCGCCAGAGTTAAGCATTCGATGAAACAAGCTAATAATTTGAAGATATAAATATCTACCAAATGCTCTTCCTCCCTATTTTAAAAATTATGTACAGATTTCAAATATAATATACTTATGAAGATTGTTAAAACCCTACCTTAGAAACCTATAAATACTATTAAAAATCATGGCAGCCCCAAATCTATGAAAAGTGTCAGGATGAATAGACAGAGCGAATATTCGGTTTAAAACGGCCTCAATATTTTGAGGTTTCGATTCTAGATCTTTTTTAGTAGTTTGCTTTATTGTCCACGATACAAATTCACGAATTCCATCTGCGCTAATCTGCCTTAGTGAAGAATTTTTCGATTGGACAACACCATCCTGTAAAAGAGATAAGAAAACTCTGAGATATCCTCATCAAGTAACTTTATTAAATAGACTTACTGTTAAGGCATTTAAAAGTTCATTAGCTTCCGAATAATCCACAGTACTCTTCGAAAACCAATGTATTAGTTGTTCTAATAAGGGTTTAAATAATTGTCTTGCAACCTATGCAAAGTTGACTTTGTAAATTTATCCCTAACATAAATTTAAATTAATTCAAGTTTTTTTCTTACAGATTCAATGTCACATGACAAACTCAAAACAGCTGGAAAAATCTTTTTGTATAAATTTATCATAGATTGTTTATTCTCTCGAGACTGTTGAGATGATCTGAATAAAAAAAGCAGAGAATTAAATTAGTAAAAGTTATATTAAAGACATATTACAGAGAACTTACTTTCCCAAAATGAAAACCACTAAAGCTTGTAATAATTCACAAGCAGCGACTTTAGTTTGTCTATCACTGGAATGTTGGGCCAAGTATACAACTCGAGGCAAAAACGGATCTACAGTGTCATATGTCAATTAATTGCGAGAAAACTATTATTGAAAATATTGAAAATGCAACCTAAATAGATATCGGGTTTGATATCGATAAATGGTAGGGAAAATTTTAAATGTTTCTCAGTATCCCAGGCTTGTAAATTTGATTCTTGAATACCATCTACTAAATATTGATTAATAGAGCTACCAATTGATCCAAGAAATTGAACAATTTTGATTCTTATATTCTCCATAGTTGTTTCTTGTTTCTATTTTATTAATCAGAAAAAAAATGACATGAATAAAGTATTAACATAGTAATAGATCGAATACGTTTACCGTCAATTGAACACCATCGATTTGACTTCTTTTTTTTGGTACTGTGATGGAAATTTTCTTTTTTCCTCTCTTATTTGAGGATGAATGAAGAGTTACCGTTTCTTGAGCATCAGTAACTAAAAAGATTATTACTTGTGAAACTTAAATGCATAGAATAACAAGGTAACATTTACGAGAATTCGATGTTGCAACCATATATTTGTTCAGACTTGGTAGAATTTCTCTGAGTAACGGGTACCATTGAGCTGAATCTAAATCATTAGTCCATCGTTCAAGAGCAATCAACCCACTTTCAGCAAGAGGTGTATAACTTAGTCCAATATCAAAGGCATTCTATACGAAATTTTGATTTGAATAATCAACGTTCCTACTTGGAAATCGTAATTAAAAAAGCATACCTGTATAGCAGGTACGAAAAGATGAGTGTCATTAGAGATTATTTCAACCGGTAATTCCAAAATAAACTCCAAACATGAACATAAAATATCGTCTTTAAATTGTTTCATTCTAACTAAAACCTTCAGAGGTAAAAAGAATATTTTATAATTAAACTGAACAAAACAAGTTGTATATTATATCTACTTCTTTGGAAAATTTTACGAATAATACATAACAGGACCATTTTTCAGTACTAATAGTATCGCTATCAACTTCCATTTTATTTTCGCCAGAATCACTTGTGATCTTCAAATTGTCAATTTCCTAAGTAAGAGTTTTATTATAGAACAGGATATAAGATGTTTTAAGCTAAATACATACCTTGAAATACTGTAATTTGGCGGAGATTTTTGCTGTTACTGCAAGTAATTTATAAAAGGAGCTGACTAACGGAAACCTGAGATGATAAAACTTAATAAAAATTTAATAATTTATCTATAAATCATTTACTTAGTACAGTAGAGTACTAAAGTGTCAGTAAACAAGTAAATCCATCTCTCAAAACGATGAATGTGTGTTGCAACAAGTAGGTCACTGTACATGAATTTTTTCTTTAAGAAAATATTTAAAAAAGTTAATATGGATTTATCACCCGCAAAATTCAACTAAATTAGCCAAAATAATGAAATCTTTTGGCTTTTCCGCTCTAAGAGATTCGTCCATAATTATTGTACCAGTTGTATCAAAACTTTCTTCATCAATATCCTATTAAAGTTGGAAAAATTAATAAAATATGATATAGACTAAATTATTAAAAATTACATGTTGATTTATCAACTTCAGATTCAACTTCGATATGATCTTTAGAACAGATTGAATTAATTCATTATAAATTGTAGCAGTTAAATCTTCTTCTTCTTTTGGTATTAATTTTCTATCTTTTTCATTCTTGGCCTTCAAATTAAAATATTGATATATTTGTTTTGATTCAATAGCTTTTTTTTCTTTGATCATTACTAACCTGCAAAGGTGCTGCATTGATCAATCCTTGCCACAGCACTATATAACTTTTGTAAGAAATTTTTCTTTCAATTATTTTATCTTCGTTTGAAACAGATTCTTGGTTTATATCTGCAAATTCATCTACTTGTAGAGCGTGGGAACAAGTTCTAATTAATCCCTGATAAACTAAAGTAAAGAAAGTGATCAAATGGAATTATATTTTCCTTAAAACTTATTATCTTACTGATATCTGAGAGAAAGTTATTTAAAGCTACTCCGTTACTTGTTAGTGAAAGTATAACAGCCGAAAGAGACATCTGGGCTGAATAGTGCATTTTATCGGGCATATGTGGAAATCTTTCAATAAGGACTAATACATTCTTCTTTAAAGTTAGTAGGCAGGAATCTGAAATGTCAGTGACATAGCACACAACGCTTGCTAGAGTCTCCAGATAGGTCGGTAGACTTATAACTTTATCAGCTATATTTTCTTGTCTGTTTCAGATAGTCAATATAATTTTCGTATTCTCAATCGTAATATTTGCTTACGTGAAATACATATCATCTCCATATTGAATAACCTCATTGAACATAATCGCAAGTTCTGCCTTTGATAAGAACAGTTTACATGGCTATTTGTGAAAAGAAAGTGATTAGTTTATATCATAACACTAATACGAATAATATCACTTTTGCAAGTAAACCATATCCCCTAATAGCCAAAGATATTTCTTTATTTGAGGATTCTTTACTTCTCAACATTTCTTTAAATTTCTTTATAAGGAATGACAACATGTGAACATTTTCTTTTTTGGACTTTCCAGTTTCAGCTAGTTCCTTGGCCAGGAATTTCATGAACTCAGTTAAAGCTATAGCAGCGTCGTGCTTTACCTCTGCGTTTTTATGTATAATCCATCTGTGAAAGCGGTCGTACACTCGCTAAGATAAAATTATTAAAATTATAATAAATTTCTATTCAAAAGTTGATAAAACCTCATAATCTTTAAGTACAAACGGGCCAAAGTGATAAATATGCTTCCCTAGTAGGGATAGGCCAGCTTTTACACATTCGTATCTAGAAATTTTAGCTTCAGGGTCAATAGTCAAATTGATATATTTAAAAATATTCTGAAGACTAGTCGGATCTGATGGAGAGAAATTTACAAGCAGATGAGATAAGCCATAAAATGTTCCAGATATAATTTGAAATTCTGGTTTTCTAGTTTTAGAAGTAATCTGTTTCGTGGTATTTTCAATTATGGTACGAAGTTCACAGTATTAAATTAAAACCTCTGTTTTAAGGCTTTTGATGAATAAATCAGTTAATTTTTCGGAATAATTCATCATATATTCAGGGTGCAACTCTCCTAAATATCCCAAGATGCGAAATAGATGGTATTTTGCTATATCAAAAAATAAGTAATTAAGTAATACAAAGTTAATCTATAAAAAAAAAATTACTCGTAGCTTGCAACTTTGACTGAGATTGAGATAACATTTCAAACAATTTCGTAATAAACTGAGGAATATTGAGTTCTTCTGCATTCTTAGCCGTAATTTTTAGTAGCTTTAACAAACGTTTTAATATATTATTGCTATTTATTTTCGATTAAAATCTAACCTCATAAACTAACAATCCAGCAGCTACCTTTACTTTACTATATTTTTCACGAATAAATAAAGTCAAAGCAATTTCCTATTTAAAATAGTTCTTATTGAATTATATATGTTGTAACTGAAATGTTACATACTTTAATTTGTGTAGCATACGACTTCATTTTGACATCGAAACGACTAATCAAAGAATGAATTATTGTTAGAGCTGTTGATTTTAAATCTGTTAACTGCAAATTCAACTTCAGTTAATAAATGAAAAAGTAGACATGTATAGCCTAAACAAACTTCATCTTTGCCCATAGAATTTTTCATTAGCTTGATTAAACCTTTGTCTTTATCAAAGATGATACCATTATAGTAGTCTGTACCGAGTAAAGGAACGATAAAAGAGTATGTTTACATTTACGGAATTCATTCACCAATTTTGTCAAGATTTACATCATTAGTGCAGATCTCGTTTATGTCTGACATCGTACTAGCAATTGTATCTCCAACTGTAGATATGTCACTACGAATTAATGAATGCAACAGCGCTAAGCACTCTTGCAAATCCATTTTTCTACTACTAAAGCAGAATTTCGCTGGACTACACTACGAGTTTGACTGATTTGATACCCGCGCTTAATTTCGGAAAAATATATAATCTTCCGTTTCCTGTGGCACACTCTTATTTCCGGCAAAATGGCGTCACCGATTTTGTCAAGATCACTTATTTTTTGTCCAATTTAGTAAGTTCTTTATAATTCATTGAAATTAAGGGTTGACAGCCAACTGTCAAAGTAATTTTGCTGAGGGTGCAATCTAATACCTGAAACTTTATGTAATAAACAGCGATTTTCTTAAGAATTATAGAGGTCAATTTTCAATGCCGTTCAGCCTATTATCGCTTTTACTATTTAATTAAAAGAACTTTTCTACCACAGCTCGCAGGTACGATGCATGGCAACATTGAAAGACAGTAAGTTGATTTGTAATCATAATGTAGTTACAGACAAAATAGATCTTCCTAGCTAAGTTGAATACCAAACTTATCATGACAACCTTCAGCCAAACAAACTGATTCAAATCGTAATCAGTTTACCTCTATAAATTTTCTAATAGATAAAGATACATAAGCTAACACAATCTTGAAATTGGTTGTCAAGTTGTATGTAATTTGCTTGACACTCATAATTACCCACACCTTCAGTTTCAACTCGCCTGAAGTCTGTCAAGAACATACAAAAGATTACGAAGTCCATGCAGATGGTATCAGCCGCTAAATATGCTAAAGCTGAGCGTGATTTAAAATCGGCTAGACCTTATGGACAAGGAGCCAAGGCTTTTTATGAAAAAGCTGAAATCATTTCTGATCCACAAAAGCCTAAACATCTTTTGATCGCTATGACTTCTGATAGAGGACTGTGCGGGGCGGTTCATTCTAGCATTGCGAAAATGATCCGTCATGATATGGCCGCTAAGCCAAGTGGAACAGAAACTATGATTGTCTGTGTTGGAGACAAGTCTAGAAGCATCCTAGGAAGGTACGATGATTTATTTTAGTCAAATAATGCTTTGTACTGTAAATTTATTTTATTTTTCAGATTATTCCCCAAAAATATTTTGTTGCAAGTTACTGATATCGGAAAGAAGCCACCGACTTTCGCTGATGCTTCAAGAATTGCTGAAGCGATTAGTCAATCTGGATATGAATTTGATTTCTGCCAGATGTATTACAATTACTTCAAGTAAGTTCTGTCTTTTTAATTCACTAAATTTCGTATTTGATTTTATAACTATATGTTTATAATAGGTCTGTTGTCGCTTATAATACATCCACTATTCCCCTTTTCAACACATCTACTATAAGTGCATCGGATAAAATTACTGTATACGATTCTATTGATCAAGAAGTTTTAGAATCGTTTAACGAATTTTCGCTGGCTTCACTTATTTATTACGCCATGAAGGAAGGAGCTTGCAGCGAACAAAGTGCTAGAATGACCGCTATGGACTCAGCATCTAAAAATGCTGGAGAAATGATCGACAAACTAACCCTCAACTTTAACCGAACCAGACAAGCGGTGATCACTAGGGAGTTGATTGAAATTATTTCGGGAGCTGCAGCATTGAAATAGATTAAAAATTGACATAAGAATCATTCGATTGTAGATGAAATTGTGTAGGGTGTGTGTAATTAAGAATACACTTTGAAAGTTTGGATGACGTTAGATCAATCTCCAACTCAATCTAAAAATTGTTAATTTTTTAAAGACTGATAGGCAAATTTTTTTGCAATGCTAAATGTAAATAATTTAGAACACTTTTAATTATATATTTTTACATATCGAAAATTCCTGCGTAAAGGCACACATTGAATATTTCAAAAATAGAGTAGTGCTATGAACTTTTTGGAAGTTTTTTAACCTGACAATAAAAATAGGCTCGCCAGTCTATCATTACAAAACAGTTAGCTAAGAAGTCGGCTAGGTCATTTTAAGTTTTTAAATAAGATGAATATAGAAACTGTTTCTGGAGAAAACTTAAGCTTTCCTGACTACTATTCTCGCTCTTCAGAAGGTATTGTTTATAAATTGCATGAGTTCACTTATTCATTTCATATACTAAATTAGTGGTCCAAATTTTTATTGGGAATGAGTACAGATCAATGGTATGTCCAAAATGGGAGATGATTAAAGAATTTGAGTGGGATATAGTCCAAATATATCAGTATCGTGGAGAATCATTGCAAAGGAATCAAAGTAATCTCAAAAGTCGGAAGGGTGCTTAAACAAATTGGATAAAATCTATTAAGCGAATTTAAACTAGCTATTACTAAACATAAGAGCAAAATTCTAGAGAATTAAAGTCCCATAGTACTACCTTTGAAGACAAGTTCTTTATCAATTACTTAATCATTTAGCGTTTTTAATACTTAATTTGTACTTTCATTTTAATTTTATGTAATATAATTTTAAAGCAAGAAAGACATTAAAATAAATTGTTTATATGAACTTCACAATAGTTGGTAATCTTTTAAAAGCAAAATGTAAATATTCTTAAACTTCTTAAGAATTTGTTATCCTTGATTAAAACCGGAAACGTAGCAGACGATATTAGTGGGTAACCTTCACAATTTTTTAATAACTAAAAATTTAGGTCAGGATTAAGGAGCCTCACTAGAATAAACCTCGTGTGAACTTGGAAGAGAGATCGTTCAAACTCTTGATTCTTTTACGGTCGTAATGCCTCGATTTGGTTTGAATGTTGGCCTGGCAATAAGACTAGCCCGAAGGGGTTGTACAAATCGACCTTTCTATCATATAATTGTTCAAAATGCGCATCGAAATCCAGACACCGGGAAAGTTCTGGAGGAAATTGGTTCTTATGATCCAATGGTGAATAGATATAAAGAGAAACTGGTTTCAGTTAACTTTGACAGATTAAAATTTTACTATGCTAGTGGTGCAACTATTCATAAGGATGTCAGTCATCTACTAGGTAAGTCTTAAGACTGTTTGTAAGAGTTTATTTATATTATTTATTTTAAGGTTTGAGCGGATTCTTCCCAATATCTCCAAAGACAATAATTGATGCCCAGAGAAATCGTGAAAAATTAGCAGCAGGAGAAAAATTGAACGATGAGCCTCCTGAATTGCTTCTACACGAAACATTGAAGAGTGAAATCGAAAAGAAACGAACAGAATAACCATGTTGTTACTAAAATTTTTTGTACAGAATTAAATTGTTTCCGAAATTTATCAATATGAACTATATTATTGAAGCGTTTACCACTAAGATTTCACTTGTATGAACTGGCGTCGCTTAGTTTTTACGAATACTTTCCTAGGTTTATCGACTACTTGTTTCACGAAAGTAATATACAATGAAATCAATCAAGGCAACACTAATTTCAGAGCCAACTTAATTCAGCATTATACGAAAGTGTATTAATCGTATTTTACTCGCTGGTTTCAACATTTATCGTTTGGGTTCCCTTAAAGTTTACACATGGGACATAGGTGACGAGCGTGTACAATTTGTTAGTAGATTCTTCATCTTCATTGCGCTTACGTGCCAAACGAACTCTTACGCGAAATGGAACATTTCTGTTTAGGAAAAAAATATTCAGTTAGTTTGAGTTTAAAAAATATTTAGAGTTCTCTAAATAATATAATTTTCAGTTAAAGTTCATCAACAGTAAACATCTGAAGGTGTCCTAAGAAATTTCATCATTTAATACTAAGAGCAGGAAGCTATCAAGCACGATCTGTACATATCAGTGCTTCTTATTTCCTAACTTAATAATTCTATATACACAAGTATTCTTACCTAACTCCCTTGCTCCATAAGTGCTTGTTCAAACTGGTATCAATTCGAACGTCTGTGGTCTTCATCATTTTAGCGGCAAACTTTTTTACTTCTTTGATTGCTCTTGGAGCCCTTTTCTTGAAGCCTCTGCCCAAAGATATAAGAATATTATTAACCTATATCACTTAGGTGAGAGCACATTTTCTCTTTATCGCCCATATTTCAGGCGAATGAACTGACATAGCTTAGATACTTACGTTCCATGAATTCTTTTATGAAGATTGATAGTGTATTCGCGAGTTACAACATCTACTGTTAAATTTCCCCTCTTCTTTCCTTCTCTTTTAGGAGACATTGCGGCTTCTGTAAAAAGTATACCCGTAAGTTACCGCAGATAAATACACTTTTAGGATGGAAATCACACATATGAAACAAAAAATAGGAATATTAAGATGTTGTGAAGCGAAAATTTGACGATTTGCATTTTTAGAGAAAATATTTGAGGATTTAAGTAGAAATCACATACCCAATGCGAAGGCTGACAACAAAAGGAAGAGGAAATCAAATTTTTAGAAAAACTAGGTTGGTAGTCCCAATGTTTTTTTTAGAAATTTTGACTTAAATTGAATCCGTAACCATACTAGGTTTTCTTAAGGAGAGGACAGAAAATCGTTTACGTTTGCAGTCTTGTAGAATATTATTTTATTTGTTAAGTAGTTAAGATTATATATTGTTATGCAAACTGGATCGGTGTTCGATTTTTTAAAGAAGTTTGACGCCTACCCTAAGACGTTAGAAGACTTTAGGATAAAAACATTTTATGGAGCAATTAGTAAGATTTCTACACAGTTCTTTTATTTCGTAATCATATTTTTGTTGGTTTCAGTTACAATAGTTAGTGGAATATTCATGTTTGGTCTCTTTGTATCCGAACTAAGTTACTACTTGTCGGTGGAGGTCCATTCGGAATTGCTTGTCGACGCGACATTAGATCAAAAAGTAAAAATCAATTTTGATATTACCTTTCCAAAAACGGGATGCGACTGTAAGTGAGATTTATTGTTTAGCTAGATATCTAATATCATTTATTACTAAATTGTAACTAGATTTAAGTATGGACGCTATAGATGTAAGTGGTGAACAGCAGTTAGGTGTTGATCATGACATTTATAAAGAAAGGTTAGATAGCAGTGGCGCACCGCTAAATTCGGTACCGGAAAAAGAAGGTAAGTTTATATCAGTTTTAATACTTTACAATAGTAAACAAATTGTCATATTTAATTTAATTTTAGAAATTGGAAAAACTGTAGAAACTGCTGAAACTACAGTAAGTTATTTGCCCCGGAAAATATAAAAACTATAATTTAGTGCATTATGGTTTACAGACCACTCCCCCTCCTATACTAGATCCAAATAGATGTGAAAGTTGTTACGGCGCTGAGTCTGCCCAATTTAAGTTTGTTTCGTGTTTTCTTCAATAAGTAAAAGATTATTTGTTCTATGACTTTTTAGATGTTGCAACACTTGTGATCAAGTCCGACAAGCGTATAAGCTAAAAGGTTGGGCTTTAAGTAATCCACAATCTATTGAACAGTGCAAAAGAGAAGGATTTAGTGATACGGTAAGGAATTTTTTTCCTTATTATTAAGAAATTTAAATAAACTAATTTAATCAAAAAAGATAACCGTGACTCAAAAAGAAGGTTGCAGAGTGTACGGTGTGTTAAAAGTAAATAAGGTCGCTGGAAATTTTCATATTGCTCCCGGAAGAAGTTTTCAACAGCATCATGTTCATGGTAAGTGCACTTATGAGGAATTTAAAAAATATATGATGAAAATTCTTATTTATTATGTGCCTCATTCCAATTAAATATCGTCCTCATTAAATACTTAATCTATACAAAAAAAAACGAAATCGAGTTTTATTGATTTCCTTTTTGAAAGTAAAAAATCAAAATTAAAAATTATTTAATTATTGTGATTAGAGGATTTTGCAGTTTTTACTAAAGTCGAAAACAAAGATATCTAATCCAGTTATTTTCTTTTCAGTTCACGATATGCAGGGGCTTGCTGGTCAACAGGTAATAAAATTTTTATCTCAAATATACAAGTTAGAGATCAGCGTTTACTGTTATCTTTGCAGTCTATACGTATATATAATTTGTATTGCAGTTCAATGTTACTCATCGCATAAGGCACCTAAGTTTTGGAGATGAATATCCTGGCATTGTTAACCCTTTGGATGAAACGGAACAAATAGCTGATCAGAGTAAGTATACAAATTATAATCAATAAAAAATAAATATAATATGAACACTTTTAATTTAAGCAAATAGAATTTTTTTGATCTATTTATAGATATTTAATGGGACAAATTTATTTTAAACTTACAGTAAAAAAAACAGTTAAAAGTTTTTTAATTCAATATATTGGAAATCTTCAGTGCTATTTTTACTATTATTAATTCTCCTAATTAATATTCAGGTGCCGTCATGTTCCAATATTACGTAAAAGTTGTACCTACAACTTATGTTGAAGTGAGTGGTAAAGAAGTAAAAACAAATCAATTCTCAGTTACAAAGCATCGAAAATTTCCAAATCTGGGGGAACAAGCCTTACCAGGAGTTTTTATTATATACGAATTGTCTCCTATGATGGTTAAACACACAGAAAAAGCGAGAAGTTTCATGCATTTCTTAACCAGTGTTTGTGCAATAGTTGGAGGTGTCTTTACAGTTGCTGGTCTGTTAGATTCGGCCGTTTATAATTCTGGTAAAATTATACACAAATTTCAAATAGGTAAATTGTCATAACGATTGAACGAATCGATTAGGTAACCTTTCTATGGAATATAATCGATACCTATTTATTGCGTTTTTTTTTCTAAAAAGCGTCAAATCGTTGTTCAGTTGTTCCTTGAGTAAAAAGGAATGATTAATCTTTATTTATTTATATTGTTTATCGTATGTGTAAGTTAACAGTCTAAAAGGCAAAATTATAGGATATAAGGCGGCAGATGGGAAAAGTAGTTTAGCTAAAGAAAAAAGGGTTTAAGTTTTAAATCATAATATTTAACTATATTATGAAAGGAAAACTTTAAAAAATGTAAAATAAGTTTATCTCGTTATTTCATACAAATTATATTTTAGCAATAAAGGAGTAATTAAGCATTTAATATTACGATATTAAACTTTAACTTTGTAAATTATGTTTTCAAAAAGTTTTCTTAGATTAATTAATTTTTTTTTGTGTTACTTTTTCTAAATGTTTTCAAGGGATTACTAGGAAATCTATTATCTCTTTTTTTAACGAAATGTCCAGTCTGAAGCACTTATGTGTTTGTTTTAGATATGGGATCCATATATATATATATATATATATATATATATTTATATATATACTTGTTTATATACTGTATTCATCAATTTTCTTTCTAATTAAACATTTTTATCCAATCATCCTGCTAATTGTAAATTTTTTTTTATAAACATCATTTAGTTGTATAACATTGTTATTGTTTGTGATAAACAGTTTAAAAGTAATAATATGAATACATAATATAAAATAATAAACATAAAACATGAATTTGTATTCTTAAATCTTCATACCATCTCCTGCTGCAAGACTTTCTTGACTTATTTCCTTCGTTTTATAATTAACCCTTAGCCATTCAGTAGGATTTTCCGTTGATGCTTCTTCCGGAGCAATTTGTAAGAGGAGTGTATCGACAGGTTTGTCGTAAGTAAAATAATAGACAAACTAGAGAAAGAAGGGAGCACTAATGAATTTTTTTTTGGTTCAGCGATAAGGAAACACCAACCTTGTTGTCAAAGACTAGGAGTTCTTGAATTGGTATTGAAAATCGACTAAAGCTCGATGGATCATCGGCAGGTTTAAATATAATAACAAATGACGAAGGTGTCTTCGAACTTTGAAAAGTCCAAGACAATCTTAGAAAAGCTCTTGTCAATTTACATCCCTCTAAACAAAATCTGCACGTTGATGAAAGTCGATCAAAGTCCACAGTTGACTTTTGATTATTCGAATTCGTATCAGACATGACTTTTCACTGTGATCGTATTATTATTTTGGCTTTTATTCTTTACTATTCGAACGTTTAATAAAACGTAAATAATCCGCATTCAAAATTAGAAAGATTAATAAACGACAACGTTGATTATATTCACTTTTCTAAGCCTATCACTGATGCATGACCGGGAAGGGAAAATTAAAACATCGATTTTGTCGAAAATTAATTCCTTTGAATCAGCAAAATGCTGATGAGAAGCATTTGTATAGAAGTTCGTTTGCTTGTTTTATTGATTGTTTAAAACACGAAAATTTCATCAGGGATAATCAACTATCCGTAGGTCGGATCGCTAATTTACTTGAGGTAGTTGTTTAATTATACCAGAATGACATTTCTCTTTGCACTTCATGTATTTTGCAGTAATGAAGTTTGTTTATTCAAAAAAAACCTACGCAAATCTTATTCATGATTACGTGTATATCAATTTTAGTCAAGTCCACTAATAGAATCTTTTTATAAATTAACCTAATTTTTAGTCCAACTTCCATGAAGTGAGTGGGTCGAAGAGAACAATGCTTCTTAGATCGAATACGGGGTCGATGTGAATTAAGATTGTTCTACACGGCTCATTTACTCTTTAAGTACATAGTATACAATGAAAACAATTAGGAAACGCCAAGATTCAAGTTCAATGAACCTATTCATGAGTGATTGACTAAATAGGCCTAAATGCATTGTTTAAGAAGCTAGTAAGAAACATCATACTAATTATATTGTTTATATATTTAAATTCTGTTGATTTAGTTTTACTTTAAATTTTTAAAACTGATGATATCATGCTATAAACAAGAGATATCTTATCGAACGTTATTGAAATTTTTCTTTTTGTTTCTAATAATCCATAAAGTAATAAGAACTAACGAAGAAATAAGACAATAGTCTATTTATTAAAAGATTCGAATTACGTCATGAGCAGAGATTATAATTTCAAAAATATATTCTTAAAGTTTGCACAGAATATATCTATATTTTCACAAACTGCAATTGTTTGTTCAAGTATTAATATATATGTTCTGTAAATTCGATACTTCTTTTCATTGTCTCAATCGAAGATTACGCAAATTAAAACTTGTCGAATAGTAAAAAGAATACAATAATTGCCAGGAACCAGTTTATCGTCACGCTACACCAGATTCAGAATGAATTAGCGCGCGGCAGACAGCGCTGTCGACTGTAAACATAGCATTTGTGATCAGATATGGCTGAGGAAGATAACTTTTTTAAATCTATAGTCAAAAACGGTTCGACATCGTCGGCCGCAAAATTCGAAGATTGTTTCCAACTCTTCGATTCCGATAAGTTCGTCTAATTTTAAAGATGGACAACATTTAAATTACCTCATTAAAAAATTCCATTTTTGTTTCCAGAGACGGATTTCTGAATAAAACTGAATTTCAACGATTACTTCAACGAGCATTCGATGACAGTCAAATAGATGAAACTAAAACCTTAGAGTTTCTAAAAGTGCTCGACAAAGATAAGGTAAGAATAGAATGATGCGTTTGCATTTTTTTGAAATATGAAACGAAAAATCTTTGATCGAATTTGAATAGAAAATAATATATTCTCCTAATGTTTTGTTAATAATCTCAGCTGGTTTATATTTATGGGCAAATGGTATAGAACTCGTTCATTTTCGTTCAATGATTTAAATAAATCTTGACGAAGAAATAAGGTATCATGCGACCTCTATCAATATTCAAATACGTCAACAAATCAATCTTAATCGATTATCCATACTTTAACACAACAATTAAAATTTACTGATAATAAAGTTAATTGAATAATAATGTTAATTCGAACGCTGAACAGTTGAACTCACGTGCCCCCGTTAATAGGAATATCACAGCGCCCGATTGAAATGATTGATTATCAATCCATTTGACCACCTGCAACATAAATTGCCTGTTTTAGCATAACCTTACGTTAGCTTATCGTATTTTAAAAAATTTTTCCCTCTAATGTTATTACGACATATCAATACTAAGGTTGCCCTGGATCAGAAATTTTTCTCTTTTAAATAGAACTCTTAATATTAATTTTTTATAAATATGTTTCTATTTTAAGGGTTTTTTGCAGAAATAATAGCTAATAAATGTTATTTTTAAAGAACACTAATATATACCTTTCAAGATAATCTCAAGGATGCACTATAAAAGTATATTATGCAGTGTTTATATATATATATATGTTTCTGTAATTTTATCTAAAAATGCTAATGGTTTATCTATTGATTTTGATAAGGAAAATAGATTTAATTTCTAAATTATTTCAATAATATGGACTATAGTACAAAAATATGAAATGAACTATATTTTATATGCACTTTTGTACAATACTCCATATATTTTATTCAGATGTGATCTTGGTAGTTTTGATCATTGAATTTCTCGACTCGAGTCTTTTCTTCCTTTGATTGACTTACATTAATTCTATTAGTAAATTTTGTAGATTACAGCAACAGTAACAGGCAAGCGAATTATTAATTGTAATTATAATAATACTAATAATGAACGCAATATTGAAATATTGTTTTTTTCCATTTCATCTTATAAAATGTAGAATGCAAACAAAACGTTCCTTGACAACGGAACGACGTTTCGTCGCACCTTTCTCTATACCCAGCTTTTCGATTTATTGAAATTCTATTTATAGTTCAAAGTGTTATATAGTGTTGATCGCATGACAAAAACGTCAAGTATTCTTCAAAATTAATGAAAATGACTGTTGTTTGTTTTTCTCTATTATATTGTTTCAATGGCTCATAATGTGAATTATTATTACTGATAAGTTAATTAAAATATTGTTTACAAAGGTCATAATTACGGAAAGGAAACATTAGGAAAGAAACTTTGAAATAGCTAGTAAATCAAACCTATTGATCTTGTACTGTAATAATTCAATAAAGCGTTAAAGAGCACAAAAGCAACCACAATAATACTTGAAACAAAACACATGACAAAACTAAACAGCATCTATTGAATGTGTAGTCATACTGCCGTGTTCCGTAAAGAGACTATTGATCGCTGACGTGCTTTTTTCTATTTTTTACAGGATGGTAAAATTAACAAAACTGAATTTGAAACATGTTGGTTCCACTGGTTGAAACAAGTAAGTTTTGCAGTCTAAAGCAAGAAGAGACTATCCGCCTCTTTTTTTTAGCTAATCAATTTTTCTCATATTTTTTTCAATTAAATTCTAGGTGTTCGACCCGAAAACCGCTTTAATTGTGGTCGACGTTCAAAACGATTTTATAGACGGAACTCTTGCAATCAAAAAAGGAGACGCAAAACAAGAGGGATCGGAAGTTATACCTGTCATCAACAAGGTAAGGAATACTAGACGATGGATAGTTATACATAATATACGATACATTATATTAATAATATACTTTTTTAGATGCTGGATGAAATAAACTTTGATTTTGTTGTCTACTCAAAGGATTGGCATCCAAAGGATCATATATCGTTCGTTGAAAATGTCTCAAAAAGACCTCTCCATAAACGTAGTGCTGTACGTATTCAATTTTCAAGTGGATATTTCCTTAAGAGAATAAAACTTGATTTACAAATAATTAAAAAGAAACAACACCTTTTCTCTTCGCAGATATCTAATGCTTCCGAGGCGAAAGAATTAGATATTGTTGTGTTTGATGGAGACATTGTTATGGAACAAAAACTTTGGCCCGCCCATTGTATTCAGAGCAGTTGGGGAGCTGAATTACATAAGGATCTAAAGGTATATGTTACATTAAAAATATAACATTATCACAAGGTTAATCTTTCTTACCTTTTTTATGTTCAAATATTTATTTATGTCTACGCATATTTATTTATATAAATATATTTATGTATTTATTGATGAATATTTAAATGTAGAAAGAAAGAGAATTGACCATATAATTAATCGATCTTGATCGATCTCTTCTTCTTTCCGTTGCAGGTCGTTGACAATTCCATAAATATTAACAAGGGTACCAACCCAAATATAGACAGCTATTCTGCATTTTGGGATAATAAAATGCTGTCCCAAACTGGTTTAGTAAATGAGCTTACCAAAAGAGGAATAACTGACGTTTATGTTTGTGGTCTGGCCTATGACGTGTGTGTTTCTTCAACGGCTATTCATTCAATTGAACACGGTTTTCGAACATTGATTGTTGAAGATGCTTGCAGAGGTTTGAAAGTAAACACTATCAACCAGATGAAGGATAGATTTTTAAGGAAAGGCGGCATGATTATCCAATCTTGGGAGGTATATATATATATATATATATATATATAATTTATATATATATAGATGTTTATAGATATATATACATGAATTGATTAATGATTGCAGCAACTGTATAAGATTCTTATAATGCTAATTTACACAGGTTCAGCCTATAGCAGGAGCTAAAAAAAGGCCTGTTACACTTGGATATCAAGCTGCTCTCAATATTGCCATGGCTAAAAACTTGGTAATGACCGATTCTAGAAAGCCAAATGGCACCAAATCGTAGAATAGATGTGGTGATAGAAAAGAAAAAGAGATAATATTCAGTTTCTTCCAATCATTTTTAAAGCAAAAAATCTATTAAATCATCATGTTGAAAAAGTTATCGCATTCTGTGATATTACGAACGAAAATCTTTTCTATATAATAGTCATCCTCTTTGAGTTTGAAATTACTCTGTTAACGAGTGAAAGACAAACAAGTGCACCAGAAAGGCACAGTTGACATGCATGCTTGTAAAACTGCCATGTTTATTATTAAGTGTCATTTGCAAATTATATGGCTTTTTGCGTATATTCAATAAAGCTTTGAAGAAAGAGCACATAAATTTAAAATATTATAATAAATAAATAATAATAATCCAGTTCTGAAAAACATCTTATCCATGAAAATTTATCCAATCTACTTAACCGACCAGGCGTCAAAATAATCGATTCATTTCACGTTTCTCACGCAGCTAATAATTTCCGTTGAACGAACAATAGAATCATAAATTTTCTTAATACTGCGTCTACTTCTCTATGGAGCTCGTCAGAAAAGAAACTTCCATCTTCGAATAAAACCTAGAAATCTATTCTATTCCTATGCAATATGAAATTAAAATTAGCATTTGTTTTCCATTGTATTTATATTTTTAAATTTCTACAGACATGCTGAAAAACAAGACAAACAATACAACAATAAAAACACAAATTGTAAGATAAACAGAAAAAAAACATCATGTTAAATATTCTTTTAATCTAATTTTGTTTTTAAATAATTTCTATTAATATTCTATTTTCTAGAATAAAAAAGTTATTCAGGAAGTAGGTTTCGTAATGATTAATAATAAGAATTAACATATCTTTAATTATCGATCACTCTACAGGAATGATCCGAAAAGAGAGAGAGAGAGAGACAAAGAAAGAGAAAGAGAAAGTAATTTAATTTGAGGACTATTTTTCTCTTGTAAATAAGAAAAAAAAACTTTAAATCTCTAATTAAAAACAAATATAAATAAAAAAAACATCTTTTAATACTAAAAACAAAAATGAGGTTAAACATTCTCATATTTCATATGTTTTTATATTCAATAAAAAGAAAGAACTAGATAAAATACAGTACAAGTCTTAAAAACAAAAACTAGAGAAGAAAATGTTAATTCTTCGTTTTTTGTGAAGAAAGAAATCTTTTCTTATATTTCTTTAAAAAATGATGTTAAATAATTTAGAAAATGAAAAAAAACAAAAAGGAAAAAAAAAGAATCTTTTCATTACATAGATTGATAATTTGAAAAGTATTAAAAGTGTGAAAACTATTACTACTTCTTTTTTATATTTTTGCCACAAAAGCCAACTATTCAACTTTTGTCATGAAATATTGATAAAATCAAGAGAATAGATTATATATTATTGGTGTTTACAGATTTTCTTTTTTTTTTAATAAAAAAGTTTGAATTTGCAGTGTTCAAATATAGAAAGTAAAAATTTCCTTTTTTAAATGTTTTAATTAATAATTTACAGGAACTTAAATTAAAATAAAATCATTAAATTAAATCCTCATTGAAATTTAAGAGTAAATTTAGTGATTTTTCTATAATAATAATATTTCATTTAACCATAATAAGGGAGAAATTTTGTTCTATTAAGAATCGAAATAATATTCAAATATTAGCCAAGTTAGGAGTCAATAGGAAAATAAAAGAGATATACATAATAACTGAAATAGTTTCCATTTATACTTTTGTCAATTATTCACTGCCTGTAATTAAAGCAAACTTTACAATATTTAAAAATATATGATTGCACCGGTTTCTACATTTTACATTCGTCTGTGTATTTAATAAAAGTGTAGAGCGAATGCGCACACTTATATATATATATATATATATATATATATATATATATATATATATGTATATTGATTAGATTGATAGTTTTGGCAACGATCTATAATATTATGTTTATATAGTCAAAGGACATTGTGGATATTGATAAAAGTTTAAAAATCATAATATAGATGGCGTTCACAATTGTTTGCTTGAGCGAAATTTAGTTCAATGTTCACCAAATCGAATAAAATAATGATAGAATTAGTGATGCATTGAAAAAATTACAATATTCAAGGATATTTGGAAGCTTTTTTATTAATTAAAAGAGTAATTTTTTTATTTATAAATTTATAACCGGAACCGGAAAAACAAATCCTAAATTCGTGTTTTCCTTTCCTTGTTTATCATTTATATGATTATTTTTTAAAAGTGACAATCTCACAAGAATGACGACCAAGGAGGTATATATTACAGAACTATTAGATCACAATAAAAATCCGATGTCAGAGAAGATTTTTGAGATTGCTCTCCGAAAAGCTTCTCGCAAATCATCAGCTTATGACGAATATACAATCAAATTTAGCTATGTTGAAAAAGTTCAAAAGAAATTTATGATCAAGTTCAATAATCAAGATGTACAAGAATATCCACCCGAAATTTTTCCCCAGGATGACGAAAATTTTTTGCCCGACTTGAATGAAATGAAATCTATTACACATTGGGATAAGAACGATCACTCAGCATTTGTAGAATTATTATTAGATCTCTACCGCCAATATCAAAAATATCAAGTTGAAAAGTTAAATTCAAATGAAAGAATGAGAAGAGAATACGAACTCTTGATGAAAAATAGATGTATCGGACCCTCAGATATAGAGGTTTTTTGCCAAAATGATAATGGACCCTATGTATTTCACATAAACTTAAATGTAACAACTTACGTTAAGGCTTTCACGAAGGATAAAAGTAATAACCGATTCACTGCCAAACTAACGGTTACATTTCGAGGTAGAGAACCTGAGAAAGTACAGCCTGACCTTTTGTTGTCTGAAAACCTTGAAGATATTATCGGCGGAATACGAAGACTACAGATACCCCCCTATTCTATAAGAACATCGCTCGCGGACTATGTTCCTGTAATTATAGAAGCCTTGAAAACTACTTTACAAAATGGTGTTAATCAGAAGAGAACGAAAATTGAATTTTTCCTTCAGTTCAGAGAAAAATATAGGGAGAGTCTTATAGAAATGAACGATGAAGTAATAACTGTACTCCTTACATGGAATGATTTTATGTTTACAGTTCAATTAAAATTACCCTTATCCTTTCCCGTTGATTCTCCTGCATGCTATTTAAAGTCAATATTTCATCGAAACAAAGACGTTAAATCGATCTATTCGAAAAAAATTGAACAGTATCCACATAGTCCGAGATGGTCGGCTCAAGAAATGCTATCAAGATTTCATTCAGCAGTTATAGAAAATGTTCCTAGTTTTAAAGAAGAATCAGTAAAGAGAGGTCAATTTATGTGAAGGGAAATTTAAATCGAATTGCCCAATTTACAATAATCTTTTTGATAGTAATGGAAAACAAGTGTTACCTTTAAATTAATTTATATACAAAATATTTGTAATAATTATATTTGAATGTTTCGCTGTATTATGTACACTTAAAAGTCTGCTGTATTGCAATTAGCACTATTGCTGCTGCTCTTGATTACTTTCGGAGTTGACTATTGGTATAACAGGATTGGTTGATCCGTAAGAAGTTCCAACGTTTTGTTCTACATCATCTTCGTGGAGGAGAATGTTTGGTATAAAAGGCTGTAGATAAAAAAAATTCATTAAAAATCTATGACTACATGGAGTTAACGGATATAGATTACTTTAGATGTTTCTTCCGGAGTGGGGGAGCGTCTAGGAGAATCAGTTCTCTGGAGAGCAAATATATAAAATTATATATTTTTAGAAAAAGATTAAATAATACAATAACTAAAATAGCTTTATTTACTGAAGTTTTTTCTTATATTTACCTTATACGCCATTGGACTGATCACCTTGAACCATCCAAGGCAAACTCTACCCAAAAATAAAGTTATAGTAAGAAATAGGGCGACAGTTGCAAATAGAGACAAAATTTGAACATTGCTAGATTTCTGCACTCCTCCTATTAATAGACAAAAAAAAAGCTATAAATATTAATAACGTCGCAGTATTAAAATTTACAAACTTACCGGAGCGTACAATGATGAAAAAGACAAGGATAGCTTGGGCAAAGCTGACGGCAATGATAACGAAGTTGATGGCACTAGAATGCACGTGCTTGTCAATTTTTGAAGGTCCATAAGCAAAATAGATATTATATCTATCAACGGCATGTTTGAATATCATATAAACCAAACCTAAATAAATAGAAATATATTACAAATGTACAAAGAGTGATATTTTTTTAAAAACTTTACCAAAAGGAGTTATAAGTGGACATAGAAGGCTGTAAGATACAACGACTGTAAATACGCACAACATCCAAGCGTATTGCACTCCAAATTGAAATTCCCATACAACTGACTATTAGGCAAAACAAGAAAAAAAGTCACTTAAAAGTACAATATCTAGTTATTAAATTATTAAAAAATATATTTAAAACAATAACTGGATAAATAAGTAAGACTTATTTTGGAAATGTCTATCTTATCTACTAAAAAAGTACTTTTTTCGGTTTACATCTAAGCTTCGTAGCTTTTAGACGTCTTTTACACCAAGCATGCGGTGAATTCTATTAAACTTATAAGTCTAACTATTTCTATTATATTCTGTATTTTGTGTGCTATATATAAAAATAAAAAAATATTTTTCTTACCTTTCTTACTGAAGTACGCTCTGCAGCCGATTTAGCAAATAATAGTTTCATAGTATAGATAAACAACTCTGGAAATCTTATTATTTCCGCTGCTGTTCCAATAAATGCTGACGTTATTACATAATTTACAAAAAATGCTCCATTGTCAGGAATAAAAATACATTCCCATTTAAAAGTAATAGTTTTTTCGTCCTTCGAAGCAAAATAGTCAAATAGAGCTTTTGCGCTAATTAAAATAAACAAACGAAAAGAAGTTAAACATTGATAAAAGTCGTAAAAGAAGAACAAAAATAGTAACTTACCTTGTTAAGCCGAGAGATGGTAATATTAAAACCATTAAAACAAGGAAAAGAAATGTCTTTCTCATAACCGCATGATGTTCAGCCGATCTATTTATTTATACAATGATACTTTTCTTATGATTTTGTTTGTTTGCTTTGTTTAGTTTTTTTTTACCTTGTCCAATGTCCAATCAATTGATCGGAATTATACACCAAAGACGGTAAGAGAGCTGATGCTAACCATAGAATTAGAGTAGGTATAAATTGAGCAAGTAGATGACTCTATTTAATAAAGAAACACGAGCAATTAGAATAATATTAATAGGTTTAATAATATAATAAATTTGATACGAACGTGAAGTTTATCCAACGCACTTTTGTAATAATTCCCTTCATTTAATAAATTTAGGACAATTGATGGAGTTGTTAGAAAAAATAATAGTATAAATAGTAGAGCATTGATAAAAAATGCTTTTGACCACCAGATGGCAGGAGAAATTGAAAGATTTTCCCTTTTAAGTTAAATAATTTTTTATCTAATAGAACTGTAATTTTTTATATTCACTTACCAATAGATATTATCGGGTGCTGGGGCGTGTTCAACTTCCCAATTAGCTACGTTTAACTCGAAACTATTTGTTGAAGGACTAGGAACGTGACCTCGGCAGGATCGTTTAAAATCATTTCGAACACTGTTTGACATTAGCATGAATCATTCTAAATATTAAAAAAGAGATAATTAATTAATACACATACCTTAATGCGGCGTTTTCCTCTTCAAAAGTCACAAAAGCTATTCCCAAAGGATCTCGAAAAGCGTGTACTTTTTCGCTATCTACTTCATCCCTATATTTTTCAAGTTTGCTTGAATAGTAATCAATAGCATCTACGTGTTTACAACCACAACACGTGCAACATTTGCAACAATGTCCACAAACGAATGGTAACATTGTTGGCCTTTCGCCAGTTTTTTGCAAAATAATTTGAGAATTATTTAATCCTTCAAACGCTCTTTGCTTCTTTTTATCCAACGCAACTAGTTGGGTTATGTTGTACGCAAACTGAACATCTTCTACTCTCGTATCTGGATAAGCTTGTTGAAAATGTTCCATAATCGTTGTTTTAAAGCAATGCTGAGATGGAATATTCATTATCATGACTGTTCTTGTTACATGACCATCGATATCTTCATGTCTCAATTTGGATGTAAAGTGTCGCATCAGCAAAATAGCAATACAGAGATAGGCAATAGCTCCCGTTGCGTGAACCCAAAGCAGAGGCGACCTTGTTTGCAGATAAATCGAATTATTTTAAGAACGAAATAATATTTATTATAATAAAGTAAATTACAGTGAATTACTTACGACACATCTAAATTACTCATAGTGGAAAATCCAAATGATTGTCGATCGCGTTCTAATGTTCCCTTAAAATTGATGGGAAGTACAACGCCAATACAAAATGCAGTAATAATTGTTGTAAATATAATCAGATAACGTTGAAATTTAAGATATTGAATAGCGTCCCTTCCAGATTTTTGAAGAATATGCTCATCACTATATATTTAAAAAACTATTCATTAAATGATTATGATCTCGAAATAGAAATGTTAACAAACGTTATTTTAAAGAAAGCTACTATCCACGAGCAAAATCCCTGTAGCATGGAAATTGTATATATTATAACATATATAAATAATATATCTACATATCTGTAAACCGTCTTTTTTTTATATTACCTTATCTTGGTTTTGTAAACTTTGATCAATAGATATTTCCGACGTCCATCCATCTGTGTTATCTCTATTCCCGTAGAATAGAGAAGTCCACCTAAAAAAACAAAAACAATAATAAAAATACAGCTATATAATCAATAGTTTAAAAAGCATCAATTCAAAAAGGAAAAAGAAAGCAATAGGATAAGCATTTAAAAATAATAAATTAAAGCATTCGAAAATAGTCGCCTAGTCTAGAAAATAAATAATTCAAAACACATACACATTATATCTCGATTCATATGGTAGTAATTCTCTACAAAACAGAATACAATATTAAAGGAAGAAGAAGGAGCAAACCAATAAAATAAAAGAAGGAAATGGATGACAATACAAATATGTATAAAAATAAAAATATATATCATTGATAAGAGAAAAAAAAGTAGATCCACAGTTAATACATTAAATTAAAAGGAGATTGCTATTTTAAATATTCATATAATCTATAATATCTACTTTTATCAATATTATTTAAAATCAAAGGATTTTAAAGTATTACCTTGATTCATTTCGACTAATTAATGCAATCCTTCCATAATCCCATGCAAGTTTTCGGAGAAATGAGAATAAAATTAGTAAAATCTTCAAAATATAAATCATTTAAGTAGATTATTAAATGATCATTAAAAATAAATGAATACCAACCAGCCAAATTGAAACATTCATCACTAAATTCTCTGGAATGCCTTCATAACCTTTTATAATAAAGCTGGTTCTATTGTGATGATCTGTATAATATCGATCACACTTGGGCACGGGAGCTGATGTTCCAAACATATTGTCTGTCACGTTCATTTTTTATATATGCATTTGATATTCGATTCCTCTTTAAGTTGCCAGCCTTTAACCAATTCTGCATAAAGCGGAATCGTTACTTTTAAAAATATATTTCGAAATTATTTTTAATGTTTAACTTAGGTATATAGAATTTATTTTTAAATTTCATATTTTCTGCATCATAGAATTCAAAGAACGTTTGTCAAATGCCACGTTCTATTCGTATGAGTTAATTATAAATATTGTATATTGCAATTGATAATTAATAATATTGATGATGAAATGAATATCATCAAATTAATGAACTACTATTCATTTCGAAATCAAAAGAACTTATCGTTTTTTGACTAGAAACGTGTGTGAAATAAACTGAAATATTAACATTTAAAGAAATTGACATCAAAATAACCGTTAAAAAATTTAGAATGTTACAGATGTAAATATAAATACTGCAATTATGACCACTTACCAAGGAGAGATATAATTATTATTCAGAAAAAACTTCATATCACGTGATAAACTTGATCGATTATTAGTTTCGTATTTTTTAAAATCTATAACAACATGAAGGTAGTAATTTTGTGTTTAGGATATATTTAATGTATAAGCTATAATTTAGATCATCAGCATTTTATATGTATATTATTTAAAATTCGAAGATACTTACGTTCTTACCGGAAGTTAGGAAAGCGTGCTTCGTTTCACAACTTTCTAAGATATTTCCCTTAGTTAAAGGACTCTACGTCGTCATTACACGTTACTCGGATTTCGGTGCGCATTTATAATATATAAAAGTCGAAAGTTATTTAATTCTGCAATACTAATACTTTAATCCTTTATTTTAGACCGTATTATTTTGGAAATAAATTGATAGTTAAATTTTGCTAAAGATGACTGAAAATAATGGTAATTCGCTCGCCCAGCTTAAGTTAAAAATAGTTAAGCAAGTGGAGGTAAGAACATACAAATTAATGAATAAATAAAAACTTATACTACTTTTATATTTAACAGTATTATTTTGGTGATATCAATCTTGTGAGGGATAACTTTCTGAAAGGTCTCATTAAAGAGAATGATGGCTGTATCCTTTGTTAAATAATATAAACGTATCATAATTCCTAGATAATTTAAAGTCATATTGCTATACGTGTTAAATTTCCTTAACTTTCTGAATTATAGGGGTTTCTTTGGAAAATATGATAAAATTTAATAGATTGAAAGAATTGTCGACTGATTTGAAAGTAATAGCTGAAGCTCTTGATGAATCAAAATCTTCTTTGATTGAGCTTAATGAAGATAAGACACAAATAAGACGAGTACTAGAAAAACCCATTCCAGAAATGAACGAAGAACGAAAAGAAATGCTAAAGGATTTAACAATCTACGCCGTAAGTACTGTTAACTCTTTCTATCTCTATTGTAACAATTAACAAATTTGAAAATGTCTACAGAAAGGATTTCCTCTCGAGTCTTCAATGACAGAACTAATGACATATTTTGAGGAATATGGAAAAGTTCAGCATGTGCAAATGCGCCGAGATAAACAAAAAAAATTTAAAGGTTCCGTTTTTGTTATTTTCGAGGAAAAATCGTCTCTTGATAAATTTTTGGCGGAGGAAGGGACGAAGTATGGAGAAACAGAGCTTGTAAAAATGCTAAAGTGAGCGTTTCCAAATTTTAACCACAATATTTTTAAACATCATATAATGCTTTCAGAGATGATTACTGGAAGAAAAAAATCGATGAAAAAAAAGACCGTAGGGAACAGGAAAAACAGGATAAAGAACAGTGAGTTCAATCGTTGACATTTACTTTGGGGTTTACTTTATGCGTCACTTTTTTATTCCGCAGGGCCGAACAAAAGCGCATAGACGAAGAAAGAAACAGATTTTTAGAAAGAGTAACCAAGGGTGCAGTTTTGAAATTAACAGGCATAGCTAAAACAATCTCGTTTGAAGAGGTAAAGAAATTTTTTAACGAAGTAGCTGAAGTAGCTTATGTGGCTTATAAAACTGGAGATACTGAGGTAATTCATTAAATTTTCATTTTAAATTTTTCTTATAGTTTTTAAATTTCAGATGAACATTCGCTTTAAAGAAGAAAACGATGCAAAAAAAGTGTTTGAGCAATTGGAAAAATCTGGAAAAATATTATACAACGAAGAGGAACTTGACGCCACTGTTTTAGAAGGTGAAGAAGAAATAGAATACTGGAAAGATCTCTTTAGAGAGAGAAAATCCAATCCTAAAAGCAGAAGGGGAGGAAAACGACAAGGTGGTAACCGAGGAGGTTATGGTCCAAATTCTAAAAAGAGAAGGGTCAATGGAAACAATTAGACTTAGGATATTTTCTGGCATTTATGTTTGGTTAAATCTAGACATTTGTAAATCTTTATAGAAAAAATTTCTCTCTGGAGAATTTCTTTCGAATTTTTGATATAAAAATATGTCACCTTTATATAGTTTAAAGAAAGTTGTTACACATGGCTGTGTAATGTTGTAAGTTGTTTGTTGCGTTAAATTTATGGATTTTGAAATTTAATATCATCTATTCGCATCTAAAAATATATTTAACTCCAAAAAAGATTTTTGTATAAGTCGCAATTTACAGGAAATTGGTATTCTTTCTAGAATCTATATTTAGAGCATTAAAATTTACACTATATGGTGTAGATATATATATATATATATGTATATGTATATTTCTCAATTTATGTACAGAGATATGCATTAAAATGGCTTCTTAGTATCATTTGTCGACCAGAAATACTCAAGGCATTTTGTGCTTAGGAATAGCGATTAAAATTTTCTATACCTTGGCGTTGCTTTATGCTAATGCTCAATCTTCAATCTTCTGTTGGTAAGCAAGTTGGATCAAGATATTCTTCTAATTGCTTTTCATTATATACGAAAGTGACTTTACTTACAGTACCATCGTGAAGCCTGCAAAACAGAACGAGAAAAAATTTGTTAGCATAATTAATGTTTTGTTCTTGAAATCGGACTCGACTTTTCCTTATAATCGTCATAAGTAGGATATATTTTCAGACCTGGGATAAAACAGTTTGGCGAATATTTTTACTAACCATGGTCTAATTATTGCCCAGCATCCGTAAAATATCATTGGGGCATTGAGTATAAGACAGATACCCAACCTTTCCGGATAGTACTTGCCTAAAACAGTGATGAGTTGTTTCACAAATTGATAATCCATATTCGACATGCAAAAATCTTTGAGATCGAAAGCGATACATAAATTATCGCATTCTGGAGTACATTTTTTAACAGCCTTCTCTAACATATAGACTATAAATTTTGTAGAAGCATCTATATCTCGTTCGTATGCGTTGTGCTTTTTTGCAGATATGTAAAGTATCGGTCTCCCTGAATTATCCTTCTGGCTGAGTAATACACCTTTTCCAGTTGCAAATTCTTTCTCAACATCTGGATCAGTAATATTCAATTCGTCAACTTTCATTTCCTCCCGCCATTTATTCGTTTTCAAAAGCATTTTATAAGCAAATTCACTAGTTTTAAAAGCCTTGAGAAATCTCCAAAGAGAGGCATCATCGTGGTACTGTGTAGGATCCTCATCAAAGAGCGGCTGCAACAAACAGTTCGTGAAATGCAATTTAAAAGTAAATATTTACCTATTTATATATAAATGGAATTTTTATATTCAGTTTGCCAGTGTTTCTCTTAATACGCTATTATCAATTTGCTTAAACGTTGTCTTGTAGTAAAAAAAGATAAATTCGATTGAATTAAATAGACGCAAAATAGAAGAAATTTATTATTATTGATAAAATAAATAGTTTAAAAAATTAATTAATTAACAAATATGTCTCAGTGTAATCAGCTTAAAGATTTTACACAGCAAAGTAGGGTATGTATCATTACCCTGTAGACTATATTTTCTCTACAACATACTCTATTATTATCTCTCTATTATTATGAATAATATCTCTTGTCGATAGCTTCTATTTATTTAATATTTATAAGCGAATCTTTTTTATATTCCTAAAATTATCCCTTGGAGAATTGTGGTTAATTATTATTACCTTGCATCGTTCTTTTAACTCGAGAAATTCTTCATCAGTTGGTGTGCAAAGTGTATCGTTGGCCATAATTTCTCTTTTATTTACCAATCAGTTACTCACTTTAGAATCTTCTTTAAATCATTATACGGAATTATTCGATGAAATTATTTAAAATAATGTCGCAACCGCTTATCCATATGTTGACTAAAGTCAACGGGAAAAGGGGCGCCACCGTCATGCAAAGGATAGGAGAGAAGTGTATACCTACAAATCGATGTTGTAAACGTTCGAGTGATTTTTTCTACCAAGTTAAAAATATGAGTTTTCTTTTAAAAAAAAAGAAATACTTTTTAAATGCATTTTATGACATAAACAAGTTATCTTGACTAATTAAAAAATAACACTAAATATCATTTTCTATAGATGTTATGTATTGCAGAGAAATCATAAACGGGAACTAATCTTTTTAACAAAATTAATTCTGGATTAATATAAACCACTAATTGCAAATTACCTCAATTATTTATGTAAAGATATTTAACAACGTTTAAAAATCATTACTTCCTTTTAAATATTCATGACTATTAAAGATAATTGTTTATACATAGTACAAGATCTCTTTTTGTTTTACTACCATTTCTTAATAATTGTCAAGTTGTTTCACATCGACAAGCCTTTATGTACAGTGTATATAAAATATTAATTGTAGTGTATACAGCCATATACTTTTTACAATAGATAGCCAATGTTTAAGTAGTAAAAAAAGTAGTCAATAATTCACCTTTCGCTCGTTCGTTCTTATTGTAATCATGGTTATTATCAATAGAATATCATCATTTTCCAGCTATTAATACATGTAAAAGTGTGAAAAACATTGTACTCTTCTTTTTAATTATAAACCTTTGGTATTCTACGAAGTCTGTTTCAATTATTATTACCCAGCTGGATTTGTAGGGTGAGGATAATGATGTTCTTAGCTTTGAAACAATGGAAACTCTGTCAAACTTTCGTAACATTTTGTTACATATAATGAATTCACTTAAATACTGTACAAATAATATTTTAATAAGCTTTATAGCATTTTTATCTTGCTGACAAAGGCTTTTGCTGTTAACTTGCAAATATCAACCGTAAATAATGTAATCGAAAAGATACAATTGTTGAATAAAAAAGCTTTTTCCAGGATCTGTACACACAATACATTTTCTGTACATATATTTCCTTTTATATCAAAGAAATTCTGCCTAATGGTTGCTTTTAACCCTCTTTATTAAAGATCTGTAGTATTCATTAAAATAAAGGAGAAAGGTGTCTTTTTTCAACTTAATTTTGTAATTAAACAGTTTTAAACAATTAACATAATACAATAATTATTTCAAAAAGAAAAACTATGAACAGTAAAAAAGTATGTGATTCAAAATTTGAACTTGTACTTTTTTGAAGATTGACCGCTTGCTTCTTGCTGCTTCTTTCGTTTCTGTAGAGAAAAAATCAATTAAAAGTAAGTATGACCTAAAATATATATTTACCTTGGCTTGTTTTGCGGCGTGTTCTGCAACCATGTCAGACAAATCTTCTTTTTGAAGACTACTATGCTGTTCTTTGAGTTTTGTTTCATATTTATTTTGCATTGCGGCAGAATCAAGATCAAGTTCATCTGGATCTAATGCGACTTCAACACCTTCGGCTGTTCCCTTTTTACTCACTGCACTCACGTCGTAAACATGTGAACTACCCATCATAGCTGAACCAATTCTAATTTGCTTTTCGGGGATAACGTGATAGAGTGCTGGTGTATCACCACCTTGTTCCATCTGATCTTCTATTTTCTGTTTTCTTAATTCAATCGAAGCTGGTGTTTCCATACCAGCAGGTACCGTTGAAGTTCCACTTGGGGTTACTAAACCAGCATCACCAGGTGTTACGAGGCCAGCTGGATCGATAGTAGATTTCTCTTCATCTTCCTCGTCTTCAGATTTTTCCTCTTCCTCTTCTTCACTTTCAGACTCCATTTCTCCCCACAGAGTTATATCGACATCGTCTTCGTCCATTAACTGATTTCTAGGATCGTGCTGATTGGCACCAAATACATCTCCGTACAAGGGTTTTCCTAACTCATCAACGGGAGGCTTACCCCAACCACCTTGTGAAAATAAAATATTTTAATTTAAAAAGTGTGCTATTTCACATTTTTATCATGTACTGGCTTTTAAAAGATAGGGCAAAAATTTACCTGCATGATAACCAAATGAACATTCTTGTGGGATAGGTGCATTCAAACCGGCAATTTTAAGATTAGGATAAGATGGAGGTGGCCCATATCTCTGCATAGCAATGAGCCATGGAGGAGGTATTTTTTCGGCTCCCGCTCCTATTGGCATTCCAAGTGCTATTCTTAAATCATCACTGATATTTCCAGGTTTTTTTTGCTTCAATCGTGTTTCGAATTCTTTTCCTTCATAGTATAAATCACCATGAATAGTCATATTCGGTTTCGTTTGGAAACGAAAGAAAGCATCGTGCAATTTCTGATAATCGATATCAATTTTACCCATTTTAGGTCTTATTCGTTCTCTCATTTTCTGTTTAAGTGTTTTCGCATCTTCTTTTTCAGAAACAGCCTCACGCATTTGCATTATACCAGTATTTTTAATGAATTCTGGCAATTCAAAGGGTGGCTTCTCAAATCCTCTCTTACCTTAAAACAGGGAAATGATAAATAAAGCGTTCATTTATTTCTTTTTTTATATTTACCTTGTAAATATTTTCTTTTAAAACACCAATGTCTTGGAACAGGAACAATATTACGGCAACTCTTTAAGTGAACTAATAATTTAGGGTCTCTTGCCGTAACATCATACATTTCAACTACATCTGGTCTTAAAACCAGTTGTTTCAGTTCCGCTACACTCAATCTGTTAAGTTTCTTAAGTTTTTTCTTCGACATTTTAGGCTTCTCGTTGTCTTTCTTGTCATCATCTTCTTCTACATCAATGATACCTGCGAAAAAAAATACAATTATTTATTTTTCAGCCTCTCATAGTTAATAAATAATATGAAGTTTATCTTACCTCTAGCTTTAACAGGAATGTGATCTAGCCTCTGAATTTTGTCTTTATCATCTTCCTTTTCTTCCTTTATATCTCCTGTTGTAATACGAAACTGTTTGAAAATATCCTTAAATTGAGAAAAAACAGGATCAGATTCGTCCAATTTCTCTTCCACATATTCGACTTCAATATCATCTTCAGTCTTCACATCGTCCACACCATTCTCTTCTAATTTTTGCTTTGCTAATTGATTTTTAAGCATTTTTGCCCTCTTTTTTCTTCTCTTTTTCTTTTGATTCTTTGTTTCTTTACGATCTGGAAAATGTAAACATGATTACTACATATGAATTTTGTTTTTCGGCTGAATTAGATATAAAATTTTTTAAGAAATTGTAAACAAACCTGTATTGGTTGTGTCTACTGTGACTATTTCTCTTTTAACTGAAACTTCTTCTATGACTTCTTGCTTAGGTTCTAAGTGTCCAACTTCTTCAATCGATTGGCTTACACTCTCTTCCATAGGTTCAGAAGCATTGGAGCTGCTGTCACGTTGAAGTTCAACATTATCCGCGTACGTATAAATTTGGGGTTCATTTCGACTCAGATTCTCCTCTGATCTTTCCTTTTCGTATGATAAATCTTTTTCTTGATATTCATCTATTGCCCTTGTTGACAAAGGTTCCTCCCTCTCAGAAATAGTCTCAGGTTCCTTTACAGGTTCAATATTGGCTGTGACGTTATCATTTTCCCCACTTTTATTCTCTAAATTAACAGGTTCTTGGATTGGCTGACCTTTATCAATGATATTTGACTCTTCAGTTGCTTGCGGTACAGATTCTGAAACTCTTGGTTCTTTCACAATTTTTTCCTCAACATCTATCCTATCAGCGCCCGAGGAATCAACAGACTGACCAATAGTTGGTTCATTATCTATAGTTTCTATAAATATATATTTATAGGAAATTGCAAAAAAGAAATTATCCAAATCTAATTATATTTTCTCACCTGATTGACTCTCTGACTCCGGAAGTTTTGGGATTTCAGGCTGTTCACTCTTTTCAGGGGAAATTTGAGACTGCAAAAAGATTGAAAGGTAAACATTAGTGGTATATAGAGAAACATAACTTTCAAAGGTTATTGAATCATTAATTAAGGAGAGTTTTGTCATTTCTCGGAATAATAATTACTAACAAGGGATATTTTTTGTTATTTAAATATACCTAAGGTCATTAATTACAGAAATTAGTAATGTAAGCATTACCGGAATAGATTTCGAATCCTCTGTGAAGCTATCTTCTTCACTAGTCGTTTCAACACTCACTATATTTGCAAAATTAACCTCAATATAGATCGATCAAATTTTTGTATTTGATTGTTACCTTCAGAAGATATATCTTTGTTTTTCAAAGCTGCCTCTAAACGCCTAACTAAGGTTGCCTTCTTTCCGGTTATGTTCAGGCCACGATTTTTTAGTTCTTCACGTAACTCAGCGACTTTTAAAGATTTCGGATTAATATCCGACATATTTATAGTTTAATCGAAGATCTTGAAGACCGGTGAAATTGTTTACGAATGTTGGAACTACCTCCTGAATATCGCTATCCGGATATCGATGTAGAAGCGCACTTCCGTTTCAAGATGGCGGAGTAGCAGAAGGCTCCAGATTTAATTCTTTCAAAAGTTATTAATTGTTAAAATCGAGTTTTTTTTATCTGAATTGATCCAATTTAAAGTGATACTTCTAACGAAAAGTTTTATGATATAGCAATTGTTGCTAACTGTAGAAACTGCGAAGTAAACTATTGAATATTTTCACTTCGGTAAAAATTTAGTTTAGGTTACGAAGATAACTTAGTTTAAGTAGTTTTTCCACTTTAAATTAGAAACAAAAAATAGTAAATCTTCATACTGAGAATAAATTTAATAATACCTTTACTTAAATTAATTTCTAAAGTCTTTTTATAGTTTTTAGTAATTGTATATTCAACCAAGAAAGCTAGTGCTCAACGAAATTTGAAATGTTAATAGATCATAACAAAGAGATTCGGTGCCTAAACGTTAATTAATACAGTATTTATCAAATTATCTAATATCACAGATTATTTCTTAATTTCTTGTTAACTTCATTAACTTTCATTTTTCGTGCAATATCCAGTTTGTTTCGTACAACTCCTAAGTGTCTACGGATATACTCTTCATTTGGGGCAAGTTTTTGAACTTCAACCAAACATTTTTCAGCTTCATGCATTCGCTTCATTTCAAAATAAACTATGCATATATTATGCCTTGCCTGTCAGGAAAATAAACATTTTATATACTGTTCAGGCATTTATCAATAATATAAATAGTAAATTTAACATGTCTACTTACTTGAACATTATTGGGTTCTATGTCTGTGATTTTTCTGAAATTCTCCAAAGCAGAATTTGCATCCTTCTCATAGTTTAGATTTAAATCGCCAAGAAGTAGAAGACCTTTGGTATGATTGGGATAATGTTGCAACAATTGCCTCAAATATATCAAAGCCTCGTCATGCTTTTTCATATCGTTATTTAACATCAAAGCCAAATTAAAGAGAGCGCTACGGAAATTCGGCGTAATCTAAGAAGATACATGAAAGATATTATGAAATATTAATAATTCTTCGTAGGAAATTTTTATTACATACCTCGATAGATTTCTTGTAAGCATTATATGCGTCATCAAATCGCTTAGCATCCATATATAACAGTCCAAGGCCAAAGTAAGCTTTCCCACTAGTTGGCTCCAATTGGAGTAAACGTTCCAGTCTCTCAATTGCTTGAGTCAACATATCCTTAATGTGAAGCTCTTGTATCAAAATCGCAGAATTATACATTGTCTGTTTATGTTCAGGAAAAGCCTTTAACCCCATCTCAAAACTTTTAAGAGCTTCTATCTTATTCTTCTTTTCCAGAAAGACAACTCCAATCTGTTAATAATAACAAGCTTGTTAGAGAACAAACATGTTTTTTCTAAATTTAATTTAAAATTTACATTGTAAAGAATATCAGCATTATTTGGCTCATATTTTAAAGCTGTTCGATATTGAGCCAAGGCTTCATCCGATTTATTCATGCGCAATAAGATATCTCCGCGATTCAAATGAGCTTCAATGAAACTTGGTCTCATCCTCAAGGCCTTTTGATAATACTAAAAATGGCAGAAAATGAGAGAATTAATAAACAATAAAGACGGAAATATCCGCTTTTTATAATAAACTTATAAATGTACTCTAGTGAAAGGAATTGTTTTGAATCTTCAGCTTTCGCCACAATCCGATTAGTTAAAAATGATACTTTAGGATCAGCTGATAAAATATGATGTCGTAGTTTTTTTAATATAAACAAACTCACAGAATCTGCTTCGCCTAATCTAGACAAATTGCGAGATATTAGAGATCCAAGGCCTAACAAGGCTCCAAGATGATTAGGTGCAACTCTTGTTTTGTACCTTTTGCCTGAAAATCAAATGTATTTGAAAAAAATGGAACAGATATGACCTTTTTCACCTCGAATAATAGCTGGTAATAATGAAACAGCTTTGCGATATGAATTTTCAGCCTCCGTATATTTCTCCAGATTCTTATATGCCCGTCCAACGTTAACATGAGCTCCAATGTCATCCGGTTGTACCCTATAATTTTTAACAAACAGAAAAATTAATAATTTTAATAATTATTTCAATCTGAAAGCTTATTACTTTGCGGCATATAAGAAGTACTTAAGCGCTCTTGCGTGGTCATTTTTTCCTTCCAAAGAATGGCCAACATTATTGAAGAGCTTAGCGTTATTTTGATTAACTCGGATAGCCGATTTAAATAGGCTATGCTCTGATTCCCTGAGAAAATAATTAACGCTATTTAAAGATTTACATTTTAATTTGGATCTAATTTACCATTCATAATTCCTCAGGAATGTTTTAAAACTAAAAGAAATAACAACATTGGCAGCGAGGACATAAATTATCATTTTCGATATATAAGACATTGAAGAGATTTTATAGAGAATTTTAAAACCAATTGCTAGGAGTATACAGAACCCCATGCTTGGAATGTACAAAATTCTTTCAGCCACAACAAAACCAACAGGAAATAGAAGATTTGAAGCGGGTAAAAAGGGTATACTCATCAGAGCGAGGCTAAATGTTAAACATTTACTAATTTTCGTTTGTTGAGTGACTGCTAGAAGCCCCAACCAGAGGAATAAAGAGTAGAAGGTCAGAGTAGCGAAATTTCTAACATCCAAAAAGGAAGAGATAACAGGTATAGTTCCCATTGTCCAATCACAACAAAGACCAGAAGGATTTAATAACAACCAGCTATTTACTGCGAGTAAATAATTGAAAGTTAACTGCCTAGTAGGAGAGGGAGACGCCGCAGCTGGATTGTCGAAGCTATATGAATGCAAATAATATTAGAAAAATTACAATCTACAACAGTAAATGAGATTAAGTTCAACTTACTTTGTAAAGTGAGGTAACTGAGCGTCCATAACCTTGATTCTAGCATACAATAAACTAACAGTTGTTCCAATTAACAAGGAACATCTCAGAAAAGATCTTTTGAACCATGGAGGACTTGTTCTATTGAAAATATTTAGGACGGTAGGAAGGTTTTGTAGTTTTAAGTTATTTGCGACAAAGACATCGAAGACACAACAAACTCCAATTACCGTAATACCTTGTTCTTTACATAGCATAGCAAATGCAACAATTATTACAGAGAAGATAACATAGAGAAAGGCTGAAAATATGAAATTAAAGTTTAGAGAATGTGAATAAAGTAGATAGGAGAGATATGAGTTGTGTTTTGTTTTTATCAGTTCATTGTACTTTTATACACTCAATGACAATAGTTTATACAATATAAATACAACTGGTACCCCTCCTGTTCGAAAGTTTTTGTATTAACTGACTTGAAATGGTCTGAGTTTTCACTGCTTTGTAATAACACAATAGGGCGGCAAGAAAAAATATCGAAGACAGCAGTTCAGCTCTACCCACAACTCCTGTTACGGCTTCAGTATGGATGGGATGTACAGCAAATAAGACTGCGGAGGTATTAGTCAAAAACGAATCATTCAGCACTTTTTGACAAACTTTCCAAAAGAATAAGGTTACGATTATATGCAGAAGAACATTGACAAAATGATAACCCCAAGGATTTAACTCGCTTAATATGTAATTCCAACGGAAAGTTAAAATGCACAGAGGTCTATATGATTTATGACTTTTTTCATTGTTCATGGGAGTACCCCAAAAGTCGTTCCGGAAGAGATTGGATAAGGGTGTAAAGGCCCTCAAATCTTTATTATCTTTTATTGCTGAAACGTCGTCGAAAACAAACCCGCATTGTGGAGCATTACTGTATATGACATATGTCAGAATACAAAGAAGTGAAACCACGGTCTTATCTTGCATGGCTGCAACCATAATTGAGGTCATTATAGATTTATTTCTTCTAAAAATATTCAACTTACCTTCAGCTTAATTGACATATACAAACCATGTAAGTGTGGTAAAATATATCTTTACCAGTTTTTAAGGTCCGACGCGATTTTCAAGAGGGAAATTTAAAACAGCAAACCTGTATAGTTTTTATCGCTTTTTTATTACGGAAGAAATAGGCTTAATTTCACAGTACTAGTTTTATCATATGTATGAGAAATTGATATTTAAGCTAGACGGTAAACTCTCGGCGAAGAAACGAGACGTCAAGAGGAAAACATACAAATACACTACCCAGACATAGTTTATTAAAATTCAATATTTGACGATAACTCTGTAAGCCATTTTTTATATCTTTCACCACACTTTGGTTAGTTTGCCACCACCGACACTTTTTCCTTACATTTATAGGCTGCCATCTTAGCAATAAAGGTGGGTAGGCGTATAGTGAGCAGGAAACCGATCCAATACTCATTCTTAGAATTTGGATAGTTTTATTATAGATTGTAACCTCAGCTGAGTGATGACCTTCGGCTATATTAACTAAAGAAATAAATTAAAAGCTATCCAGAAAATATGCTTTGTCAGAAAAAAAACAAAGACTTGAGGATGAATATAGAATTACTTTAGCTATTTTTACCTTTCCACCACAAAACCCGATAACCCGTGCGAATGAGGCAATAGACTCTTGACCCAAAAATGTCCGTGACTTTTATATCGTCGGAAGTTAGACGAACACTCCCATCAATCCCATTGTGAACTAAAACCGATGTGTTAGCGCCCTTCAATCTTTTCTCCCCATTGATTAAATAATGAGAGCCAACTGCTAAAACCCTATTCGCAGTCCACTGATGTTCAATAAAGAAAAGATTACCTTCTGGTCCATCTGAGAAACGAAAATTGCAGGTAAATTCCGCAGAAACAAATTCAACGTTAATTGGCCATAAAACCCGTTTTGGTCCAGTTACTTCTAATCCAAAAACGAATTGTGGGGAATTTATCGGATGAATAATCGTTTCGGTACTTTCATAGATTACAATTAAGCCACCAATAATAAACAAGCTAAGAGTTATTGAGTAATTTAAGCATCTTGATAAAGTAGAACACTTAATAAATTTCTTTTTAATCTTTATAGAAGATCTACGGCTATACATAAAAAAGTTCTTCATTTTTTCTCATAGTCCAGTGCCAAAATATATCAGTTATTTAAACAAGAAAATTTTATTTCACGTTTTCTTTTCCTTTGATTAGTTACTCAAACAAAATAATAAGAAAACATTAAATTCTACTTAATTTTATTTTTTTTTCATATAGTAATAAAAGTGGAAAACTTTATTCAACTGATTTTTTCTATGAGATAAGTAACCTATAATTTTCTGCCTAATAGAACAAAAGATCAAAGGGGCAAAATATTATCGTTTAAAATTATTATTTCGTATCGTCTTCGTAATTGACTGGTTCCTGTTCTAACGCACATGTAGTAAACCCTCAATCATTTCTTGTAACATATTATTCCATCTAAAGAATCGATTGAATTTTTCCTTGAAGTAATTTTTACAAATAACAACAGGCTCGTTTCTATGCTACTTACTCAAGAATTATGGAAATACAACGAACAGTAAATAAGCACTTTCTGTCTATGTTACATTTTGTCTAGATAATTGATTTTCTGCAATTTATTCTCTGATATTCATATAAAGATTAAAAGACTATTTCCTGTAATATTATTCTGTAATTGCTAGTGCAGTTCTTGGAATCATTTGGGAATAATTCAAGAAATGAGTATCTAAATCGGAGGCCTTGTAATTATCTTAGACGAACATAGGAATAATTAAGAAGGAAGAGGGCGTTGTTGTTTCAAATGTTCAAACCGCGTGGACCGGAAGATATCAACGAACCAGAGTTTCAAGCCCAATAAGGAATATTTAGAGGGAAATTGATATTTAATTACCATTTATAATTAACTCTGGTTTCAATGTGAAATGGCAGGTTTGATTCTTGCGTATAGAGAGTGAAAATTAAGTGATACTATATCTTTCTTATCTAAACTATTATTTTTGTATTTGTAGAACCAAATGTTGAAAGCAAAGTTCCAAATGGCGGATGGGGTTGGATGTGCGTTGTGGGTTGCTTCACAATGCATTTTCTATTGGGAGGCTTATCTCGGTCCTTCGGAATTATTTACCGTTGGCTGCAACTTCGATTTGATAAGTCAGCTGCCATAACAGCTTGGATAGGAGGGACAGGTTTTGCAATAAGAATGGGGTTCAGTCCTCTTGGTACTGGTTTATCAACCAGATATGGAACAAAACCGGTTGTAATAGTTGGTGGTTTTCTAATGGGCATTGGTGTTATTCTCTGTGCTATTGCTCCCTCAGTTGAATTTATGTTCTTCAGTTACTGTTTAGTAACAGGAATAGGCGGAACGCTCATATACGCCCCCGCTGTTGTTATCATGAGCAAGTATTTTTCAACCAGGCGCTCGATTGCTAATGGTATATCATCGTGTGGTAGTGGTTTTGGTGTTTTCGTTCTTCCCCTCTTAATGGAATTTCTCCATGAGGAGTATGGTTATTTCGGAGCTGTGCTTATATTGGGTGGCATTGAACTAAATAACGTTTGTTGCGGCATGTTATATAGGCCACTAGAGCAGCCTGTAGAGGCTCAAACTAAAAGAGAGGAAAAGTATATCGATTACAGAATGTTAAAAGAATTCACATTTATCTACTATGCCTTATCCTTAGCATTTTTTACTTCTTCATACCAGCCAGCCCAAATGCTCTTGCCATCGATGGCCATTGATAAAGGATTCAGTAAACATGAAGGAGCGATGTTACTATCAGTGGTTGGGATAGCCGATATGGTTTCCAGATTCCTTACGGGTTTTATTTATGATTCACGCTTGTTGAAAAATTATAAACCTCAGTTATTCGTGATAGCTATGATCTTGTCGTCTGTAAGTCAATATGTATGGGGCCTATCTCACAATTATCCTTGTCTTATTGCGATGAGTGTAGTTCATGGATTATTTAACGGTAGCGTTGTTAGTCAGCGGTCTGTAATTGCTGCAGAATTGCTTGGGATAGAAAGATTATCAAATTCCTTTGGTCTTAGTATGGCTTTCCAGGGAACGGCTTTGATGATCGGTCCCCTTTGTGCTGGTTATTTACGTGATGTGACATCCTCTTATGTCTTCTCGTTCATATTTACTGGTAGTTGTTGTTTGTTTGCTGCTTTTATATTCACTGTAGGACATATTATCGATAAATACTTGCGACGCAGAAAAGCAATAGAAATTGCCACTGTTACTGTTGAAGAAACGAAACTATAAAATTGAATATTTCGCGCGTTTTTTGTTTTTTGAATAAAAACTGGTATTTTGTACATAACGAGTGTTTCACCGATCGGCTAATTACATAATGAAAGATAGTTACAGATTTAAGATTTTAACGCTGAATTGCTGGTAATTATTTTACAATTATGATCTAAGTCGAAATTACATTAAAAGCCTACTTAAATTTCATAGGGGCGTACCGACAAGACTTGCATGTAAACTGCGAAAAGAGAGAATTTCTGCCATTGGTGAAACGTTGAATAGAGGCGAATATGATATTGTTGTTTTGCAAGAAATTTGGAATCAAGATGACTATAAAACGCTTTGCAAATTGACTAATGAAATGTTGCCATATAAGCATTATTTTTATGGAGGGATGATAGGAACTGGAGTATGCATATTCTCAAAATATAGAATAGCAGAAACGATGACTTGGCGATATACTCTAAATGGTTCGTTTTACGCCGTTCATCGAGGAGATTGGTTTGGAGGAAAAGGAGTTGGACTGGCTAAATTACAAATTGGAGATTATCGACTACATATTTATGGTACTCACCTTCATGCTGCATATTCGGACACGGATGATGAATATAAAATGGACCGCCTATCTCAAGCATTCGAATTGTCGGAGTTTGTAAGAAATACTTCGGCTGGCTGTGACGGATATATTGTTTGTGGAGATTTCAATTACTCTTGTGGTCAAAGAGGCTATGAGATTATTCGTGCTAATGCTCGTCTTAAAGATGCTTGGCTAACTCAACTCAACAAGCCGGAAGATGATAGCCAGGGAATGACATGTGACAAACCTGACAATACATTTTATTCAGATAAGAAAACGGTTCCGTGCCGTATTGACTTTGTTATGTACGGTAATAACGGAGGCGTTGATTTAAAGTGTAGGCAGTGTTTCGTGACAATGCGTCAGATTCCAGGGAGAGATTACTACTATTCCGACCATGAAGGCGTCTGTGCCGAATTTGACTTGTCCGGAAATGTAACAAGTAAGAATAGATGAATCAAATATTTATCCTCATCAATTTAATTTAATACTCTACTTTTCTTTCTCTTCAGTGTCACCTACATCAGCATGTTCAAAAGATGAATTAACAAAACTACTTGAACCATGTATAAACTTGTGCGAGAAAACCGAAGTAGAATTTGACAAGAAGAGGTCTTTATCGATCTACTTGTGGTTTTTTTGCCTACTCTATTTGTTTACTATTTATTATTTCTCTATCGGGGAATTGAAATGGATGCCCATTAGTATGTTTATTGCACTTACTCGTTTTACAGGAAGTGTCTTGGCTTGTATTTTACCTTGGTACTTCTTAGTCGTTTGTAATTTTGAACTTGGTTCACTTCTTAATGTGAAACTTAATATGAAGAATTTAATTCAAAGCTATGATTAAGAAGCAAAACCTTTGTGAATCGGTAATGTAGTCTAAAGATCAAAGAATGTATTCATTATCAATAAATTAATTTATACAAGTTTGTAAATGACACTAAAGGATTTGTTCTCATTCTATGTGATGTTTTTGTTTTCTCTCCTTTCCTAATTTGCGCTTCTTCCTTACGGTTGTTTTACCTGGGAGCATCCGAAGAATTACTCCCCCGCTTCGTGGAGTGAGAAACATAAATAAGCCTTATCGCATTTAAGAGATTGCTAGGTTATTATGAATATAACTTTTCGCTAATTATAAAAATGTCATTTAGTGTGACCTCGAGCAATAATAAATTTCCGTCTTTACAAATTTATTCGTTGAGAATCATCAGAGATTGAAATCTTAAATATTCAATATAGCGTAGAAATTTTCATCAAATTAACTTAATAAGCGGGTTCCTTATACTTTTGTCATTGTATAAAGTGCACTGAAAGGGAAATCATTTTTACTTCCGTGTCTAGCTGATATAAGGCTTTTTTTATACATGTCTAACAAATATCTTACCTGAAATACTATAGACCTGATTATTGCCTATCTACATTTCTTATTGGCAATTACTGATAAACTAAAATATTCTAATGGCTCTTTCGTTCTATATATAATAATAAAAACATCACAAAAACAAGTTGACTATCGTTTTACAGCAGATATTTATAGAAATGTTATGTATTTTCAATAAAAGAAAATGATAATCTTAAACTCTTGATTTACACCTATGAATATTTATGTTAGATTATTTTGATGCATTGGCAAAAGTGTAGTCGTGACAATTTAACACAGAGAATTTCCTGTTTCTTTTATCAGAATAATTTGTTCTGCTAGAGTTAAATGAAATTTACAAATTATTAGACAAATATAGATATGTATTTATTATGCTCATAAAGGTAGAAAATTCTTTAAGAAATACTTTATTTTCCCTGATAAAGTCTTAATTTAATGGTTGAATGCTTGTAGTCAGAAATTCTCAATAGGTCTTTGATAACTTTCATAATTACCGCTTCTAATGTAATAACTATATGAATATAGAGTATTTTACTTAGAGGCCAGTTGCATCTATTTATAGTAATATGTAATATTTTTCCCTTTCAGAATCTTATATATAGCAATCTTTTTTGTCTAGATGGCGCGAGTTTTGTTGGGATACTGCACCCAAGGGACAGGTAAGAATGACGTAAAATGTACAACTTAAGCAAAATAAGTCATTAGATTAGACAGGGCTTATTGAATGACAATTGCGAATTTTGATGAATTAATTCTATATAAACACCCTTTTCTCAGTCAAAATTAGTATTAAGATTAATTAAACCTATGTCTCCCTTGATTCAATATAAAACAACCGTATAAGGGTTGACTACTTCATCATTGATATGTCATCTTGTCGGTGCATGTCCCTCCCCGTACTTGGCATTTTTTAACAAATTTACATTGTATAACCACACAAAGGCCTAGAGCTAAACAAAATCACGATGAGATTTAATTTTGTCAACCCTTGTTGTTTTTATAAGAATAACTTCGCATACCCGAAGCTTCCTGCCCTTCAGCTATGATTTACCTAAAAAAAGTCTCTGCTCCATGATAGTAAGCAAGAAAGAGACGCTTGAGGTTGTTATTGTTAAACACACATACATACTTATATATATATATATATATACAATATATATACAGCATGCTGCAATATAATAGTTATAAGAATAAGGTTATTTCTATACTTTATACAGAATATATTAAAAAAAATTTGTTTCCTTACTTAAATATTCTGATAGGGTGATTAAAACATCCATTATCTATAAATCTATAAGGGAAAGAAAAACTCATAAATGAATTAACTACAATAGAAAGAATGTCATTTTATTTTTCTTCAACTACTGCATCTTCATCTATTTGACGTCACATTGAATGATGAAATATTCAACAGACAATACGCTTTCCAGAGTTTGGCTTCTATATAAAAATGTATGTTTGCTCTCCTTTTTGTTCTCGTTTCCTTACATCCATTCTCTTTCTCCTACTCTCACTTTTCGCTCTCTAGATTTTTCCCCTCCACCCCCTCTGCCCCCCTCCCCTCTCCCACTCGCTTCCTCATAAAAATTTATAAAGAAACGAATAATAAGAGTATATAATTTGTATAATTTTTACAAATAGTATTTAATATACATTTAGATAATATTATTAATATGAATTTTGGTTTAAGTGTTAAAATTCTTTAAAATAAATTAAGAGTTAAAATATAACTAATTTACAATTTTACTCGTTTAGATTTCACATTTTTTTTAAAACCCATTAGCTGTTATATATCTCGTTACTTTTCAGCCACTAATTCGTGGGTGTGGCTATGATTTTACTCTATTATGGTGCACGAGTCAAAAAAGGGTTGGATATATACAAATATATACTTATTTGTCAGTCGAAGCCGGTCAGTACTCCCAATTAAATCATAGCGATTAACTAAAGAGATTGCTCTCTTAATGTAGGAACAGACTGACAAGCTGACAGCATACCCTTACTAACTCAATAAATCGATGGATAATTTTTGGGTAAGAACGGATTATAAGGCACTTAGACGCCTATGTAAATGTAAGGCGTCTATGAAATTGGCTATACTCTCTAGCACAACGTTCATTTGAGTGTCACTAATATTGGAGTTACCGTGAAATAGAATAATTGAAACAAGTGAAAAAAAAGTGTAATTTTGTATTATGACAAGGGAAATTAGTTTCAATTACATTCATCTTCTTAAGTATAGAATAACGAAATACTATACCTATAAATTATATGCACGGAAATCTGCTCTGTAGGCCTATTATTTTCTCGCAACAAGTAACGTATTATGAATTAAAACATAAAAGCAAAAACACATATTAAGACGCTTTTCAGTTGATCCTGCCAAATGAAAACATTATATATACTAATAGGCCAAGTAATAAAATATACTAGTGTTTTTTATACCTTCTTATTAATGGTATTATTAATAGTAATAGTAATAATAATAATAATAATAATAATAAATTATTCCCTTATCATAAGAATTCTTTTTAATTTTTTAAGTGGGAAAGAAAAAAGACAGAAGCCATAAAAGTGAAGACAAGGAAACTATTAGTAACAAGACAACCGACGTCAAACTTGACTTCTCTTTCATTCATTCCCTAAAATTAAGGTTAAAAGACTAAAATATTGAATTTTTTTTGTCTTGAAGCGTCTATTATTTATTATTATCGATAAAAAGTTACGGAGCGACTTTGGTATTACGGTGGGAACGCTTTATTACAAAAAGAATCACAAATGATGAGGGGAGAGGATGTAAACAGTTACTTAAATATGTGGTTTGAATAATAATAACAGAAAGAATACTATTTATAAGTATTGCAGTAGTAATAATAAGATTAATTTCATTATGTTTTCTTTTTGTCCATAAAACATATAAGACAATAAACATAAATCTAGGTTCTAAATACACATAGTATAGTTTATTGTACATATATTATATATAGATACTGCATATATATATATATATATATATATATATATATATATATATATACATTTAGTAATATACACTTTCTTCTAGTTTCCACACCTGTTATATATATATAACATTTATTACTTATTACTAATCACATAAATATATAAGTATATACAAAGTAAATGTATACATTTATACATTTATATGGTTATTTTTATATTTATCCTCTCCGGCTAAAACGCTGTTTCTGTCCGCATGTTACTTTGGGTTGAAGAAGTTAAGAAGATTCTAGAAGTTAATGACCGACTTTTAAGAATAGCCTGAATGCTTCGGCGGAAATGCGAACTAAAGTAGCAGTAGATGAACGGATTCATACAACTATTAGCCGCTCCAAGCCATTGGAATAGAGGTTTAATATATTTCTGGATCATTTGAAGGTCATAGTTTTTAAACTTGTGAAATATTATTAACAGTTGGAGAGTGTAGAAAGGTAGCCAAGAGAGAGCGAAAGCGACGCAAACAGTTACTAACATTCTCACTATTCGTATTTTCGAACGATTTATATTCTTCTCCGCTCTCGAACCCTTTATACCTATGTTTTGTTTTTTAAAAAAAATATTTGAATTATTTCAGTTAATAAGATAAATATTAGAGATTAATAAAAGAAAAAACCCACCAGCAACTCTTCTTTTCCATACTTTGCAGATTATTAAAGTGTAGAAAACAGCTATTATTATCATAGGAAGTAGGTAGCAGGCAACAAAAATGACGCCGAGTATATATATTTTTCGTAAGTTTTCATCAAATTCTGTTACGCACTGAATAGTCCTTGGATAAGATTTTTGCTCGAATTTCAGGATAAATGGTATAAAAATAAGTGCAGGAATTGTCCATATAACAGTTAATAAGCAGATTGTTGTTAATTTGGATATATTCGTCGAATTTGGATGGAAAATAGCCATGTACCTAAATAAATAATTACCTTTTAAACACCTTTTTCTTTATCAAAATTGTCTTCACTGAATGAAAACAATGATAAAAAGAGAAGAAATCAACATAATTGCCATTTAAACAACTTTATATCATTAAATATTTTATCCTATATAAAAAAAGTAAAAGAACAACTATTCAAAGAGAAATTCCTAGCAATTAAATGAAGCCTTATGTAATACTTCTTAGCTAATAATTATATTTCATAGGAGGGGAAATATGAACATAATTAAATTTCAAATTGTCGAGCTAACACTTAAAACTAAAATTGGAAAATCTGGAGGCGGAATGTTGAGTTTTCAAAGATGAAAAAAAGGGCAAGAACTTACTAATTGCAAAAAAAAAAACCGCTAAAGTAAGATGGATGAGGATCAAAAATCGTAAAATTAGGCCTTTAAACGCATTTATAAATTGTTTAAAGGTGGAGTAAATGATAGTAAAGTATCAAGATATATTAGATCGTTCTGGTTTGAAATAGTTCTAATCGGTTGTCATCAAGAACATGTTTTTGGATTTTTTTTTGACGTCATAACTCGTATTTCCTTTTATATAATCATTACAAAATATTAATAATAGAAGAAAGAGAATTCACTAATGAATAAGTGATGGTGAAGAGAGACGTATGAAAAAAAAACCCCGAAAAAAATTCTGCCTCTTTCTGGCTCATCTTTTATAAATTTCTTTTGAAAGAGGAAATAAAGCCTTTGGCGGTAGTTTTTTCCGTGAAAAAATTTTCTTCCATTTTGAGAAAGAATAGAAAATAAACTGTAATATGTTCTTTTTTAATAATACAATTTTTGCTTGAAAGAAAGAGAGAAAATGATGTGTTCTTTCTACTTTTAGAGAATATAATATATTGGTTAATAAGGCAATATTCATGTTAATCGCAATTCCTAGTTTCTTTATAATTTAAAATAATCTTTTAGTATTATAAATATATTCTCGTAATTTTCAACTTATTAATACATTAATTGTCTATTCCTTTCTTCGTATCTGCCCTCCCCCAAAACTGTATATATTAATAAAACTGACCTTTCTATAGCAATTGCTGTCAATGTATTTGTCGAAGCGCCAATGACGAGTCCTTGCATGTAGTTGAACATTTTGCACAATACAGCTCCGTATAACCAATCTGATAGGATAGAAAGGTTAAAAGAGAAATTTAATCACCAAACTACGGGTGGAAAATCATGATAAAAATCGTACAAAATAGTTAGCGGAAGAAGAAAGATGAGAACCATATAAATCGATTTCATTTTTTTTATTTTTTTTTTTCTAGATTCACCTATTGCTTTTAAACACAAACACCTTGTTCCTATAAGATTATTAGGCTTAAACATGAATCTGCTTTTCTAGATTTTGTAATAGCTTTAAAGTTTTTTTTTTATTTTTTTGATAGACCTCCAATAGAGATGTCAGCGTATCGCAAAATGGAAGATAAGGAGGAGGAGGAGGAGGAGGAGGAGGAGCGGCAGCAGCAGGGACAAAGGGTAAAATAGAAGTGGGAGGAAAAGGGGATTAGGAATAAAATGCTTTTTTATTAATAGGCGGTCGCGTCTCTGCGTTTTTTCACACGACACTAGCTGAAAAACCTCGACCGCAATATGCCAAGCTTAATTTAGGATATAGTGATATACTTTATTCGATTGGTGGTAATGAATATACTTATGAATATACACAACTGCTATAAATTGCTTCTGTAAATCTGTAAGCGTATATATATTTCTACGTAAGTTATGTATATTGAATCATTACATCTGGAAAATACAATACTGGAGAGATTATTAGAGTTTAAGTCAATAATGAAGAATAGACGATTGTAATATTTCTCTTTAAACTTGGAAACTTTTGACAAAATATAGGGTTAATCTGTAAATTAGATGAAAAGAGAAAAAAGTAGAAGAATTTCGTTGCACGCATGAACAATTTGCCGAAATTAGTAAATAAATTCCTTATGCAAAACGACTATTAATATCGACGTTTTGATTCGAATAAAATTAAAGATCTACACATTTATTTACTGTTAAAACTCGTGCAGTATTTAAATCTATTTATAGTAAATCTTAGATACGCATTCCTTTAGATCTAATGGATTAATGATTACTGCAAAATGCTTATTTTTAAAACGTTCACTTTAATTAAAATAAATTATATTCATTATCAAGAAAAAGGCTATTTGATATGAGACGAAACTCTCAAAATCTCTCTTGCCCTATAATATATTATCGGTGAAGCAATATTGCGTTATTGCTGTTGCTTCTTTGATAAATACGTGATTCGAATCATACAGCCGTAAAACAGCCCTATCGTATTCTCTCCTTTCCTCTTTTTCTTTCCTTCAACTGAATTTTCTATTCGATTTTCGAATAGAATAAACGTTAGAACACGATTAAATTCGGCTAAAGAATTTATTTATAAGGCTAAATAAAGTTTCGTAAACTAACTTGTATTTAAATAAAGGAAGAAAAGGAAAGAAAGAAAAGAAAGCATAATATACTTATTAAACGGATATGGAAAGAAACAATCAACAGAGACGATGCTAGTTTTTTGGCAACTATACGCTAATGTTAGGTAAATTACAAATACTGTTTTCATTATCGTTTTTTATCGTATAAATTGGTTTGTTTATCAAATTTTAGTTCATATTGTATGTAGTAAGCAGAGAGAAATAGAAAAAGAAGGGGAGAAAACAAATAGAGCGATAGACAGAATAGAGGAAAATGAAGAGAGAAAGAGAGACAGATAGACTGACAGACAGAGACATAAAGAGCTGGAGAAAGGGAAGCAGGGACGACGAGGAGAGAAGAAAATAAGCATTGAGTATACACAGAAGAAGTAATATATTAAGGTTAACCCAAAAACTTATGGTACCAAAGCAAATAATTCTAAAGTTAATATATATGTATATACTCAATATGTATAGTCTATATAGGTTTTTAGAGAAAGTTTGTCTGTTCGTATTGATGGAAGCTTATGATTGAGTGAAAGGAGAGAAAAACTGACCTTTAAAAATACTATCCAACAAGTTGAGAGGAAAAACGAGGAGTGTAACGAGCACATCGGCTATAGCCAAATTGCCGACAAACAAGTTGGTTGTATTCTTTAATTGGGGAGTGCGAAGAATAGCTAGTATAACCAATATGTTGTTAACAATAGAAAGGAAGAAGACCACTACATAAGCCAAGATCAGAATGGTTATCATAACTGGTCCTTGCTTGAGAATTGGATAGTAAAATCTACCCGAACCGTTAAACGGTATAGATGAATTATTAAAGTCCATTCCTAAAATTATGAAGTCCTCTTGAAAAGAATTAGAGTCCTCAACTTCCTTCTTCTCTCTTCTCTTTCCCTTGTAGTTTTCAGATACTTTGTACTTTTTCTCTTCCTTTTTAAACTCTTCTATCTTTCTCTCTCACTCTTTCACTCTCGCTTTCACTCGCTCTCTTCTTCACTCACTCGCTCTATCTCTCCCACCTCTCTCTCCTCTCTCTCTCTCTCTCTCTCTCTCTCTCTCTCGCTCGCTCGCTCGCTCCCTCGCTCTCTCTTTCGTTCTCTCTTTCGTTCTCTCTTCCCTTACGTCTCCTTCTCCCGAGACTAATTGCGCAGGATATTGCGACCCAACGCCAGAGGGCACTGGCTTTATCCTTTACCGTGCCAAAATTCAAGGCCTACCACTCTTGACTCTAGCATATGAAGGCATAGCCTCATCTCTTCATTGTCGTCCTGGAGAAGTAATAACTTTCTTTTTTTACAATGTTTCCAATAGTTTCATTAAAAAAAATTTAATCTATTAATAGAAAAATGAAGAAGATACGGGAGTGGAACCGAAGTTAATAGGCTTAAAACGCCTGATAAACAATTGTATTATTTATATCGGTTTTTTATTTTGTATGCTTTTTTCTTCATTTTTTTTTTACTTTTCTATAAATACAAGAACGTGAGACTTATACTTTTCCCCTTGAGGGCAGTCGTCCTTTTTTCCCATCTCTTTAACCTAAAGTATTTCCGATATCATAGAAAAAAAATTCTATTTAACACCTGTTCTTAGTAAATAAAGAAAAAACTCGACAACAAGGAAATTTCACTTTTTCAATAAAGACTAGCAAACTACCAGTACTATATATATATATATATACTGTACGTATTGTATGTACTGAATATACTACATATTATCGTCATTCATTCTTTCTTTTTATACACAAGTGTGTATAAATAGGATATTCTATACATGGAAATACTGTACATATATAAACATTATAGAGTAACATATTCTTCCTGACAAGAATAGAGTTATTTTTATTGTCGGCTTTTCTCTTTTTCACCTTCTTATAAAGTCAACAGCCTAGAGGCGATAGGAAGGAGAAAATGATGACTATGAAGTAGGAAGGGATGAAAGGAGAGGAAGTACGAAAGAAAATTTCTTTCCACTGTCATTCTGCAGCATTATATTTTATCGGTATAAAAAAGGTTCTGAAAAAGAAAGTACCAAAAGTACAGGTAATGGATTACATAACTAAATAGAATTGTCTATAACAAACAACATTAAGCAAACAACCATCTAGTGACAGCTGTGCTGCAACATTTTTTTTATCATACGCAAAAAACATATGTTACGATAATTTATTCTTTTCTGGTCTTAATAACCACTCATATCGATTTATTACTGATATTTATAGGTCGCTCTAAATCTTATTCTTTATGTCTATCACTCTTATTTTCTAACTAGTAAGCCTACAATCTAGATAAGACTATTATTCATGCAATGTTGCGTGATAAGCGTTATCTTTTGCGTTAGAAAATTGTCAATAGTACAGTTTACTCCTCATTCTCTGGACATTTCTGTTGAAATGGCATTGAATCAGTTTCTTTTGTTATTATGGAAAAACTGGTTGTTACAAAGCAGAAAGATTGTATTAACCCTTTTCCAAATTGGTCTACCAACTGTTTTTGCTCTTATTTTGGTTCTAATTCGACCTAGAGTTACATTAGACATATATCCAGAAGATACATCTTTTTATCAAATCCCTTCAACAGTTTTTATATTGCCATTTCAGTATCGCGCATTATCGTGTTGTTTAAAGGATAAAATTCATTTAGCTTATTCTCCTGAAAATGATATAACTACTAGAATTATGAATAGATTTAAAGAAACTCACTGGTCAGGAGAAGAATTTATAGATGTAATACGTAAGTATCTAATTATTTAGATGACTAATAAGATGTAATGAGTCACCACCTGTGCCAATAATCATGACTGACTGAAATATTGTTATCTCTTAAAAACAGCTTTTAAAAATGAGTCCATGCTGGAGGCATATTTCCGTAACATACAGGCTGATAATAGCCCACCTGGGGAACGGTTTAATTGTTCATTTTATCCCATTATACCTCCTGAAATTGAACAAATTTGCGACTTGTGGAGCAATCAGTCAATTCCAATTAAAATGGGTGGGATTGTCTTTAAGAATGTTGTTGATGAAATACCAAAACAAGTGGAATACAAAATTCGTTTTCCTGCAAAACATTTAATAATACGACAAAATAGAGGGGATTTTTTTTCGGCTACGGATTGGCTCACTACTTTCATTTTCCCTAGATTCCGATTAGCTGGACCTAGAAGCAGATATAATATCTATGGTGGGGCTCCCAACTATATTAGAACTGGGTTTTCAGGTGTACAAATAGCTTTAGACAAGGCTATTGCACTTGAGAAAACTTCTAATACTGATAACCTACCTATTGCAAAATTCAGAAGAATGTCTTACCCTCCTCATATTAGAGATTTCTTCATTCAAGTAATCCAACGGCAATTACCCTTCATTATAATGTTAAGTCTAATAATCACTGCTGCAAATGTTGTACAAGATCTAGTTTTAGAGAAAGAAAAGAGACTGAGAGAGTCAATGAAGCTAATGGGTCTTAAGACCTGGGTTCATTGGTTATCTTGGTTTGTCAAATACTTGTCATTTATATTAATATCAATAGCTATCATGACTATACTGTATTGTGTCAAGTTCAGTTCCAAAGGAGCAATAATACGTTTCGCTGATCCTTCATTGATATTTGTTTTTTTATTGCTATATTCCATTGCAACCATTATGTTTTGCTTTGCTGTAAGCTGTGCATTTTCTAAAGCAAGTTCAGGAGCTGCGGCTGGAGCTGTTCTCTTCTTAGCATCATATGTTCCTTACTTCTTTTTTCAAAATCAGTATGAAACATTAAGTAATGGGGTAAAGTTTGGAACATCTATCTTTCACAATGTAGCAATGGCTTTCGGTTGCATGCAGATAGCATTATTTGAAGGAACAGGCGTTGGTCTTAAGTGGAACAATTTCCATAAACCGTACAGCGTCGATGACAGCTTTACTATGTTGCACGTCTTCGTTATGCTAATTGCCGATTCTATCTTCTACGGCCTGATTACATGGTATTTGGACAACGTTGTACCTGGCGAGTATGGCATACCTCGACCATTGTACTTTCCGTTTACTGTAAGTTTATAATAAAATACCCTCGTGTAAAAGAAGAAAAGATGAATGAGACGTTTATCTGAATCTCTAGTGACTTTTTTCTCCCTTTACAGAAATCCTATTGGTGTGGAAAAAAAGTGCGCCATATGGATGTGGAGGAGATTGATACAGCTGACTTGGACTCTGAGAGTTTTGAGAAATTACCAGTCGGAGCTATAAGCGGCATTTGTTTGAGAAACTTACGAAAAGAGTTTGGTTCAGGCCCGAGTAAAAAAATTGCAGTACAGGGAACAACTATAGACATGTTAGAGGGTCAAATAACCGCTTTGTTAGGTCATAACGGGGCTGGAAAAACAACAACAATGTCAATGTTAACTGGCTTTCTTCAACCATCCTCCGGTACTGCATACATTAACGGCCTTGACATACGTACAGATTTAGAAGAAGTTCGAAAGACTTTGGGACTCTGTCCACAACATGACATACTATTCGATAATCTGACTGTTAAGGAACATTTGGAATTTTTCGCAAAGGTTCGTTATCTCGCTTCGTCGCTCGTTAATCGCTCAAGAACTTGTTGCCAATGATTCCGTCTATATATTATTTGCGCAGAAATTTCTTCTTGAGTACGAATAAATCTATTTATTTCGTTTCCTAATGACAGTTGAAAGGATGTGAGGCGAAAGACGTAAAGTCCGAAGTCGATAGAATGATCGAAGTACTAAAACTCCATGACAAACGCAATTACAAAGCGGGGGGCTTGTCAGGGGGTCAAAAGAGAAAGCTGAGTGTGGGAATTGCGTTGATAGGCGGATCGGTAAAGATTTTTTATTATTGATAAGTCAACATGCATTTAACTAAATGCAAAATGTTTTTTTTTTTTTGTTAGAAAATTGTTATTTTGGACGAACCAACAAGCGGTATGGACCCTGAGGCAAGAAGACAAACGTGGGATATTTTACAGTCTGAAAGAGAAGGTAGAACTATGATATTATCTACACACTTTATGGACGAAGCGGATCTATTGGGAGATCGTATTGCAATCATGGCTCACGGTAAAGTTCAATGTTACGGAACTAGTCTCTTCCTGAAAAAGAAATACGGAGTTGGTTACCATATGGTCATTGTAAAATCTAAAAACTGTGATGTGAATATTCTAACTGAAGTTGTTTGCAAACACGTACCTGAAGCAGCAATTGAAAGTAATATAAGTTCTGAACTATCATATGTCTTACCTCAAGAATCAAGCTCTGCCTTTGAAGGGCTATTTAGTGAATTAGAGGCTGACAAGATTAAACTGGGTATTAGTTCCTTTGGAGCTTCAGTAACAACCATGGAAGAGGTCTTCCTTAAAGTCGGCGAAAGTGTTGATTCTACATTGGAGGAGAAAATGATTTCTCAAGCACCAGACACAAAAAATGGTCTTACTTATCACAACTATGAAAATCCTGTATTCGAAAAAGATCAAGATCTGGAATTAAAAGGTCCAATAGGTTAGTATTTTGAGTCGCTAATTTTTACGAATGACTAGGCAGCTACAGGGTTTTCGGATAGAGTTCGTACTCTCTAATACCAACTGCTATTTTTATTAGCAGAGAAAATTTCGTTAAAGTCGATGAACACTAAAAAAATAGCTATTCCAATCCCTAAAAAGTTATCAGGTTTCCCTTTTATTATTACGTAGTACGATATATAGAATGAAAACTAAAGAATCAGTTTTAGGCAGAGAGGACAAATCTTCGTCTGAAACTAGTCCTAAATTATCTTTTATTGCTTTTCATGATTGATAAATGTTATCTAAAAAAGTTTCTGTATAAAAAAAAATGACTTTATATTGATATAGCATAACGACACTGTCCTACAGTTCTAGATAGTTGAGATAAGCGATACATCAGGTTCTAATATATATTAGAAATAACACTTATAACTATTACTTTATTTACATAGAGGCATCCAAACAATAAACATATACTTTTATTAACGCTCGTCTCTTTTCCCAAACGACTTTTCTTTTTTCATCCTTGTCGTATTTATTTGAAGAGGAGAAGCTTACAAACGAAGTCGCAATTGCTTGTTGATCATGCTTAAAAGGCTTTTTCATTGAGAACGCAATTCGACGCTCCCTTTTCATTAAAGCAAAGGGATTGTTTCGGGTAGTTGTAATAGTTTTGACCGACTATAGATTAGTCTGCTCATTTGGGAGCGACTCTGATACCCGGAACCCTGATTAAGCCGCTTAGTTGCACCTAAGGCATAGATTACATCACTTGCATTATTTAGGTCCTCAATACAAGAAAGTATATCCAGCAGGTGGCAAGAAAATTGACTTTAATGAAGGATCAAAATCTCCTCAACTACCTTGGAGTATTTCAAAGAAAAATTCTGGAGGAAAGTTGGTTTTACAACAAGTACGTACAATGCTATGGAAACGCTTTATACACTCTCTGAGAAACAAACTGGTCTCGGTTACCCAACTAGCTGTACCTCTCTTTTTTACAATTATACCCTGTATAGTTTTGAGAACTCTTCCAGGACCTAGAGAAGGACCAGCCCTCAATCTTTCTCTAAGCATGTATGACAGCCCAATTACAACGGTGTATTCTAACTATTCGGCTAATAATCAAATAATGCCTCGTTTGCTTGAGAATTTTAAAAATTATGCAAATGAATACGGATCAATCAGGGAACCAGGATCGGAGAAATATAATGGATCTAACCGTTATATTGTCGAACAAGCCAAGAACAGCCTCTCGCTCTACAAGAACAACTATCAAGTAGCTATTGATGGAAGACAAACCTATTTTGAACTCTTATTTAACGGAGAGAGTTATCATTCTGTAGGCACTGCTTTTTCCGTACTTGGCAATGCAGTGCAAAGAATGCTTATATCACCTGAACATGGCGTTAAGGCAACCAATCACCCTCTTCCTCGTGACACAAATGAACAAGTGGAAGATGAATTGAGGAGTAGTGCGGCACTTGGTATGATAATAGCTTTTAATGTTATGTTTGGTATGGCTTTCTTAGTTGGTACGTTTGCAATTTTTTTGATAAAAGAAAGAGCAGTGAAATCAAAACATCTCCAATTTGTCTCTGGTGTCAACAGTTTTAGTTTCTGGTCAGCAACCTTTTTTTACGATCTTATCAATTATGCGATACCATCTATTCTATTAATACCTGTTTTCGTTGCTTTCAATATTAAAGCTTTAGTAGCGGGAACTAATCTTGCGTGGTTGTTTCTTATTGATATGCTTTATGGTTGGGCCATCTTACCATTTATCTATTTTACATCGTCAATATTTACCGTACCATCGTCTGGTTACGTTTGGTTAACGGTTTTGAACATCTTTACTGGAACTTTAGCCGTTTTAGCTGTTTTGATTCTAAGAATTCCAGATTTGAATACTGGTACAATTGCAGATGTTTTAGAATGGGTTTTCCATATAATATTGCCGAATTTTAATTTCGGTCGAGCTCTGCAAAATCTCTATATAAATGCCGACAACAGAAGAATATGTGACAGACCTGAAATTGAATCATTTTGCAACAGTATGATAGAGATAATGAACTCTACGAACCCCTGTTGCTTTCAAACAGAAAGATGCGGTAATTTTTGCGCCCATTGGACGAAAAATCCAGCTGATTGGTCATCTCCCGGTATTGGAAAGAGCTTGATCTTCTTATCTATACAGGGACTTTTATTTACTATGCTTGTATTCATTATTGATAGCGGAACAGCTAGAAGGGCAGTAAGTGCATTTGTAAGCAGTAGCAGGGCTATGATGGCATCACAATTTGATGATGACAGCATGATTGATGAAGATGTTCAAGAGGAAAAACTTAGGATAAAGTCAACTCCTATGGATACGCTTGCTAAAACTGATACGATCGTTTTATCCGATGTGGTAAAATTTTATGGTAATTTTAGGGCCGTTGAAGGTCTAAATGTTGGCATACCAGGGGGTGAATGTTTTGGTCTATTAGGTGTAAATGGAGCAGGAAAAACAACTACTTTTAAAATGCTTACGGGCGATGAGAGTTTATCTGGTGGAAAAGCGTTCATAGAAACTTATAATGTTGCCTCCGAAATCAAACAAGTTCAACAAAGGGTGGGATATTGCCCCCAATTTGATGCTCTAATTGACCAAATGACTGTAAAAGAAACGCTGGAGATGTATGCTCGATTGAGAGGTGTAAGGGAAGAAGAATTAAAGCAAGTAGTCCAAAGTCTTATTCAGGGACTTCTTTTAGAAGAGTATACGGATAAACAAGCAGGTCAACTATCTGGAGGTAACAAACGCAAACTGTCAACTGCTATGGCATTAGTAGGAGATCCTCCAGTTATCCTCTTGGATGAGCCAACAACAGGAATGGATCCTGTTGCTCGTCGTCTTCTATGGCAAACACTTAATAAAGTGAGAGATGCTGGAAAAACTCTAGTCTTAACATCTCATAGTATGGAAGAATGTGAAGCACTATGTACTAGATTAGCCATTATGGTGAATGGTCAATTTAAATGTCTAGGAACAACACAACATCTAAAGACAAGATTTGGTGAAGGATATACTCTTGTCGCAAAACTCAGCGGGTCCACTGAAGAAGAAGTAGCTGAAAGAATGCAAGAAATGCAAAATTTTGTGGAATCTTCTTTTGAAGGAGCTACTTTGAAAGATAAACACCACGGTCTAGTTTATTATCAACTAAAGAGTAGAGGTGTTTCTTGGGCTAGTCTATTCGGAACAATCGAAAAAAATCGTGAACGTTTACACATAGACGACTATTCTGTCAGCCAAACAACATTAGAACAAGTTTTTATAAATTTTGCGAGAACGCAAAAACCCCCAACTATCGATAAAAGTAATATTGGGGTTCAATGTACTAGGTGCTGTTCCTATATATTGTGTTGTCGGTGTTGCTGTAAAGATGATGCCTGAAGAAACACTAGATATATTTCATTTTTTTATTTAAAAGTAACTTCTACGTCAATGTTTAGCTTGTAGAAGATAAATAATTTTAAATCAAAAGAAATTCAGAACGCTGATGCGTTTCCTGCAAACAGGCGAGTGGAAGCTAACATTTTTTCTTGCTTTAATTGTTTATATATTTACTTTCTCTTTTTTTTTTGCCTTTACAAATAAAACAGTAGGATAATGACATTTGAATTGAAAAACCTTCAATAGAATGATAGATATCAGTTGATGTCTCTGTCTAGGCTTATTTTTAAAAATAGAATTAATAAGATGACTAGTGCAAGTGAAAACGTACTATTTTAGAAATTGACGCAAGATGAGAATGAAGAAGGAAAGAAGGTGAAAGACAGAGAGAGAGAGAGAGAGAGAGAGCGATAGAGATAGAGATAGAGATAGAGATAGATAGAGAGAGAGAGAGAGTGCACCTTCAGGTTGACTAATTAATTGTCTTTTTGTTTCTAATTAAGTTGTAAGTATTTTCCTCAGGATTACGCTGCAGGGAATTAACCTGTAACATGTTTGTAAGTGTAATTATTAATATAGCGCTTTAAAAATGGAGCAAACCAATTTTTTATTCAATGTTCTTATTTGGCATTGCACGTCATATTTCCACTTCTGAAATAAAGTAGATATATATTGCTAGTAGAACGTTTTTTTTATACACCAAATGGGATTCGAGCCTAATATATTTATATATAGAATACATCTGTATATATAAAATACTAATACCATATAATTAAATATCTTACATCATATGGTTCTCTTCTTTCCATATTCCAATCTTTAACCAACTTCCATTGTTCTGGTATACAATCCAATGCTGGTAAAGGACCTCTAAGAGGCGTTAAACCGATCGAACTCGACGACGAAGAAGAAGGATAGTTTGGTGTCTGAGACATAACTAACTACCTTTTATTGTATAGCCACCACTTGAAAAGAGAAAGCCGATTTGTATTGGTTTTTACTGTGCGATTTACCTAAGTAGAGGCATAAATATAGGATTAAGCCAGTAGTCTTGTAATAACGTCTTGCAGTTTAATTAGAAAATAATATATAAATAATAAAGTTTGATGAATTTGTTTTTTATTTCATTCGTCTTTTAAGAATTGAAAAATTCTACAGAAATTGTAATAGTTTATATAAGACATAAATTTTAGACTCACCGCTAGGTCGTAAACTCTCTACACCAATTCTATTCCTAATCCGTCAATATTCTTTTGTGATTAGACTGTCTGCAAGTTTGTGGGTAGTCTTAGACGAATAAATACAAAGTTCTAGATTTATTTAATCATCTCTTATTTTCTTTGCTAATGAAATTTCTAAAGTCGACTATTTTAAATATCACCAGTATTAAAGTTATATTATTAGAATAACCCTATAATGTTTAATTATAAAGGAAGCATTCTATATACGCTGAGCCCTTTAGAAACGCTTCCTTCCATTCTAAATATGTTTTAAGCTAAGCTTAGAGTTCAGGTTTGTTTTCCATGATATTAAATATTTGCGTGCTTTAGTATTTTTAGTTATCGGTATATTGATTTTATAATGAATGATACATCTTCTAAGATAATCTTAATATCGTTAATAATTCCTTGTGATGGAGCGTAGAGTTTCTATTTACGCAGAAAGGTAGGCGTTCTGCAAGCTTTAATTGATGAACTTTTAGCTGGAAATTAGCCTGATTACTTGTAAATATTCTAGTCATATTCATATAGAGATAATGCTATGTCTTTTATCATTTTTACACAACTGGTAAAAATATTTTTAACATACAAATGTCACAAAATATAGAATATATAGGCTAATTGTATTTCATTCGGGAACTATATATATATATATGTTTTAAAAGTCTGTGTATTTAAAGAACTATCGCGAAAAATGGGTATTTCCTACAAGCTCCAACACAGATTGAAAATACAGATAAATAACAACTTGCCCATTACATGAAAACAATACTTTCGTAATCATTTTAAAAAAACCAATCAAGTGTTAAACGAGACTAAAATTAACAAATTAGGGAGTAAGTCATGAAGCAATGTGCTTTAATTTTTTCTAACCCACCCAATTGAATCCAACTGAAATTTTATTCTTCTTAAGATAATATCAGACGCAAAATCTCTTAGCCGGAGGTCCTTTATAATCTACCTGCTCCCTTTTCCTTTTTTTTTCTGGAAGCTCATTTGGCTTGATTGGTTCTTCTTGCTTTATATTATTTGTCTTTATTGGTTCTATTTGCTCTGATTCATTCACTTCAATTTTCACTGAGTTTCTTTTCAAGAGATCAGATTCAAATTGTGTTATTCTCGTCAATTTAACCGTACACTTTCTTAAATACGTTTTTGCATGCTCCAGAAAATGCTTATTGTTTAAAAATATCTTCTTACAAATTGGACAACTTTGCAATTTGCTCTCATGCATTTCTTTATAATGCTTATTCTTAGTTTTTTCATTTAGGAAAAAGGTTGAGCATAAGGAACATTGAAACCCATGCATAATTTTTTTATGCTTAAGTAATGTCGCATTTGACTTGAAAGAAACTTTGCATGTTTCACATTTATACTTTGAAAGGTTCTCTTTAGGAGGTGGCTTGCTAGATCCTTCCACTGAAGATCCAGGGAAAATTAGCTTGACACCGTTGTTACAAGCATGGCACTCTTCCTCGTCAAATACAGTTTTCAATGCTAAACCATGACTTTTAAGCATATGTTTCATCATCTCTTCAGTTTGTTGATTACAGATTAAACAACTGAGAATAAAATGATTATTATTAAATATACACATATTAACAGCAAAATTATTAGGAATATGCTAACTTGTGAGGATTACTATCAAGTCTTTTTTGACTATCCAACAATGTTTGAGCAGCTTTCTCTGCAGAGAGTGTATGACCTTGAGAGCAATTCGAAATTGACAAAAGTAGCTTTTTCCTGTGTTCTATTAGACCTGCTTCCGACCAAAATTTTCTACGGCATAAATCACAGGAGAATGGGGCAGTAATCATATCAGAGAATGCTTCTGTTATTTCTATTTGATGATTCTGTTGTAAATGTTGAAACAAGGCCTTTCTATTAGATAATTGCAATTCACATATTTCACAAGTTTCTATTTCAGTTTTTGTCTGAATACAGGGGCCGTGTTGTACAATTGCAGCTGATTCGGACGTTGTTGGTATTACGTCTATAAAATGTACTTTAGTTACGTCTGTGTGTCGAACGGTTTATCTATTATTTCTTTTACCTGATTGTTTATTTTCTGAAATTATTTCAACAGCTCTTTCAGGACTTGCTTTACAGAGATTTTTGTCAACTGTAGACACTTTTTGATCGTTTCGTCTAATGTATTTATTCGGTACATCTTCATCAATAGGTTCAAGAAACTATAAAGAAACAGAGCAATATAATTTATGAATAAACTAGATAAAATACTACCTTAAACGAACAATTCTGAAGGTGTTTTGCCATATCGTTGTAAAAATAAGTTGAAAAACTGCAGTCACTACAATTCATTATATTATTTGGTAAACATTTCTGCTGCTTAACACAGTGACTTGTCGTCATATGAATTTTCCAATCATTTGAATTAATGAATACATTTCCACAGATAGCACATAAAGGCTGCTTTAGAGTGTTCTTATGTGGGATTTCTTGATGATGTCGCAGCAAACTGACAAAGGATGTTTTGAATGAACAACTGTCACATGAAAATTTGTTTTCCATACTCTCAGAGAATAGTTTACTGTAGGTCTTAATTCTTGACACTTCCATTTTATTCAAAAATGTTCTTTGAATGGAATGTCTCTCAGTTAGACACATAGAAGAGCCAATTTTAACAATAATTTCGCGAGCTGAATCTTTGTGGGTAAATATCTTGGATGTAATAGATGCTTTCGGAATATGTTTTCTTTTTTTCAATTCGCCCGCCATTGGCGGGACAATTTCAGGAATGTTTGACTTTTCATTCAATTTAGGTTTGCAGTTGGCTTTCCTAATATCCATCTCCACCCGACCCTATGATGAATTTATAATAGATTAAACTTAAACAATACACTTTAGAAGTTGATAAAACGTATGTTCCTTGTATCAAGCAACTAAATCAGGAGTATTATGTAATATACAAGTAACTAGAAAGTTGCTCGAGGAAAAATTTTACCAATATATTCTTAGTAAGATTAACAGTTTATTATATTACAATACTCACTGTATTATTCACTTGGGCATTACCAATATTCTTTAATGGCGACTTGGTCGATGTTTCATTAACCATGTTTCAACTGTTTCAAATAAAATATCAGTTTTAAATATCTTACAACTTGTAGTAAAGTATTGTCAGATAAAACCTAATTTAAAACTTTAATAGATATGTAGAGTACGGTTGCCACTAATAGCAAACATTGAACGTTCATAGTCAGTTAAAAAAGTAGTTTTTATTTAATTATGTTTAAAAATAACTGAATAAAGAGCACACATAAACGGCGTGAATAAAAAAAGTTGGAAATAAAAGTTCTAATATAATTAACTTACTAATTTAGTCTTTGCGTTTCAAGAAAACGAATAATTTACCTTTTATCTATTCTGCTTTCAGCGATTTATGAAAAAACCAGAGATTTGAGTTCAGATGAAATCAAAAAGCCCGGAGAGTGAGGTACGCACTGAATATTTTTTTAAAGTTCAATTGTTTTAATTTTTTTTTAATTTTGTTAAATATGGTTAAAATTTTTATTTTAAATATAAATAGGGAAAATAAAAAAGTAATCTTTACCACGCATTATTGCTAAAAACACTCTATAAACTGCGGATTTATATATGTACTGTTTTGTTGTTTAGCGCCTAAATGACGAACTTAGCTAATCCTTCACAACTTCTACCTCTTGGTAAATTATTTTGAATTACCCAGAATCAGTATGATTCAAGTTACTTATAACTATTGCTATTTCGGGTGCTATCGCTTTCGAAGACGATTATTACAACACCGGTTCTCTTAGTAGCGGGCGATATTGAGTGTATTTTCTTTACAGAATTGGTGGATAAATGTATTGGATCGAAAATTCACGTCATTTTAAAATCTGATCGGGAAGTTGTTGGAATTTTCCTAGGTTTTGACGATTTTGTCAGTAAGTATTTTTGTAAAATAAAAAGTTTCATATACGATGAAAATAAATTATTTTCTATTTTCTTTTAGATATGGTTCTGGAAGATGTCACTGAATTGTAAGTTAATGAAATATAGCAAATTATTTTTCTCTTGAAATATAGGTTTGCCATATATTTAAATATATGACTAAAGTTTTGTGTAACTTAGTGAAACAACATCCGAGGGAAGAAGAGTTACCCGACTTGATAAAATATTACTTAATGGAAATAATATTGCTATGGTAATATTCTCTTTTTAAAATTAATGATTTTATTTATTAAATATAAACTCTTTGCAGTTAGTACCCGGGGGTGAAGGACCAGAAATATAATTTTTGTTGAATGTTGTAAACTACGTGACTGCCTCTGGAGTCTCATGTAAAAGTTGTAAAGTTAAATACAATTAAGAAAAAATAAGTGTATTTTAACCTTGTTTCCCTTTCCTGAGTATTTTACTCATTCGCTGAATAAGTTATTATATATACAGGATATAACTAACAATGACTCTTATCCACAAACCGGTCATTTTACCTCTTTACAATGAAACCGGTTAATCAAGAACATAACCGGTTTCTGCCATATAACTTTCTTCAGTTTCTTCCGCATTTTCATAAATTTTTAAAAGACAATGGTATTTATGTTTGAAATCAAACGAACAATCAAAGTATTAACAATCATTTTTTGTATTGTGTTACTTACAGGCCAAATTAACAGACGATCAAGTAAATGGTACGGTATAAAAGACTCATATGTACATGTATATATACTGTATATATATATATAGTAGAGATTTATGCAGTATATATACATATATGTATTTATATATATACATATATATAATTAAGTTTTGTACGGAAGTCGCAAATATGATTAATTTCACCTACAGAATATCACGAAATTTTCTTACTATTCGACACTGTTGGTGATAATAAAATAGCTGGATCCCAATTAGGCGAAGTTCTTAGAGCTATGGGACAAAATCCAACAGAAAGTGATGTAAGAAAGTGTTTGAAAGATCGAAATATCAGGTTAAGTTTTGAGCAATTTTTGCCTATTTTAACTGGTATTTCCAAGACAAGGCCACATAATACTCTTGAGGAGTTCACAGAAGGTTTTAAGGTGAGAATATCTAGCATATTTACCTATTACCTGACTACAATTTTAACAATGGTAGCATATTCACGTTAACAGTATTACAAATACGTATACTTTACATCTTCCCAGGGGACCAACCCCGTCAAATATAGTGTATTATTAGTGTATTATTGAACAAGAAAAGAAATAGTAAATTTATGATAGGAATAGATCAGCAGTTATCAAATTTAGATAAACATAATTTCTAAGTTATCATATTAAGAAAACGATATTTTCAAACAAATAATGCTTTATTCTAATTTATAACAAATAAAAAAAGCTATTTATTTCAATAATAAATATATTTATTTCAAAATTTAATAGGTCTTTGACAAGGAACAAAATGGTACTATCAGTTCAGCAGAACTAAGACATTTATTAACCCATTTGGGTGATAAACTGTCGGATGATGAAGTTGAGCAATTACTTATGGGTCACGAAGATCCTCAAGGAAATGTTAACTATGAAAGTATGACATAAATTTTACATACATTGTTTTTCAGAGTGTATAGTTAAACTATAACATTTTTCAGATTTCGTAAGAGCAATTGTAGGAGGTGGCAACCTTTAAAAAAAACAAGAAAAAACACTCAATGCATGCTTTCGACTTAAAAGAATTATAGAGTAGATTTACTAATAGAACTACATACAAGGCATTTTAAACTTCTACTATCCAATTTGGTCTTTCTCTTTAAATAATAGAAAGTAATATTCCACATATTTGTGTAGATATTTTTTTTAAAAATAAACTATAAATCAATTTTTAACAATTTTTCTCAATTTTTCATTAATAACTTTATAATACTTTTGTCAAAGTTGACTGCTCTGATTGAAAGTTCAATTCTTATTTCGTTTTTATGTCTTTTGAATACATATCTTGAAGGTAGATATAATAGCCATATTACCATTTATTGCTGAGTAGATATGATAAGAAAAATTATTTGATTGTTTATCAGAGGACTGGTATAGCGCTACTGATTTAAGGATAAACGACAATACAATTAAAAGCATTTTACAGCCTTTCTCTCATCAATTTTATTATAAATAAATATTTATTACTTCTGAATTTGAACAGTTTTTTGGACTTTACATAGAATTCTCCCTACCATCAATCAATCATATAATTCGTTATCATTTTAGCAATGATCAATATCGAATATTCTACCATTAGTTTTTCATTTACGAAAAATTCGGCTAAATACTCAAATCTCTTCCTTTCCACTTATATTTTCTACGATTTCGACACACAAATGGATTTTATCCATTGCTAAAGTGTATCCTATTTTCCTTAAGGGACTAATTTTCATCATATTATATACAATCTATACATTATATATATAGTATATATGACATGTCTCTAAAGAAGTGAAGTGATCTTTTATGTGACATTCCTGTTAAAAATATCTAACAAATATTCCTTTAAAATACGTAATTTAGGATCGCGGCTACGCGAATATATTTCCCACGAGCTAAAGTCAGATGATAAATGGGAACAATAATAAAAAAACTAATAAAAATTTCTAATTTATACACTATGTACGCTGCGATCAAACATAAACTAGATGATACAATAACTAAAGCAACGATCAAATATAAGTTTTCCAATTAATACTATTATTTCTATGGATTTTATGTGAAAAACGTATATTATTAGTATAATGATTATGAGCTCTTAGCTAATTACTATTACTCAATTCGACGAGAATGTTCCGAAACAACCAATATTGATGGAATTGTTTGCTATGAATTTATAATAATATGTTAACGCGTATTTTCCCATATCCTATATAAATGCAAATTCATTGTAAACATATATGCAGTATGGTGAAATTTATAATGTTAATATGTTCTTTTACTCTTCTTCTCTCTATGCCTAGCTCTCTAAAAAGTAGTACAGATAAACTATTTTACAACAAGAATTCATTATTTATCTTAATAAATACATTACGAAAAGCAGTATTATATGTTGTTTTTTTTTCTCATTTATTTTTAAGGCTTTTATTTAGTTCATTAAGGCCTAAAGCTTCTAACAAGTAATTTAGGAAATCTCTTGTTCCATTAGTATATTTATTAAAGAATTTACATTATTTACACATTTTCTTTATTTAATTTTTATAAGAAAATATTACAGAATTTAAGGCAAATAATTTAAAACATTTAATTAATTGAGAGAATATTTTCTAGTTATTTTTAATCTCTGTAATCCTTATGATTCCTTTTTGTATTATTCAAAATTCGGAATTTCCGCCAATTATTTAACCTTGACATTTAACTGTCATGCTATTTCCTTAAATATTAAGATCCTGTTTTAAGCGTTCGCTTAAGAAAATCCTCAACTGGATAATAAAAATTCAATATAAATACTTATAAGATCTATTTGATTCTGATAATAATTTAAGCAATCCTTTTAAGTAATTGTAAAATCGTCATATTGCCTATCTCCCCAATTATCGCTAATCATGTCGAAAGATAAACGAGATCGCTACAAAAATTTCAATCCAACGGTAAGAGTTATTTTAAAATATGAATGTTTCATTGATAGAGTTTGCTATAAAATGATTTTTAGTTAAGCATGCGAGGTTTACAAGGACGTATTTCTGTAAAACAATTGAAAACTTTCGCGAAGGCTTCAGCACAATCGTCAACGATAGGTAAAGAGAGATATAAATGGTCTAAATCCAATAGTGTTTTTTATATCAATAATTTTTAATATTGTTTGATTACAGTGGATCCGTACAGTTGTGAATCACAGCAACTTACCCTTTCCCAATTAGTTGATGAAGCAAAACCTAAATCTATGCAATTGGTAAAGATTTTTCATTTTATTTTCCATTTTAACAAAATTACTATCTCTTATAGCTTGAGAAGAAATATGCAAGATTGAACAAAAGAGAACATTTCAAACAAAAAGCTCTTGAAGCAAAAAAAAACTCATCATCTAAAAAATCAGGTTATCTGGTATATTGTAAACATTACAAGAATAGAAGATGTTCAAAGTCGCCCTGCCCTTTTATGCACAAAGAATATCCGTGTAAACATTATCATCTTTACAGTAAGTGCGCATACGGTGATGAGTGTTTATTCACTCATGAAGGATTAACAAAAGATGGCTATCTAGCTCTACAAAAGGTGATGCTCTAAATTTTAATAATTTCAACATAGTATTCGAACAATTCCCCTATAGCTTAAAGAAAAGCCTAATGAAGATGCTGAAAACTTTAGTGAGCCTGAAGAAGAGATGAAAACTGAAGAAACTGACGCTGTCGACATTAATTCATTTTACGGGGGAAGCTACTCCGTTGGGAAGAAAGTAGAAGACAAAAATTCTGACGAAAAGAATAAAGGAGAAGAAACCGAGCCTAAATCAGGAAAACTTATTCATATACAACCAAAACCAATTCCATCAGCTATAGTTGCAGATGTACGTAAAATATCTTAACTTACAAAAACTACGATAAAATTTTCCATATTATTTAGAAAATCCCGGAAAAGAGAAAGAACACTGCAGAGTATTTGAATTATACTAAAACTGACGTTGATAATGAGAGTTATAACGTAAGTAACAATAATTTGTTTAAAGCTTTTTTATCTTTATTATTATACAGCAACTCGAAAAGAAGCCCAAGTTCTCGTCCTTGGATGACGTTCTACAACAAACTCTTGGGCAAATATCAAAGAAGTGGTAATAGAATGATACCGACAGACAAATAAAATCATGCATTTAAAGATGGAACCTTACAACGGAGTCATGTTTACACTTTTTTTAATATAAATTTAGTCACGTGTGCCTAAATTCTCTGTTATCTTCAATAAGAAAAATGTTAAACATAAAAAGGACAGGAGTTATTATTTCAAGAAATTTTTAGATAAACCTGTAGTGTAAGGATAAAAAACAAAGCTTGTTTTTTTAAATGCTTTTAATAATTTATCATGTTATATTTATTCCTATTACATTTAATCACAATTTATGATCAAAAAACAAATTAGGCACTGTATAACAATCATGCAGTTCCGGAAAAAGACTTGTATAATGAACAATTATTATTTAAATGACTAAAAAAAAAGAAAAAACTGAAAATCCATCACCATTATTGTGGAACAGGTTCCAGAAAGTCCATTAGTACTAATTTTTCAATATATTCTTCGGCTGGTAGAGATTCATCGACAACTTCATCGCATGTCACCAAAGCAAAGGGGGCAGAACGAACGTCTGGAGCTGACTTTGACTTGCTTACGTTTTGCTGGGTTTGCAATTTATTCGAGGAGAATCGACAACTGTGACTGCGAACTAGGTAATCAATAAAAGGCTGAAGTTCTTGCAAAGAGGTTATTGACTTAAGTGTTAAAGCTGGCTTTCCTGGAGGTGCGCTTAAGTACTGGTTAGATGGACCAAATTTCTTGTTCATTAAAGTTGACAGTCTGTTTATGTACGGAACAAAAGCTTCAGATGAGCGCCCAGGTTGGCAGGGAACAAAACTATTCCGGTCTGATTCTTCTCCGATAAAAGCCCATTTATACATGGCGAATTGAGGCAACTTTTCAGCATTTAACGTCATGCAGAGATCAAGGAGTTTACATGTTGCTAAATATAAGCAGTACCACGCAGGACTCATTATATTCGATAAGGAACCGTTAGTATTTATCCAGCTATCCACGCGTCCCGATAGAATTGTCGATCTGCAAATATTGACATATATATTTATACAACGTAGGAAAATAATAGTACAAGAGAAAATATGATAAGGTTTCTCTTAAAGATAAAACAAGAAAGGAATAATAGATAAACACAAAAGTTCTTTCCTATTACTGAACAAGGTTTTAATATACATTCCTAAATCATTCCTTAAAATAGATAGTTCGTTAAGCAAGTTAAAGCCTGTTCTTTAATTATTTATTTTCTATCCTTCAATCCATCCCCCATAGAAACTCAAATTAAATAGTTAAAGACACCGTACAGAATGTTACAGTCATATCAATACTATTTTTATATTTAGAATATACGGTTATTAATTGACAATTCGTTTTAATTAAATACCATAGTAGTTAGTTTAGTATTTGCCGTAGAAATTATCTATACATTATACAGGATATAAATAAATGAAACCAAAAGCCTTGCCATCATGCATATAAGGGGTAGAGGCTTGTTTTTTTTGGTTTTTGTTTAAAAGTATTTTACCTGCCGTTAACTTTCTTTTTTTCGCTGTTACGTTAGTGCAATATATTATAATCATATGATATATTTTGAATCAAACATAATAAATAACTAAAGACTATCAAAATGAAGAGATGAATAGTTTACTAATAAAGCCAGCTTACCTTGAACCTTCTTCACCAATAGGTGTTAGGTCTTGTTCCATTAATAATAGAACATGTACTATCTCTGTCAGTATAATTGGCCATAGGAGTGTCATTGGTCCCGGTGACATCCTTAATAATAAAACCCTCACGGCTAAGAATACTTGAGAATTTAAGTAAGGGGAGTGAATTCTTAAACAGTCTGTTAGTCTTTCTTGAATCTCAGGCATACTAGATTCATATTGGCCTTCTTCGCTGGAAAATATTACGAATGCCAAGCGTTTCATCAGCATAGCTTTTTGTTCCGCCTCAGCATCCTTAGATGAAAAGATTCCTAATCCTGCTGACGTACTACCTAAAGGCATTTTTGCAAGTAGTTCTGCAAAAGTTGTTCGATCATGAGTCATTAAATTATCAATAATACTATTCCATGTGGTGGCACAAGTCAAATCCATCAAGAAGAAGTTAATGTCAAGTAGTAATTCAAAAGTCTCCTTTCTCCAAGCCTTCCTTGTGTACGTGTATTCTGATATCGAAGACAAAACCGTTAAACCAGCTCTCAAAGATGGTAAATTGTTCAAAACTCTATGCTTTAAATACGGCAAGACGTTGTGCATCATATTTTGTAAAATTGGAACGGTTTTCTCCTTTTCGTCAGAAGAGAATGATACATCTAATAAAGGTGCAATAACTTTACCAAGAACAGCTAACGCTGCCACACTATGTCGTCTTTTTTCCGATCTGGGTGCTTCATCTGTAAAGTATAAATATCGTCAAATATTGAATTGAAACTGTAATATTACACAGGAAAAACCATTCCATCACCCTTCAAGAGAGTAAAAGCCCCGTTAAGCAGTATTGAAATTATACATAGTTTTTTAAAAGAGTTATTAACGTACTGTTTATTATCTCATGATCTTGGGTTACACCTTTTAAAAATCGTATTGAGAATTAACATAACAATAAAAGATTTGCTTACCTGGAGCATCATCCAGAAAATCTTCATCTAAATCAACCTGACGACCTGCTTTAACAACCAGATTTCTTCTTAACCAAGTTGTCTGCTCTAAGCTGCTTCCGGCAATGGTGCTGATACATTCCAGTACTTTAGAAATAGTTTCTTGTATTTCTTTTCTTTCTTTCTTTTTTTCCTCACTGGATAAAGATTGACCTATTTTCTCTACAATGTCATTCATGACTAACAAGAAAAGAAAAACTGCTGGAGGAGAAACATTTGGCATCTGCATAGCATCCTTAAATAATTGAAGGATAACCGTAAGATGTTCCACAAGACAATTTGTAGAGCATTTTCGTATGTATGCAAGGAATAATTGTAAAACAGACACGTCCAATTTTAATATTTTTGAAGTTGATGATAAAGAAGGAGATTTCAATATACCTTTTACAGCCGAAATTAATTCTAAGAGAGGCCATACTTTTACAGCAAATAGTATATCAACCAAATTAGTTTGATCAGCAGTGAAAATAGGAAACACTTTTCCAGGTTTCTGAGGTTTTTTCGTTGTCCAAACAATAGCGAAAGCTGACAATAGATGAGTTGGATGCTGTTTGGCTATTGGGCTTACTAATTCTAGTATTGCTGTGCGAACAATCCTTTGAGAGCAAATCTTTTCACTTTTCCAAACTGCAGCTATAGCACAAACAACTTTATATAATATTTGCAAGAGCGATTTCCTAGCTTCCTGCAAACCAGTATGAGAAGGTTTTATAGCTGTTCGTTGTAATAGTCTTATGGAGTTTTCGGTATCAGTGTCCTGTTCAATTATAATTATATGAAGTAAGGTAGTTAAACCTTCTATTTGACTTAAGACGTAGTCTGGCGGTGTATCTGTATTATTGTCAGATATAGTTTCGATATTTTTGCAAATTTGTTCAATTATACATCCAACCAAGGAAGATAATCCCTTTCCGGTGTATGGCAGTACAAGACAAAGAGTATTTATCCATTCTCTATGCAAATGAAGTTGTTTCTGCTTGAGCGTTTGTATAAAAGCCATTCGAAATACTCTTTGCGCGACAATATTCTTATTTCTTACATAATGTCGAGCATTCTGATTAATTCTCAGTCTTTCTTCCAATTGTTTGGTTGGAGTTATCACGTATTCAAGTCTAATTAGAACTGATATAAAATTAAGGATACCACACTGTAATGCTCTTTCTTCTCCGAAACTATTCATGTTGATTACTCGCTGAGCCAAACCTAATTTACCCTTAAATTTTTCATTTCTGTATATTGTAGATAATAAACAATGAATGGCTGTGCTCTGTACTTTACATTTTTGCAATAAATCTGTAATAAACTTGCAGAATCCGTCTCCCTTTTCCATTGATATGGTTGCAATTTGTTTATAAATACCAGTTAAAAATTCTACTGCTTTCACCTGAACCTGACAATTAGATATACGGTCGGAAGTGGAGATTTTACCAACTGGTAGTTTAGCTGGATAATATGAACGAATAATATGTAAACATAAGCAAGTTAACAATTCTAAGAGGCTACAAGATTGCGGACAAATATTTTTCTCTTCATTAAATTCGAAGCCATCAATGGATCTTGCGTGAGAATCGAATAATTTTAACAGCTGCAGTGAACGCTTTGTTGTTGATTGTGTTACTTGCGAAGTTGCAAGTGCAGAAGATAGTAATTTACAATTTGCGTCAAGGATATTTTCAAGGCATTCCAAACAATGTAGAATTCTATCTGAATCATATTTTTGACAATAAAGTAGAATTTTATTAACCATTAAGTAACCATCTTCACTCTTTTCGAATACTTCGTCCTCGTCAATTTCCCTGGGTTTAGTATCTGTTAAATCATATTGCACGGATACTACTTGAAAAACATCGTTTAAAATATCATCCAAAATATCTCTAGCCACTTGATATGATTCTCTCTTAAACAATTTTTGATCATTTTCCGAACGTACACGTTCCTGTTCAATCAAATTTTGTCCTATACTTTTTTCAATTTCACCGTCGTCGATAGCCTCGTCGGCACTTGAATAGGATGAACCTTCTTCGCTGACATTATTATTTTTACTTTCGTCCTAGAAAAAGAGATAGTAATTTAACTAGCTGCTTAAGTGTTGCTTATTGAAAAGAAAAATGACAAATAATTAAATACTTGAAAAGTTATTCCCTCCATTTTACAGACGTCTTTATCTAATCTTCGGGCGTTTCTTACATTTGATGGAGCAAATAGATTTTGGGTGAGATCAAGAACGTCAAAGCTGGGAGTTTCACAATTGTCAAATGGGTTTAAACGGAGATTGACGTTAGAAGCATCAATCTTATCGTAATCGTTTGATTCGGCTGCTGGATGATAGGTTTCGGTAAGTCGTCCAGTGTCTGTTAATGATGTCATTGCATAACAGACGTTACTTTCATTTTTTTCAGATGGCTTACTCTTCTTTATTCCGTTAGATTTCTTAATATACTTTACTTCCCCTTTGACATGTGAAATGGCGCAAATATTGGCTTCATCGTCACTAAAATTCTTCTTATCTCCCCTCAGCTTTTGTTGAAAAGACAGAAGATTCTTTAAACAAATTCGAGCAGTATCTGGATGTAAGAGTATAAGGAGAAGGGGTTCCAAAACTCTAACCAAATCCGATCGCTGAACTGCGTGTGACAACCAGTGTAGAGCGACTTGTCTACATTCGGGAAAACTATTCCTATTCAAAGCTGACAGTACAACCACAACGCTTCTGTCAAAAGACTTTGTAAGCGTTGAAATATTCGAGAAAGATGAAGATTCCCTCAGAACATGCCACATAGCTGAGAAATTGGTATGTGCACGAACCCTTTCAATTAGATCTTCTTCAACAAGGGCTTCACCTATTTAACAATTAGAATTAGTTGATAAATTGATAAAATATCCCAACAATTAATGATTATATACCTATAACATCCTCACAAATTGATGTTGGTGCTAATTGGTGTAATTTATCAAATAGTTCCACATTTTTTTCCAATCGGTTAGAATCTGATAGCTTTTTCCAAAGTCGTCTTGCTAAGACTTCGAAAATAAAGTTGTTTTTAAGCATATAATCTAGTTGATTTTGCTTTAATATTGGTCTCATAACAATTTGAGTGGATGATTTTGAAGCCTTTCGCCTCTTCAAAACAGATTTAACGGTTGATGATATAGATACTAATTCGAGAAATGATGAAACTCCTATATATTCAATATCTAAATTTTTTGTGGCGCAACAACAGAAGAGTAATAATTTTAACCAATTTGGGACCTCCTCGATATCTTCAACATCATCCATATCGTCTACGCACATTGGGAATGTAGAAAATTCGAGAATTAATTCGCAACATAAACGAAACGATGCAACAACTTCTTCTGAACAGTCATGTGCCATTTTAACAACTTCCGTTTGAGAGGTCGATATTTTTAGTAGGTTTCCTATTATGTTATCAAATTTTTCAAAGTTAATTAGTCTTTTAGTAATATTTTCGAAGACTGAAACTGCCTGTTTAAAGCAATTTTCAAGCGTTTCGTTTTTCCCTAAATCGTTTGTTTGTTGTCGGGAATTTTCTTCTTCAGAATGTTCCCCGTCTGACGGTATTTGCACCATAGTAGGTAAAACTTTCATCAGTAGCTTTTTACAAAGGCCTAAGAGAATTTCCAAGGTCTCACATCGCATAGTTGTAGAATATTTAAGTGAGACAGCTAACAGGTGATTTAGAAGCGTTGGAACTTGTTTTGTTTGGACAGCAACTATATTTTCAGGAGGTACTTGTTCTAATACAACGGTAATAAGTTCACACATTTCGACAAGATCACCTTTTTCGGCTGCTATGTTAGCATTTTTCGCTAGAAAGCTCCAGACGTAATCCTCTTCCAAACTGCTGAGTAGCAAATTGGACATTTTGACAATTTCATCCTTCCTTTCTATTGATTCTGTTTTACACAAGCGCTTAATGAGGCGTATTAGATCCAAGAGTACATCTTCTATAATACTAGCTCCTATTTCTGCTTTATCCAACAGTGAAATTGTAATTTTAAATGGATAAAGTCCCGTAACATCTTTAGCATTTCTGGCTAATTCTTTTAGGGCATCAGAAAGCATCTTCTTAGAGTTAACTTCAAAGTATTCATGAGTCAACTCAGCTGTGGAGAGTGAATCAGTTCGCTCTGTCTTCCAGTTAATGGGCACTCCATTGCCATCGGTCCCTAATAGCCAAGCATATAATCTTCTATTTAAGGACATGTCTCTTCTGAGAACAACAATTATGGCACTCTTTGCTAGCTTTCTCATATCATCTTTTATGAGATGACTACTATGTATGGGAAAAGAGAGAAGTAGAAGATCAAGAGCGGCTCTTTGAACGAGAACAGAGAAATCTTGAATAGATTGGCAAAGAGATGACACAAAAGAATCAACATTCGTTCCTATCAAGAACAATTGGTCTTCCATACTCTTTTTCTTATCCAGTTTAGAGAGTACATAAGTCAAGGCTTGCAAACGAGTTTGAGCATTAAATAGAACGCATTCCCAGAGACACCCATAAAAGAAAATGGAATCAACAGCATCACAAAGAGAGTCCAATAATCTTGAAACTCTATCAAAGTGTTCAGATCCTTCCTCCAAACCTGGTAATAGACCGAAAAGAAGTCCCGGAATGGCTGGACGAGATAATTTGTTCAGAGGAACAAAATGAGTTTCAAATAGTTGCAAGAGAACTGGCTTAACGTTAGTAGCGGCAAATGCCAAAAGAGGAAGAAGTCCTGTTGAGTAGGTTAATAAATCGGCCGCCAAACGGGACGTTCCCATACATCGAAACATTATATCGTACGTTTCTAAGCATCTTAGATGAACTCCGGCTGGTAATGCCGGATGCAAGCATTGAGCAAGTCTTTTTCCAATAGTCACTCTCTTAGGTACAATGGGATATCGTACGTTGTTCTGTAAAACCTAGAAGTATTCATAGAAAAATCAATTACTATCAATATACATCATTGAAACAAGCAAATATATCAAATTGTATATTCAAGTATAAATAATAGTTTGTGTTTCTTATCTTATATTTTTAATCTAAAAAATAGGCGTATCAATACCTTAAATAATCCAAACAGCAAAATAACATACAATAGAAGAATTGAGTAATAGTGTTCGAAGCATTTAGAACGTTTGTAATAATTGTTTAATTATATAGAAAACTTTCTCTAATTAATAAATAATGTTAATTCCTATGATATATAACATACTGTTAAAAAAGGGTATTCAGAGGTCTTAAGCAAATGATAACTTAATAAGGTTATTAACTTAATATCACATGTTAAAATATATCAATTAGCTAGAGGATTAATACAAAAAGAAAAACACCATAGGCAAATAAAAGAGATAGTTGAAACAAATAAAACCAAATTATAAAGAGAGAAAAAGATCAGATAATACATTTTAAATATGTTTTCTAATTCGAACATTCTCAGTACGGTATTTTTTATTTTTCTATTTTTTTATTCTGATTTATTTCAGCCTATGATTTTTATTTACTAAATATGTTTCTTACATGATAAAATTTTATTATTTCGATTAAATGGATGGAAAAAAATTGATGAAGTAATTGATTGTATTACAAAGCGCGTTTAGATTATATCAATACTGAAGTGCATTTGATTGAACCGAAGTATATATCGATATTACATCTTAAATTTGCTTTATAAATTGCAGGGTAATTAAAACTCACCTTATTCAACTTTCCAAGAGCTGATATCATATCAGGCCAATCATTTGTAGATTCGAAGCCCTTTAGGACTTTTTCAACCTGATAAATGATCACAAATAATTGTTTAATAAAAAGTAATCAATAATTTTAATCGTAACACCTGTGCTACATATGCCCTATATTTGGAATCGGACAGTAAGTCGCATTCTTCGGGGGATATTAAACTCATCTTTCAGTAGTATTAACGAGAACACTGTTTTAAAAAAAGGATATATTTATTTCAAAGCCATATATAACATATGCTCAAATCGAAATTAATGAACTCATTGAAAATAAATACCAAATTTTATTTTTAACTATTTAAGAATTAGGATAGTTTAATTAACTTACACTAGTCCGTGGTCGCCAAAAATATATAACTCCAATGTGACATGTCAAAAAGTATAGATACAATATTTCAAAATGATTTGACGTTTCCTGAAATAAAAAATATATTGCGGGATATCTAAATTGCAGGTTTAGTTAGTGACACTTCTATATAGAGAAACTCAGAAAATCTCTCAAACATTATACAAAAACACCTAAATAATAAACTGGTAAAATTAGTAATAACGATGTAGTACTAGACTAATCTGATTAAATCCTTTTATTCAAAAACAAAAACAAAAACAACAACTTGTAAGATAAACTATTTTTTAAACCTTTCTTTTTCAAGTCCTGCACAAATTTGAAAAAGGAATTCTTGTTTGCAAACCTTTGCATATATTTAAAGCCTTACTATAGGAAAAATCTTAAATAGAAAAACGTACGATGATTACTCATTGAAAACTTAGATCTTTGGCCAGCTCATAGCTTGGGAAAACCAATCACGAGATTATGAGGGCAACGTTTTAAGAATCTTATTTTTAATATTTCTCCATAATATTTTTACAAATATCTAATATGATGTTTATAATTTTAATACATGTCAATCATTAATCCGAACAATTTGATTTTTAGCAAGGTAAAAAGAAAAAGCTATAATGAGGCACCGCGCTCCGATGCTAATTTTGTATGCAAAATATCTCTTTTGAATACAGAATCGCCAAGCAGTAGCAGACGACATTATCACGCCGGTTTCAATTGACCTTAAATTCGTTACATCATGGATTTATCTTCTCCTCACCCAATGAATAAGGCTGATGGTGCCTCAAAAGAACATATGATGGATCAGTTGAGACAACAAATTGCTGTTGCAAACGCAACAGAACTTTTACAGGTAAAAAACCAACCTAAATGAATCTTGCGTTGTTCCCATATTTCGCCGTTAAATAAATTTGGCTTTAAACTCTACTGGAAGCTTTTAACGATTTTAAAAAAGTCCTACCTTTATACAAATATTAAAAAATCATCAATATAAATATAAGGATATACCAAGCTAAATTTTTAAATCGTATAATGATTCCACTTATATTAATCAGAATGCCATGCCTGAAGTTTCCAACAATAGCTTATTAAAAATTCTATTGTATCTAATTCTTTTCTCGAATTTTAGAAATTATCTGACAAATGCTTCAAAAAGTGCGTAACGAGCCCAGGAACATCTCTAGGAAACTCGGAACAGGTAAAATTACTTTGTCATTCAGATTATCTTTGAAACATGACCTTTTTCAGAAATGTATTGCTATGTGCGTAGATCGTTATTTGGATTCTTGGAATGTTGTGTCTAAATCGTATGTACAAAGACTACAAAAGGAACGACAATAGACTAGTTTCTGCCCACTAATGTAAAAACTCGTTCGATAATAAAATATTATCAATTGGTTTTCTAACTTGTATAGAGAAATAATGTCTTTGGTTTTTGAGCATTTCGTAATTTAGGATTATAATACAGTTACATTAATTAGAGCCTCAACAGTCGATATGAAAGTTTCAAAGCATATGTTTTATTTAAATTTTTAGAAATTTAGGAGACAAAAGAAAATGTACATTTTATTGGATAGATAAAAACTAAGATAATCTTTACATCTTTTTTTTATCATCAAGATTCTTTCTCTTCCTCAAGAGAGATATCTTTCATTGGCAGCTCTAAAGTACTCCAAGATCCTGGCTCGGCTTTGCAGAGAGTGATTTCTACTTTCGGTCCCATTAACTTTACACTACTCTTTGCAGGATTTATAATCTAGTATATGATACATATCAGTAAAATTTATTATTATATTGACGTAACATTACTAACCCCTTTTAGATTAAATTTCTGCTCAAATTGAGAAACTCCCTTGTCAAAGACCACCTTTACATGACAGACAACTTGATTTACTTTAATTTCAGTTTTTTCAGGTACTGTCATTTTACAGTAAACTGAAATAGTTATATTAGATCCAGTTTCAAAAAAATCATATCGACAAGCAGCTTTTTTTGCCTGGTAATAGATACAGGTAGAACAATTATTAAATTGTTGACATTATTAAATACACACCCCTTCTTTTTTCCAAACGTGTTTTCCTTCTTGACACCCCTTTTGACTGAGAAACTCAGAAAATTCTGTTGTTCTCTTTTTGCAACAAGTCCAAAATTTCAGGCTGTAACAATATGTTATTATATATACTAAGTAATAATCTCAATACAAAAATAATCATTACCCTTCATGGAACATTGGAGCCCCAGGATGGAATCTGCATATCTCAGTATTACTTGATTCATCAATATAGCTCTACGTTAAAAAATAATTGAAATACATAAAGATTCTGATTTGTAAGCTGAAAGAGCTTACCTTATCACACCCGTTATTTTTACAACTTTTCGAATCTTCTTTTGACTCGCTTCCTTCACTTTTAGACTTTTCTTTCTCCCAAGAGCTTTTCAGAGATTGTGCAACTACTGCTTTCAGCACAATCAATTCCTCATCAGGTGATGGTCTTTCCATAGGAACGCGAGTTTCCTGTGGTGGTCGAGTTTGTTGTTTAACTTCTATCTTTTCCTTCGCATTTTCTGTTTTTTCTTTTTTTGGTTCTTCTGGCTTCACATTGCTATGACGGCCTTTTGCACAACCCTATGAAGTATTTTATTCTCCTGCTTTATTTAAGATGATATAGGCATGCTTGTGAAATATACTTACAGGAAAACTCAAACAAGTAGTGAAATCTGTAGATCTTTTGCTACAACAAGACCATCCTTTCATAGCATCATGAAATACAGGTCGGCCAGGATGAAAGATGCAACTCTCTGTTTTGAAATAAGCATTTATACTTCATAAGCATTGCTATCCGGTACATTCTAGAACATTCTCTCTCTAATATCGTTCAAAGTTTCTTTACAAACACTATGTTTTTCATGTGAAAATCAATATTAAAGTATTGTTAACATATAATTTTTATTTAAACTTAAAATATTCTACCATCTTTATTTCTCTCAGGATCAAACTTCTTGCCACAACCCAAGTTATAACACTGTTGTTCAGTAGACATGGCTTTCTTTCGACTTTATTAAAAGTGTGGTGCGTGGTCCGTTTTGCGATGTTGTACTATACTCCAAGAGAAATTAGTGCAATCAACATTTCCTTTGCAATACCCAGAAAGTGACAGGTAACCCGCTGTTATCACGTGATAACTACAACTTCCGTTGTGTTCAACGGCTGACTAAAAATTTGTTGTCTCCAAATTTACGATCACGAGAATACAAAAATCGTAAAAATGGGTAAGCATTTGTTTCATGTTAGGAATTTAAATCACTAGAATCATTGATACCTAGGTTTAGGCTCCGATTTCATTTAAAAACACCTGTGTTCCTCTTTGATTAGGCCTAAGCAGGTGAAATCGCGCTTGTAAGTACATGCCCAAAAAGCGCGAAAATAGCGAATTAAGAAATTTGTAAATATTTATTAAGGGAAGTTAGACGAGTCTTTATTAGTATAAATAAGCTTCGTTCGATTTTTTTTCTTCAAAATTTCGATTGAAGATTAAGGCTAATAATAGTATTATATTTTGCAGAATGTATTGTCGAATTTGACTATGATGCTGAACAAAACGACGAAATCAGTCTGCGAGCTAATGATATCATTAAGAACGTTAAAAAACAACCAGGTGATGGATGGTGGGAAGGAGAGATAAATGGAAAAAGGGGATTATTTCCGAATAACTTTGTCAAGGTAAGACATTTTTTTACGAATGGTATTGTAATAAAACATTTTGTTATTTACGCAGGAGAGAAAGGAAAAAGCTCCACCTCCTCCACCTGTTATTTCAGATCGACCGAAGTTTGAAAAGAAATCCTCCGGTGGAGGAAGTCAAGTAGCAGAGCTAGCTTCCAAAATACAAGGTTAGAAGGGCAAAGTGTAGACTTAATAGCGCTAAAGGTTGAGCTTATGAAAGTTTAAACAACCATAAAAGACATTCTGTAGTTACTTGATATTTAATTTTTTGAAATATGATCAATCGAAATGTGGGCGGGGTCAAAAACTTTTAGCTTTTTAATTCCGATAGATGTCTCTGAATTACGCCCCAGGAAGTATAATTTTTAATTTTGTGCCAAATAAACTTTACGTTAAAGTATCCGACCAGATATTTTGGGATTATGTAAATAATTAATTATGTATATATCAATTTTTTACAGGCATTAAAATGGGACCACCACCAGTACATCAGAAAGGTTTCAGACGCGAAGGAAGTAGTAAAAGAGCACGACAAAGAGTTAGAGTAACTTATGAATACAAGGCCGAAAAGGAGGACGAACTATCCATAAAAGTAGGTGATATCGTTGATGTGCTAAAACAAGAAGAAGAAGGCTGGTGGGAAGGAGAATTAAACGGTCAGAAAGGTGTATTTCCATCCAATTTTGCTGAACCTATACAAGAGGGTATGACTAGTGAAGAAGAAAAGGAGGATACTGAGGAAAAAGAAATAAAGGGTAAAAAAGTAATGGGCGTTGGATTGGGTGATATATTTGGAAATCAAGGGGTAAGTCATATGTAATTTTGTCGGAGATTTATAACAGGAAGTTTGTTTGCAAATAGCCTATTAAACTTCGTCCAACTGCTAAGCATCCAGAACCACCTCCAGTAGTTAAAGAGGAAAGAAAATTACCAGCAAAAGCTCCTCTACCTACCCCTTCTGATTTTCCAGCACCTACAAAGGAAACAAGTAATTTGCTTTTTTCAAAATTATATTTTTATGTTTTGTTAGTCAAATATCTTGCGGAATTTGATCATTTTGAACCTTAGTTTTCCATCTTCAATCCTATATAACTCCTATTGAGAGACGATTCAAACAAATGTTGAGAACTCCCAGTACCAGCGATGAACACAAAAATATAATAGATGGCATAGCTTTCTCTAAGGGTAAAATATACACCAGAACTAATCCTTTTACCGAAAGAACTGTTCTTGAAAAGTCCTTTGCTGAAGAAAGTGAATATTTGAATGAACCAATGATATCAGATCGATTCACATACTTTAGGGGATTACTAAATCACAATCGTCTACCAATAAGCATTATTCGTCTTGCCATGAAGTATAATTTAAATGCTTTTGATTTTACTAAGGAAATCGGTTATGATAAACTGGCAAAGAGAGCTGAATGTATAGGATATACTTCAAAATTTTGTTCAGACTTTAGGGAGTAACTTAGATTGAAAAGACTAGATTTTATAATACTTTTTAATTACAAATGTAAACAAACTTGTTTACAGAAATCTAAATTATTCCCTAGAAGGTCTAAAACTAAAACAGCAATCAATAGAGTTTCAAGCGCTCAACAAACAGATTTTTCCCTATCTATTGATATAGCTAACTCGCCCATTTTACAAAAAAGAATTCTTAAGTCAGTCGTTGCTAATTTGGATATGAATAAGCTGATAGCTGCGCGATCGTCTGCAGCAGCTATTGCAGACAGACTTCTGGATAGAGCTAGTAAGGATTCCACTGTAATATCGACCTTGTCTGATAAAAAAGAACTTATTGCTGAGAATAGGAAATCTGAAGACATACTCCAAATGTATGTTGATGATTTCTCACCTGTACGAAAAGATTATTTAGCTGAACCTTTAGTGGAAAATGCTCAAAGAGAGAAAGGCAAGGGTATTTGGAATAGAATAGTCCGCCATCTATCATTTAGCTCAGTAAATCGAGGTCCAGACGGGGATTTTAGTAATCTTGGGTCAAAGAAGCGAATAAGAAGCAAATCATTCAAACCCTTGAAGACACATTAGATCAGAATTTAACTATGTATTTGTTTTTGTTTTATTATTAATTTGAAAATGAAATTGTCGTTGAATGTCGTACATGATTTAAATCTAAAGTCTCAAATGTGTTTTTATTAGCTTTGAGAGAAAAAGCGGTTGTTGAACATGGATATAAGGCTAACAACGAGGATGAATTAACCATTGAAATCGGTGAGGTTTTGACCATTGTGGACAAAAACACTGAAGACGAGGGTTGGTGGAAGGGGGAATTAAACGGAAGATGTGGAATGTTTCCCAATAATTTTGTAAAATTGATTCCACCAGGTGAAGGATCAAATAACAACACGCAGGAGGTTAGTATAAATGATTTAACAAGCTCTTTGCTCCCCTTAAAAAGTCTACATTTTCTGATGTAACATAATCACTTTGAAAAATTTTGTTGTATTTTTTTTTTGCAAATTACTAAATTAATGAGATCACGGTTACTGAAATCTTTTTTTATCAATCGATATACTAAACAAATGTAAGGATTATATTACAATTTGCCTAAATTTATAGATAAGAGTTAAGATAACCTCGTTCATGTGTAAAAAAAATTTCCTTATATTTTTTTTTGTTGCGGTGGTTTCATGAATTTTTTTCAATTATGCAGTCTTACGTAAGACGGCACAGGCTTTCTAAAAATCCTAAAGGCAATGGTAATTTATGTATTTACATCTATCTATACATATTTATACTTAACCTAGCTTGTATGCATATGACTGTCGTATCGTGTTATTTATGCATGCTTAAACACAAGTGGGTTTGCTTTTTTTTGTACAGAAACCTAAAAAACCACCTCCACCAACGACTAATAAAGTAACAGTTGTAAAAACTGGTATGGTTCCATCTGGACCTTCTGCTGCTCCCCGTCCCGTTTCAGTAATTGAAGGTTGTTTAGTGAAGTAACAGCATGAAATATGCTTATAGTTTTTATTATCTTTAAAAACACAAATATATAATGGTTGCAAATAGTTTCATTTAAAACTATAACCTCATGTTAAAGTTTATTGTATCGATTTACGTAGATTCTTAAATATTAAGATACTTATCTTTTCAGCTGTTAAACCAGGACCTCTTAAGAAACAGCCTCCTCCTCCAGTTAGCAAATCTCAGTCTTTGGATCATACTGGTAATTAAACATTAAATGTTTTTTTTTTACAAAATAATAATTAAAAATCTCTAAAATAGATCAGAAGCCATTGGAACTGCCTTCAAAGGTATGTATTATAATTAGAAAGATGATTTTTTTAGTATTTCTTTTTTCGCTTAAAAATTAAAGCTTCCAACACCACCGACTTTTGAACCTCAGGTTGATTACCTTACTTACTGATTACGAAATTTGCATATTTTACAAAGAAATAATTGTCTATTTATGTTTTTACAGCAAAGAGCACATGTTAATTCGTCTGGAAATACTGACTCCAGTAGGTTTTTTCATCAGTTCAAAGATAGCATACCAATTAATGGTTTACGATTTTAGATCTATCTAACGCTCAATTGGATGAACTAAGGAAGGAAATTCAATTTCTAAGGAAAAACACTGTTTTTAAGCAAGACTTTGAAAACGTTCAACAAGAACTGCAGTCTACTAAGGTTGAAATGCAAACAATGAAAGCAGAATTTAACAAAAAGCTTCTTGACTTAATGAATGAGATCGATGATGAGAAGAAAAAACATCTTAGTACTCTGGTAAGATTATTTCGAAATTAATATTTTCTTCGTTTTATATTAAAATGAGGTGTCTCTTTTCAGGTTGAAATTGATAGAGTTAAAAAATTAGTAAGCTCTAAGTAAACACCTGCAGTCAGAGAACACGTGCATGAAATTTTTAACGAACACTGTGATAGACTTTTAAACATTCCTTCGCTATTAAATTTATTCCATTGATCTGTACATGTTTCCTTTATATTTAAAAATATGCTCTACAAATTAAACTGTATAACCTTTTGGCTGTATTTTAGTAAGTTGGTGCTAAGTTTGCACATTATTTAGAAACGGAGCATTACTCTTTTATAGTGCGTGCTGTATATTATACGCTCTTTTATTGCCAATGAATACAAAAAATTTATACTTTCTCTTTATCTAATGATTATGTTACAAATAGCCAAAGCTTCGTTGTCACTACCAGCTATTAAACTATTATTTACAACATTTAAGCAATTTATGGGAAGTTGATAACTCTGCCACAGATTCGTTATTTCAATTCGACGTTTTGCTGTATCGCAGGCTAACCAGGGTGTACTCAAAGCTTGTGAGTCTATGTTTTAAAAAATATTTTTATGTGAACAGTTTAATACAATTTACAATAAATATTCGAACCTTGTGAATTTTGAATATTAGATGCATCCCAGTGCCAAATTTCGCCATCGGATGAGCAAGTAAATAAATGATCAGGTTGAGATTGATGATATTGAATATCCAGAACTAAAGTTGGAAATAGTCTATTGAAATGAATTTTTATATAAAAATAGTAAAACGTACCATCTCCTATATGTGCCTCAACTTTAGCAGAAGGTAATTTAGGTTGCCTAAGATCCCAGATACAGATTGCTCCGTCACTTGTACCACCCGCAATAACGTGCTGTTGTGCAGGATGCTTGTCAATACACCATAAAGCGCTCCAATCATTTTCCCTGCAGAATCATTTTGTTTCATAAAAATTTAAACGAAAATTTTCATAACTCACTGAACATAGAGCTGAGCTTTTGAACCTTTATCTCTCAAATCCCACAATTTCAGTTGACCAGAAGACGTTGCTGCCACAACTTGATGCTGATCAGCAAGTTGTATGTCATTTATTACACAATCATCTTCATTTTGTAAAGTTTGTAATTTGTCACTGTTTTCAATAGTAAAAGCAAATATTTGACCGTGCTCGGTTCCACATACAACTAATCCATCCTTCCTAGATATTAAACTGGTACAAATGTCTTCTTTGCTTAGAGCAATGTCGTTTCGATGCTAAGTAAATTAAAGATAGAAATATTTATTCAGAAATTATGAACATTAATTACCTCGAGTCGGTTATCTGAGACTTGGAAGACGGAGACTGATTTCTTTGAACATGCTGCTAACAGCAGATCAGCCTTTAAAAACTAGTTTAAAAAAGAATTGTTAAAACACAGTATTCTTAGAATCTAGGAATATATTAAATAGTTCAAACCTGTAAATTATTTATATCACCGTTAGTTACAACAGATTGTATTTTGGACAAATCTTCGATTTCTGCTTCCCCTTCAATTTGCCATAAAGAAATTTCATTTTGCGGCTAAAGAACGAGGGAACGTTAGTGAGCGATAATATAGTTTTTATAATATAAAATAAACTAACTCTATTATCCCAGCTTCCTGTTACAAAATATCGTGGTCTATCTGTCGCTAAGTCTATAGTAGGAAACCACTGGACACATTTGGTCTTTTTCGAAACATATTTCACGAATATTGTTGACATTTTCCAGCTTTTACCGGCGGAGAAAAATGTATCACTTAAAGGTGAAGGCTGCTGTTTCTTCCCGCGATTAACCACTTAAAATAAAATGCCTAATATAGCTGCAGCACAGTTTTCATTCATCCAAAAAACGATTAAAAAACAAAATTTCGTTGTAATAATTTGTAAAAAGAGAAAAAACACTATCTATTTATAGCAAAAAAAAAATGGAATGAAACTATCAGAATAACTTTCTTAACATTCTACGAAAACATATTTATTGAATAAATTTTAATTATTAATCCAAAATGATTTGTCAGAACAAAATTTAAATAATTTCTTTAATTTATTAATGAGATGAAATATTAAGAAAAATAGAAACTTGAATGAAAACGTAAATTAATAAATTAAATAGGAAAATATGAATGATAAATGCAATTCAACTTTATCAAAGGTTAACGAATTTTATGATTACTATTAATTTGTCTGTTTTTTTCATTTATTAAACGAATAATGATTTAACAGAAATGTAGAAATACGGAAAGAAATTTAAATGAGTTAAAGAGGGAATTAGAATTAGATGATCATAAACTTTCAATTTCGGAGCTATGTAAACGCTATGAAACAGATAAAACTTTGGTATTATCTTACTGTTTTTGTTGTATGAGGACTTTAAATTTTGTTAATTTTATAGGGTCTAGAATCTGATAAAGCTAACCAAATTCGTAGGAGAGATGGTCCTAATTCATTAACACCACCGAAACAGACTCCAGAATGGATAAAGTTTTGTAAACAATTGTTTGGAGGTTTCGCCATTCTCTTGTGGATGGGATCAATACTTTGCTTTATCGCTTACAGTGTAGAAAGATCTCGAACAGTTGAGGCATCTTTGGATAATTTAATTCTTGGTATTGTTCTTGCAGCAGTAGTCATAATAACTGGAATATTCTCTTACTACCAAGAGTCGAAATCGTCTAAAATTATGGACTCATTCAAGAAGATTCTCCCACAGCAAGCTATTGTGATAAGAGATGGTAAAAAATTGAGTATTAATGCTGAAGACCTCGTTGTCGGCGATTTAATTGAAGTAAAATTCGGCGATAGAGTACCAGCAGATTTTCGTCTAATTGAATCAAAAGGTTTTAAAGTAGATAATTCATCATTGACAGGTGAATCTGAGCCTCAATATCGTTCAACTGATTTCACAAATGAGAATCCTCTGGAAACGAAAAACTTAGCTTTTTTCTCAACAAATGCTGTTGAAGGAACTGCCAAAGGAATAGTTATTTTAACTGGTGATCATACAGTCATGGGTAGAATAGCTGGATTAGCGTCCGGATTGGAAACGGGAAAAACTCCTATTGCCAAAGAAATAGAACATTTTATACATATCATTACCAGCTTTGCTGTTGTATTGGGTGTTTCATTTTGCATTATAGCAGTAAGTTTGGGATATGCTTGGTTAGATGCAGTTGTATTTTTAATAGGTATAATTGTTGCAAACGTGCCGGAAGGTCTACTAGCTACTGTAACTGTTTGTCTGACGTTAACTGCTAAAAGGATGGCTAGTAAGAATTGCTTGGTTAAGAATTTAGAAGCCGTAGAAACTCTTGGCTCTACTTCAACAATTTGCTCGGATAAAACGGGAACACTTACTCAGAATAGAATGACTGTTTCTCATGTGTGGTATGACAATTGTATTACTGACGTTGATACCTCAGAAAATGCCAGTAAAGGTAAATTTATAGGGAGTGGTTGGAGTCCCTTGTCGATTGTTGGTATGCTTTGTAATCGAGCCGAGTTCAAACATGACCAAGACACGATCTCGATTCAAAGAAGAGAATGTACTGGTGATGCTTCTGAGGTTGCTATATTAAAATTCTTAGAATTAACTGTTGGCAATGTATTAGAATTTCGAGCGCAAAATCCGGCCGTTTGCGAGATACCTTTCAATTCAACAAACAAATTTCAATTGTCTATACATAAAATGAATGAAAACAATCGTCATTTGTTAGTTATGAAAGGAGCACCTGAGAGGGTACTCAGTAAATGCTCTACCATTCTCATAAATGGAGAAGAACAGCCTATGGATCAGGAAAATATCAAACTTTTTAATATGGCGTATAATGAACTTGGTGGTTTAGGAGAGAGAGTATTAGGATTTTGTGATTTACTTTTAGATGATAATGAATATCCTGAAGGTTATATTTTCAATGACGAAGAGTGGAATTTCCCTTCTAGTGGCTTTCGTTTTGTTGGCCTAATGTCGATGATCGATCCTCCAAGAGCTGCAGTTCCTTTAGCCGTATCAAAGTGTCGATCGGCTGGTATTAAGGTCGTCATGGTTACAGGAGACCATCCAATCACAGCTAAAGCAATTGCTAAAAATGTCGGTATAATATCTGAAGGAAGTGAAACTGTAGAAGATATAGCAAATCGAAAAGGACTTCCAGTGGATCGAGTAAGAAGATCTGAGGCAAGAGCATGTGTGTTACACGGAGAAGAATTAAAAAATATGAACTCTAACATCTTGGATGATATAATAGGAAACCATTCTGAAATTGTTTTCGCACGAACGTCTCCTCAACAAAAATTAGTAATAGTTGAAGCTTTTCAGAGATCTGGAGCAGTTGTAGCTGTCACAGGCGATGGTGTTAATGATTCTCCCGCTCTCAAAAAGGCTGATATTGGAGTTGCTATGGGTATAGCCGGATCAGATGTGTCCAAGCAGGCAGCCGATATGATACTTTTAGATGATAATTTCGCATCAATAGTTACCGGAGTTGAAGAGGGTCGTTTGATATTTGATAACCTAAAGAAGAGCATAGCTTATACATTGACTTCAAATATACCAGAAATAACACCTTTCCTGTTTTTCATGCTTTTACAAATACCCTTACCTCTGGGGACTGTCACTATTCTCTGCATAGATTTAGGAACCGACATGTTACCCGCTATTTCATTAGCTTATGAACAGGCCGAATCTGATATTATGAAAAGAAAACCAAGAGATCCCTTAATAGATAAGCTCGTTAACGAACGCTTGATTGGAATAACTTATGGACAAATTGGAATGATACAAGCAGCTGCCGGGTTTTTTACGTATCTTTATATTATGGCTGATCATGGATTCTTACCATCCAAATTATACAATTTACGGTCTAGTTGGGATGATAGGACTAACCAGGCCGTAACGGATTCGTTTGGTCAAGAATGGTCTTATGGTCAAAGAAAAGTTCTTGAGTATACATGCCACACAGGTTTCTTTACCGCCATTGTTGTCGTTCAATGGGCTGACTTATTAATATGTAAAACAAGAAAAAATTCTATATTTCAACAAGGTATGATAAATCATCAGCTGACTTTTGCTCTCTTTTTCGAAACTTTGTTGGCGGTCTTTTTGTCCTACACACCAGGATTTCATAGAGGATTACGAATGTACCCCTTAAGGTAAAGGGATAAAAAACAGAGAAACTATATTTATCATTTTTTCGTCTAATAGTCATTGAAAATATTTTCTCACAGATATTACTATTGGGTTGTACCCATGCCTTTCAGTCTCTTAATTTTCATATATGATGAATGTAGGAAATGGATCATTCGGAGGTATCCGGGTTGTTGGATGGAGAGGGAAACTTACTACTAGATAGTGGACGAGATCAATTTTATCACCTTAAATTGTCTATCGGAAAAATTATAAAAAAAATATTGATGATGAGAAAAAAAAAGTTATCCACTGCCGGAACCCGGGATTGAACCAGGGACCTTTAGATCTTCAGTCTAACGCTCTCCCAACTGAGCTATTCCGGCTGTATATATAAAAGCATTAATAGTGCCAATTTTGGAATGTTTTTTCTGCGATAATCTTTAAAAACATTCAATGAAAACGTTTAGTTTATTATTCTGATCAAATGTCTTGATAGCTTTTAGCCTTTCTATTAAAGTGTTATATATATATATAGCAAATGGCTAATGTGCATAATATTTAATTTTACCAATAAAAGAAAAATTTTACAATAAAATATCTAACTAATAAGATACTAATTCAAATTTATTAACGTCTCCTTCAAAAGTCTATGTTCTTTCTAAATTCATAGCTTAGGTAATAATCCATATTAATAACATTTTTTTTTAAAGTGTCACCTTTAAGTAGGCCCACATCAGTCTGTAGGTTACATACACGTACTCAAAAGAATGAAGTTGGCAAATTTCTACGAAAATAAGAAAGCTCTATAAAAAAGAGAACATATAAAGAATATAATGACGTAACTAATCAATATTATCTTAACGAATTAAGTTTTTATTAAAGTTATGTAAAGAAAAAACAATATTCTTGAATATAATTAACAAGAAGGGTACTCTATATTAGAAATGGTTAGAAGTGTTATTATTAAATAAATCATGCGAAATATATTTTAACAATAGAAGGAATAAAGAACACAAATTTATTAATTAGTTTTTTATTTGAAATATTTATAAAATAAAAGCAATTTCCATATTTTATTAACAATAAGCTTTTACCAGTTTATTTTCAAGTGAATAAATTTTACATTTTTAAATGATAAAAGCAACACTTGAGAGATATCTTTATTAATTCTCTTTAGGGTTCTCTAAACTGAAAAGATTTAGTATTGCGACTACTTGACGAATCGGCTTTATTATCTATTATTAGTAATAAAAAATATAAAATCCCTAGCCGCTTGGCTTTTTTTATGGATTAAAGATTAACATAAATAAATCAGGTTGACGAAAAAATTGAGATAGATTAACATAGCTTTCGCTCTAGATGACGTCAGTAATTGGGAAATATTTATAAACTTATATATATATAATTTTGTTTGGCTTTTATAGAATAAAGAAGAATTAGAAATTTCAAAGTAAAAGAAAATGATATACATAAGATTAAGAGTCACTGTCAATATTTATTCTGCAGTTTAAATGACATTATTAACATAAAGTAAATATATAGTTGAATAAGAGAAAACTTTAAAGAGGAAAACAATTTTCAATAGTGCAAATACATAAAGTTTGATGAGTTTGTAGGAGTTCTACTCGCTACTAACCGACTTAGTCCGTTCATACCTTGTTTAACTTTTTGCCTAAATATCCATGGACTTTCGTTATTTTTTACAACCATTCTTGGTCTTGGTAGCGATGTTAAATCGCCTCTTGACGATTCTCGAACCAACTTTTCGGGTTCTAAAGGAGCTTGTACGCAATATTCTGGTCTAATTGTCATATTTTGTCTTGTCGAAGCACTTTCTCTCCTAACGGGACCAAGTTCCAGAGACAAAGACAACGGTTTTGAAATATGATTCTGCAATTGAATAACCCTTTCATTTACTAGCTATTATACAGTGGGAGGTAAATCAGGATATGTTTTATCTGTTTATACTTTAATAGTTTGTGTAATCCCATTGATTTTATGTTGGCTATGTTGGCAATAGAATGAATATGACGAGAAAAAATAATGATCTACTTTAAGACTAATTACCTCTGGTTTGTCTCTGCATGGTTTGATCTTTAATTTCAATAGGTGCTTCTCGCCACCTCTGAGATTTGAACTAGAACCTTCTAGATTTCGCAGTTTTACAGCTGGGAAAAATCCCGTAAGACTTCTGGAAGTTGAATAGCCGTCTTTTAATATTCTTTTGGCGTCTAAGCCTATTACTGAAGGCCGTCCACCAGCTTTACCAAAAAATCTCGTGGCAAATTCATTTGCTAAAGATGAATTACAAGTACCATAGGAAGCGGGAGGTGTTCTCGGAGATAGTTTCATTCTGCTGCTTGTCCGACTATTTTCGGTTTTAAGCATACTCTCTCTTGAATTTGTTGTGCGGTGGAATCGAGAAGAAAAGTTATAGGAATTTGTGGAATTACTACCGGTGGTGTTCGAAACGATCGGCGGCAACGTATTACTGCGCAATTGATTCGGCATTGTTGAAAACTTTATGTCATATTCATCGTTGCCGAGAGTTTAACAAAAGAAATCCGATGTAATCCAATCGCTTAGCTCTCTAACTGTAGAAAAATGTATATTCACTCTGTGAGGAAACAGGAGGATATGAAGATAGAAAATTGTCCCTGTTAACTTCGTCACGTTCAGTCCTTAATGTAAAATCAACAAACCCTTTTCAAACAATGATATTTCTTTAAAGGAGTGTTAAGAAGAGTTCATATTGATCTCTCTTTCGTGCACAAGCATTTATACATTCATATGTATATAATTAAAACAATAATATATTCTCTCTTATCTGGTATCCTATCTGAAAATATTTCAGTTCTTACCCTTTTAAGTATATTATCTATCTATATATTCGCGTGACTAGGAAAGTTAAAGAGTGAAAACGTGGACTTATAGCTAGGCCTTTAGGGCCTCTTCTGAAGTAATAAAAGGTTAAAGAGCGACACCTACAAATTTATCTATTTAGAAAAGTCAAAAAAAAAAACAATAAGATGATTTTTATAAACATTTTCCCTTTGCATTAAAGTCTTAATGCTTTATTTATAACTTTTTTTCTACAACTGTTAAATGGAGTGTAAGAGGGAATGTTTTTGTTTGACAAAACTATAAGAGATTTCAAGTCTTAAAAGTGGATTATAACAATTGAACAATTAACATTATCCTATAACTGGGAATAGAATAAAAATGAAGTTTTACAGGAGAATAACAGTTTAGAAGATATTTTTTTATGTTTATGTGTTACTTCAAATTTTCATTAGACGCCACTAGATTCAATTGATTTTAATTAAAAAGCTATTCGGGGTATTTTGTTTAAAAGGAAATGAAAGAAACTTATGTAAATCATATTTTTTAATGAGCGTTTACTAAATCTAAAAGGTTGTTTACTCGTTTTGAATATGGTGGCCGATTGCTTTATTATCCACCTTTAAGAAATTATGTATCTGAAAGATTTTTATTGTTAATATTTAATCCTTTTGTTATTGAACGAACAACTAATCGTCATAGTAGCCACCTACCCTTCCTAAACAAATATGGCGTCACTGGTAACGATTATTCAAGAAAGGGAATGAGTGGAGGACGGGCCTTAAATTGGAAAGAGTCTCTCCAAATGTGGAGGGAGAGAGAGACATTTTGTCAAGTTGAAACTAAAAAAGAGGAAACCGTTAGCAGAGCTCAAAGAAAGCACTTCCCTCACCACAACTTATCGTCGTCTCTCCCCGCTAACTCTGATAACAGTAAGGGTGTACCTGACAGAGAAAATTGGTTATCTAACCAGAAAAAGTCCACCAAGCGATATGAAAGAAGACACTTTATTGGTCGGTATTTATTTAAAATTTTCAATTGTTGTTATAAAATTGTACTCTTTTAACAGAAAGTAGCAATATACCTGCCGCGATTCTGTAAGAAGCAGAACTGCCTATGTCAATTACTTCTCTTGATTTCTATGTTCTTTCTTGCCTTAAGAGACCAATATTAGTCAAAGTCACATAATTCCTATTCAACACCGCAGACAGTATTATGAATATTCAAAAGTCATAAGGCGAATTTGGCTTTTGGTAGAAAGTTTAACAAGTTTTACATCACCTCAACTCAATTGTCATGTTAATGTTGTTTTAACAATTTAAACACTTTAAATTACACTTAAACACTCAAGTAACGAATGTATTCTATTGCAAGTTACATATATACATAATAAAAGACAGAAAATAGCAAATTATTTCAAACAATATTTCTAAATAGCATGAAAAAGTTTATAAAACATGAGTTTTTTTTAAGTGTTTTAAGCAAATGGATCTTCTCGGTCCGGACCTTGCGCGTTATAAGTATCCTCCAATGAGCTGAAATGTAAAAAGTGTACAGGTCTGTGTGCTTCGTGATAAAATTCCAATGGATTTGATAACTGCAGTCCGTATTTCATTGAAGGGTCGTGTCGTACACCTGTAATAGGAATAATGATTTATTATTCAAAAAATTGATTTGCTAAAAAGTCTAACTTACCCATAAAATTGTAATTCCAACTTCCTTGATCAGGTACCATGAAAAATCCCAAGAATCGATCAGATAAGAGCATTTGGACTCTTTCATAGTGGGATGGCATATATCCTTTTGGATTGTTTCCTTTATCAGTATTTTGTCTGCCCCATTCAAATCCAGATGGGGTTAATTTATAAGCTGTTAGCGAACAGCTTCCTGGAGTAAACGAACAAGTAATAACAATGGTTTTTTCGCCATCCCATTGTGGATTCTTATCCATAATTTTCGCGTGTAAGTTAACATCCTGAGGCGAGAGCTGAGGTAATTCATTTGGTTGGGTATGAATCCATCCGAGAGGCTCAAACTCTTTCAAATACTCATGCCCAGGTAACTGATGAGGAAGATGAACAGTCTGGTGAGTACCCCATTGAGGTGGTAGAACGATGCAGCGGATTTCTTTCACTTGAGAGTTATCTGGAGGACTTACACCATAAAGATATCCAGCAATTTGAGATCGTAAATCGGATATCATAATAAACTTTTTCAACACATTTTTCGGTAAAATATATGTGTAACCTGCTTCTTTTATATCATCAGATGATACATAAATATGGTTGGTTCTCAAATGCAAGTTAATGGCAGAAATGGCTCTGACTCTCCATTCGGTTTTCGAGCTGAATGTTTGAGTTTCATAGTTTGAAGTAGTCGTAGTAATAATTTCATCTCCATGTTTGTTAACTGTTTTAGTGGTTGTTGCTGTAACTTGAGACTGCTCTTTAGTTTGTTTTTCAATTTCGGCGATTTGTTGACGTTGGGCTGAAGGAGCTGATATTTCCATTCCCAAAATAATATCTCTGATTTCAGATTGCGTCAAAGACGCAACATTTACGTTGTTTTTCTTACCGTAGTCGGCTAATATAACATCTTTAAGAGACATTTCAACTTTTACCCACTCTTCATCTGAGAGAGTAGGCCAAATATGATGGGCTTCAGTAATGGTGGTTTTGTCAGGTTTAAGGATCATTTTACATTTATCATTATTAACATGCATAGCTCGAAGAATAAGGATCAATCGAGAGAAGGCAGTGTATGAAGAAATTGATTTCAGCCAATCGTCATACAAGTTGAACAAAACCATTTGAGGCTCAGTCGCCTTTAAAATTAAATCTCCAAACTTTTCTACTTTCAAACATGCCTGGAAAGGCAGTTGAAGTTCAGAACCTTTGATTACAATATTCGGGAAATCTAGCAAGTGAACTTCTAAAGGATCCAACATTCCTTTTCTTGTAACAATGATTTGCTTCGGCTGTTCTTCTACTGGAAGTGATCTAATTAGAGCAGCTACTTCTTCGGCTGTCTTCCATTTTGCCAATTGACCTAAACGCTTTTGACCAGCCCAGACACTGGTGTGAATAATTTTCAAGAAAAGCTGCCCTGTTCTTGGATTGAAAATAAAAATTGCCCCGTTTATTGGCTTAGTTGTTAAATTTCCTTCAAATGTCTTATGAATAGTTACACGGTAAACGTTTGTGTCGTCCACAAACCAAATAATTTGGTTTGAAAATAATTCACCATAATTCTGAGATGACAGATAGGGTTCGGTAGGCTCGGAACTATATAGCTGCAATCCTTTGCGGATTCTCTCTCTAAGGACATACAAAGCTGGATTAGCTTTCATGATTTTTGCCATTGCTTGTTGTATAAGGGGCTTCGACCCGGGAAACCAATTACCGAAAGCTGAATGAAGATTGTAAGCCAAATCAATTGCTATCATAGCTCCAGTGGGTGATGGGTAGATTGACATATTATCCGTAGTATAATCCAAGTATTTGGCTCTAGCGTAACGTTCAACATCATGTGAATCGTAATCTCCCCACCTCAGTTGTATATCTATCCAGTATTTTTGAGTTGTTGAATTATCCATGGTGTCTTTCGTGTCAGCCAACAAGGATGGACGAGATACATGCCATTTATATGAAGCGAACAGAAGAATATCAGCGCAACTGCTGTTCATTTTGTAAGATTTTCTTGGATGAATAGTTTCCTTTTGAACTGTGTCAATACTAAGAGCATCTAATTCCTGATCAAAAACCTGACATAAATCCATAACAACGCTCTCGTGTATTTTTTGCCAAAGATGGGCGCGAAAGATTTGGATAAGACTTATCTTCAAAGTTGGGATTTTACCGTGCATAAATATACCTGTCAAATCCAACTGTACTTGGAAACCAACATATACATTAGCTCTGTTAATTGTTGGACTCCACCAAAGTGTAAAACGACGGTTTGGAATTTGATTTAAACCTGATCGCTGAGCATTTGTCAGCTTTTTAAATTTCATAGATTCTTCAAATCCACTTGCCTTTTCCCAGAACAAACCCTCCCAGGTTGGGAAATATGTGCCCTTGAATAGAGTATGTTCAAGAATTCCTTCCACACCGCCAAGAGCTTGAATCATATCCGTCCTGTAATTATTCAGATTCCATAACTTTCCATCGTGACGTTGATGTGTCCACCAGAATGGATTTTGTTTCAAGACTTGATATTGCTTAAAATCTGTTCGAACTCTCCACCCCTTATCATAAGCTAAGGTATGACGATCCTTTTGGAAAAGTGTATTTATCCTTGGAATTCCTCTGTCCCAGCTGTCTTCCAAATCTTCAAGAGTTAGCCTTCTGTTTTGAGCATTAGCTTCCTCTCGCTTTAGTGCATATTCTGCCCAAACTCTTTGTGAATCTATAAATTCACTCTCCCAAGGCATGATGTAACGATACAAGTTTGGAATTAGCTGATCTTCATCATGGCTCATTCCAGATCTAAAATGTGTAATTCCAATATCTGTTTGCTTACTCCACCTAAGATCACTTTGAGGAATTAAAACATGACCCATGGACAACATGCCTAGACCTCCCAATTCTTTAGGAGTATAAAACACAACGGGAGGAAATCTTGAGGGCATTTTAGAATTCAAACCAATTTTCACTCTTGTTTGAATCTTATTTTCACATTTGACTAATAAATCCAATAAATCTTGGGTATTAACGACTGCCTCTCTAAAGTATGTCATTAAACCAATCAGAGCAGTATTCCATTTGTTAACAATTTTTGTAAATGTTGTTGATCCAGAAGCCATCAAGATCTGTCTGACTCTATTGTGGAATCTTTGCATCGAATCATTATCAACTCTAAGGAAACATTGCGCAGTGCGCTCTTTAGTTATTTCATTTTGTAAATTCCAAACTCCATCCTTGTGAGTTAAGTTTTCTTCAATTGCTCGACACTTGGGCAATATTCTACACTCGAAGCCGCACATGTCAAACAGCAAATTCGGATTGTCTTTAGAGTAAACGGATACAAAACTTTGTTCCCAAATAATTGTAGTAACACTTCTTGGCAGACGATTTTTAATATCCCAAAATACAGCTCTTCCCAAGTTAACATCATGCTTCATGAGTCTCATTCTTGCGTCTCTTGGCCAGCATTTTTTGTTGTTGTATCCAACAATATTTTCATTGTTTGGATCAGGATGTTCAGTCAAGTATCTCTGCACTAAATCTTTAGCTTCGTCAGCAGTAAAGCGGAAAAGCATGTGGATTCTATCTATGTAACGAGAATAGAGACGAATTGGATGGGCATTTTCAATTGACATGTTATGGAAAGTTAAAAAGTCATTGGGCATTTGAGGGGGACCTGCCATTTCACTGGCTCTTTGTAGCCCAAGTACTAATAAATCCAAAACCAAACCGTAGTATTGACAAATAAATGAGGCAAATTGAAGTCCCCTAATGATACCATATGAATTAGTATGGTTCATATCTTTATAATTGATAACGACATTAGACTTGGCCGTCATATAGTCAGCAATATTATGATCTACGATCAATCTAAGCAATCTGTTAAGTAGAGTCAAATCCATTTTTTCGTACATTTTGTCAAAAGTGGTTTCCATCATGACATTACACTCTCCTTCATTTGTATCCCAAACATCTTGTAAATTATTGATACCCTGACACCATTTATAGACAAGTGACGGTGGTGGTTCAGAATCAGATGGTTTAACCCATGGAGGAAACAGTCTACGTTTATCTGCCTCATACCAAAGGTACTGATCGAGGTAAGCATCTGTAATCTTTTCAAGGGGTTCAATATCGTACACTGGTATAACATGAGAGTATAAATCCATGAATTCTATTCCGACTTCCTTGAAAGTACGTTGAGTTAGCAAGTGTCTTTTAATTCTGGATAAAGCTTCGTGTGGATTATCATAGGCCTGTTCAATTAGACCTAATTCTTCGCGTTGTGAATGGTTCAATCTAGATTTCACACTGTAAGCTTCCTTTAGTCGCTCCAAAGCTAAAATAAGCAGTTTAGTGTCATGTTTATAAGACAAGGGAGGAAAGGGAATAGGTGAAAATCTTCTGGATTCAAGCCAGTGAACTGTTGTTGTATATATAGCAACAGCCTCTTCAGCACTAATATATGGACCATCCTTTAGATAGTTATGTTGCCTCTCCTGCTCTGCTTTCAAGAAAAGTCTAGTTAATCTTCCAAGATTCTTCTTGCAGACTGTCTTATCGACAGTTGCTCCTCGTCGAATTCTTTCTCGATTGTAGTGAGCTGTATTTGTCCACCAGTCAGCTTTTGCTTTAACATAACGTAAAATCATATTTTCAATGGGTATTGGTAATCCTGGAACCTTCCATGGAATGTTAGCTTTCCAGCACCTCCAAGCCTCGGATAAGTGCTGCAAAATTGTTCTAGCCTTATTTTGCTTGATTCCATCCGGCATCATATCTAAAATATCGTGCATAACAGCTGCACGTAACTCCAAATCAAAGTGAGACTCAACTCTTTGTTTTGTTACAGTTTTCGCTACTCCTTTCGAGTGTCTTCCTTCAAACTGACGAGAAAGAAGATTACCAAGCCACCTCTCCAACAGAGGAGTAACACCTCTCATAAAAAATAGCCAAACTCTCCATCCTGGTGCCCAAAATCCAACACCAGGACCTTTTCCTACACTGCCAGTATTAAAGCGGTAATATATAACATGCTTCAGATCTTTGCACATTCTTATCTGCTTCATAATTTTGTACTTGTATCTATACATTCCGGTTAATTGTCCGATATGAGCAAATATGTATTGCAGACCATCTGCCAGTTGAAAAGCGTCAATGTTACCCAATCTATATTGGACATGAGAATCAACAATAAGCTTCGTCAATCTGAGGATCTCACGACACAAGTGAAAGGCATTTCCAAATCTAGACTTCTTTCTCTCTTTAGTTGTTAAGGTTTTTACTGGCTTCAAGTTGAAATTGAAATCCAAATGAAGATAATTTAAATTTTTTCTGTGAATCAAAAGATTCAGCATGTTATATCCTTGCTTGCATACTTGTAACCCAGCTTCAACCCAATCAATCGTTGTTTGTTGGAAAAATTTTGTCGATTTAAAAGATCTAAATAAATATCTCTTTTTTTGGGCTTTAGGGGGACGATGATGCAAAGCATTCAAAACGTAATATTTCAATAGTTTCTGATAGCTAACTCTGACTTTTACTGGCATACCAGTAGGGCAATGCTCTCTATACCAGCTATTTATCAAAGGGACGTCTATTGCTCGTCTAGTGAAGCAGCTTCGTAGATTGAATGGTCTTGGGGCCCATAAAAGAGCAATTCCATTAGCTGTATGATCTGTATATAGTGGTTTTTCTTCTAAAAATGGTTCGAAGTAGTCAGGCATACGAAAGTCGTCATCTTCGTCATCTAGTAACAAGTCAGGGTCTATCTCCTCACTTTTACCACCTTGACTAGCAATAGGATTAATTAAGGGATCGAAATAGAAAGCTGGTAAATCTGGATCTTCCGTTTTAATAAAAACAATGTTTGGTGTATGATACCATGAAAGATGGACGGCAAACGGAACGTCATTATATAAATATGGAAAAGCTATGCGATATTCCGTTCTTATTGGTTGTCTGATAATGATCTTATTGATATCGTTAAACTCATTCCAATCATCATCCTGAAGGTCAGCATTCTTTACCAAAGGTTCATACTTTGGGCCTCCAGGTATGGCTAAGTTCAATGCTTTGGCCGTGAAGAAGCTTTTCATGTCAAACAAGTAAAAATAATTATCGTCAACTAAATCAGTCAATAACTGATTCGCAAGACGATAAACAGTGGACATTTGAGGTATATCCATATACCACTTGCGATAAGAAGGTCCATTCATTTGCTTAGTGTTAGCCAATGGTTTGTGATCATAAAACCAATCGACAACTGATTTGTCTTCCTCCGGGTCTAAATCCATTTGAATTGGCTCCAATGGCTCTTCATCTAATATGTTATCAGCGTAATCAAGCGGGGGTTCTTCATCGTCAAACGGAGGAAATCTCATTCTCTATAAGAAACAATAATATATTAATTTATTACTGCGTATAAAATTCAGAACATTACGAAAAATGTATAAGTGAGTGTACTACCTTAAAATGTCTTCTATCACGCTTTTCTCGACGCATGATAATCCACATTGTTCCCCATTGAGCTATATAAACCGGTTCGATAACCCAAGGAATCTCATTGACAAAAGTTATAGCTCCTGTTATGTGATATAAAACTTTTACGTCTCTGATCTGCTCCCAAGGCATTGGCATGTTTTCCAATAGCTTCAGAACAGCATGTGGCATGTATTTCAGTGCTCCTAAATATACTCTCTTATCATGCCTAAATTTTCTATTGGTCATATCTCCATGATCTCTAACAATTTTACGTAAATGCTCAGGTGGAAGATCTTCCTTTTGAACATCTATATAACCAAATTTCTTCTTTTCTGTATATCGTTTAATCTGGAGCTTTTTCCATTTTAGAGCCTTTTCCTTAAGTTTCTCTTCACTAGTTGGATCTTCTTTTGCAACAACCCTCCCCTGACCTTGGTGACGAAGGGGCTGTTGTGCTATCGGTTGGATGTGCGGTAACATCACATTTGGGACGGGCATCATGAGCCCAGACCCTGGTTGTATCCAAGCCATTTTTCTCTTAATATTATCGGAGAATTATCATTAATGATTTAAATAATTCAGCGGCTAAAAGTAGAAAGTTCGGCAGACAACACGCTACCAAAAATTCGTTCAGTAAGCGAACACTGAACGCAAATTTGAGCGATATTAAGTATTTCCGGCGAATTTACCTTTTGAAGTCTAACTTTTTTTATAAGAGTTATCACTTCACTATCTGGTAAATTTCAAATAACTACAGCGCTCCTATCGGCGAATGTTTCGGATATAGAAAAACTATTACAAAAATTTCTTTCGCTAGGAACGCCACTGGTTGCGTGTTTTTGAACTTCTTTTCCTTGCAAACTTAATTTTATATGTTTCAAGTTTTACTTTTAACCTATTTTAATAAAATCAAAATATTAATAATTTTAGTAATCCACAAAAAACTTAAAATTTAAAATTGAGTGCCGACCTACTATCCATTCTTGAAAGCCGGTGAAAGAAAGGCGCCATTCTCGTAAATTGCGTATTAACGTTGTTTCCAATAGCTTTTAGACAGCATTGGTTGATATTTCTCTTTATTTACATTATCTACTAAAGTAGAAACACCTCAGTGATCCTAATCACTAATAATAAATTAACGAAAGCTAATTTATTATAATATTTACATATTTAGCAAAAGAAAGCAATTAATAGATAACTTGTATGTAAAAGTAATGTATATTAGTTCAGTTGCCTGGCTTAACGCATTCACTCAGTTGGAAAAAAAAGTTTGCGGAAAATATTTTTTCAGGACAGTTAAAAAAGTCCAGGTAGTTTTACCTAATCACCGAAGGAAGGCCAAATTATTAGCATTGAACCCATTTGCTTAAGGAAGTCATAGAATCAAAAGTTAGATAATTTACTTTAATACTACTAATGGAAGATGCTAATCATTTGTCAACAATTGTACAGATATCTCCATGGTTGATTAATACATTGATAAATGGAACAACGATAAGATTAGGGCTTTTAAACGTTGCGAATGCAATATGCAAAGTAAAATATGATCGTTTGTACTAATTTGACACTTTGTATATCAGCTACTTATATATATACATAAAACGATGATAAGAAACCTTTTTTAGCTAGCGTTTGGTAAGACAATAAATATTACGATAGTTAAAAGTGAAACGAAAATAACGAATAAATATAAGAAAAAACGATCTAAGACTTTAGCTATAAATTTCCAGTTTAGCGTTTCATGCTTTTTCGTTTTCCTCATGCAATTGACAACAGCTAAAAAGCAAGTAAAAAATTTAGTAAGTTTTGCTGGTACGTCTGTGCGACGAAGATGCAATCGAACAACGACTATAGTGCAAATAAGCGAAAGGCTCATTAATATCATAACTACGACGATATAAACTGCAAGAATTGGTGCTCGGCTTGAATTTTTTGGGAGTAAATCATTAAGTACAATAAGAAAGAAAGAGAAGCTTAATAAGACGGTCATTGACATTGAAATTCTTTCTCCACCATCTGGTGGAATTATAAAACTAATTACAGAAATAAATGATAAGAGAATACATGGTATAACGAACACGAGAAGAAAATATAGAGATTTTCGTTTCATCGTAATATTAACTGTAATCGCGCAATAATTATTTCCTTCATTTTCCGAATTCTGCTCTTTCACCTTTGTTGATAATAGGGTCCATTCGGCACTTGATTTAAAATCCCTGCAAACAAATACAACTACAGATTACCTATTTTAGCTTATAAAAAAACCTTTTAATTACTTTAAATTTACTTCCTCGGAAGTTGCTTGAATGGTTACTTCTCTACAGCGGTCTGTCCATGAAGAAACTTCAATGTCACAAGATTGAACATCAAAGGGAAAATATAGCATATTTAACGAACATGAAGTAGTCATTCGTCCACCAGGTGAAAATAGAATGGTACCATTTTCAAATATTTCTGCTCGAAAATGTTCGAAAAATTGCTTATTATAGAATTCAATAGCATTATTCCGTTCAACTAGATCTGGCAACCAAATATCAGAAGATGGTAAGGTTATTCTACTGATTCCATAATATTTGGAAGAATTCCAACTTAAACACTTGTCCAGCCATTTCCAAGATTGCCAGGCGAATATGCTATGAAATATTAAAACAAATCCGTTTTCTATTATCTCTTAAACCTGTTACTCAAAAAGAATTTAAAATAAGTACCTTAATTGTTGATTTCTCGCATCAATATTTTGAATTTCCATCAAATTCAATTCATAAGCAACAATAACAGTTTTCGAAGTATTTAAAACTGGTCTTGCTCTTTTGTCATAACTTTTCAAAAGATCATGTATAAGTTCACTTTCTGGCTGAAAAAGACGGCTTTTTGAATGTGAAATTTCCAAGATGAAAAGTATAAGAAGCAGCCGAATCATTATGGTGTTTCTTACATAATAAGAAATGTTTCTCTCCAACATTAACGATAAGAATCATTATCTGCAATAAAAAAAACATTTCTGATAAAGACGTCTGCCTGATTGCTCTGGAAAACTCGATTAACTAAATACTATATTAGCAGTTTCAGAAAAACTCCTATTTAGTGTCTTATTGCAAGAGTTATTCTTAATATGTCTCATCATGACATTAAAAAGTGAAGAATATTTTCATAACTGTAGGTATGAAATTGAATATGCACACTATACAGTATATAAATTTTATATATATATATATATATATATATATATATTTAGATATATATATATATTATTATAGTACATATAATTACGGAACTAGAATTATGTTTCGCAGTCCAGATTACTCAATATTTATTAAAACAAATCACTTCATAGAATGTACATCTCACTTCACTTTACTTTCTGTGTGTTAATATCAAAAAGAAGACAACAATTGTGACGATTAGTACACATATTGAAAATATAATAATGAAAATTCTGTCAAGTACTTTCCCAACATCCTTCCAGTCAATACCCGTAGCTTTTTCAGGTGATATTTTTACTTTTACACAAAAAGCCAGATAGCCAGTGATGACTCTTTTAATTAAAGGCGAAACAGGCTTTGAAGAATAGTGGAGTCTAACTACTAAAATGGTACATATAAGTGACATGCCCATAAAAGCCATTACCACAACTATATAGATAGCTAATATTGGCGCCTCATCAGAATTTTTCGGTAATAAATCATTAAGAACTATTAGAAAGAAAGAAAAACTCAATAACACGGTCATGGACATTGATATTCTTTCGCCCCCTTCTGCTGGTATAGTAAAACTTACTATTGAAACAAATGACAATAAAATACAAGGTATAACAAAAATTAGAACGAAATATAATGGTTTCCGTTGTAAATTCAAGTTAATTTCAATAGAACAGTACTTTACTCCCAGATATAGAATTTGGACATTTTTAATCGATGTTGAAACAAGAGTCCATTCTGCACTTTCTTCATATCGGCTTTACAGTAGTATTCAATTATATAAAATTTTTATATATGTTTCTTATACTGTATATAGACTAATTGAAGATTATTCATAATTTAATTGATAAAACTTCAACTGTTAATTTTAAAAATATAAAATTGGATACTACTCTGTGGCTACTTTTTTGGATAGTGCTTCCATTTTAACTTCTGCGCAGCTTGGCGCCCACACAGACACCAACAATTTACAAGCTTGATAGTCAAAAGGAAAATATTTCATGTTTAATGGGCATGAGGTTGAGAGTTTACCACCTGGAGTAAATATTACGTTGCCTGTATGCGAAACCTCTGCATTGAAGTATTTTAGAGATTCTTCATTATAAAACTTATCGGCTGTGTTTTGAAGAACAAAATCTGGAATCCAGATACTAGCTGTCGGAAGAATGATTCTTTTTATACCACCATGTTCTTCACTATTCCAAGCCAGAAATTCGTCTTTCCATTGCATAGGTTGCCATGCAAAGATGCTGATAAATATTTTCAACATAAATAAAAATGCAAGTCCCAAAAAATTCAAGAAATACTTCACCTCATTCGTTGATTCTTTGGATCAACTTCTTGTATTCCTACAATATCAATATTGTACGTTACTGGAATTGCAGCAGAAACATTAATAATCGGTCTAGCTCTTTTCTCATAGTTTAATAAAAGCTTGTTAATCAATTTAACTTCTGGAGAGTTTAACGGATTCTCTGAGTGGGATACTCTGACGAAGGAAAGGTATGCTACAAAGGCCAGAGTATACATATGAATATTGTGCACTGGCATGTTCAGAACGAGAATGAGTATTTGGAATCTAAAACTATTCTTTAATGCAAAAGATTCTTATGACTAATTGTCAATAGTTGTACTGAAAACAATACAATTAGAGCAATATATTATTAATATAAATTGAAAAAGACCATTTAGCCATCGACTAAGTCATAGCAAATTGAAAAACTGTTATCATGTCAAGTTTATTGATCAGGGTAATGTTAGAAAACGACATATAATCATAAATTTAAAGTCCTTTTTACGTCACCAAGGTGATGAAGAAAACAGGAAAACTTTCCTTACTGTAAACCTTATTTTATTTTTCTGATAAAGCTTCAGAAACAATAAGAGCGTATTAGCTAATATTAATTTATGAATGAGTTCGCTAAACTGAGCATAGACGATTATTTATATACGTAATGTAAATGCTAATTTTAGTTCATCATTTTAAATTATGTATATTGAATTTATATAAAATACAGCTTCTACTAGTAAATTAAGTAATATTTTAGAGGAGATGAATGAATAAACTGATTGATATGTGTTCTATCTTTGAAGTAGAATATTAATGGTATAGTAAATAATAACTAAGAACTTTTTAACAAGTACATTTCAATTTAATTGTTGTAGTTTCCATTTGAGAGAACATTATTAATATCATTTTCACTTGAAAATATAAAAAATTTAGTTTCCTTTGGATAGATCACTTAGTGAATTTTATTGTTAAAAATATACCTATTTATAGACAACTTTTTGTTTATGTTCTTGGAAAACGCCTTCAAGTCCATGGGAGAAAATTTGAGAAAGCAGCAATACCAATAAAGAAATAGAACCGAAAATAATAATTAAGTAGCTTGTATGCTGTGGAATCTTCTTTAACTAAAGAGACAAACCAATAAATTATCGGAGTTGATGAGCAGAGGAATCTTGTTGTTACCTTTTAATACAAAAAGTTGTTTTAATTATTAATTATTGACATTCTCTAATAAAAAAAACTAACTTGTACATGCATAAATAACACTGCAAAACAAGTTAAAACTAAGCAGTGTACAGAATAAACAAAGAGAGGAGATTCAATAATTTGCTTCCATGATCTTCTATTTAATGATTTAAAGTAAGTAAATGAACTGGAAAAAACCAGCAGAAGAATTGGACTTGCCAAAAGAAAATTTGGTATTTGCTTAAATTCATAATAATTGAGGAAACCAGCATTATTCCAGTGATTCTTTTGAACGTAAGAATATGGCAATTGAAACTTTGAGCAGAATTTTGATTCTCCAGGCAATTTATATTGACGGACTTTAGCATAGTCAATCAATCTATCAGGAATATTTTTGACGGAAGTCTGGCAAAACATATAGTAGGAATAATACTGGAAAATAAAGAATGGAGCGACTGATACCAAGCATAAAACAATCATCTTTAAAGCACGAACAAAAAACTGGTAATCTAAATTTGATTTAATTACAATTCTAAAGTTGTAGTAAACTATAAATCCACAATTTATAATTCCGTTTGATCTGCAATACAACGTAAAAGATAAGTAATCTGAAAATATAGTATTCATTTGGAACCTGGTCATTGATGAAAGAGCAAAAAATATAGCTGATTTAAATTGAAATCCACCTTCCAAATATCTTAATCCAGTAAATGTTAATAACGAATAGAGACTTTCACTATAAGGTGCAACAAAAAATATTGTAGCCGGGTTTAAATAGAAGAAAAATACTGCCGATTTAGCTAGTTTTTCACTTTTCAATATTGTAACTGTAAGATGATAAAGTTGTTTTGCGGCTGTAAAAAGTTTCGAAAGAAAAGCGTAATGAATTCCTTAATAAGGGAAATAATGTAATATTTTATAAAAGACATTCTATAGAGCATTTCTTTTGAAACTTTCCGAAAATAAAGCAGATTTGGTTGAATATTACTGCAGAGATGAGGTGTGTAAATTCTTCTGAAATGATATTTTGAAGAGGAAGGAAAATGGTATTCGATAAGGTTCTAACAATCATTGGAAAGAGAGGGAAGAATGCTATAGTATTTTCATATGTATATCCATATTTTGAAATGTGAAGGAAATATATAGCATCCCATCTTCTTAAACCTGATAGAGTTATGTTAACTAATGCATTCCCTGCTCCTGGTTCTTTTGATGGGGGTGGATTGAAAACATCCGGCTTATGATCAGGTAGAAGATAGTTGAAGATTACCTATGACAAATAGACAATATGCATTTTTCATCTAAAAAACATTTTACTATTTTTTCAGTTAGCGTTATTATTTCCTTTAAATATAATACAATTAAAGCAGACCTGTAAAAATAGAGCTGTGACTCTTGAATAAGCTACAAAATGTAATGTTTTCTTGCAATCCCCGGACATGCCTAACAATCTAGCAGACGACAAATCTATTAGAATCTTGATATGTTAATAGCGAAATAATTTAAAATTTTTAGTCAATAAAACTATTCATTAAGATTTTATTACATAATTTATTTACTTGTTAATCTTAAGGAAAGCATTTTCCTTCCTTTAAGCGTAATTGAACTTTAATAATTAAAGAAAAAATTCTTCATGTACAAATATATATTATCATGAATGAAAACAACAAATTGAATTAATACAATGAAAACATAGTTCAATCAAATGAAAAATAATTTGTTTTCTTCATCTTATAATATCCGATGAACATCCTAGCTTATGAGTTGTAGAATAGAAGAAGTGCAATAACAAACATAAATATATTTTCATAGAGTTTCAATTCAAGTTATTATTCTGGAAACAAAAATGATTAGTCAACTTGAAAATTATCGTCTTGAACTTTCCAGGTAATCTTTAGCTTCGTTGATTTTTGCCGCCATATAAGGTGAACCACCTATTTTTTTATGATATAAATTTTTTAACATTAGATTGATTAAGGTTATTAGAAAGTACTGTTACCTCTGTCGGGATGGTTCAAAAGCATTATTCTTTTGTGGGCATCTTTCAATTTATTTTTAGGTGCAGATGGGCTTACTCCTAAGATCAATCCGGCTTCTCTTTTTGTCATTTTTGGTTCAAACCCTCCTTTATAATATTTACTAGGCTGTTATTACAAATTAGCGACAATATTATTACATCATAAAGATCTGTCAATAAATATATTTACTTACAGCACTGACTGGTAGAGAATCAATCTGGTGCTTAAGAGTTTGTCCAGCCACCTTACCATATCGTAATAGATAACGGCCTATGTTGAATTGTTTCAGTCATTAGATAGTATTTCTTAGACTTAATTAACAAAACTTACCAGCAAAACCAACTGTAGCTAATCCTAAACCAACTAAGATCAAGCCACTTGACTATCGCAATGAACATGAATGTAAATTAATGGTGATTGATTTAAGTAACATGATTACTAACCATCCCTATCGGCCCGTTGACCTTATTTTCTGTTTCTTCAGTTCGGTCCAGTGTGACAGATTTATAAATATATTTAAACTTTACTTGAAATTCTCTGTCTTCGTTACGAATGACCTCAACCTCGTGTGATAGCTAAGGAACGGAAGTTGCATTAGATTTCTTTGTCGTCTGCTTGTAAACTTAACGCCCTCTGTGCGAATTTTAAAGTTGGTATTTTCATTTTATACCCACAAAAAACAAATTTTCAAATATAAAAGTAAATATACATATTTTTATAAATTATAATATTATAGGACAATGTTATGATAGGGTATAGGTACTCTAGATTTTAACAGTTAAAGTCCTCAAGTTTAGATTTATTCGTTACCAAAAGTTGTTGATGATGAATGTAAAATAAATTTATTCCTAAAAGTTATACTTATAAATAAAATAAAGACAAAAGTTCGATAAAATTAAAAAATACTGTACTAATTGTTGAAAAAGCAAGATTAAGTTTTTGTACCTATACCGGACACCGAAATTTACCGGTCAACTTTCGATTTTTAGGACATTATGGTTGATAGAAACTGAAGGACAGCATGCGTGAAAAGCTGTACCAGTTTTCATTGGAAACTTATTGTTTCAACTAATTTCTGAACGGATTAATCGATTGTAGGACAAAGCAATTTTCATTAATATTTTTTGTTGGGAGTTTTGTATTTTAATTATTATTTACACATGATAAATTCTATTAAAAATATTAAAATCTAGATAAAATATAAGAAAAATATACATTATACAAATTAATGTGAACTATTATTTCATCACAATAAAATAATTAGTCTATGAGGTTTCAAGTTTAAGAGGAGTGTATTTGAATCCTGTTTTTAAAAGATTTTACACAATTCGAACAATTTATAGATAAATAATTGTAGCTCCGCTGAGAATCTTTCGGTCATGCGCACGTTGTATTTTTCCATTCTTAATTTAGACATACCTTAACGTGCAGTCACGTTTTACGTAGAATTTGCCGGATTTATCCCAAATTTTGATTAATTGTGTAAGCAAAGGTAATTAACAATCATTAGAGTTGTAACAATATAATTAATAATCCATTGAAAGTAACTCGTGCTAATCAATACATTGCTTTCAATTACTTGCATCATAAACTGTCGGCTAAGGTCACCGTTATACGAAAGTCACAATTTTTACATTTCAACATTTATTTTACAGGAACATCATAAATGGCTACTTTATTTGGTAGACTTGGAAAAGTAGGTGCAGCTCTAGCTGTCGTAGGAAGTGTGGTGAATCAAGCTCTGTATAATGTCGATGGTGGTCATAGAGCCGTTATTTTTGATCGTTTCAGTGGTGTGAAAGAGGGAGTTATTGGAGAAGGTACGCATTTTTTGATCCCGTGGGTGCAAAAGCCAATCATTTTTGATGTAAGATCAAGACCAAGATCAGTTCCAACCATTACTGGCAGTAAGGATTTGCAAAACGTAAATATCACTTTAAGAGTTTTGTTCCGACCGGTTGCCGAAGCACTGCCTAAAATTTTCACAAACTTGGGCCAAGATTACGACGAAAGAGTTTTACCGTCTATCATAAATGAAGTTTTAAAAGCTACCGTTGCTCAGTATGATGCCGGAGAGCTCATTACACAGAGAGAAACCGTGTCATTAGATGTAAACAACGAATTAACCATAAGAGCAAAACAATTCGGGCTTATTCTAGATGACATTTCTATTACCCATCTAACATTTGGACGAGAGTTTACCGAAGCCGTTGAAATGAAACAAGTTGCGCAGCAAGAAGCTGAAAAAGCTAGATATATTGTCGAAAAGGAAGAACAAAAAAAGAAGGCGGCAGTTATTAGAGCTGAGGGAGACTCAGAAGGTGCTCAGCTTATTTCAAAGGCTCTTAATGATGGTGGAGAAGGTTTAATAGAACTAAGAAAGATCGAAGCAGCCGAAGATATTGCTTACCAATTGTCGCAGAGTCCTGGCGTAGCCTATCTACCCCAAGGACAACAGACTTTGTTGGGTTTGCAACATTAAGTAACTATTTGTTACTGTGTAAAATTTGAAATATACATGTATTAGAAAGTATATCAAGTAATAATTCTTTTGTATATTTCTGTTCTTTCTTAGCTTAAGCATAAGATTTACTTCGAACGATCATATGATCAATCCCACAACAAACATCCACAGCTTCCGCTGGCAATAAAACCTATAAAAATGTTAGATATAACAAATGAAAAATATTAATAATTTTAGTCTTACTTTAAAAGGAAAAAATTGATCAAGTTTATGTCCTAATCCCAAGACGGCAAACTTATTTCTTCCCCATGTGTACAAATCTCCATTATCTGTACGGAAATTAGATATTTTAGATGAATAATAAGATTCATTTAAAACTTACTATTTAAAACAGCAAAATGATTCAATCCAGATTTCAAACTCACGACTTCACAATCTGGATTAAAGTCATTTTTGCCGAATAAAACTTCGGGAATTTTGGTAGGTTGACAACAATTATCCAATTTTGGACCAAGACCTAAAATACCAAAACCCCATACAAAAATTTCTCCCTTATCTGAAAAGTATGACATTCCAATTATTAAGTTACGACAAGTGCAAGAACAAACCGTTTAGTGCAGCGCAAGTGGAGCCTCCTGTAGCCGTTTCTATAACTTTTCCCATATCAAGAGGCAATCTCCTAGGTACGTTTAATTGCAATATATCTTTTTGGATAGAATAAAATTGATTGTATTCACAGTTGCCCCAACCAAACACATCTCCCTTATCTATAATAAAACAATATTTCTTTAGATATAAATATATATGTATATCAGATTATCCTACTTAGGTTATACCTGAAACTGCTAAGCAGGTATCTGCAATACAAGAAATTTGAACAATATGCTCATTTTCTATATCTCCTTTGACTAGCATAGGAGTTCCCGTTACATTATAGTGACCCAAACCTAGAAATAAAGTTTGTTAAAAGAGTGATGAAACAAAAACCAACGACCTACCAGTCTGTCCATCAGCTCCAAGACCGCAAGCGTAGACCTTTCCCGATGTAGTGAGTAAAAGAGTTTGATCCATACCACAGACAACTTGTTTAACTGTCTCGTCAAGTTCTATTTTATGTACCTTGAGACTAGACTTGTATATTTCCCCCTCAACTGGCTGTCTGCCTAATTGACCATAGGAGTTGTTGCCCAAAGATAGTACTAAAATAAAAGAAATTTATAACTTCACATATAGATTAAAGAAAAAAAATTGAAACCTGAACTATCGGTAGCAATAACAGAATGAGCTCTTCCACAATCCATACTAACTATTTTACTATCTTCAGATAGTAAGGATGAAGGAATATTTACTTTTCTTGGTTCAAGTACATAGTCCAGACTATCTTCTAAAAAACATATTTACATATAAATCTACAGTATAATTTTTAAAAGTCTTTTTTAAAGTGCTCTTCTTTCTAAACCAATTAAATTTTGTTATGCCTTGTTACTGATATTCTTTGAGCTTAGAAAAAGAAAATCATCAATCAAATTTTAAGTTAAAGAAATCAACTTTAAGATTTGAAAATAAAAATGCTTATATTAATATATATATACAGGTATTAGTAATTCATAAAATACTGACTACAGTTTGAAGATGGATGATATCCCAGTTGAGAATCAGTATTTATGCCACATCCGTAAATTTCTGTGATATTTTTAGCCGTTTTACATGCGAATAGAGAAAAGCCGATACCACATGCAATCTTCTCTACCTGTTAAAATATATATTTCCTAGTTTAAACATGTTAAGTATAAATGTATACTTTATCATTTTTTGCTTCAAAATCCTTCAGTCGATATGGTATTAACTGCATTCGTCTTGGAGATCCCTTTTTTTCTGGGTCAACATGCTTTTTGACCCCTGTTATTTTTGCTGTGTTGAAGGTTTTTAGAGAAACAACAAAAGTATTGTTTACCTAATGCTCCTGTTGAGGCATAGCCCCAAACATAGACTCTCTCTACTCGTTTTGTCTTTTCTGAGGCATATTCCCAAATGATTTCTGAATCTGCTTGCTGTTTGAGAGTTTTTTTTGACCATGAGCTAGCTCTTAGTTGTTTTCGCAAAGTTGACGTAACTGATGATCGGCACGAGTGAAGCATGTTGAAAGCCACCTTTAAAAAGTCGCAGGTTAATTTGAGAGAAGGGTAGTTCAGTCTCTATAGAATGTTACCTTATCAACTGTAGAATGTATTATTGCTTTTTAACGAAGCTTTTTTTATGTCTTAAGCTTATAAGATAAAATTATGGTTTCGTCCTATTAACTTTGCAGCAGACAATGTGTCTCTAAAGAGAATCCTGGTGTTGGAAGTGGTGCCCTCTATAGGAGATTTTGAACAGACTTTATTTTACCTATTAAATACTCTTTCAAAATAATTTGTTTGTTTTCAAGACCGAAAATATGTTTATTAATTTTTCTAAAATAAGCATTGAACGTCTTTCTATTTCACTTAATAATTGAGTTTTATATTTTACTTAACCATCTTCTGGAGGTCGCTGACAGTCTTCCGAAATCGGTTTAACAACTCTCTTGTGTCTTTTTCAACCACCGGATATGGTGACATTACTCTTGCGTTGTTCCGGAATTTTGTGTTATGATTAAATATACAATTTTTTTGGCACGTAGCGAGAAATTTAACTATTAACTTCATAATAAAATATATTTCAAGGTATTTACATCAATTTCATTATTTGTCCAATACAAAATGGGTGCAGTGGAAGCGCATATGGAGTTTCTCATGCCTCCCGGTGTTAAATTATCATTTCACAAGGTATTGTAATAGCTTTTGCCTGTTTAAATAGATGGCTCGTGGACAACAAAAGATTCAGTCGCAACAAAAGGCTGCTAAGAAGGCCCAAGATTTGAAGAAACGTCAAAATCACGATCAAAAAGCAGCAGCTCAAAAAGCTTTAACTCACGTTTGTAGCGTTTGTAAGGTGTGTATCGTAATTTGTTATACTTTATTGTTTGTTTTTTTTCTAAACAAAGCTTTGAACGGAAAGAAAAACAAATGCTATTTGGAGTCAAAGTGTTATATTTTCAGATCATGAGAACAATATGGTTGATATTACTTGTTAAAAAACTTTTTTTTTTACTTATAGGCCCAAATGCCTGATCCTAAAACCTACAAACAACATTTCGAGAATAAACATCCCAAGTCTGCTTTGCCGGAAGAATTAAAGGAGGTTTAGCTTCGAAGAAAAATTATTGAAGTCATAGCAAGCTTCCACATCAGCATTGAAGTCATTTTGTTTGAGACCCATGAACATATGTCATATGTCACTCAACTAATCTTATTCTGTTTATCATAGTATATACGTATATCCAATTTCAGTTATCCCGTTGTCAATTTACAGTTTGAAAGAATCATAATTTTCTATTTCATTCATAACTGCAAAGTGATATACAAATTGTTAACTATTTTTTCTTTTGCCTACTCAAGTTTCTTAGAATTATCGTCCATATAATCATTCACTTTAATCTATTTTTTTGGAAATTTTCCTGTCATTCACCTCCTATAGGAACTAAGTTGCCATCAAAACAAAGTTTCAAGGGAAAATAAATGAGATATATTTTCCTTATTCGCTTTTCCGTAAAAAATAATTCCGACCTATTTAACCCATTTCGAGCAAATATTCCCACTGTGAAAAGTAGCGAACGAAAGGAAGGGGAATAACAGCGTGCGTAAAGTATTTTTTTGTAGACGTCGTCTAATTTTAACAAATATGAAGAGTGTACAGGAAAAAACATTCTATTCGTATTTTTCTTAATATTCGTACGTGAGATACTTTTTACGGTAGAAAATAGTAATAATGTAATAGGTCTTGTATTTTCTGCTTGTTAACTTATCATTAGTTTTTCGAGGTGTAAAGTAAGAAGAGTCTCATATAGATATATACAGTATACAGTATATCAATTAGTACATAACTATAGGTATATTCAGTATATAAATTTATATATACTGTATACTGTATAAAGTATATGTAATTAATAGTCTTCTCTACATGTTTAATAGTGCAGGCGTATAAAATTAATACCACATTTACGCTGCCTAATATTTTCCACTGGAATTTTTTATATCTCGTTCAGAATTCAAATGTAGGAGAAAATTGTTAATAATTTACTATAAGCATATATACATATATTGTATAGGCAGTATTTCGTCAAGTACAATATAAAAGGGTATTCTATTTAATGATCAATTTTTACATTAAAAGCTATCTTCTCCCTTTTATTGTTTTTTCCTCCTTTTTTCTATATTCTGTGTTTTCATTAAAAGTTAATGATAAGTTTTTATGCGGGATTGTTTCTGCAATGGTTTCTGAATTCTATTACCTATGGTTGGAATTTCTTATTCTCTTATCCTAGTAAACTGGTAGAAATTTAAATTTCTTAGATTTTATTAATTGCACTTGACAATACCGCTAATTAATCTATTAGAAAATTAATGTCAATGAATGAAAGCAGATAAAACTTATTATTGTCTTAGGATAATGTGAAGGTTGTAATTCAGGAAGAAATATTGCAATTTTCCTGGAATTGCTGTTGATAGTTCTATAGGTAATTCGTATTTAGGAACGAAATGATAAAGGGTTATGGTTGTTTTACACTCTCTTGTTCGCCTCTTTGTTATATTCATATATAACAAAGAATTATTTTATGAATAGAGATCGTGAACTTTAGTATAAAAAGAATGTATTAATTTTTCTAGGTATATCTATCTATTATTAGAACGTGTATTTCATCAGTTCTTTCATGTAAAGAGAAACTCTTATGGGTACTCTATGGGTACTCTCAACTAAGAAATAAAATATCGTTCCCTTCCGCTTAATTTTTATAAGAGATAATTTAAAAAGTATTAGTACAAATTTCCAACCATCAATCACAGTAAATTATTTAGCTACTTAGGATCTTGAAAAGGCGAGAAAACAAAAGAGCTAATAAGAAGGAACGCTTTAAAGTAAATTAATCCTTTATAATCATTTCAACTTCAAGAAACTTAGCGTAGAATATTAGAATCTATATACAACTTATGAAAGATCTACTTCATTCTTTTTTCTTACTCTCTACATATTTAATGCAAGTGTTATAGGTTGAAAATGATTAAATCTGTATATGAGCTACTTTTACTAGTTTTTACTTAAAAGAACAGTAATTCAAAAGATATATGCAGGCCTAAACAATATAATTTACAAATCTTTTAGTAATATAATCAGCGTAGCGTGATACCTTATCCAATGAGGTGAGAATTTACAGTATTATTGTTCGGATGACTGAGGAATGGGAAAGAAAATATTTGTGGACTAATCTAATATATAGTTAAATATGCAATATGTAAACAAAACAAGTAGAGTATTACTTTGATCGATATTTTATGAATAATCGTTTCTTTCCACAATTAAATTTTTTTTAATTTTTAATGTTATTAAAATAATTTTTATATTCATTTCTTCTTTTTGCCTTATTGATTCTAATTTCAAGAGATTTGACGGTAGATGATTAGGTATAATTGATTCTTTTCTTTAAATAGAAAGCATTACTGACTGAAGAAAAAGGTCTTACCTTGCCTAAAGAATATTAGAGTCTTAAAGATCAATTTAAAGAGATTTCATTTGAAAAATTAGAAAACTTTCATTTTCAGTGTAAACATTAAAATTTCATTATGTTTAATAGTTTTTCCAATAAATTTTTTTGAAATATAATACGTATCTAATAGATGGCTTATATATGAATAGTCTTACCACTAGGTGACATTGCGTATGTTGGGCATCCATTTCTTGACGAAACTTCATAAGTGAGAAATGTTTCCTTCCGAAAATGCTACTGCCAATAGAACCGACAGTGACGTGTATGAGTCGAGTCAGACAAAGATAATTGTAACAGTCATCTACATCTTAACTGCGGTAACAGCTTTAACTGGAAATACTCTTGCAATATGCGTTTTAAGCGGTAAAAAGAAAAGGAAAAAGGATCTAAGTAAATATTTAATAAATTTAGCTGTTGCCGATTTGTGTATGGCAGTTTTCTGTATTCCTTTTACTTATACTCACGTCGTTTTTGGTTTCTGGCCTTTTGGAAAATTTCTCTGCCCAACTGTATCTTTCTTTCAAGTTGTAGGAGTCAGCGTTAGCATCTTTACAAATATTGCATTTGCCGTGAACAGGTATGCAAACCTTCCTTTTCTTTGCATTTCTTTTTTTAGCTATGTTGAAATGATAATACTAAATCTTTCTATAATTTGTAAAGAATCTTGGAACCTATTGCACTTAAGAAACGACAAAGAGTATTTCCTGTTCTTTTGTTCTCAAAGTCTAATCTAAGACTTTTGTATTCAAAAAATTGCTTAGAATGTTTCACGAATCTATGAGTGAAGATATCTTTATGATCATTTTAAATGTTTCCTTTTTTCTATATTATAAAAAATTAGCCAATATAAAGTCTCAAGACGATAAGAAAGAGTTTCACCATCCCATTTGTTGTAACTAAAGTTATATCTCATTCCAGCAATGCTAACAGTTATATTCCAAATTTTAAGACTGGAAATGGTAAAGGATATATCTTGCAAATTTTACGGCGGGGAATAACAGATGCAAAGTACATGCTCTCAATAACTAAGGAGTGTTTTCTTATGCAAACTTTAGAGTCTTAAATAAAAACAAATTTCTTCTTTATAAAGTCTAGCATTGAATGCTATTAATAATGCTATTATCACTATATTCTCTATTCTTAAAGACAAACGCAAAAAAGAATTTTGTTTTTTTTTGTAATAAAACCAACAGAACAAAAAACCTTATAATCTGTCTATATTTCTCTGTGTTCTCTTTTCTACTCATGATGCTAGCTGCATATATTAAGAACGGAAGGGGAATTAAATATGCAAATACAAATGTGTTTTATCGAGAAATAAAGAAAGGCTGAGAGACGTCTAATAGACAAAAGTAAAGTTTTGTTTTTTCAATTTGCTTTCCGTGAATATTTGAGAAAGCATTTATTATTTCAATACGAGTAAACAAGAGAACTAGCTGATACGTTAATATTAAAATTCTATTTGTTATAAATTTTGTGCGTTTAACTTCTCGCTCTCATTCTTGAATATTTAATGTACAACTTTTAATGCACACTGATGGAGAATCTGTATAATAGAGGCAAAAAATGTTTCAAAGCAATTGACATGTTAATTATGGAAATGCGTCACTCTGTTATGATAATTAAATAGTTAAGCAGCAAACGGATAAAGCATCATGTCCAAAAGAGAAAAAGAAACTGCTAAATTTCCTGCTGTTCATATTAATTGTTAGCTCCCTTTTCTTTTCCTTTAAGATAAGTAATCTTTTGAAGATTAGACAAGTCTACCTTACCTTATCAGTTGAATACTAAGGGAGAATAAAAAAGAAGAAAAGGGAAGATAAGTAGGCAGTTAGAAGAGATGTTTGGCCTTGTTAACGAATAAAAAAATTGAGATCAATAGGGAAAGAAAATTTAATGATTTTCTTTTTTTTTTGAGAGTTGAGAAATCAAGCAGCAATTCACTTGTTGAGCTGCTGCAGCGAAATGGAAAATGATTCGACTTGTTAATACTTATTGTATTCATGATCGATTCTTATCGCATTTATAATATAAAGAAAATAATGAAAAGAATTTATTTACTCTTTATGATGTATGACAGTTATGATTGCAATTTTTCTCTTTTTTTTGGATATATATTCTTATGTTATGCAGAAGAAAAAGGAGAGAGCGTAATGAATGCAGCAATAATGAAAACTTATTTTTAATATTTTCAATTAGTTAGTTGTTTTCAACAACGAGTCTTAGTTTTAGTGCTTTCGTTTTGCCATAAACCTGATTAATATCCTTTTAATTTCCGTCAATAGTTTTGAGCATAGTAAAATGGGTGGTCTTTTATTTTAAAAAGTATGATGTATTTTTTATAACATTGTAAAATTAACAATAATCGTTCACCGGAAAACAGTTATAGAGTGTCATTAATCCTTGGGGCACTGTTTTTCTTTCTGTATTTCTTTTATTTGAGATAGCCGAAACCAATGTTGTCTAGGAATGGATGAATACAAGTTGTTTATTTCTTTTTCTTTTTTTATAAATGAAAAGTCAGTGTTAGTTCAAGTTTCATTTCAAATTTTGCTACAATGAATTATATCAATGTTGTTGTGAGAGTAAAATAACATCACCGTATTAAAAAGAATGATTAAAACTGCTGTATTTCTACTTTATTGTCTTCTTTTCTTTCTTTCTCCCTGACTACCCGTCTGCCGGTCTCTTTCTCTGTCTTTCTTCTCGTCCTTTCCTTTATATTCTTTTTTTTCAATTTTAGAGCCATTAATTTAACTAGAAATTCAGAAATGAAAAGCCAATATTTCTGAATCTATTTAGAAAATTCTCTATTTATAGATACAATGTAAAAAAGCAATTTTTTCAAACCATTAAGAGTGTAGATTAAGTAGATTCTGTTTTGCTGTAATAAACAACTTTTTCCTTCTTTACAGGTTATTTGCTGTCATACAGCCATTACAGCATAAGCTAATGACAAAGAGAAGATTTAAAATTTTATTATCAACTTGGATCCTGGCTGCATTTTTTGCTTTTCCACAATTGGTATTTAGGAGACAGAATACATTCCAAGGAAATTTTACTGTTGAATGGACGGTTTGCATGGAAGTTTGGCCAAAAGAATATCTAAGAAATGCATACACAATTTGCCTGCTTGCTGCTACCTATTTAATACCATTATTAACCCTGACGGCAACTTATTCACTTATAGCTATTGCTTTCTCGAGAAGAAGGAGGCCAGGTGAATCAGTTGATGAGAAAGACGAAAAATTAAAACGCAGAATAATCAAGATGTCTGTAGTTATTGTGTCAGCTTACCTGTTTTGTTGGGCTCCTTTATATACTTTGACCGCAATTAGTCATCTTGCTCCAGAAAAGCTTGACAAAAATATTAGTTTTGAGATATTCTTTATTCCGGCGCACTGGCTAGCAATGGCTCACTCGTCAGTAAATCCAGTAGTGTATTGTTTCCTTTGTCATGGCTTTAGGAAAGATTTGAAACAACTGTTTGGCAGACATTTCGGCTATAAAAAGACATACAATCATTCAGTATTTAGACTTCATACTGAAAATTCTCAATTGACACCTACAAAATAGTTTTACAGTTTGAAAGATACTCTAAAAACACTTTTTTTTTATTAACAAATATGATATTATCATAAATTTGTATATCTTCCATAAGATATCCTTGTGTTTCCATGTTCGTCTTGTTACTTAAAAGTAATATATTCTATCTGTAACCGTCTTTCTCCCTTTCCATAGTTTAGCATTAAATAACTATTATTTTCGTTTAAAAACAATACTTGAATACGATAAAACGAAATGAATGTATCGTTAATAAAATATTTCCATAACAAGAAAATGCCAAGACTTATTCTAAAAATAGAAACTACCGTTAATATAAAATATGAATACAATAAATAAAATGAAAGTATGATAAAATAATTGAAGAAGAGTATAAAGACTCCTCTCTCTCTCTCTCCCATTTATTTATCTTTCAAATCCATCCCTAATCTTTCTACTCTATCTATGCCACCTCCATATAATTTTTTTATTAT